CACATTTTCCAGCCCCCGCGGCCATTTTGAATCACTCCATGAAAGCCCAATTTTTGGCCCATTAATTGGGAAGGCGAAGATAGGCGTGACTACGTCCGTTAATATATACAGTCTATGGTACCAACATCATTTTGCGTTTAACAGCAGCAGTGAAAATGGAAACTGAAACAGCTTCGCATGGTTTTGTTTGGACGAAGGAATAGAATTATCCTCTATGTAGCGCTCAAAGCACACATAGATCACGTTGATCCGTCGCCATTGTTTACATTTGTTCTTGGCTCCTGCGCATGTCCAAATGTACGTGCGGGGAAGTAGTGAGGCAGAGAATCACCTTTTTTTTTTTCACACAGCCCCCGCCGTACTGTGTATCTGTTCTGTTTTACTCAACGTTTGGTTTTTGCCCCTGAAACACTGTCTTCATGTAAACAAAAGGCCAATCCGATACCCAACTGATATGGAACTCTATGATAGTTTTTGTTTGATGTCAATTGGCCCAGGAATTACAGAAAAAATTGCTCTAAACTAAGACTAGAAATCTTACTTTTGACAGTTACCATAGTTACCAGGAAAGATTGTTTTAGCTGCCCTCCACCACAATGTCAAACCAGGCTCCTTGGAGGTTTGAGAGATTTGATTGACAGACACTATTTGTTCTGTGCATCTATAATTCCAGGTAAAATAATTTTTCATTATGTTTTACACACTTTTATTATCAACATCAGTGTGTTGCCCATAAACACAAAAACACTGGTTATGTGGGTCCCATGTCAAACCAGCACAACTTCCCATTCATAATTCAGTCTGTTGGTATGCAGCATGGATGGGCTCCGTGAAGCATGAGATTTGAAACCAAGATTTGTAAATATTAGCATTTCATTTTGATGTTTGCGCTTTCTGTACACAGGCTATCAGTGAGTTCGATAAACAAGGTCAAAGATTATGTAATGTGAAAGAAAACAGTCCCATGTAGAAATGAATATTTGTAGCGACTTCAGTTGACAAAGACTGCAGTGAGATCTAAAGAGGTTGTTGGGAGAATAAATAGTTTGGTTGCTGATTTATTTCTGTAATTGAGCAGGAATAAGTAAAAGACACAACTTAAATGATGTATGCAAATGATTGTAACTTGTTATGTAGAAAGAGAAACCAAATCCACTTTTTTTTCTTTGCCGATAACACATTTTAGTTAGAAATAATAGGAATCCTGTAATCTTTTACCTCGCCGAGAGTCACCTTGTGTGTCACTATTGGACTTTTTCACTTTTCTGTCGGAAAAAGAGACTGTTCTGTCTGTTTTTAAAGCAAAGGATTGATAGATAAAGATATATAAACAAATAAATATGACTGTACGGGTTCTCTCATTGTCAGTTTAAAACAGAGCCACTAATGAAGCAGTTTGTTGAGATCAAACAGACACTCTGGATCATCATTAGGGACTAACTGCTTTAATTGCTGTTATCGTTGGCGACTTGAGCTAAATGAGATAAGGACTGAATGGGAAAAGGATCTTAGGTGGCTGTCTGTATAAACGTTGTTCAAAGGGGGCATGGCATTTTACAACTATAACTTTATTAATTGTGAGTGAGAATTATACTATTAGTAGTTATCCAGTCACTTTACCTTTGGGCAGTATGGTGGATAGTACTCTCGCTTCTCTGCTTTCGTATCCCGGTCGGAACAGGTCCTTTCTGAGTGGAGTTTGCATGTTCTCCCCATATTGTCGTAGGTTTCCTCCAGGTGCTCCGGTTTCCCCTACGACTAAAAAAACATGTACAATAGGTCTGGCATGGGCCTCCTGTACTGGCGCCTCCGCTCTCTGTGTGGAGTGAGAGACAAATGCCCACAACAATTGTGACTCTGGTCTGCGAAAGGCGCTATATACATAAAGATTAAAGGTGCACTTTATTGATGCCCGTAGGGCAATTCATCCTCTGCATTTGACCCATTCTGATGGGCTTACGTCAGAAGCAGTGGTCGCCGTAGTAACAGCCCCCGGGAACCCATCTCCAGATGTTGATGCTCGGCGCTTTGTGCATGTTTGGTGGTAGAGGAAACCTGAGTACCCGGAGGAAACCCAGGACCAGGATTCGAATCTAGGACCTTCTTGCTGAGAGGCGAGAGTGCTATCCACTCAGCCACCGTGCCGCTGAGTTACTTCTCCTTCCATCCATACATTTTCTTCCTCTTAATCCATTTCTGGGTCAGGGGGGCGGCAGTCAGAGCTGCAGTCAGTACAGAGAGCACCAGCCCCTGACTGATCCTCTTGCAGGTGGTGAGTCCACAGGAGCTGAGATCTTCCAGCGGGGGCTTCGGGCAAAGTGGGGTTAAGTGTCTTGCCCAAGGACACAACAACAGCAGTCATCAGTGGGAGTCGTGAAGTAGGTCTTGTTGTAGGCTCGAACCCACAACCTTCAGGCTCAAAGGCCAATGCTCTACCAACTGAGCTACTGTCGCCCCTACTTCTACTTATTTTGCTTAAATATGATTGATCACATTTAATCCAGACTCACAGTTGAAAAATCGCACAACCCAAGACAAGATATGTGTCTAAAAGCTGAGGTAAAAAAAATACATATACATGGCATTTACAAGTAACAAGTTTCTCCAACCCTCGGGCTGCCTACGTATCCGCCACATGTGTAACTTGTTGTATCCGAATGACAACAGAAAGACAACATGTGTGTGGATGCTTTGTTGTGGAGCTGATTAGCCGCACTTCTCCCTGTGAGGTTGTCACAATAACAGCGGAGCGTGGTTGCTGAATCACTCACTTAAAACACACCTTTCAATCACTTGAGCAGAAAGTCACGGTAGGTGTAATCTGCGTTCACTGGAGCGGCTTTACATGCTGAGATCCAAAGCTGTAGTTTGCGGGGTGGCCTCAGTCTGAATACAAGAATACTGACTAAACTTATTATCATACTGTCGGATTTGAATTTAAATTTTGCATCACACACCATGTCCCTGTTTTAAGAGAAATTGTTATCTGCTTTCTGTGCAAAGGTTGTATCAATTTGGAAATAAGATGAATAATAATATGTTTGAACTTTGCTTTATTATTATATATACTGACCTTTTCCAAAACATGTCCTAATGATTTCAATTATTCATCCCAGTTTGACCACATTTTGATGGTACTTCCTGGAACCATGTAATAAACTGGACAAAATCTCCAACAAGTAAACAATTTTACACTTCTTTATTATGTTCAAGATAGAGATTTTATACTTGTTTCTTTGATGGTAGAGTTAGAGTTTGTTTCATTTGAATTAGTATCGTTATTTTTCATTTGTCTTGTGCTGTGTGCTCCTCATTCCTATGTTCTGTAACTTGTGATGAAATTTCCCCACTGTGGGACGAAGAAAGGAATCCTAATATTTGACTAAACGTTATATACACATATATACGTAAGTGCTATTCGTTTGTTGAAGATTGGGTAAAACTTCAGCACGAGTTATTGTCCTCAGTTCTAGAATGCTACTTTGCGTCCTGCAAAATCCAACTTAATATTCCTCCTCCTTTCTTCACAAACTTTGACTTTATCAGTTTCAAAACTAAGTAATAAGAATACTGTATGCTGTGCTCTTTATAGTCTGTGTGATCCCTCTCGTAATGTAACCAGTGTATATTTCCCAAAGCAGCGGACAGACTGTTATAACCAATGAGTGGGATTGTCTCCTTGTGTCCTGGCCTCTACTCATTGATCACTTGAACACTGCAGAGCTTGGCTCCTGGCAGCCCGTTACCATTGTACACTCATGCAGAAAATCTTGTGTTTAAATGGGCTCTAACAAGGTTGTGGACATCTGGCAGGTCTTCGTGCCAAGCGCAGCTCATTCTGTTGTTTTTGTTTAGAAACCGCCTCTGTGCCAAATCCTGTCAGACTCCATCTCATCCGTTAACATCATCTTTAATGGACAGCGGCACTGAATACGCAGTTTTTGTAAAGAGTTGACTTGAGGTGGTTCATACTGGAGTTTGCTGGTCCATTTGATCTGAGTTTGCAATTTTGTAAATGTCTTGACTTTAAAGTATTTTTATACTACATTCAAATGATTTCCTATTATTGTTATGGCTTCAATATTTAATAGACTTCACTACCGGGTTATTCCACGTATTTCATGCTGCTCATTTAAAATGTTCCTATATGATAGGATTGTATGGACGTGTTAAAGCTGGGGTACCTAACCAAACACACACACATGTAGTTTGTTGCAACAGGAAGAGTCTTGTAAAAGAAATAGTGTGTGAACAAAGCAGACCACAAAATACTGTCTTCACCTTATTAGAAAATATAATTATCTTTTGAATATTAAAAAGGGCCCTTTGAGTCACTATTTGACTGTTTGGGCTGAAATATGTCAGCCACACATTCTAAAAGTTTTACTAGTTCTCATACCTCAACTATGAGAACAAGATAAAGAATGTATTCACAAATGATGATGCAAAAGTATTTAGTCAATAAATAAGTCCATCTCACTACTTTGTTTTAAACCCTTGACAGAGGTCAAACGTTTTCTGTAAGTCTTCACAAGATTTTCACACTCTGTTACTGGTATTTTGGCCCATTCCTCAATAAAGATCTCATCTAGAGCAGTGATGTTATGAGGTTGTTGCTGGGCAACATAGACTTTCAACTCCCTCAAAGGACTTTCTGTAGAGTTGAGATCTGGAGACTGTCTTGGCAGCTCCAAGACCTTGAAATGCTTCTTACAAAGCCCCTCCTTCGTTGTTAGGGCGGTGTGTTTGGGATCTTTGTCATGCTGAAAGACACATGTGACATATATATTATATTCTTGACCCCTCTCAAACTGTATAAAGCATTTTCAAAATTCTGATGCCCTACTTTAAACTTTTTTATTTCAACTTAAAATGCAACTGTACACTGCAATCATGAATCCACCAACTGTCTCCATTTCCTGCATGCTCTCATTGAAAAATCAGTACTGTATAAATCAAACGTTTGGATCACTCCTCTGCGTCCTTCACCTCAGACTCACATGTGCCTGTTTGTTCCTTGTCATCTCATGTTTGTGTTTTCATTTACAGCCAAGTTGTTATCTGATGGTAAGTGGTCCATGCACCGTGCAGCATCGCACTCATGGTTTTGTCTGTTTGCACAATAAGACATCCACATTATAATCCGGTGTGTTTTTCAATGACAATGTTTTTTATTACTTTTGCCTGTGCAGAATGTGCATCTATCCAGAATTTAAAAAAAAAAAAAATATTTTTCAAACACATCAATGAGATTTTTAGTTAACTGAAAACCTACATGGGCTTGGAAGTGTGCAAAAATTGTTGGAGGAAGAAAATGGGAAGAAAACGTCCTCTGGGATATCCCGCAATGACTTAATTAAACTTCATTTTAACATTTTGAATGTTTCGAATGTGAAAACAATAATCAGAGTGCTTTTTAAATGTTACCCAGTTGTCCCCTTGGTTTTGTTTTTTCTTTAACTAAATGGTATAGCATGAGTATATCATGTCTAATACTTCATACACAATAAGAAAGCATTTGTCTTTCAGTGGGATTTGTAAAAAGCTGACATGTAGACACCATTGACTGTATATACTGTAGATGGTCAATGCGAGCTGCCAGCTCAATGAAGCCCAAGTTTTGCTCCCAATTTATTTGGCTCCTATTGACTGACATTGAAAAGTAACTCTTCTCACTCAGAAATCGCTTGTGTCACACTAATTGTTTTCGAGGTAAAAATCCGTGGTTTAGTTTTTTTCTATAATCCTGGAGTTTTCAGTTTCATATTGTCTTCGTAAATCCCTATATGAGCCATAATGATTAACCAATCAGATGCCTTCATTCAACATAGTAAACTCCAGATTGCCTAAGTAACACATTGGATTGACATTTGCCCCTGCTATAGTGAGTAGGTCACCCCATAGTGACATATGTCCATAAAAGGAATTTACACCAAAACTAAATTTGACAATATGGCTGCGACGCTAATCGGCTTCTTAGGGAAACACTATAATTAGGCCACCTCTAAGATCTATGGCCTATATCTAAAACTTTTTTGTGGAACATTCTAGCAATGCATTCACACTTTCACAGATGACATACCCTCAAATAAAAATAAATAGCATGTCATTAGATCAACGTATTAATATTGCAGTCAAATCATCAAACATAGTGTTGAATTCCACTTGATAATGTTTGAGGACATTCACACTTTGTATTCACGACATTTATAGTGAGTTGAAAGTCAATGGCTGCATCAGTAAAATGTCAAGTGCAGGTGAAGTTTGCCCCGTCAGCGTTTGTCTTAAATAGCCCAATAACCAATAAACCAAAATGCCACAACAGCAAGAAGGAGCAGACAACCCATGCCATCAGTGTAAAAAACTATGTGGATTTTAATGAAAGTAAAACAAATATTTCTTATTATACTTTTGAAACACAAAGAAAACTGCACTTGAGATTAATCAATAATTTAACAGCATTAGAAGAATAAGGGAAAGTCCTGCGTGTAATTGATTGGAATGTGTTGTGCTGTCACGGGCTGGTGGTGGGCCCTTGTTGACGTGGGGCTATCTCGGGGGCGCCGCTGTGATCTGTAATGGCAGCGTTAATATTTGATGCGAAGCGCGTTGTGAGGAAGTGGGAAGGAGCGAGTTCTTCTGTGAGAGGATCAGACGTGACAAGGACTAGACCTCGGGTGGCACAGATCAGGACGCAATGAGACGGATGAAAGGATTTGGATAGGGAGCTCAGGATAGAGTTTGGAGAAAGTGATTTTAACAATGTAACTATACTCATTTATAAGTAATGCTTGAAACTTCAAAAAGTATTTCATTTTGAAAAAGAATGCAGATTTCAGTTGATATGACCAACAATGTATTTAATGTATTCCCTTTCCTTGGCGTAACCACCACCCGTTAGATTTTCTGGGGGAGAATAGTTAGACCAATAGCAAGTTGCCTCGTCTGTGTATCAAGGATTTAAATAAATTCTGCCCAATCAGGAAGCAGTCGGAGTGAGAATGGGCGGGTCTAACTGGTGCTTGCCATGCTCTCTTCACAATTCACAAGTTAAATGACATTAACTTTAAATGGCTATCCTAAATTGTGCAGTGGGTGTACACAATTCATCCAAAGAACTTTAGTTGAACAGTTTATACCTGAGGGATTTCCTGTTTTAATGGCTTTAAAACTGCTACAATCGTCACCTCTGATTGACACTCCACCTATCATTTTCTTGTTTTCAATTGGAAAAAATGAATTATTGACCTATTATTGAAAAGTAAATATAGTTAAATTCCGTAATATTAACTAGAAATTAATGGCAAATGACTTTGTTTGCAACCAAATTCACTGAACATACCTCCTTCTGTAAAATTCTCCTAACAACCAACATATCACTGGACCAGTTTAATTTGCACCTGTGCCTAAAAATATACATTTTAAGTTACATCTTTACAGATACAAGGAAAGAATAGGGAGGAGGGCAGACATATTTTCTATTTGCAAATATAAAGTTCAAGAAATTACAATTACGTTTACATCCTTAGAAATCTGCAGCCAGGAGTAAAATATGTTGTATTACTTTAAACCCTTGTTCCTCCTCTCCACGCCGGATTAGACCAGTGACAGCCCCAATGTTGCCTAATGTTGTCTTCACTATGATAGGAGCATTTACGACTATATTGTAAAACATTAAAAGCGAAGATTTAACATGCGTTCACAGTACCAGCATTAGAATATGCACCAGAGAAAAGTTCTATTTGTCAGTTTCAGGAAAACGAGCAAAGATATGTAGCTCTTTTATTCAGGCCTTTTTGTTTAGTGCCACAATATTTACAGTTCAGTTTGAAGGGCTCTCCACAAGGACAGGGTGAAGTGATCAGAGAGCTCAGCGGCCTTGGTAATGACTTTACATTTTGAAAACACAAGCTCGGTCGACATAAAACACATTTTTTACACATAAAGGTTTAGATTCAGTGTTTGTGATGTGCAGCTTAAACTATAGGCTCCTTGAAATGTTGTGACACTAAATGAACGCACTCATTAATAATATAATATAATATTTTGATCAATGCAAATTATTATAGAGCAGTCGCATTCTCTTGCTGCTCCTCGCTTGCTGCTTTTTTATCTCCTTTAATCATTTTTGCTTACATTTTTATTCCACAAAACACGGATTACTCCTTTTTACAAACTTCAACACAAGACTTGTGGAATTTACCTAACTTACAGCATGTCGGGAGGACGGGAAAAAAGAACAAAACTTTGCGACGGCTGTTTTTCACTCAAACAGGAGCTAAAACTTCTTCAAGACCGAATGTTTGTGCTTGAATCAGAATTGGGGCTGAACACAACAATACCAGTGAAAGGAAATGGACCAAATGGACAGCACGTAAGTTATGATGACGCTATTTCATTTCCCAAAATCAACAGAGACAATTGTTGGAACACATATGGTGCCAAGCCCAAACAAGGCAAAGCTAATGATAACAAGAGTGTCATAATGCCACAGCAAAAATCTTTAATTACAAGAAACCGCTTTTCACCACTTTTGGAAGATGAATCAGCAGTAGTCTCTCAGTCCCAGTCTCAGTCTCAGTCAAGGTCAAATGCAGCAGAGTCGCTCTTTATCGGGGATTCGGCGATAAGACATGTAAACATGCGTAATCTCAAGGTTCACTCAGTACACTCTGCCAAAGTGGATGAGATAAGGCGGTTGGCTCCGAGGCTTCTGTCGAGAGACCGGCGGGGTAAAAAGATTGTTGATCCACGTGGGGGCAGTAGACGTCTATGACAACACAAGTGAAAAGTTGAAACGGGATTACTCTCTCTTATTGGACGACCTTGCTAAAATGGACACAACAATCGTTATCAGTGGCCCACTACCAAATGTGGACGGGAAGCAAATGAAATTCAGTCGTCTGTATAAGCTAAATACTTTCCTACTCAACGAATGTTCACGCAGAGGACTTGCCTTCATTGAGAATTTTAATCTGTTCTGGAATAGGTATGAGCTTTTTGAAGGGAAAGGGCCACATCTGAACACTTACGGAGTAAAAGTGTTGATGGATAACCTTTCTTTTGCCCTGAGACCTCAGCCTGCGCAGCGCGTGCAGCCATCGAAAGGGAGGAAGCCAACTCCAAAAGTCTCTGCACCTCCACCACCTCGAAGGATCTCAACACCACCACCACCTCGAAGGATCTCAACACCACCACCACCTCGAAGGATCTCACCACCATCACCGCCTCAAAGGATCTCAACACCATCACAGCCTCAAAGGATCTCAACACCTCCACTGTCATCAGATGCAGCTGCATCATCACCAGTAGCAGCACCAGCTGCACGACCACCACCACCAACATCCTCATCCCCAGCCTGCTCCAAAGCAGCCACGCCTTCTTCATCTACAGCGCCTCTGAAGCCCCCATCCTCACCCCAGCCTACAGCAGACAGGCCTGTGCTGGGGTTTCCTCAACCACCTGCCCCTCCATCAAAGACTCCCTCGCCACCTCCCATGGACCTGTCTTGGGTCCCCCCTGCCACGTCCACTCCATCAAGAGAGAATGGGGACACCTCCCTTTGTTTTTCATCCCCGCCTTCACTGTTAGACCTACCTGAACACTCTGCAGGGCTAATAAAATCGGCCATGAAGACTATTCCTCTCACACCCATATTAGCTCGATCTAGAGTCCTGTCCAACATGCTAAACCACTCCCCATATGTACCTCCAAAACCACCTAGGGTTTCCAATTCACCTACAAAAACCACCTCAGCCAGTCCATCCCCTAACCTCATGACCATTCCACCCCCACTTCCCCCTCGTTCAACATCCAAAACCTCTGCCTCAACCCCCCCCCCGGCCCTAACCCATCACCTAAAACCCCTCCACCTCCCTGCCCCCCTCGTTCAACACCCAAAAGCCACCCACCTCTCCATCCTCCTCCCCTGCCTTCCCCTTCCCCTCTTTTCTCTAAACACTAGGATGCACAGGGTCTCTGCTTCGCATTCACTGGCAGTCTAGTTAGAGGAGAGACCCGGCTGGGGCCCTGTCATGAAGCCACCTGTGCCATTCCCTTAGTGATAACACAAAGAATACATTACAGAAAAACATCTGGAGTTAATCAGTCTAATCTGGAAAATCTAATTCTTGTTCCGTGTAAGAATCAGCCGACCGCAACCGCTGATACTGAAACTTTGAAACTTGCTACGCTTAATGTCAGATCTCTTTGTAACAAGTCTTTTTTAATCAATAATTTTATTTGTTCTCATAATCTTGATCTTATGTTCATGGCTGAAACTTGGCTTGACCAAAATACAGAAAATGCAGTTTTAATAGAAGCATCACCACCAAATTTCAAGTTTGAATCTGAAATACGGGAAAACAAAAAAGGAGGAGGCTTAGCTGCCATTTTTAGAGACCACTTTGTCTCCCATAGAATGTCTCTTGGGAAGTTTTCGTCATTTGAATATGTGTCTTTTAAAATACAACAAAAACAATCTCCTCCAATACTCTTCATTGTCCTATACAAGCCACCGCAGTCATGTCACAGTTTTATTGATAATTTTACCGAGTTGCTTTCAGTTGTATGCACAGATTTTGATAGTTTGGTTATTACAGGTGATTTTAATATTCATGTGGATAATGTTGATGACAGAAATGCAAATGAGCTGAGTTCTGTACTTGAATCCTTTGATCTCACTCAGCACGTAAGTGGCCCCACCCACAGCAGAGGGCACACTCTAGATCTGTTAGTTACAAAGGGGGTGAATATTTCAAATGTAAACGTGGTCGATGTTGCTCTTTCGGATCATTTCTGTGTTTTTTTTGACATGTGTTTCACTAACAAACCACCAGTGGACTCTGCAACTGTTCGAAGAAGGCGCATAAATGAAAATACGAGTGAACTATTTATGGGAATGATAAACTTTAAGAATGCATCGTATTCTACTGTAGATGAACTGTTTAACTCTGTCACCTCTAGTGTTTTGAATGTTCTGGATACCGTTGCCCCTGTGAAGGTTAAAATAGTGAAAAATAAGCAGAAGGCGCCGTGGGCTAAAGCAGACTCGGTCAGGGCACAAAAGAGAAAGTGCCGGAGGGCCGAGCGGAAGTGGCGCAAGTCCAACCTCCAGGTTGATTACGAGATCTTCAAAGATAAGTTGTGCGAGTTTAACCGGGTGCTACGTAGTACGAGAGAAAGTTATTTTTCTGAAATGATTGAAGGCTGCAGCAACAATCTGCGTGTTCTGTTCTCAACAGTTAATAGATTAACAAACCCCCCTGTTCAAATGCCATTAGAGCTTACTTCCAAACGTAAATGCAATGAGTTTGCTAATTTTTTCAATGACAAGGTTCAAGGCATCAAAAACGCCATTGTCTCCAATCCACAGATAACCATCCAACAGCCAGAAAGGCTCTTTGAGCTAACTCACTTTGCACCTGTAAATGATAAAACTGTCCAAGAGATAATCTCCAGTTTGAGCTCCTCCACATGCAGCTTGGATGTACTACCCACTAGATTTCTGAAGTCTGTTCTGAGCAGTCTGTTACCTTCACTCACACAGATAGTAAACATGTCCCTTCATTCTGGAATATTCCCAAAGGCCCTGTAAACTGCAGTCATCAGGCCCCTGCTAAAAAAGAGCAGTCTCGATGCTACGGTACTTAACAACTATCGTCCCATCTCAAATCTGCCATTTATGGGGAAAGTCCTTGAGAAAGTTGTCTACCTACAGCTTACTAGATTTCTTATAATCAACAACTCATTTGATATGTTTCAGTCCGGCTTTAGACCCCACCACAGCACTGAGACTGCTCTCGTTAAGGTTACAAATGATATCCGGCTGAACACTGACGCAGGCAAAGTCTCAATCTTAATCTTGTTAGATCTAAGTGCTGCCTTTGACACCGTCGACCATGAGATCCTCTTACAGAGACTAGAGGACTGGGTTGGCGTCACTGGCACCGCCCTAAGTTGGTTTGGGTCTTACCTTGAAGACAGGAAGTACTTTGTGGCGATTGGAAACTGTGTCTCAGATCATATGGCCCTGACCTGTGGAGTCCCACAGGGGTCGATCCTGGGACCTCTTCTGTTCAATCTCTACATGCTGCCGTTAGGTCAGTTAATACGCAGAAACGAAGTTTCCTATCATAACTATGCAGACGACACTCAGATCTATGTCTCACTGACTGCAGGAGAACATGGACCAGTGGACTCACTCCTTCACTGTATCCAACAGATCAGTGAGTGGATGCAAAACAACTTCCTTCAGCTAAACGCAGACAAAACTGAAATGATTGTCTTTGGTCCCCAGAAACAAAGAGAGAGCGTCATCTGTCACCTACAGTCTCTCTCCCTAAAACCTTCAAACAAGGTCAGAAATCTAGGGGTAATACTGGACTCAGACTTAAATTTTAATAGCCACATCAAATCAGTAACATCAGCAGCTTTTTACCATCTAAAAGACATTGCCAGGATCAAAAACATAGTGTCTAAAGCAGACCTGGACAGTGGCGGCCGGCCAATAGAGGGCGCTTGCCATGTTACCTTGAATAAAACATTAAAAAAAAAAAAAACATTAAAATATTTCGAAATTTATGTGTGTTTTATTTCAGATGTGGAAGAAATACTTTATAGTTTATGCTGAGTTGGATTGATTAAGCTCATCAGCGTTGTCTGTGTCGGACTGAGGACGTATTTCCGCCTCAGGGCGCAAAAGATTGCGCCCTGAGCCGTCTATGGACTCTCGTTAAAAGTTGTACATGCGCAGTAGCTCCTCTTCAATGCAAGAGATAAGACGATTTGGGGGCGCAGGAGAAGTGCGCCCTGAGGGGGCGGGGTCGCCCGCGACCTGTACTGTCACTGTCTGTGACGTCCGTTTACAGTGATTGACAGGTCAAGCTGTGGGACGAACGTAAAGTGACGCAAAATGGAGAACGAGAAAAAGAATAATTCAGTTAGATCACTCAAAACAATACCGTTTGAGAGAAGATCATACCAGGAGAAGGTTGAGGTTAAAGAGCTTGGACCTGATCAGCCAAATATTACCATTAGTCAGCAGTCCAGCGACAGGGGGAGACGGTACACTCGTACTTTTTCCAGGACCTGGTTCAGCGCCAAATCTTGGCTAGCAGCATGTAGTGAGGCTAATGCTTTATTTTGCTTTCCATGCCTCTTGTTTCAAACATCAGGATCTGACCCAGCATGGATCAAGACAGGTATGACTGATCTGAAGCACTTTTTAGAAAAGGCAAAGAAGCATGAGCAGACTGGTATCCACATGCAAAATGCCCTCAAATTAGCTATGTTTGGGAAGATAAATATTTCATCTCAGCTGGATGAAAGCTACAGGGTAGGGATCAGAAATCACAATGAGGAGGTTGACAAGAATAGGCACATCCTATCAAAAATAATAGACTGTGTCAAATTCTGTGGTGCATTTATATCTAGTCCTCATATTCATAGCCCCCCCAGTAGAAAATTCCACCAGCCGCCACTGGACCTGGAGATTCTTATCCATGCATTTGTCTCCAGTAGGTTAGACTACTGCAATGGCCTGCTCACAGGTCTGTCCAAACAGGCTGTAAAACAGCTGCAGTACATTCAAAATGCAGCAGCTCGAGTCCTGACTAGAACCAGGAAGTACGACCATATTAGTCCGGTCCTCAGGTCTCTGCACTGGCTTCCTGTGGCTCAGAGAATAGACTTTAAAACAGCTCTGCTTGTGTACAAGTCCCTCCATGGCCTCGCACCAAAATATATTAGTGACATGTTAGTCCCATATGAACCAGCCCGGACTCTGAGGAGCTCAGGGACTGGACTCCTGTTAGTGCCCAGAGTCAGAACTAAACATGGGGAGGCTGCTTTTCAGATTCATGCTGCTAAAATCTGGAACAGTCTTCCTGAAGATGTGAGACAGGCCTCCTCTCTGACAATGTTTAAAACCAGGTTAAAGACAGTTCTGTTTAACTGTGCATACAACTGAGGGATTTTATATTTTTATCTTGTGATAATTTATGATTTTAATGCTTTCTTGTTTTGTTCAGCACTTTGAATTGCCTTGTGTATGAATTGTGCTATATAAATAAACTTGCCTTGCCTTATAGTTCTTTTGTTGAGTTGAATTGAATTGGCTGGATTCTATGTGCGCTGCATGTATGATGACTAAATAATGCATTTTGTTGGCTTATTAGCTTGCACTGTATATATTTTTGCCCCTCCAAGGACTACAGATAGAAATGAGCTTGGTACAAGCTTTATGCATAATGTCATTTTACATTGTCCTGATAAATAAATACATTAAAAGAACTTATGAAAAGAATCTTGAATGCAAATGAAAAGATGATGCATTTCTATGTTGCTTTAAGTGAGAGACACGCATTATGCATTTGAGTCAACAACTCTGCGTCTCAATCCTTCAATGGAACGTGACAGATGCCATGTCAGTGATGAATATAGATCATGCAAAAATGTGTCTAACCATCTCTCATTAAAAAGCCTGTACCTCCAATGGGACTCCATCTCATTCCTCAGCGTGTTGTATGATAATCAGAAAGACTTTGATTTTAATTGTCACGTTGTTTGCAAATGTCTTTCTTTGTATTGCCTCAGATGTGCCAGACAGGAAGCTGACGACAGACGAGGAGGAAGCCAAGCGCATCGCTGAGATGGGGAAGCCGGTTCTGGGGGAGCATTCAAAGATGGAAGTCATTATTGAAGAATCCTATGAGTTTAAGGTACGAAAGGTTCAGCTTCAATGGAGAAGTAAACTCATAAATATGAAATCCATCCTTGGTAACAATATGTGTTGTTTTATTCATATGTGTGAGGCTTATTTTTAGATGCAGAGTGAGAAATAAGCACCTGAGTTAGTTGATGGGGTTTTCCTTGTGTTGAAATGGATAATTGAATACTGGTGTCACTACTGCCCCCATGTGGTTAGAACATGTCTGCTACTTCTGCATACAGAAGTGTGAAAAAGCCCAGATGTTCTAAAATATGGCCTGACATTTTTTGTTAAACCACAAGAAAGCCCCACACCTAAACTTCCTTATTATTCCTCAGTGATTGTGTGATTGATCAACGTAACTGTAACTAGTCCCATCTTTTACAGAGCACAGTGGACAAGCTGATTAAGAAGACCAACCTCGCTTTAGTGGTGGGAACCAACTCATGGAGAGACCAGTTCATGGAGGCCATAACTGTCAGTGCAGGTAAACTTCAATAGGTTACAGAGGAAATGGTTCATGTGTTTGTGGTCCGAGGACTTTCCCCAATATGAACCTCGTCCACCCACACTTTAGGGAATAACGTGTTGCATTGAATTGATAAAGTTAAGTAACAATACGCAACTTTTTCCACTTAAATGTTGAGTTGGATTGAATTCATAAGGTCAATCAACAGTACCTACTCTGAAATAATTATAAAGAATTACTTTAAAAACATTTTTTTCATAGATTTTTTGTAATAAATGTAACAATTTAAATGTGCTATAGTGTCTGAAGTAAAGCAGTTTGGTAGTAGTAGGAGTAGTAGTAGGAGTAGTAGTAGTAGATCTAGTAGTTTATTTTTTATACTAAATAAGAGTTAAGCAAAGAATTGTCCAGGGTAAAAAAAATTTAAGAAAATAGTTTTGCTGTTTATAATAAATGCGGTGTTTAGTATTATCATGATCTAATATTTAGAACAAAGTAAATATATTTTTCCTGTAAGTATTTGGTGTGATTTATGTTGAAGTTGATTGTTGTGGGCTTTATCAATGTGATGAATAGACTCAAAAATACTAGATTTCGATTGAAACAAGCCTCTTTGTTGCTCATCATTCATATCTTTGATTTCACCGCCAGCAGCTTTTAAAAACACTGTTCGCATGTCTTGTCAGTCTCAGATCTTCCTTGAACCACAACACCGTCCTCATAACTCTCCGCTCGGCTCTTTGGTGCTGCAATATTAAATCCGTTGGTGTCTTTACTTTTTCATGTTCAGAGCTGAAAAATGCATGTACTCAGGATGGACTGACACTTTGAATCAGTGCTGTGCCCCGTGTCCCTCTCTGTCGTCTGTGTGGGGCAGGATACAGACAAGAGGACCCTGGTTTTTTGATGAGAGGAAACAGCACAGGTCACTGCAGGAGCCAAGTGCTGCCCAATGTCTTAAACTATGATAGTTATTTTCACTTTGGTTCAGGAATCCGGCTATTGTAATGGTGCCTGTGTCTTTCCCACTGTGTGTGTATCACCTGTGGCATATGCAGCAGGTTTGTTTCACTCATTTAAAGATGTTTCTTATCATTTCCCACACATTACTTCTTTTAAACAGCACTTATTTGCTATTGACCCAAAGAATATTTGTCTTATTTCTTTAAAAAAAATAAACTGGAAACTAGTCCCAAATGTATTCAAATCAATGTACAATATGCTATCTACAATATTCACTTCAATCTAACCTACAATATTTTGTTGAATCTATAATAATAATCTAAAATCAAGTAAGTTTAGTATGACCAGGTAATTGTTTGTAATTATTGTATTGTTCCTCTAAAATACTTAAAGCTGGGGTACCTGACTTCCAAACCCCACACATTTTACTAATCTCATATAACTGGTATTGTCGGCCTCTCAAATCTATTAAGATGAAGATAATATCAATAAAGTATCTATATATCTTCAATGTAGCCAGATTTGTGCCTAAAAGCTGTTTTCGGTGGTAAATGAATACAATATATGTTTACTGTACCAAGAATGTTTACCTCCTTGATCAACTCTTCCTCCACCTCCACAGATGAAGACGAGGACGAGACGGGCGAGGAACGGCTGCCATCTTGTTTCGATTATGTCATGCACTTCCTGACGGTGTTCTGGAAGGTTCTGTTCGCCTGTGTGCCCCCCACAGAGTATTGGCACGGTTGGGCCTGCTTCATTGTCTCCATCATGATCATTGGGGTCCTCACGGCCGTCATCGGAGACCTGGCCTCTCACTTCGGCTGCACCATCGGCCTGAAGGACTCTGTCACCGCCGTGGTCTTCGTGGCTCTGGGGACATCTGTACCAGGTGGGTTTGTGTGACCAGAGGCAGAGTGCAGGAGAGTGTCCCTGTGTGTTATATTCTGTACCAGGTGGGTTTGTGTGACCAGAGGCAGAGTGCAGGAGAGTGTCCCTGTGTGTTATATTCTGTACCAGGTGGGTTTGTGTGACCAGAGGCAGAGTGCAGGAGAGTGTCCCTGTGTGTTATATTCTGTACCAGGTGGGTTTGTGTGACCAGAGGCAGAGTGCAGGAGAGTGTCACTGTGACTATGTGTATTATGATCGCCTATGCCCAGTGATATTTGGCCTAAAAAAACATAAACAGGATGTGAAAAATATCTCCCAATCAACACATCTGGTGCTCGCCGTATGCAACAGATTAGTCTCATCAGGACAATGAGGCACGTGGCTGATGTCTCACTGTAAGAAGATTGTGGGTTCGATTCCCGATTCCCTGTCCCCAGCCTTTCTGTGTTATCAAATGCATAGAAATGTATTTTTTGGGAAAATCAACTTTGAAGTAACATACAAGAGAATGAATGTTGAATTATGATGTAGCCAAATGTGAAACAGTATTAGACAAGCTTCCTCTGGTGGTACACCGACCCACATTCATCAGCATTTCAAACATGATTAATTTAGGTTCATCTTAATTCACCTTTTATTCTTCTTTTATACATGATTTAGAATGTTATGTAGTGACCTAATTTAGACACAGAACAGTCCTGCTTTAAACCTGCTTTAAGGTTTGGTGATGGTAATACAACATATATGCTGGTATTTGGGAGTATTTGATGCATAACATTAAAACCACCAGTCTCTACAAACATCTTTCAGCACATTCTGTTGTTTGCATCACTACAAACTATAGCTTTTGTTGTGCAAGTAAAAGTTAACATTGCAAGTTTCAGTGTTTGTTTCTGCCCCTTTTTTGGCTTTTTAAACAAACTTTCATTGATGTGAACGTTCACATTCAAGACCATAAAATGCCAAACTATATGTTGTCTGTCTATGATGGACCCGTATCCCTGTCTATTCTTTTCCTTAAATTTATGAGACAGAGAGGCAGGCGGCGTGGCCCTTTCCACAGCGGTGTCAATGTTGAATAATTCATCTAATATCCTCGTTCTTTAACTGACACTTGATTTATTATATGGCCTCTTCTTATTCTGTGGATTCCTTTGGCATATTCGCTTTGTCATCCAATACTTTTGTTATTTTGACCTGAAGAAACAATCTCTCTAAAATGTGTCCATGTCAGCGTTTTTGTTTATTAAAGGTCGTATGTGCAGCATTAATAAATCATAGCCGTGTGCATAAGGAAAACGTAAATATTGCTTAGGTGTTGTATTCATGAAGATATTAAACAAATTTCAGGGAATAAACATTGCATTAATACTTTGTTACTTAAACATATATGTACCAACGATATATATTTTGGAGTATATACAGTATATGTGATCTTTTCATCTCAATATGTAGATCAATCAGAGAGGCTTAGTTAGATACCCCTGCGTGTGTGTGTGTGTGTGTGTGTGTGTGTGTGTGTGTGTGTGTGTGTGTGTGTGTGTGCGTGTGTGTGTGTGTGTAAGTAAGTAAGTTTTTATTTATATACCGCCTTTTCACTGCAGATCTGAGTCTCAAAGCGGTTTACAATTGTTAATTTTGGGCATTTGTCTCTCACTCCACACAGAGATGGGAGCGGGGTCGCCAGTACAGGAGGCGCATGCCAGAACTATTGGACATATTTTTTAGTGGTAGGGGAAACCGGAGTACCCGGAGGAAACCTACGCAGACACGGGGAGAACATGCAAACTCCACTCAGAAAGGCCCTGGTCCGACCGGGATTCGAACCCAGGACCTTCTTGCTGAGAGGCGAGAGTGCTATCCACTCAGCCACCGTGCCGCCCCACACACACACACACACACACACTGCCGTGTGTGTGTGTGTGCACTTGTTTTCAACTCCTGGTGGGTTCCATAACCTGAGATTCCACTCACGTCATGGGGACTGGTTTTACGTGGTGGGGCCCGAACACCGGACCCCACTGGTCCAAGCTTAATAATCAATGGGTAATGCTTTTCTAACGGTCCTTATGCAGTCTCTGTAAAAATATGGAAAGGACCCCTGGAGGTTTACTTTCCTGAAAAAAGTGTGTTATGTGTCGGAACCCTGGTGGTGGGTTGCGGGATATCAAGGAGGGGCACACTGGGGCAATTTCAGTCCAGCAGGCTGGAGCCAATCATGGAGCAGCACAACAGAGGAAATCAGGTGTCAGGCTAGAAAAAGGTGCAAGTGTGTGGTTCATTAGGCTGCAAGACATCATGGAGGAGCACACTGAAGCGCACGCTTACAAACCACTGGTAAGTGCTGACTACAAGTCATGACTTCAAATTGTTATATAGAATGATTACAAATTATTTGTTGTTTGTGCAGCTTAGTCAAGAGTCCCTAATTGATGAAGTCGACTCAGATTCTGACGATTTAACTGTCAAGAAGAAACCTGTAAAAAAGTATGGAAAAAGAAAAATCAAAAACACTTTTCTTCAAGACTCGGAAAGTGACGAACCAAAGGCAAATAAGATTGTTATCATGCAGCTGCAAAAGAAGAAAAATGGGGGGCGAGTATACAGCAAGAGACACTTCTGCCTCTACTGTTCAATGTCCTGCCACAAAATGTCCCGTCATTTGACTAGAAAACATGGAAATGAAAGTGACGTAGCCAGAGCATTGGCTCTACCTGTGAAATCTAAAGCACGTAAACTTCAGTTTGATTTGATCAGGAATAGTGGAAACCGTGAGCACAATTTTGAGGTTTTAAAGGCCGGCATTGGAACTTTAGTCCCAGCTAAACAGCCAAATTCCCCAGTTAAATCCAGTGAGTTTTTGCACTGTATAGACTGTGGGGCATTGCTTAAGCGAAAGTCGCTGTGGAGGCATGTGGCCAGGTGCCGGCTTTCACAGAAAGATGCCCAGGCTAAACCAGGTAGAAGTAGGGTCCAGTCCCTCTGCTCCCTAGCCCAGCCTGTACCGGAGGGCATCAGCAAAAAGCTGTGGTCTTTAATTTCGGCAATGCATCAGGATGAGGTCACGGGTGTTGTCAAAGCAGAAAAGGGGATTCTGAGACTCGGAGAGCACCTGTACTTAAAACACGGGCATGATAAGACAAAGCATGATTACATTAGGCAGAAAATGAGAGAAGTCGGTAGGTTAATTAACGAAGCAAAAACCGCAGGGAAACTGAAAACAATTAAGGATTTCTTTATTCCTTCCAACTTTAACCATGTGATTGATGCAGTCAGGTCTGTGGCTGGATATGATGAGGAAACAAATCAATACAAGACTCCATCCTTGGCCCTCAAACTCGGCCATAGCCTCAGAAAGCTAGCAGATATTCTTGAATGTGACTCAAAAATGGAGCATTGTGTTGATGAACTATTTATTAAAAACCTCCAACGAAGCCGGCTGCTTTTTGAGAAGAGGTGGGACGTCTGTGTTTCTTCTGCTGCCCTACAGACCCTCCGGCAAGCCAAGTGGAACACTCCGGACCTGCTCCCTCTGACTGAGGACGTTAGAGCCATGCATGCACATATTGAGGTATGTCGACCTGAATATGTGCAAACCCTAATAAGTGAGCCAACGTCTAAGCATTGGTCTAAACTGGCAGTTTTGACTCTTTGTGAGGTCATCATTTTCAATCGAAGAAGGGAAGGTGAGGTTTCAAAGATGCCACTGACAGCCTTTACCTTAAGAAGTAAGACTGGGATCCATTCTGACATTGCTCTGGGACTGTCCCAACTTGAGAAAAAGCTGTGTCAGCATTTTCAACGCATTGAAATTAAAGGGAAAAGAAGTCGGAAAGTGCCGGTTCTTTTGACTCCTGAAATGATTGCTTCGATGGAGGTGCTGGTGGAGAACAGAAGGGCCTGTTCCATCTCTGACCATAACCCATACTTCTTTTCCCGCCCGGGCGCAGACACCCACATCAGGGGATCAGACTCCCTACGCCAGGTAGCCAAAGAATGTGGTGCGGTGCATCCAGAGATGCTATCCTCAACCAAACTTAGAAAGCACATAGCTACTATGTCTACAGTTCTCAATATGAAAGAGAATGAGATGGACATACTTGCCAACTTCCTCGGCCATGACATTCGCATCCACAGGCAATATTACAGACTACCAGAGGGGACACTGGAGCTGGCCAAAATCAGCAAAGTGTTGATGGCCATGGAGCAGGGAGTGACGGAATTCGAAGGAAAGAGCCTCGACCAGATACAAATTGAGCCTGAAGGTAATTCTTGATGTTATTAAAATATGTATGATTTTTTTCCCCTAAAGGCCACTTGTATTTTTATTTTCTGTGCGACAGGGAGAGCAGTAGAGATCCTCTCACAAACGGACGGGCTAAAAGAAACTTCAAGCGGAGAACCTTCAACCATTCATCCAGATGCACCCCATGGTAGTGGCAGTGCCCCTTCTGGTAAGTGTACCAGGTGGGGGATTACAGCCAGGCTGCTTGGTCCTCACCCTGGGAGTGTATATCGCTAATATATTTTTATTTCTCTCCCTAGAACGTGTAAGAAAGCCATGGTCTGCATCTGAGGTGAAGGCTGTGGAGAAGACCATGACACCTTTCATACAGACTGGAAAGGTCCCTGGGAAGTCTCACTGCCTGGCCTGCATTAATGCCTCACCAGATGACCTTAGACATCGGACATGGAGTGGCATTAAATTCTATGTCAAAAATAGAATCACTGCAATTCGAAAACAAAATCTAAAATAAAATTCCTTTAAAATAGTTGTTTGGTTTTTATTGACTGTTTTGTATTACTTAAAGTCTTGGTAAAAAAAAGATTATGTCTATGGGTCCCATTCTGAACGGCCCTGTCAAAGGGACCCACCAGGTAACAAAAACGTGTATGTGTGTGTGTGTGTGTGTGTGTGTGTGTGTGTGTGTGTGTGTGTGTGAGATAGGGAATGTAATGGCGCAAAGGTTAATGCTTGCACTTCACAGAAAGTTCGATTCCACATTCAGACAGGGTTTTTCTGTGTGGAGTTTGCGTGTTTTCTCTATGTGTAGGTTTGTTAGTATTAGATAGCAATATGGCCTACGTGCAGGACTGTACAAGGACTGTACAAGGACTCCATGTTATGACTATGATTTGACTGTCTCTTTGTGACACGTATGTCTTTCGATGTGTGACGTGACAATGACTATATAAACTGTGTACTGCCTTTATTCTGTCTGGGAGAAAGAAACAGAGTAAACCAGTGGAACTTGAGAGAAACTTAAATAAACTTCCAGAGTTTGGCACACCACGATCCGTCTCTGTCTGCTAAATCCTAACAGGTTTCCTCCTGGTGCTCCGGTTTCCCCTAAAACTAAAAACATGTACAATAGTTCATAGTGGTTGAGTGTGGGTTTGTGAGTGTGACTGTTAGACAACAGATGTAAATCAGCCAAAGGCAACAATCCAGAGAGGTGTTATCATTTGCATACAATGTCCCGGCCAAATAAATAATAAATAAATATGTGACGTGACGTGGTTATCTTCTGTGTAGTTGTAAGATAGAGCCACAGGAGTTTGACTCTTTGGGCTGAGAGGTGATTTGTAAAGTCCCTTTATGTCAGAAATAGCTGATCTAAAGATGTGACGTCTGGGCTGCAATATGCACACTGTGTCTTGCCCAAGGACTCAACAAAAGTTTGGCAAAAGGTCATTCACAACCTGGGCAACTTTACTAATACCTCTCTCCTCTCTCCAGACACATTTGCCAGTAAAGTCGCTGCAGTCCAGGACACTTATGCGGACGCTTCCATCGGTAACGTCACCGGGAGCAATGCAGTGAACGTGTTCCTGGGCATCGGCATGGCCTGGTCGGTCGCTGCCATCTACTGGAAGATCAAAGGAGAGCCCTTCATCGTACACGCGGGCTCGCTGGCCTTCTCCGTCACCCTGTTTACGGTCTTAGCCTTCTTGGCCATCTCGGTGCTGCTCTACCGGCGCAGACCGCACATCGGAGGGGAGCTCGGCGGGCCCTGGGGCCACAGACTTCTCACTTCGTTGTTTTTCTTTAGCTTGTGGTTTATTTACATCCTGTTTTCCAGTCTGGAGGCCTACTGTCATATAGAGGGCTTTTAAAACTCCACTGAGAGGCCTAAATGAAAGCATAGGTCAATCGGAACAGTGACTCACAAACCTTTGTCAAACCCAACTGAAAGGACACTGCCCAGAGAGGCGTGGCCCTTACAGCCGAGGCGGGATGGGTTCCACCACCACCATAGACAAGGGGTGGTCCTACATTTCCCCTGGGACAAAAAGGAGTCAACAAGAAGTCTATTTTTCTCACACACACGATGAGAATGACTTTTTCTAAGAAGTATTTTAGGGATAAAAATGCAAAAAATAGATAAAACAGAAAATCAACGCAAAAAGAGAAGAAATATTTTCTGGAAAAAAATGTGAGTGACAATGCATTGGATTCATAACAATTTATTTTTATTTGTTTCATTTGGAGCTTAAATGGACTGGCAGAGCGTTGAACAAACAGCTGGACTTTGTCAAACTGCCCTGGACATTACTTCAGTACTATATACACCTATCTATATATAATATATTTCCATACTTTCTGTATATTTTGAATATTTGTTTAGATGTGGTCACCTTTTCCTGTTCAAGAAGTTTGCTGTGGTAGGGGGACAAATGAAAGGGTGGGTTCTACAGTCAATCTATATTATACTGAACGACGTCTTCACCTTTATAACTATCTATAGATCAAACGTTGTATTTTATTTACAGATATCATGGTCTCACTTGACTTTTCACTTTTTCAATCAGAAAAAATATGAAATAATAATTGCTGCAGATAAATCCAGAGGTATTTTTCTACTGTTTCTTCCTGCACTTTGCTGTATAGATCTATTTATGAGACTTTACCTGTTCACGTGCAAAAGGCCAATACAAGAGGAGTGTCCGAACACAGGACAGTGCCTGCGGAGAGTTTAGAGGAGCTGGTGGTAGGATTCATTCAAATCCCCCGAAAGCTGCATCAATCTGCGTTTGGCCACTAGGGCGCAGCAGAGCAAGACCCAAGCGGACCCAAGTCACTATTCGAAAACAATTGAAATATTTATTTTTGTGATAAACGTGTTTGAAAAGAATGACTTATATAATGATATTGAAGCTATATTACATCAATAGATAAACTGTTCCTCGCACTAACTTACACTATCTCTTTATTGAACTAAACAAATGTTACACGCTTAAGTGCCTAATTATCTATTGGTGCAGCTTTCAAAATAGAGTATATTATAGTGATTCATAAATATAAGCATAAACACAAATATATTTATTTTTTCTGTTCTTCAAAAAAGCCACCCATTAAAAAATATGTTTATTTACGGAACTTCCATATAGACATATTCATCATGCAGTGGAAGATGCTTTTACATCATTCTGATAATTTATATCACCCATGACTTATCCAAACATACATCAGATGCACATGAGGTGCTTTTCGAGCAGCAGTGTCGGCCTGTCTCCACCAGAGGCCGCCAAACCTCTTCCTGCTTTTTTCCTTGAGTTCTTCCTCTGAACTAGATGTACTGAAATCAGACATTTCCAATTGCCTTTTTGATTACACCTGCCCTCCCTCTGTATGATCCAGATTCTATGATAAATTGGTTGCACAAAATGAACATGCTGCAAATGGTAAAGGGTGAAATAATCTCTGATCAGGAGAAAATGGCATGTCTCGAATGGCCTACAATCTCTGCAATCATCTGAGCCAATGACATTCATTGTATTATTTGGTTTATACTTGTACTAAATGCTCACTGCTATTTGTTCTTGTTCAAATGCATTGTGTGACAAGGAAGTGCCAGTGACATGATTTCAATAATGTTGTTTATTTGGATGTAGATCATGTATTCTTGATTGAGGTTTTTTTTTGTCAAATCTGTGTGTGATGCATGAACCAAAACCACTCAATTTATTTTTCTTAAATTCATGTCTTAAAAGATTATTGAATTGTCATCCACACCACTTCTTAAAGCCTTCTTGCTCAGCCTGAAAGATGGAAGTGTTTGAATTTATACTATTGTGAGACCTTTAGGGGAGGTGGTTTATGTTATTTTGTGAAACAGAGAAAGGGGCACATTTTAAAAGGATGTTTTTGTTCTTGGCCTGCGATGAGATGTCAAAAATAAAAACGCAAAATTTCCAAAGCTGACGATGTTTTGAGATCAAACTGTTTTGTTCTTATACTGTTAAATAAAAGCAGCTTTCTCGTTCTTAATACAAACTTGGTTTCATTTAAGTTATAGGCAAGTAGTAGCATAAGTATATTCACTCACACAGTCATTATCAAATTGTCTCACCAAGAAGTTAGGAGTCCGGACACAAAATGTTGTGTCCTTGAGCAAGACCACGCATAATATGAATTATGTGTGTGTGTGAAAGTGTGAAGGGTTAATTATAAATATAGTCATGTAATAAAAAATATATACATTACTATTATTTAATATACATGGTTGGTTAATTCTTCTTCGTCAAACATTCCCCACGCTGAAAACAGGCTGATCTGACCGGGACTTACACTTTGATTGGCAGCGACTTTCGGCCAATCGGAGCAGAGCTGTGACACGCACGTAGCTACAATTGGCTTGGCTTTAATACTGAACGTATGCTAAAGGTTTGAGCGAAGATAGCTGCAGATTGGAGCCGATTTACGCCTTGGAATGATACATTAAACTGGGGGTGCATCAGGCATGAGTTCAACAGCGATGCAGCGGGACTGGGGCGTGTTTGTGCCGGGGAGAGGAGTGAGTCCACCCGGGATGTCTGTCTGCAGAGTCAGGTGTCTGTAATGCGCCGCTCGCCTCTGATGGATCGCAAATGGATGCCTGCAAACCCTCCCCGGACAATAACAGCGTGAGTCCCAAAACTGGATACGCGGAGGGGGATGTGTTCGAGGCTGAAGACGGGCCCAGGCTGGAGGGCAGTGCGTTGTGGACCGCGGTGTTCGACTATGAAGCCACTGCGGAAGACGAGCTCAGCCTGTGCAGGGGGGACGTGGTGGAGGTGCTGTCCAAGGACTCGCTGGTGTCCGGGGACGAGGGCTGGTGGACTGGGATGATAGCAGACCGCGTTGGCATTTTCCCTTCCAACTACGTGAGCGTAGGGAAATGCATAGACGAGGCGGAGGATGCGCGGTCCGAGCAGATGCCAGTGCCGTGTCTGCACCGTGAGTATTTCCCATTGTGGACACACTGCAGCCAATGAAAGCAGGGGCGTAACCCAGGCCGAGGAGGTGCTCCAGGGATGCTAACAAACTGAGGGCCTTAAATTAATACTAGAAGCTTGTTAAAGCCTGTTAAAATGGTTACAGGGAGATAATTCAAAGCACCCATGCCCTTTATCTGAAGTACTGCATATAGATCAGTGCAATGAAAATAATGCCATTGCACTTTTTGACTTTACTCTGATGCTTATAAGGCCATTTAGAAAGAACCTCCCTGGATATCAACAGCAAACAGATAGAAAGGAGTTTCGGTGTGCTCTAAAATAAAAATAAAAAATAAAAAAACACAATATGAGAAAACAATGAGAAATCTGGGAGGAGTTGCCCATATAGCAATGGACAAAGCCTGTATCACCAGTCATCAAATTAGACAAAACTTATTGAAACTAGAATTTACGTATTTATGTTTACATTGTAAATGTGTGACTAAGTGGAAATACCAAACATTACATAGCAAAAATAATCTCATCAATTCACCATTCAATCATTATATATACTAACACAATATAGACTACTGTAAAGGCATAGGCCAAGATTTTCACTTTGGAATGTCATGGTCTCACTGCGGTCCCAGGTGGTTCTCAGAGTTCACAAATAAGAATCACATTAGCCTTCATTAGAGTTACCAACCGTTCATCTGAAATGTTTTCTAACTTTAACAGTTGTGTCCTCTGAACTCGAGGTTTCTTAGCTGTCACATGAGTCATGCCTTGTCCAAAACATGTACAGACTGTATGTGCCCACTATGTGCAGAGGAAGGAACTGGAAACTGAAGTGCTGATCTGATTGGACATTTAAACTAGGTCTAAGAAGTACTTGTTGGTACTAACACGTCAAAAAGTTTGTTAGACCAGGAACTATTTAGATTATTTATCCAGTATTTAATTTATTTCATTTGATGGCCATGTTAGTAGTCAGATCTGAATAGCCAATGTTGTATATTGTTTCCTACCATTTAGTTATCACTGAGTCATTAAACCTATTTTAACCTATATAGAATCTATTTTCTTTCATGACATTGAAACTGTCTGCAATTCTAAAATATACATCAATTTGCACCAGATGAAGAGAACATAATGCGCTTTGGGCCCTTATTTCTCATTACATTCATAAAACAGAATAACTGTGGCAAACTTAATCTTAATACGCAAAAGATTTGTCAAAATGGCAGTTAGCAGCAGAAAGGACTTAAACCTTTGGCTCATACTTGCTCCCTGCTCGTCTGTGTTGACCTGAGCCACACTCTGGGCCTCTGGTGAATTGGCGGCGGCAGCAGGTTCAGACTGCTGTGTCACGGTTCTGCCCTGGACCGTGTCAACACCATTCTCTCTCCTCCCTCTTATCGTCATCCCTCTGTCTGTGCTAAAGTCAGGGATGCACCAGTGTCAGGTTACACGCGGCCACTGCAAAAAAACACATCGCAAAGCATCGCAGGGCGCTGGGTGTTTTTAGATTACACTGCATCTTAAATAAAGTAGAGTTTCACTTAAGTTGTGCTTCTGGTTTAAGTTCTATTCCCAATTTGGTTGTTGTCCTCTTCTTTATCCATCTTCAAAGTTCTTGAATAAATGTACATAACATCAGTACCATATAATTGATTACTGCTTACGATTCCAGTTACGGTTCAAAGATTCCTGCCCCTTCCTGACATGGAGGTAAAGTGTCTTGCTTAAAGCTCTACAATTTATCACTAGTTTTCCCATGCATATGTTTTTTTATCCTCTCACATCTTGAGATCAGCTTTTCCAGACAGAAAAGTGAAAAAAACACTAACACCCTCACCCTCAGCCAATCAATAGCCAGCCTAAATTGTCAAAAAAGTGACTCACTTTCTTACAAATTTGCCAAAGATAACAACAGCAAGATGAAGACAGCATGTTGTGGTCTGATTTGTTCACAGCGTTTTAATTCACAAGTATCAAGATACACAACCAACATCTAGTATTTATATTTAACGTAGGTACCCCAGCTTTAAGGGCACACAACAACTAACAGTCCCTTTCCACAAATCTGTGCCTCATGAAGTAGAAGACACTGTAGTGATTGTCTATATGTGTTTAATTCATAAAATAAAACCAAAAAGTGATTTGTTTGACCTCCGTAACCTTCTCACAATAATCAGATTTATGCAGTGAGAAAAAGATTAGCTCCAAATGCTGAAGTGGCTCACTCAGAAACTCGCAGAATCGTTTTATCGATCCCTTTTGTCCAGCGCTGCTTTCCGATCCACTGTGGGGCTGAACATTTCTTGCTGATGCAGTCCAGGCTTATTCGCTTTTGCAGTGCAGAGACAAAGTCAGCCGCAAACACGTATTTTTCCTCAAGGATTGATCAAAAACAGTAATAATCTAACACACAGTTTTTTTATCCTTTGGCATGTTTGTATTAAGTAACTAATGAGTAGGAGGGGAACAGGAGTCGTTGCTATAGAGACAAACAGTGCCCACAAAGCCTCAGATCTCGTGAAGTTTCATTGACCATCATCTGTTTTGTTAATGATTTTGAGCGGTCCAGAGTTGCTCTTCTGTCTCCCTCCATCGCTTGACCGTCCCTGGCCTACATTCTAAGCCGCACCTGAAATATTCATTCGAGTCAGTCTGCAAAAAACAACACATAGACAAGAGTCATAAATCTGTGCCCACAATATTAAAACCTTTGCCATATGTTATCCACCATGTACAGGTCCTCTTTTTAGCCTGCAGACTGGAGCAGATTCCAGGGCATACTGTATGTCGACTCTTGTGTAACTGTGAAGGGAAGATGCTGCAGTATTTGGGACAGCAGTGAAGCTTAGTAGAAAGCATCATGGGCGGTGAGGTTCTTTTTTAGTAAAGATCTGCTTGAACCCTGCATCCCATGTTCCAGTTACTTGATCTGAAAAATTGACCAGTCCGTAATTGAAAGACAAATGCCAACACCTTTTTCATTTGAACATTATATACAGGAAAGCCATGACATAAGAGAGATTGAAATTACATTATACCTTCTTACCCTCATATTTTAGATGGAGTTATAGCAAGTATGGTCAACCTAGGTAGTGTCAAGTGTATGGATATTCAGCTTCATGGAATTACGTGGAGAGTTAAAACAGTACATTCATGCATTCTCCTTATCAATAGATCAGTTTTGGTCAGGTTTGTGAATATGCAAGCCTAAACGGCGCAAAAGCAAAACTCAATCATTTTACTTTAAGCGTTCTAAAACTAGGGTGCCAAACTTTCAAACTGTAATACAATTCAACTATAAGTAACAAGATCCTATAGTTTTTTGGGCTCCTTGATTAATAATGAGGTGAAGAAACAATATTGTGGTCTGATTTGTTCACTTAATTTGACGTGTACAAGATGCTTTTTTTTGGAATTAGCATCATCTATTGTATATTTTGTGTGCTCCTGGGTATCTGCTGCAACATTGACATTTCCTCACTCTTCTTTCTCCTTTCAGTGCTGGAGATTGACTTCTCTGAGCTGACCCTGGAGGAGATCATTGGGGTGGGCGGCTTTGGGAAAGTGTACCGTGCCGTGTGGCGGGGAGCGGAGGTGGCGGTGAAGGCGGCGAGAAGGGACCCAGACGAGGAGGCCGGCCAGACCCTGGAGAGCGTTCGTCAGGAGGCCAAGCTGTTCGCCATGCTCAGCCACCCCAACATCATGGGCCTGCTGGGGGTGTGCCTGCAGGAGCCTCATCTGTGTCTGGTGATGGAGTACGCGCGAGGGGGTCCGCTGAACCGCGCTCTGGTCCGCCGACGCGTTCCTCCCTGCACGCTGGTGGACTGGGCCGTGCAGGTGGCCAGGGGAATGCTCTACCTCCACAGCCAGGCCATCGTACCCATCATCCACCGGGACCTTAAATCTAGCAACAGTGAGTCCTTTCATCACTACTGCACGACTACTACACTCTAATCATATATGTCTTTAACCATGACATTTTTATTTATTTATACTAAAAAGGTCTTCATGTGTAAATGCTAAGCTGGGTTTTTAAGCTTAAATCACACAAAAAATTATCTATGACATGAAAGTCTATCTAACTTAATTACTCACTCTCAAAGGTGATGTCAGCAACTTACCTTGTGTTTCATTATTAAAAGAATGTATATTTCTGACCATTGGGACACTAGTAAGTATTTCCCAACCAATAATAGAACAGTTAAACCAATGAACTAAAGGATTTAAATTAATTTCAACCAATCAAGAGGCTGCGAGGATGAGTAAGGGTGGGTCTAATCAGTGCTTGTCATCAAAAACTTTCCCTTTCTCTACTGGTTCTATCATTAGTTTTCGTAATGGCCTCTTTTTCAGTCAGAAAAGTGTAAAATAGAGGACCACCCTCCCTCAGCTCATCAGCTAAAGTTTGAAATAGTTGAAAGAGTTATGGTATATTTTCTCACAAGTATGGAAAAACATTTTCTTATAAGATAAAGCCAGCATGTTGTAAAATTAGGACTAATGCACACTTTAATTCGGGATAAATAAAGTATTCATTTATCTATCTATCTAAGTGAAATGTTTCAAACAAATCAAACCAGAAGACTCTTTCTATTTCAACAAATGTGTTATTTATGAAACGAAAAAGATCCACTGCATATTGTTGATGCAGGAAATGTGCAACCAAATTTGCCTGGAATTTTGCATAAAATGATATTAAATAATCTTGCATGAACTTATATAAAGGCTTGTTAACTTAACCAGGTCCCCTTTTAACACATAACATCCATTTTCAGTTGGTTTCCGTTTTTTGCTTCAGATTATGGACAATTTCTATGTGTTTATTATGAAAAATCTAAAAAGGAAAAGTCATGAGCATGTATGTTAGCGCAGCAGTTGTAATCTTGTCATTTTACTGGATCTCCTAAATCCCAAGCCTATTACTGCAGCTTTACACAGCACTCTCCCGTTGGCCACTTCATTGGCTCCTGCAACACTGAAGCCTGCGCTCTCATTGGCCCAGAGCAATGTGGCTGTGTCTGCAATCACTTGTATTGCCGTAAAGGGGAGAAAGGGAGAAAGCTCTGGCTAGACTATTATGCATATTTCACTAGACATGTGCAGTTAACTTAATATTTATGTAAGTAGCAATCATGACCCAATTCATTTGAGCCTATATCCAAATGGGATGCATGTACTGGCTGCTCTGAAGTGGTCCAGTCAGACTCCGCTGTGACGCAGACTGTGGTGTTGTGAGTGTCCATGCTCAAATATAGCATTTCCTCAAGCCACAAATGTGTTACAGCCCCATGCAGTAGTGAGCACTGATTACTCACTCTAGAGATTATAACTACAGCAGAGTTTGTCCAACTGTAGAGTAATGTTCTTATTTTATGTGGTTTGTTGGGCAAATGAACATTGTTACATAGACATTTAGTGCAGCACTAATGAAAGATGAAAACGATAACCACAAATGCTAAAACAATTACCACAAATCTGAAATCCTTTCAACTTTCTGCATAATAGTGAATACATGCTGCAGTGATTAGTCCCCAGAGCGTAAATATGTTTTAACATGAGACTGGACAATGTTGTGTGTGGAGCTTCAGCCACAGTCGATGAGGGGGGTTTGATGTTGGCCACAGCCTGAGGACACACCCCGTCTCTGGGCAGCTCCAGCAGATGGCCTGGCAGTCCATGCAGCCTGCGGTCTGGGACATTGAGTTTTTCTGCTGGGGTTGCACATGAATTTCCCATTTGTTTTCAGAATAATCGTTTATAGTTTTTTCATTTAGCGTCATTGGAATGCATAGACTGTTTGATTATCTTGATATCCTGATATATTAGCAGTAGTTATTTTTCTTCATTTGTTACCTAAATGTACAAGGCAGTGGTCTATATAATAATTAAGTCAGTGTAGCCTCTTGGTGTTGCCCTAACTGAATAGTTTTAATGACAAAACATAATACAGATAATGGTGTTGGTAACGGTATTTTCAAACAAACATAAAACAAATTTTGCCAGCACAGATCAAAGAATCAAACAGTTCAAACACAAGAAATGCAATGTACAAAACAGATAGAGCCATTGGTCCATAAGGGGCAGATGTCCAGTTTTCATAAGTGTTGTTGAATGTGGAGTGTCCTGGATCATCACCACTGTCCTTACACCCTCCTGCATCTGCACGGAAAATCTCTCAAAATCCAGTGGGAGAAAAGGGAGAAACCTCGGGGAGTCCCACATTCAGGGGGGCATCCGCTCCAACAGTCGGGAGGGCTATAGATCTCAGGCTGTAGAACGAGGACCTACTATTGTAATCGTAATTGTAATTGTAATCTTTATTTATACTACCCACTGGTCACCACCCAATAAGGCTACATTATTTTACTTCTTTATTTTGGATATTATTTTACTGTTAGAATTAAATCACTTGCAAGTTGTCCATTTAAAACCAAGTATGCTCAAAAAATAGACTTTTCTTTTGATTTATTTGGGTTTTTATTAGCCTGATTTATATCATATGCAACACGTTGATTTGCTGTTTGTAATGATTTACAGTAATGTAATCTAAATAGTTTAACTGTAAGCTCTGGAATTGTGATTTTGATTCAAGTGTGATTAATCGTGCCCAACAACTCAAGCTATGAAAGAGCCATTCTTCAGTGTTTTTCTGCTTTTCTTTCTGTACACTTTAGAAAATGCTTCTGTCTTGTAGTGTCTCACATCTTTCTGCTTTGTCTCTTTGTTCTGTTTCCTTTCCATTCCTTTCATCTTTCCCCATTTTGTCCAAACTTATTATTTGCACATGATTATACGCACAACTTGCCACCACCCCACCGGGATCATGTTACCCACATTTATCCATTTATTTATTCCCTATTTTGTGACTTTTCCAACTGAAACACCTCACCCTTAACCCCACCTCACCTCCCGTAAATGCAGTCCTAATCCTGGAGAGAATAGAAATGGAGGATTTGAGCAACAAGACGCTGAAGATCACTGACTTTGGACTGGCCCGAGAGTGGCACCGTACCACCAAAATGAGCGCCGCCGGGACGTACGCCTGGATGGCCCCAGAAGTCATACGCTCATCCACGTTTTCCAAAGGGAGCGATGTCTGGAGGTGTGCTATAGCGGGACCGCCTTGTGTCAGAATGTACTATACACTTAACAGGTTTAGAAGAGATGATGGTTGAAAGTGGAAATGTAGGTTGCATTCATGTGACATCACGACATTTAAAAGAGCCAACAGTTTAAGGTTGTAGTGGAGGGCAGCTGAAAAATATTTCTTGGTAACTATGGTAACTAGTCTTATAGTTTAGAGCTATGTGTCTGTAAAAACATAGAGACACAAAGTTCCACATTTTTCACAGTACCAATGGTCTAATTATTTTCTCACAAAGGTGTCTAGTGGTGACAAAATATATGCAGGATTTTGTAGAAAGGACTTTCAGACATAAAAATAATTCAATCCGGGAAGACCCGAGACAAAGCAAACAGCTGCAATATAAACTATTCTCTTACGTATTCACAAAGTCCCCTTGGCTGCTGTGCTGAAACAGTTTAATGACAGAAAAGAGCTGCTACATGTAAACTGTGCCAAAAACCGAAAACATGTATTGACTTCACTTCATGAGTTTGAACACTTGCTGTAGTCGTCATGGAAACACAAGGAAATTCAAAGAGAGAAAATAATCCACAAGAACTTTGCTGTGTTATAATAAGCACAAAACTAGGGCATGTCAAATTGAGCGTTCAAGTATAAATATAGGCTACTGTAAATTGGACTGGCTCATGAATTCACACTAGAGGCCTAAACAAAGCATTGTAAAAAAAAAACCTCTTGAAGGTTGAGGAGAAGATGGGAAATCAGTGTCTAGATAATTAACATTTTAAAAATGAATCTATGATTTGAGAAATAACTTGTGTAGTTCAAGGTGAACAGCCTTTAAATGTATTATGCAAACCACAGTGCTTCCCTTTATATATTTATTCAAATGAACACTTTGCCTACTCAAAATTCATATATTCATAGCCACATTTTATCCACTGGTTGTTTGAAAGGATGCATTAGCGACTGGCACTCACATCATAGACCCCTCATAATAGCCACTCGTATGTTTGCCTTTGTTGAAGTTATGGAGTGCTGCTGTGGGAGCTGCTGACCGGAGAGGTGCCTTTCAGAGGAATCGATGGCCTCGCAGTGGCCTACGGAGTGGCCATGAACAAACTGGCCCTGCCCATTCCCTCCACCTGCCCTGGGCCATTCGCAAGACTCATGGAGGGTGAGACAAAAAGTCATGAAGTTTGATTTTCTTTATCTTACGTTAGTTTGTGCATTGATTTTGTGCTTGAACCTTCAGAAACAATCCAATTTGACATTTTTTCATAAATAATACATACTGTATTGCACCAACAGACAGAGCCATATAAAAGTAATTTCATGACCAAAACAAAGCAGAAAACCTTTTATCTTTTGCATACTCGAAAGAAAGAGGGTGGTCCTCTGTCTGTCTGAAAAAGCACATCTACAGATATGACAGGCCAAAAGAGGCCAAAAGATACATGCATGTAAAAACGAATGATAGTCCCAAACTGTTTTTTGTAATTTGAACGTTTTTTTTAACATAACAAGCCAAATAAAAAATGGGTTTTCCCCCCCAATTGTTAGACAGACCCTTTTTATATTTTTACACAAGATTAAGTTTGGGCAGCCCCATAGAATAGATCGAGAAACACTTTTTCTAACTAATAATCAGCTATCGTTTCAATCAGTGCCTGTTTGTGGTCTATAGTGGTTAGAGCAGCTCTCTGTGGTCTGACTTTATGCACAAGCTGTAAATTAAAACGTTCTGAATATGCTTTCATCATTATTTTACCTACACATACATGAAATGGAACACTTTTTCACTGTCTCGGTTCCTGTAGCCTGTTGGAACCCGAACCCGCGCTGTCGTCCTCCGTTCAGCTCAATCCTGCACCAGCTCACGGCCATCGAGGAGTCTGGCTTTTTTGAGATGCCTGCGGCGTCCTTCCACTCTCTGCAAGACGACTGGAAACTGGAGATACAGGAGATGTTTGATCAACTCAGGATCAAGGAGAAGGTGAAATGGCTGTACATTTACTACTATATGTTGGTAACATTTTCACTCGATATACTGTATGGTCAGACACAATACAGCTATCTATATCAAATCTCGAAGTCCCAACATAGCAGCAGGTCACAAGCAAGTGAAAAAGTGTCTGAGTGATGCTGCTGAACTGCAATCGATCAGAATAAGGGGGAAAAACCAGCAGGCCTGAGTGAAAAGAACTTCTGCCACGAACCAGTAGGCAGATTATAATTGATTAAAATTGAATAACTCTAAAAACACCTTTTTCTTTTGCATCATGCAGTTGATACATTATCAGACAGGACAATATTAACAACACAGTGTACACAAGACAAGACAAAACAACAATAAATACAATGTAGGTATACAACACAAGTATAAACAAGACTGAGCAAAACCTACATCCAAATTAATAAAAACCTAGGACTGTGTGAATGATAAGGAGCCGATGCATAGATGCACTGCAAAATCAACTGTATTGGCCTTACAAAGATGTACCAGGAGTTCAGTCTCATACACCCTGCTCCTCCTTACAAAACACTACTGTGCTTTGATCTGTTGTGTCAGCTCTAGATGTGAAATGTTTAAAAGCATGCAGATATATCGAACACAACTTTTAAATGGCTTGCATTGGTCTGTAATTCTCTCTTTTTTCAGTAGATGGAGGTGTTTCTTTCAACAGGCCCTTAGTATTTTGGCAGTAAGAACATTCTAATACATGAAGCACCAAGGTCCATGCTTTGGGGCCACCTACAATATGTATTCTCTAAAAGTTCATTTTTACATTTACTTACTAATACTTGAGTTCATGTAGATTGAATATGCTCTCATGCCCTGTTTCCGTGTCACTTGTCTTTTATTGAAGGAGTTGCGTTCTTGGGAAGAGGAGCTGACACAGGCCGCACTACAGCAGAAATGCCAGGAGGAGGCGCTACGGCGGCGGGAGCAGGAGTTGGCCGAGCGAGAGATCCACATTCTGGAGAGAGAGCTCAACATCATCATCCACCAGCTGTACCAGGACAAGCCCCACGTGGAGAGACGGCAGGGCAAGTTCCGCCGCAACCGCCTCAAGCTCAAGGATGGCAACCGGATCAGCCTCCCATCAGGTATTACGATAACGTTTACATTATTATCAAGTATAAGCAAAAAACGCTCTCTTGTGTCAGCTCTTTCCTGTCTTTTAAAAATATATAGATATATTCTGTGCTTTTTCTGATGTCACATACATTTCAACATGTTCGAAATGGCTTGAATCGCGATTGTAAATCCATCTGGCACCAGTAGATGAAGCTGTTTCTTTCCTTTAGGTCCTCTGTATTCTGTCCAAACAAATCTGTGTTCAAAAACTTTTCAATATATATAGTCACTGTGTCATGTTATAAAGGACATCAATACAGACAGCAAAGTGACTTACCAAAGACTACATTATTATTATCGTCAAAGAAAAAGCAATGCCACTACAACATCTTGGCACTAGTAATGAAGTTTTAAAATGCTGTATTTATTTATTTATTTATTTATTTATTTATATACCGCCTTTTCACTGCAGAGCTGAGTCACAAAGCGGTTTACAATTGTTAATTTTTGGGCACTCACAGAGATGGGAGCGGGGTCGCCAGTACAGGAGGCGCATGCTAGAACTATTGGACATATTTTTAGTGGTAGGGGAAACCGGAGTACCCGGAGGAAACCTACGCAGACACGGGGAGAACATGCAAACTCCACTCAGAAAGGCCCTGGTCCGACCGGGATTTGAACCCAGGACCTTCTTGCTGAGAGGCGAGAGTGCTATCCACTCAGCCACCGTGCCGTGCCACATTGCAATACATTGTATTGCAATGTTTTTACAAAGTCAGTAAAAAATAAAAACATAATGATGAATTAGTAGTTTATTATCAATATGTAACTCCTGTCCCGATCAAGAATATAACCAAGAACTAACTACTTCTCTAGAAAAATATTGAAAACCTTTCTGCATGTCTCTCTCATAGATTTCCAGCACAAAATTACAGTGCAGGCTTCACCGTCCCACGACCGACGCAGGAGTCTACTCAGCAGCAGCTCCAGTCCTCCCACCAGCCCCCTCGTTCTGCCCCGCCTCCGAGCCATACAACGTGAGCAACACACTCGTTCAAATGCATTTATATCATCAGAAATGTCATGTCATTGTCTTATTTTGAGCCATGTCTTTTGGCAGTGACCCCGGGAGAAGGTTGTACTGGTTTTTACCGCACCTCCAGTATGAGCCAAGAGGAAGAGGAGGTAGTTAAGAGAGGCTCCAGGAAGAAGGGCCGGTGCAGAGGCAGCGGAGCCCAGCGAGAGCACAGTGCTGACAATGTGTAAGTTTTATTATTATATTTATCATACATTTCAGAACATCTCTGTTTTGAGGTGCATATTACCACAAGCTCAGTTCTTAGCTGTAACTGAAGAACGCTATTCAGACAAAGCAGTATATAATTCAGTAGATTGACAGACCTTATTGTGTGACAAAGCAAAGGAAGGTTTCTCACCCATCATCTGTACTTCTTAGCAAGTTTTCCCGACGTTTCGTCCTCAACCTAGCGGACTTCTTCAGGGAATGAATTCTCGGACCGCGCGTTGGAGATTTATAACCTATGGGTGTGGTTAGCCACACCCTAATCCTGATACTAACTCATAAACAATCTACGGTCTGCTTGATGTAGAAGGGAGCAGGTCTAACGACCCTGCTGAGGCTAACGACCCTAACTCCTTAGCATGTCACAGACCTATTGTCTGCTGGGATGCTCAAGTGGAGTGCAGGTCTCACCCCTTTAGGCAACACAAAAGGTATTTCAAACCTTTCAACACGTTAAGACAGAAATTAGTGCATCCCAAAGACAAAACACCCAGACACAAACAGAGCAATGGGGTGTATTCAATTAAATGTAGTGAAGAGGAGTGCACTGACCACTATATTGGAGAAACCAAACAGACTCTACAGAAACGACTTTACCAACATCGTAGAGAAAACTCTAGTGGGCCACAGTCGGCTGTTCATCTCCACCTCAAGGCCTCCAACCACACGGTGGATGACACAGAGGTTAAAATTCTGGCTCGGGAGAAGAATTGGTTTGAGAGAGGGGTGAAAGAAGCCATTTTTGTGAGGAAACAGAAACCTTCTCTTAACAGAGGAGGAGGGTTAAGATTTGTTTTGCCTCGCATCTATGACGACATCCTAAAAACAACGCCCTAACTTGGGACAAGGTCAGTGACATGCTAATGAGTTAGGAGGGGTGAGACCTGCACTCCACTTGAGCATCCCAGCAGACAATAGGTCTGTGACATGCTAAGGAGTTAGGGTCGTTAGCCTCAGCAGGGTCGTTAGACCTGCTCCCTTCTACATCAAGCAGACCGTAGATTGTTTATGAGTTAGTATCAGGATTAGGGTGTGGCTAACCACACCCATAGGTTATAAATCTCCAACGCGCGGTCCGAGAATTCATTCCCTGAAGAAGTCCGCTAGGTTGAGGACGAAACGTCGGGAAAACTTGCTAAGAAGTACAGATGATGGGTGAGAAACCTTCCTTTGCTTTGACTAATCCCTGTACGACTGAGAGCTTACACAAACTTATTGTGTGACACTATTTTTTTCTCTAAATAACAGAGTGAAGCCGGCTCATGAGGGGACCAGGCAGCGCTCCTGCAGTGCCCCAAACCTGCGCAGATCTCCCAGACACAGTCCTGCTGTGCCCGGGGTTCCCAGTCTGCTGGAGATGGGTGAGTACAAGATTTATTAGAAGCTTGTTTTCCTCCATTTTTGTAATGGGGTGCAGTTCAGGTGACGTAAATGCTAGTTTGTCTTTTGGTTGTTTGTGTCTGTGGGTGTATTTCCCCTGTATGTTGGGTGTCAGGTCCGGAATAAAGGGGCCCAGTTTGATGACGCATTCAGGTGTGCAAGCTGGTAGAAGCTAATGGTTTTGAACCGTTATCATTAAGTATTTATTTTTGTCTAACCAAAACGATGGGAGCACGTGTTATGTTAGGAATGGTTATAGGCAGACACAATAGCCACTTGAAGCTCCATAGTAACCAGGGTTTGGCACAACTCTATGGCAGAGGTATGGATTGGCCAGTATAATGTAGTACAAACTATACTACTATTATCACACTTTTTTTTTGTATAGATTATTCAATCTCAAGTAACTTTCAAACCACACTATTATGTTATGTTCCCACCCCTACTGCATGCTTATAGGAACATTTCCTTGTGTGAATATCGATTTCCACATCAATAACCTAATAGTGAATGAAATAACTGTACTGACCAATACACCATCTATGACTCTGTTTTCAGAAAATGAAGACTGCTGCTTCTCTACGGATCCCGGCACCTCTCCGGGACAGTCCTACCTCTGCATCCCCTTCCACAAAGACCCTCACTCCTCCTCTACTGCTGCTGACTTTGAGGGAGATGAGTCCTGTCCTTTGGCCAGCGTCCCGAGCTCTCCCCCCTGTAGAAAGAGTCCTGCTGGGGTGCGCTCCTCCGATGTGGTCCTGGTCGGTTGTGGAGCTATACTGGCTGCAGTTGGCCTTGGATTGAATGTGTTGTCTTTCGCTAATCCTGAAGAAAGTGTCAAATCCAAATGGGACAGCTTGTTTCACAGGACAGGGGCACAGACACGTAAACTTTTCAAACGGGACAGCCCACTTAAACCACCTGAAAAGCTCCTGCCATCTTCCTACACGCTGCTGTCGGATTGTCACTCCACTCACTCACTGTTGCGATCTGACAGTGAGGAGGTCTTGTTATATCGTCCAAATTCACCGTCCCAAGCATTCAGGTCTCCACCCCCGCGCCACGCCCCGTTGAATCCCCTGGTGAACACGCAGGTGGAGAGTTTTAAACGTAATCCTCGCCAGTCCCTCACGCCCACACACGTCCCGTCTGCACCTCCTACATCACGAAGTCTACGGCGGATCCCCTCGGACGGAGCCCTTAAAAAACATTGTCCTATAAACAGCCTGGAGCCGCTGCCAGAGAAAGAGGCGTTGGAAAGTATTGGTGAGACCCTATGTGTATAAAATACATTATTTCATTTTAAAGTTCATTTTGCTGCTAATATTTTTAAGGGGGAAATTCGGTCCCAAGCAGTGTTACAATATTCAGAGACAGAGATGTTTTTCAAACGTGTTCAAAACAGTGGGGGCGGTGACATGACAATGATGTGCGCTGACATGCTTGCAATACCACCCGGGCCGATGGGGGTGGACCCGGAATAAGAATTAGCCAATGCTAACATATAGCATTGGCAGGCCTCTCGAAAACGTCTTGACAGGATGGTCCAAAAGTTGGCTCTTGGCCCAAAGCTCCGTTCCACAAGTGTGTCAATGCTGAGGGGGGTGAATTTTTTTGGACCACTCTGGTTTACTTGCTGTGAATTTTTGAAGTCTCTCTTTCAAATGAATGGAGCTTTCGGCGACTGACGAATGCCCAGTTGTGTTTTTTCACAATTTTCTTGTGGGTGGGACCACTCGCTGCCCTTTTGGATAGCTCCAGTAGAGCACTATTTTTGGCCCATTAGTTAGAACGGCGGAGACAGGCGTGACCACGTCTAACTGGTTCAAACCAGTTAGACCCGCCCCCACAGGTTCCTGATCGGATGCAATGAATTCAAATCCCTGATAGACAGCTGAGCCATTGGTCTAACTATTCTCAAACTGCAAATCTTGCTGGTGAAACTAATTTCAAGAACTGTACTGTACTTAGTATGAAAAATATGTATATAGATGATAATACAGGGTCAACTGATCAATATGTATTCTTTTGTCAATGTGATACTATTGAAGTGAAATGTGATGAACTGTGATGCCAATTGTTAAAAAAAAAAATCCAATATCTGTTTCAAATGAATTATGGTTGTGGGTCAAAACTTCTCAATGACTGAAAAAAGCACCATGTAACCACTTTTGAATCCTGTTCCACAGTGGTCAATGGCTACCTATTCTTTAGTTTTGTTTATTCATTTGTTGGACAAAGATGGCTTTAGGGCCATGCTCCAGCTGTTATTCCTCATAAGAGAAATGTTTACCGTTGCAGTTCAGTAAAGTGTAGCCGTTTTTTATGGTCCATAACTATCTGGGAGCCACCTCTATGATTTATTTGTTGTAGAAAAAGGATTATGGGAAAAAGCGGACTTTCTATCAAAAAGCGTACAATATTTTGATATAAGTAGAAGTATTGTGTTAATCAAACTCTTCTTCTTGTCTTATAGGTATCTTTAGACCATTCAAAGACGACTTCTCCTATGTCCCGCGGTTGCCAGATCCAAACCTGGTGTTTCCACCTACTCCTCGTCGTAGATGCCCACCGGAACGTCCCAAGACTTTGGACTTTGTGGCCCGACCCAGACCCTCCCCCCGGGCCCGTTTTGACCCAGCCTTCTGGTCTGAATCCAGGCCGAAGGGCAATGGGGAGTCCCCCCCAGCTCACACCTCCAGCACAGAAACCCCACCCACTGCGGATTCTGGCCGGGACAGTGCGGTCCCACCCACCCCCGTGGAGACCCCGAAGCCTTTTTCACCACGAAAGACCCGAAATCTTCTGGATCAACTGGACAAGGAGCAGGGCCAGGACGGGACAGCGCCACTATGCAAAACAGACAATAGTTTTCCCAAAGACTCACCGTACAAATACAAGCCTGGGTTCTGGTCCTAACCCAATGACTTTGAACACATAGTCATGAGTCGTGTGAAGGTGCTGCTTTATGCCTAATGAGTGAAAATAAAAATAATAAGTGGCTTAAGATCTATGGTAATGGATCCATAAGAAATGTGAACATTGTAATATGAAATCTAAATTGAAGAATGAACATGTTTTTGTTTCCTAAGATTTAACAGTGCACTAAGTAACTCTTTTATCTTGGTCTATTGTATTCCACCCAATGGTAAATCGCAAGAGCCAATACAGCCCAGTGAGTTTCTTGATAAAATGACATAAATGGTATTAAGAGATTGTGTGAAGTTTGTCAGTTTCTGCTGAATGATCAGTCTGTTCTGACAATGCGACACGTGTTGAATTTGAGGATTGTGCTTTGAGTAAGTGCACTTGTAGAAAGCACCAAGAATGTACATTTTCTATTGTCACTCACTGTAATTGAAATTCATAGAAAATATCTCACTATGTGTCGAGCCAATCACTTGTCACTCAGAAACTGTTAATGCGTTGGTCATAGCGTCAGAATCCCCACATAACTCACCAACGAAGCAACGTGATATCAACTTTGATTGTCTGGTCTAATATTGAATTTCATTGAACCTAAGAAAGGATTGTGGGTGCCAGTCTGAAACATTAAAAAAGGGGTAATATTGTGTCTGTAAATGATCTGCCTCATCACTTTGTATTAGATTCTTGATCAACTAAGGAATGCATGAGCGTGATGGGCAAAAAGATCCTGTCGCATGTAGCAACTGTTTTTTGTATCATTTAAAAATCATGTTCATTCATTTATTGCTATTATTAATGATATTTCTTGTAATATCAGTCATTTAATTGTATGTATTTTAAATCAATGGCCTTGGCCTTCATTTTGAAAGGCATCACAATGCTAATAAGCAGCTTTGAGTTTTGGGACGCCATGTATTTTGACAGATTTCTCACATCTTTCAGTTGTTCTTATTTTGTGGACATTTTTCCTTCATACGACAGCCCTCTGCATAACCACCTTGGCTGCAAAAGTCGGTCGCATATCTCCCTGACTCCTGACCTCACGAAAATCCTTTGTGCAATCATCAGTTGTAAATGCATTTTTGTGGAGTTTGAAAATTGAAAGCAAAGGGTGTAAAAAATATCAATGTGAACCAGTAATAAGCTGATGACAGTTCATGTTCTGATGAGAGTAAAAGTGTTTATGAATGGCTTGTTTTTTGCACTGGGAACACTAATTTAAGTAAAACAAATGTAAAAATCAATTGTGTTGTGATATTGTTTTTAATGGCTGAAAAAGTGAAATTATATCGGTATAATTCTGGGCTGTTTAACATCTCCACAGACGTTGTAGATGTGTAAATGTATTGGTATAATTAAGACACAATTTCCACTAAGCAGAGTAATATTTCAATAGACATTTATTACACCCGTACATACACTTGAAACACAGTATTTGTCAATACAGAAGCAGCGGAGTGAAGTGCACAGATAGCTTGCCTTTTTTTAAATCCTTTCATTTCTATAAACTATTTACATGTGATATGTCTGGAAACTGCATTTAGCAACTGTGTGCTTGAACACGCACACAAAGCACCTAATGTTTGGTTTGAAAAGTCACTGTACTGTGCAAAGGTTTGAGACAGAACGTGAATACAGAAAAGGTACTATCTCTTGAATCTAAACATTGATCATAGACTTATTTGTTTGTCCCTTATTCCCTTTTATTAAAACAAGAAAACAAATAGACAACAATGTGCACTTGTTTGTTGTATTTGTCGTAAAACTTGAGCACAGTACTGGAGAAGTGTGCTCGCTGACTCAAAGTTGTAAGTCGTTTTGTTGTTTGTGGTCATCATGTGCGAAGGCAGGTGCTACCTACAGTTGCTGGACTCAAGTCTGGCTGTTGCTCCTGACTCTATCACAAGTGTTGGCCTGTTCGTGTGCAATGTTCTGACTGGCAGTGCTGTCATTTTGAGGATGACGCCATTATCGTTGTGCAGAGAAAATGCTTCCAAAAACTAACAAAAGACAATAAAATAAACAGTATGAATCAGCATTTTTTTTTTTACACAGTGCAGTGAGTGAGCCATATCATTGTAACCACTGTATGGCTCATAGTGGTTATAAACAAATTGTTATAAATAAATGTATGGATGACCTTCAACTTCAAGCAATTTCTACAGAATAATGTTCTATTGGTCCCTTTAGAACGAACCAAGGCGATTGTTGTTGTGGCTGTAGTTGTATTAGTAGCAGTTATAGTTGTCGTTATAGTAGTAGTAGTAGAGTAGACTTAGACAAACATGTTTTATATGTTACCAAAAATGTTAATCTGTAAAGAGACATACAGTATAATTGAAGCTGGAGTACTTAACTTTGAAACCATAAAAATAATGAATCAATGTAACTAGTTCCTCGCTCTCAAAGCAGTTTAGGTCTATCACTAATTTTCACATGGACTTTTTTGGGCCTTTGCCACCTCTGTAGATCAGGTTTTTCTGTGACAGCCTTAACTCAGCCAATCCGCTCTGAGTATGTGGAGGATAACATGTTTTATTGACAGCATTTGGTCCGAGTTGTTCACAAAATGTTACTTGAACAAAACACTCTCTTAAAGGTCTTATCATATGTATTTAACAACAACAACAAAATTAGGTCCTCCAGCTTTCGTTTCAATACATTTCCCCACTGAATGCAACCGGCTCGTGAAGATATTGTTAGAATAGCACAGTTACATGAAAAGGTGAAAGCCCATAAAAGCAGGTGCTGTGCAAGGCAAAGGTTGAACTTAAAGAGATTTACAGTAGCATTTATGACCCACAGGTTGAGAAAGTCTGAATTGTTTGAACTGGTTTGAATTCGGACTTGAGTGAATTGCTGTAAAGGCAGAGCTTATGTGGCCTCCTTCTCCCTCTGAGCGTGACGGCGAATCTTCATCTCGGTTAACTGGATGTAGCGGGTCACGTTGGTGTCTGGAAAAAAGAAACCAATAATGTTAATCATAGTCTTTCCTGGTTAAAATCGGTCCTTGTCCTATATTGTGCTAATTGAGAGAAAGCAGAAATACCAGGTTGCCACATAACAGTATTGGATTTTTGTTTTGAAAAAAATAAAGTGCTTTTCAATTATAATCAAAACATAAACACAAGAACATTTTTGCAGGTTTAGTTTGTCCTTTTTAAAACGAAAACCCAATTGCTGCGAAATACTGCAGAAAAAAATGCTCTTTCGCATTGGTATTTGTGGCTGCCCAGGAGGTAAAGTGATCACCAGTGTTTGTTTGTTTGTTTGTTTATCTTTGAGGGCGACAGTAGCTCAGTTGGTAGAGCATTGGCCTTTGAGCCAGACGGTTGTGGGTTCGAGCCCGACTTTGGCACATACTGGTTGCCTCGCTTCTGTCAGTGTGCCCCAGGGCAGCTGTGGCTACAGTAGTAGTTTATCTCCACTTTTCAAATAAAATGAACCATGCCTCCGGACAGTGGTCTGTGCTCTACGAGTGCTTTTCTAGTTGTCATTTCTACAGCAAATCAAAGACAAATTTCTTGAACACATTGCCACACCGTATCAATTTCTGGCACACAATTTCAATTATTTCCTATCAGCTGGAATGCATCTTAGTAATTATCGTCTCTATTAGAAAATAGTCACATTCCATTAATATATAATAAACTACATTCTGTACTTTCCAATATGTGCCACTGTGTCCACAATCCTCTTATCAGTGCCACACATGCATCCAGAATTATAGCGTCAGCAGCTGTTTTCTTTGGCAGAGCCCAGTGTAAAGCTTGTATGTTTTGCAAAGCATTTCTCTCTGTTGTTACGTTCACCGACTCACTAGTTTACTCCACAACAATATGTGTGATGGCTTTGGAAGATACACAACAAGGACAATTATACACATCCCATACATTCAAATATGATCAACTCCTGTGAATGTGTGAAAGTATCATCAAAGTCATTATAAAATGTATTTTGGAAAAACAAAACCCACTAGCTATGGTGAATAGCTACAACTGTTTTCTGTTTCTCTGGCTACAAATTTAACATGTGAAAAAATATATATTATCAGATGGCTCAAGGTATCCAATCAGAAAGCAGAATGAGCATCACGTGAGTCTCACATTTGTGTTGACAGGATCTGGTTTGATCCCCACTACCTTAACATGTGAAGGTAAGAAACACTGGCAATAAATGGTTTTGTTTTTGTAGTCACTTTTTAAAACCAAAAGCGGAAAGAAAACATACAGTCTGATATGATAGGAGCACAAATGATCAAATTGTGGGAAACAGTAAAAAATGAATTTCTATCTACTCTACATTTTATTGTGCTGCCTTGAATCACTGACTGTTAGATACACATTTGTTTAAATATGTGATACATGTGATACAGCATCACTTTAGATTTATAAGGATATTTCCAGATTCCATAAGAATTACATTTAATATCAATGATGAAAAGACAATACCAATCTTTGCATTCTGGATATTAAATGTAATCCTTTTTTAGACAGTCGGCTGTGGCGTTGTCTGTACCTGATGGTTCCTGGTTGTGTGACTCCTTCAGGTAGTGCAGGGCCTTCTGGTAGTCGCCAAGGTGATAGTAGGCCACTCCGGATCGGTACAGGGCTTTGAAGTTCTTCCCCTCTTTGTGAAGCACTTTGAGGCAGTATTCTTTGACGCGCTCGTAGTTCACCAGCTCCATCTGCAGCAGGCACGCTATGGAGACAGCCCCAGGAGACACATACAGTTACAGGGTAGTCACAACAAAACTTTTTTGTTGTTGTGACTACATGATTATATAGCAACACAGATCTTTAAACATTTTTAAAATTCATTGTTAGGGCTTTTACTGTATTTCTGTCTTGATTTTTTTTTTTTAAAGAATGGAACGAGCCAGGATACAACACTGCAACTACAATATATTAAATAAGAATTTAAAAACCCAGGAGCAGGGGACAAAGCCAAAAACCAGGGAATAATAACACAATGGACTTACAACAAGAGTAAAAGAGCGCAGGGTGTGGGGAGACACAGGTGAAAGGGCGGGGCAGGATATCGACATAACAGGAAGTAAAACTAAAATAATGAGTACGATAATAGATAATAGAAAATAAAACAGGAAGTTAAAAAGTGAGAATTGTGTTAAAGACGCAGTCAGTGATTTTTCCAGACGCATTTTTTTAAATATTGTGGGGAAAACGTCCCTAAACCCTAAAAGTAGTCAAGTTATCGTGTGTTTAGAAATAGTAATGGTAGTGACAAGATGCTGATAGTCTCCAAAAGTTATCAAAAAAACATTTTGGAGCAGACTGATAAAAATAAACCAACTGAGTTATCGGATTTTCTAAAGCCTTAAATGGCTGAACAAAAAAAGAAAATAAAATGCTGAATATTTGGTTTAGTGGAGAGGCGAGGGGAGGGGGGAGTGGTTTCGAGTTGGTGCTACAGCTAAGCTAACAAAATAACTTACTGCACCTTTAAATCTCAAATCCTAAGTTATGGTCCTAAAAATGTTTCATAAAACCTATGGAGCAGAGAGATGTCACCATGTTTATGAGTAAAAGTGGAAAGAGCTGAAAACAATAGTGAACTGACAGTAAATATGAGAAGCAGTCAAACAGGAATAGTGTGAGGCACATCTGTAAATGCCCTTTAATGTGGCCATACGCAGTGTCTTCCTCAGGGCGGACTCCAGCTGTGACCTTAAAAACCCATATTTATTGTAATATTTTAAGGCTGGAGCTTGAACGGTCGTTTAATTGCGTATTCTATTAATTCTACTTTTTCAATTAATTTTTTTCCCCCCACAAACACTCTGAAAGATGTGCATTGCAAACATACAAATTCAGTTATGTGTTGATTCATAGTGTTTTGTTTTGCATTAAATTACACTTTAATCTAAATTTCAAACTCAACTGGTTCACCTGGTTTTGAATATTTATAGAAAAAAATAAAATTATATGAGGCATTGAAAATGGAATCAATGTTTTTGTAATAATGACTTAAATGGATTATTTTAGAGTAATTTAACTAACTTGATTAATTATATATTTAGAAATGATTAAAAGATTTGAGGTGGTAATTCAGAAACAAACGCAAGGATTACTACATATTCAATTCTGTACTCATTTGCCCTTAATGAAAAACATGGATTCTGCATAAATATGTATAATTGGTTTAGGTGACAGACCTTCCTGCTGTTTTATTAGTTTTATTGTTGTTTTTTTAACTTTTATGTATGTATTTACAAGTGTTTTTAGTTGTTTTTATTGTATTGTACTGTTTTATTGATCTTTTTTAAATTTCTTAATTACATAAAGCCCGCAGAATTTTATATTTTACTTTTGTCTCATTTGTAGCCCTTTGTTTTATGAAATGTGCTATTTAAATAAAGTGGCATGGATTGGATGTGCTGTGGTAAAATGTAAACATGATGTTCAGTAACAGAATGCAATAAATAATGAATACATAATAAATCCCTGCACCACCAACAGGGGGAGGCTGTTTCCCTTCTGTGGTCTGTGATGAGATATGGATATTATCAAAACTAGCCATACTAAAAACTCTGCATAAATACACCAGGTTGATATACTGTACCACTAATTAAAAGAGTGACACGTTTGGATTATTAGACAGATTGGATTAAAATAGCTGCTCTCAACAGCGTGAGACAAGAGCCATACTCAAGTTAATTCTGTTTAATGAGTAAAAGGAGCTCTAATGAGAGACCTTGGGGCACCATGCAGATGTACTGTAAATGTGATGGTGAAGAGGCAGCGGTGAGGTCTTCATCTTTAGAATGACTCATACAGCTATAAATGATGCATGAGAATCCCCCCAATCTGGCTGTTTTAACAAGAAAAAGATGAATGACGTCGCCTGAACAAGGATGACGTAAGGCAAGAGCTGTAAGGACAAAAGACAAAAGCTGGTCTAATCTGCCTCTGGAAATGTTCACAAAATAAAAAAATAAACACAGTTTACACAAACACTAATAAAATGATTACATTTCACCTTTTTTTTTTTTATTGGGATATTTTTGCACATTTTGTAAGAGCGCTGTAAATGCTTCATGGGCACAGCAGGTAAATACTGTATCAATTATCAATAATACAGTGTAAGTTATATACATATAGCATATGAGTAAGTAAGAGACAATCAGTGGACATTCTGAAATTGCAGTATTGCACAATGCACATGTTTGCAGTATTCACTATTTACAGATGAGATGTACAGGCTCAGCAGTTCTCATTGTACACTCTGACAGCAGCACTATATTTTCTAATTAAATTGAATTCCAAACCTGTACAAGACAATTTTAGAAATCAGCTATTTAATTGCTCTCTCTGCCATAGGAATTTACTTATATCTACTCTAATCTAAAAGTGTTGACGTTGAAATAGTTGGTCTGCTCGTTTTATGCCTTTTCTAACTGTTGACTCAAATTTCACACAAGCACATGTTGTTTTGGCTCAACATTATAGATCTGACCCCTCACCTCCCGGACAGAAGGCAACAGTTGTCTGCACAGGTTGGAGGAGCAGACCAGAGATCTCACATTTAGATGATCTATGTTATATGGCAACAATTTTGAATTCTTAACATACTGGAGACAATCGGACTCTCCATTTGGTCTAACTTTGAATAGTTGTTCTTATATTACACATGCTTCTACTTTACTAGCCTGTGTTTGATCACGTAAAACAACACAATATCTAATGAGTGGCATAAAAGTCCTCCTGAAACAAGAAGCCATTACCAACGGATAAACTACTTATTTTGTGGACTATATAAAGTCTATTCTACAAAAGGCTATTAAACATCTGGCCCTCCGGCCACTGGGACCAATGGTGCATAAACAGCTCCATGTGCTCTCCCACAGGCTTTTGTTTTGCTTTTCCCTAATTACATAAGGTGCGCATGATGTTCACGGCTGTAACTTTAGGTGCAGCAGTTTACTTTTTAAAAATAGGTCATATTGAATAGATCATGAATTTTACAATATCAATCGACAACATTTAAACACAAAAAATAAATGTTTCATTTGTTTTGATGTTATGTGGTGTGACAGGATTGCAACAGTTAAATGTGCATTGTACAACTTTTCGGATGGGGTGCACATTATTATTACCATGAAGATATTGCTTAGCTTTCAAAAACTTGAGTTCTTACAGAGAGCATATAGGGTCGCTTCTCCACAGATATGAGCCATAACATAGCCTGTGTTTAACACCATGACACTGTGGAAGCTTCCAGGATCATCAAATATGTTTTTACATAAACAAAGGCGGACCATCCATCAAAAGCCTGGAATGCAGCTTTAAAGACAAATAACGAAGAGATCAGAAACTAGAAGTTTACACTTTAAAGATTTTTTTCTCACTGCCTTAAATAAAACATTGGAGACTGTAATCAAAATTAGCAAAGCACTGGTTGAGCGAAGCCAAGAGACCCAGTTAAATTCCTTTAAAAATCTGATCTGACTGCACCATGAATACCATCATTTGTTTCTTTTCCCAATCCACAGAATTCACGAAATGTCTACAAATCCACCCATAACTTTTTTAGTTATCTTAACTAACATTAATACAGTGAGTAATAAGCCTGCTCTGTTAATGTGTAAATGAGGTAGATACCCTAAATAATACCTTCACATAGGGACATAAACACCAGACAAAATTATATCTGATCTCATTTCCATTATTCCTAAAACACGAGTGCATACCTGCCAGACTGTTGTAACACTCCAGCTCCGCATTCTCCATGGCGCCTTTCTGCTCATCCGTCAGAGTGTTGTTGGACTTGGAGAAGGCGGTGAGCAGCAGGGACGGGGACTTGGGGCCAGTGTCCGGGTCCCCCAGCACCCTGCACAGCCCCTTGATCTCCAGCAGAGCGCGATGGTACTTGCCTATCGCCTCTCGGTATTTCTTATCCTTGTAACACTGGGTACCCTCGCTCTTGAAGTCCAGCGCCCGCCGCACCACATCCGCGGGCTCGTTGCAGGAGGGCTGTTTGACCATGGAGCCTCCGTGGTGCCTCTGCTGCTGAAGCTGGGAGGATCGCGCATCTTTAGTCCGGCTGCTGATGAGTGGAGGCTGCGCGCTGGGAGCCTGGAGCCGCGGGGAAACTACGCTATTCTCGTGCAGCCCGTTCTTGTCCGCCTCTTTCCCCGCTTGGATCACGCTCATCTTCGACATTATGATATATCCAAGAGAGTGCAGTTGTCCGATTGCTGCGTAAATGGGGGATAATAGAGCTAATTCACAGCATCCTTTGGGTCATCTCGTGCGTTCGCCTTGCCAGTGTCGCAGCTCTACGTCCTTCTATAATGCACGCTCTATCTCAGCCTATTCTAGTATGATCGCCTTCTCCACCGCTGATTGGTCTAAAACGCAAGGCCAATTGCCCCTTGGGGTGCTCTGGCAAAGAGGCAGGTAATGTCTCCTTGGAATGTCATCTGAATGATACATTTATAATATAGTATATTTTCAATATACTTTTTATGAGTAATTTATGATATTTTTTTATTTTCTCAATCTGATGGTTCCTTTTTATTGTTAAGTGTTTGGATGTATTTGAAGTAATATTATTAATTTGTAATATTAAAAACAACAACATACAAGAGTGAATCATTTGTTTAGTTATAGTAATATAATGAGTGTTATAATTCACCCCATTGGGGCGACATTAACCATAATGTGTTAATGTCGCAGTAAATCAAAGTGAAATATGGGTACCACGTCAAAATCAAAAGGTGGGATTCTGTCCCCCTAAATCTGGAAAAAATATGTTTAGATTGATCGTAGTCCAAAATATCATTGTTGACATGAATTATAAACCAATAAATATATATCACATGAAGCCGGTCATTTACACAAATGAGTCTTGGTCCGTGATTATATTGACCAAACATGAATCAAAGCCACATAGATTTCATATTTTGATTTAAGATTGTAGCTGTTTTTATTTTACGAGGTACACATTCCTAAAGTACAGATGGAGACTTTCCCTCACAGTTATAGAGAGACTGACCCATGTTTGGCCTCAGTGTCTGCCATCTGCTTCAGCTGCAGAATTATTTGAAAGAATGTTTGGTCATTGTGATTGTATTCCAAAACTCTAGTCTTGTATGTGGACATAGAGGAAATTGAAAGTGATGGGGCAAAAAGTATTTTGTTAGCCACCAATCAAGTCCTCCAACTAAAAAAGAGGAGAGATGCATGTAATTGTCATCAAAGGTTTAGCTATGAGAGACAACATTAAAAAACAAATAATAATAAAAAAAACAGAAAATTACATTGTGATTGCTGTTGGAAGGAGATTTTCACTAAAAAAAATGTCCAAATACATAGTCCCATGCATTCTTTCCTTTACACGGATCAATTGTCCTGATCCTTCTGGAAAAATAGCCCCAATGAAGGATATTTCCACCAGACCACCATGGTCAAAGTGGAATATTGAGTGAAAACTTGTTTCCATCAGCAAGAACATTGAAGATTAAACCTGGCTGAGTCTTTCAGCATGACAAATATATCCCAAACACACAGTCTTGCCAACGAAGCTGTGGCTTGGTAAGAAGATTTCAATGTCCTGGAGTGGCTTATCAGTCTACAGATCAGATTTTGCCTATAGCGACAGCCCAAAACCTTGGAGGAATGGGCCAAAATACCAGCAACAGTGTGTGACAACCATGTGTAGACTTACAGATTTTTTTTTACCTCTCTCATTGCCACCAAAGGGTTTATAACCCAAACGGGATTAGTTCTAATAGAATAACATAACCCAAATAAATAAATAAAAAACAATAAAATCTATTCTTAGCTATGGATCCTGTGCTTGCATCTGAGTCCTTAAAAGTCTAAATAAATAATGAAAATAAAGGTTTTGAATAAGCTTTAATCTAAGCAATTTTTTTTCAACATCAAGGAAAGAGCGTTGCGTCTCAGGCTTGTTTTCATATAAGGCATGGCATGAAAAAAGGACAGACTTATTCAGAAAAGTTGTTCATGATATTCCTCATTTATTATAATTATTTCATGTATTTCATGTATACCATAATGGTTAACGTCATCATGCATTCATGTTGGTGTCGCTATTTTTGCAGCCTCTTTGCAGTCACAGTCATGGGGCAGTGGACTCAGCTGTCTGTCTGGGTGTGTCCCTGGAATGTCTCCTCAGTAGAACAAATGCCCCTATTCAGAAATAATTAGCATGATTCATATAAGTAGCGCAAGACAAAGTACGAGAGAGGACATGATGTTTTGTTGACTTAAATTTTTGGTCCTAACGTAGCCTTTATTCTGATTATACCGGATTACACATTTGTTGTTTATCATTTCAAAATGATAATTATTATGGTATCATAATAATTAATAATAACAATAATTATCATCATTATCATATGACTAAGAATAAGTCCGATTCTTAGTCATAAAATAATCCTAAACAACATGAGTAAAATATTTGTTTACGCTCGATCTTTGTACGTCATCATTGTGGGACTTGTTTACATCATGGCGTCGGTAGATTTCCGAGGTACAAAAATATATATTCTTTATCACCACAACCCTAGTTCATTTTGGCAGCTAATATAATATCATTCATTAGCATTTTGCAATCTATCAGCATTACCATGTTTGCGAAATAACATTTTCTTTTCATGTTAGCCTTCGAAGCTAACTATGCTAGCATTGCGGTAGCGTCTTTGTTCAGCATAAATAAATACAGATACACATCTATTTATTATATTGTTTGTTGCTGTACTAAGTATGTGTTCTGCAGAAAATCTTCTTGGGATTTCTTGGGTGGACAGTGGCTGGGTGCCCATTCTCAACCCTGGAAATGTGCTGGACTATTTCTCTGAAAGGAGTAATCCTTTTTATGACAGAACCTGTAACAATGAAGTAGTAAAAATGCAAAGACTGACTCTGGAACATCTTAAGTGAGTCGCCTTGGTATAAGTGAATGAAATATCAGTACTTTTGGTTTTCAGTTTTGTGATATGTTTCTCCCCCTTTCAGTCAAATGGTGGGAGTAGAATATATTCTTTTACATGCTCAGGAACCTATTCTCTACATCATTAGAAAACAACAAAGGCAATCCCCCACACAAGGTAAGACAACTTGTTCTTACACGAGTGTATTATTAATGAACTGAGTGTTAACTAAATGTATATCTTTTTGTTTTTTGTTTTTTTACATTGAGGTATAAGGCTTAATACTGTATACTGATTACCACATTTCGAATTTATATTGTCAATATTTTAAGTTTTGAAAAGTGGGGGAGTTTTTTTGTATTTGTTTTATTTTTATTATACATTTTTTTTTTACAGTTTTTGCATTTTTATATTTTGGACAATCCTAATTCACAATATTAATAATTAATGCTGCTCTTTCTGTTTTAGTTATTCCTTTGGCTGACTACTACATCATAGCTGGAGTTGTGTATCAAGCTCCAGACCTCGGAACAGTTATCAATTCTAGAGTGGTAAGAATTACAGCCTAAATATATTTGTTTTGTTTTGTTAATAACAGCATTTAGTGGAAATATCATTAACTATGTTTTTCAGCTGTCTGCAGTTCATGGGATTCAGTCTGCGTTTGATGAGGCCATGTCTTACTGTCGTTATCATCCATCAAAAGGTTACTGGTGGCACTTCAAAGACCAGGAGGAGAGGGGTATGTGGTTTGTCGAGGCTTTGAATTTCACAGATTATAGACTATATAGTTATTATGAATGACCAATGTTACCCAACAGATAAGACTAAGCCAAAGTCTAAGAAAAAAGAAGAACCAAGCTCCTTATTTCAGAGGCATCGGGTTGACACACTCCTTTTAGATCTGCGGACAAAATTTCCACCAACATTTTACCAAGTATGTTTCCATGATAGACTTTATTATATTTTCTTCTTTCATAAACCAGCCACTGTACATAACATAATTAATATTATTTATTTGTTCAGCCCAAGCCTGGTGAAAAGCCAATTCCAGGTATAATCTAACTTTTTTTTAAACTGGCTTTATCCTTCTTGACTTTGTTATATGTCTGTGTTTTTTTTTGCTTCTACAGTTGAGGTAAAGAAAGATCCTGAACCTCCAGCTGAAACTGTTAAACAGGAGGAAAGGGAACCAGCGACAAAGACCTCAGCTCCACCTGCTCCTCCAAGTAAACCACCACCAGAGAAAAGAGCCAGACTTCAATGACCTATACTCAATGTCAGTAAACGGACAAGTCTTCAACCAGAACTGCCAACCTGAAATAACCCTTGTCTAAGATTGTTTTCTATCTGTTTACAAGGTGCTAAGAGTGAACAGGCACATATTGTATTGATTAAGTTACAATTTTAATTATTATTGCAACTTCAGTATTCAGTTAAAAACTTCTTTTTTCTTTTGCAAAGTAGTGAAGATGTGACATTACAACAGATTGTCATTTTAACAGCATGGGTTAATAGTTTTCTTGGAAGCAGCCATAATGCCCTTTATGCAAAAGATGAGGCCGTTTGCTTAGGCTGACACTGCTTCACTATCAGTTTACAGTCAACCTCAGCATTCTGTTGATGCGGAGAACATCCGGCCACTTTCCAGCAAAATGACATAAGATGTGACATATAGATTTAGGTTTGTAATGCACGTTTAATTATCTTTCTTTCCTCTATTTTTATGTTTTGTAGTAAAAATATATCAACTGATAAATGTTCGTCTTGTTTTGTCTGTGAAAGAGTTTGAAAAGCGTTTTCTTACAGATTTTCGGATAAACTGAGATTATGAATAACCGTAATTCAGAATACCTATGTTGTGTGCTCTTGTACAGCATGCTTTTTAACAAAGATTGTGCTGTAAAAACTATTTTGCTCATTCTAGCTTTTGGATTATGATCCAAAACGGAAATGGACACAGCAACTCACATTTAACAAAATCACTAAAATGAAACAACAACTAAAATCAATCCATGTTTCTATAATGATATCAAATGTGTTATATTAAGAAGCGGAGATAAAGGGATACAGAGCACTCAATGGTAATGATTCTCCAATCTACTTGTACCTTTGGAAGACAAACGGAGCTATTGTTAAAATGCGTGCGGGGTTACATGCGGTTACTGTCCCCCTGACTGGTCAACACAGTTACATGACCACCAGGGGTCACTGTTTGTTCAAATTTGGCATCACTGCTAAAATGATTTTACAACTCACTCACTGACAGGTCATCTTCAGGTCAAGCACTGCTGAGTTGGACAAGTGCAGAATAAATAATTACAATGTAGGTGTGCACGCATTAAATAAAATCATGCAAAAACACATTCTCATTAGCTGCGACCACCCGGAGAAGTAGGAGTTGCTCGCAGGGCGTGGTGGGATAGGAGCCTCCTGGAAACAGAACAGTGCCCCAGCTGGCTGCTGCTAGCTGCACACACGAAGATGGCTGCAGAGGGGATTTTCAGGCCAGTGTCTGAAAACAAGGCACCGTTTGTCATGTTCGCCGTCGACTAGCCTACTTCTCCCCCCGATTGATGGTGCCTCGGGACGGGGACGAGGCAAACACGACATGGGGTCCCAGACTTTGCAGATATTGAGGCAGGGGGTCTGGGCTTCTGTCACAGGCGGATGGTACTACGACCCCGACCAGAATACTTTTGTCAACGCGTTACATCTGTACATCTGGCTGTTCCTGCTATGCTTCCCCTTTACGCTCTACATGGTGAGTGTCTGCCCGTGGATACTGTTATTATGGCTCTATTATGACCTATATACAGAGGACTGTCAGCCTGGGCAGCTTGCGTTAGCCTGGACTCTGCTGCTGCTGCTGCTGCTGCTGGCTATTCTCTGCCCAGGCGCTTGCACTCGAAATTATTCATATTATTTATAACCGCAACAGCACACCATTTTAAATATAGACTTTTAACACACCAAACTATTACAATTGCCTTTGTTACACCCCCTTCTCCCTCAATGTCTCTGCCAGGGCATACTCGCTGAAAAACTGCTCTTTTGTTTAGCTTCAATTTCACTTCATCCCTTTTGCGTTTGGGCTTAAAGCAGCTGTAATACACGCCAACATTGGTCATATTAATACCCTCCCCTTTTATCTGCCCCCTTACGTTTGCCCTTTGAGGTACATAAAGACCTGTATATGACACTGATTTGTCTTATCACCAGCTTTCAGGCGCTACCAGCTGTTGTTTGAAGACCTCAGCTCTGTGTGTAGCATCAGCTATCGTGATGATGGATAAGGACTATCTTTAAAACATGTTCCAGTGTGTGTTGCCTAATGCTTAATCGTAATGCCCATGATCAAAGTTCACATGGTTTGTTTGCATGTTATGAAATTGCAGTTAAATTTTTCATGGCATTAACACCAAAGATGACATATTTCATTATGGTTGCTCCATCTAACTCACTGATGTAATGCATTTGATATATCCTACCACAGAACGCATAACATTTGATATACCACAAAATTGTATTACTAAGATTACATCACCAACGACTATTACTCTAGTTTTCAATTATGTCCATACGTAAAAATAAATTGTATACATGATCTTGCAACAAAAAAAGAGGTATGGGATTTGCTTTTGGTAGCCAAAAATGGAATCCATAATATTTGTGTCAATCATTTTTGGCAAGTTGCAATTGGAAGATGTAACTGTTTAAAAACCCCCACTGTTTTTATGAAAGTGCTGAAATGCAGTACAAAATACACAGAACGGATCATAAGCTGCTTCAGCCGAAACAGGCCATCTCCCAATCAGCTGTTTTAAAAGATTTCTGCAGATTCTGTGAAAATGTTGAGCTTTTGTCATTGATGTCGTACCCCAATGACAAGGCCCAGTTTGTGCAAGCCAAAAGTCAGACTCTGTTATTTATAGCAAACTCTTTTATAGGAAACGTGCTGTTACAGGTATTGCAGAAGAGGAAGAGACGTGAGTGAATTACAGTGCCTGTCTCTATAAACCAGGAAAGCCATGTGTTTGCTAAGCTCACAAACTTCTATATTGAGAGTGCAATGTTTCATATTGGTCTGTGGTCTTCCCTGCTATTCCGGGAGTGGAAATACATTGGTCAGCTCTGTGGTTTATATAGACGTTTATGTACGTGAGATAAACAGATGCAGTGCTGCTCACCTTAGGGAAACCACACCACATCAATTGTCTAACCACCAAGATTCAATAATGAGTAAAGTGGACTGGACCAAGTGTCCATCAGGACATACCTGGACTAGACCAAGTATGGCTTTGCCGAAATGGCACATACATTTAGTGATTTAGGAAGTGATTGATTCATTCTGCCAGTCCAGGTAGAGCTTGTGTTCATAATATCATAGGACACTGAAATGATATGATTGCCTTTGGTCCCCACTAACAAAGAGATTTATGTGTCACCTCCTGTCTCTCTCTCACTACAATCTTCAAATCAGAGATGTAGGATTAATAATGGACTCCACGTATAATGTTTACTATCCACAACAAATCAGTAACAACAAATGTTTTTTTTTTCTTCTACCAACCTCGCCAGGATCAAAGATATGGTGTCTCCATTCTCCAATAGGTTAGACTACTGTGACGGCCCACTCACTGGACTCTCAAAACACTCTGTAAATCAGCTTCAGAATATTCAAAACGCTGCAGCTCGAGTTCTGACTAGAACCAGGAAGTATGATCACATTAGTCCAGTTCTCAAGTCTCTGCACTGGCTTCCTGTGGCTCAGAGAATAGACTTTAAAACAGCTCTGCTTGTGTACAAGTGTCTCATTTCCAGCTAAAACATCTGGAACAGTCTTCCTGAAAATGTGAGAAAGGCTTGAGACAATGTTCAAACCCAGGTCAAAGCAGTTCTGGTTAGCTGTGTATACAACTGAGAGATTGTATGTTGACTCTTGTTAATGCACTATGATTATTTATTATTGATGTGTCTTTTTTGTTTTGTGTTGGTTTGTTGGTTTAAGAAACTTTCAAGCACTTTGTGTTACTCTGTATGAAAAGTGCCGCACAAAGTCAAATTTAGAATTGCATATTCAGGTTCAAAACAACTAATTGATTAATCAATTCGCTCTGAGCAACGCTTCTTGACCACTTTTTGAAACACAAGGTTGGTATTTTTTCACACAGTTTCAATGACATAATTCTTGTATCCGATGCTCCCAGATGAGCAATCCCATTCTCATCAGTGTTTAGTTTGGACCCATACACCACCTGATGACTAAACGGCATGATCTAATTACTTGTCCTATGATGATGAATCACTGTATTTCCCAGCCCGTGTGAAATCTAATAAAATCTCAAATTGAAACATTAGCTTGCATCTAATAAGCCATTGTCGCTGTGATGTGGACAGAGCCGCTCATTCTTCTTCTGTCAGGTGACACCAGGTCGCACTGCTCCAGGTCCGAGGCTGAACAGATCTCTGCGTTGTCAAAGAAAGTGAAGAAAGGGGCTGTCTTGCTGCTCTAAAAATACCAAAGACCTAGTCTGGACTACACTTGACCTATTTATTTTGTCAAGTATTGTACCAGGGCTTTTATACCATTTTCACTACAGTTTGTGACCTACTTTTATACAATGTTTTTTTTTTTTTGACATTCCTGCGGTGAATACTTGGTCACTATTTTGTAAAGATAAAAGATAATTAGTGTAGACAGAGAGGATTCAACATTATTGTCATGTTCTTTAATATTGTGAGTGTATTTTAACAAATCCTTAAATACAGATACATTATGCAATATTCGTACATTATCACTTTAACTACTGTAACTATCGTGTCATTTTTGACAAATTTGGTCATAAATGTTAACACTATATTATTAATTCTTCAACATTGTAGTTTGATTGATGTGTGCATGTTTGAGCAAAACATTTCCCTCAGACAATCCCCTTATTTTCCACCCTCCAGTATTTGAGCTTTTATTGATTTCTGTTAATAGTTCTTGAAAATTGGTCTGACTTTGCATTTGATGGGTTTTGGGTGACCTTGGTCTGTAAAATGCCTGCTATATGAATAAAGATTACTTGCTTACCAGATCACTGTAACTGTGTTCCAATATACTTGTATCATCAGAGACGGTAGAATTTTTTTTTTAAATGCTTTCTTCTGTGTGTCTCGCAGGCGCTGCCTCCCACCATGGTGATCGTGGGCATCTACTGCGGAGTGATCGCTGGCATCTTCCTGCTGCTGAAGACCATGAACTACCGCCTCCACCACGCGCTGGACGAGGGGGAGGTGGTGGAGCGCAAGGCCAAAGAAAGTCAGTCCAGCAGCAGAGGAGCCACGGCCGGCCCCAGTGAGAGCGCCCCCCGCAGGCAGGACGGCAGCGGCCCAGGGTGAGTCTGTACAGACACAAACCAGTAATGGAAGTGACAACTCATGGAAATGCTGCGTGCCTAGTGGGCTGCAGTGACCCATGGGTTAGGAAGTGGAAGTGGGAAGACGGCAGTGGTTATACAGCAGTGATGTGGGTAGTCTGTGTGGTATGTTTACTTGAGTGAGGATTTGTGCTGAAATACAGAAAACACGACTAAGGTCTGGATGTTGAACACATTATGGAAAGCAGTGTTAGATCACTGCAAATTGTCCTTTTGGATTTTATTTTACACTTCTAACTACAGTATCATGATACAGAAAAGTTAGGACAGCTCGGTCGGTTAAATTATTTTCACAAAAAGAAGAACATTGTGCGGGTATGTCAGTGATACACTTTGTGAATATTTGGAAATATATTTAAATTAGGGTTTGGTGAAGGCTGTTATAACACAGGGATAGGAAACCTCCAGTCATTGTGATAATGTTCTTAGTTTTGTCCATCTATCAAGGCCTGCCTATGCTTTTGCTGTTGATAGTATGTGATTTTTTTTATTTTTATGAGCAATATTGAGACTACACATGGTAAAAACAAATTGATTTACCATTACCGCAAGACAAGTTATGGGACACATCTTACTTTTTTGTCTTTATATCAATGTATATCCATGTATGCAAATGTATTCATGTCTTTTTCCATCAAGCTTCACTGAGCTTATTACGAAAGATCAAGTGAAATCATGATCCCATTCTCATTGTGAGAGCCAGCATTATGTTATTGTGAATGACGCAAATGCAAAGCTACGGTCCATTATCTTAGCTTGAATGTGGCGGGGCTATGTCCTGTTTATAGAAAGTGCTGAGGTCTGATTGAGCCTGAAGAAATGCCACTGAGTTTCCAGGTTTTTATTGCCTGTGAGTTAAATAAGTGACTCATACTGACATTCCAGTGAGAGCGCTTAGCAGGACCCTGAGAGGCAAAGAGCAGCAAGGCCTGCAGCTCTGCAGACCACACCAGCTACAGCACTGGAAAACATTTCACATTGTACCGACGAACACTCAGTCTCCTTTGCAGATCAAGTCCAAGTGTAGCCAAAAATGTTATTTCTGTAAGTCTCACAATGTTTGCCTCCGATGTGCCTGTAGACAAAACCATTGTTCATACATTTATACATTTAGTCATGACTAAAATTACCTGACAGACTTCAGACAGGTTAAGAATCTATAACAGAAACGAGAACCTTTTAATGTTATGTGTTTCATACTTATAATGAAAAACGTCTCATGTTATGTTTTGCATACTTGTAAGAAACGGCCCGGCAAGTCACACTTTGACACTTTGGGCTGAGTGAAGGCTATCCTCACTCACAAGGAATTAGTAGTTGGATGGATTTGTTTTTAAAGACAATCCCATGGCATCTTGAAAACCACTGTAGGTTGAAAAAGTGTACAGTGAAGTGGAAAAGTCAAGCTGAAATTGATTAAGGTGCTCCTACCCACCCACTCCTTGCCCCGTTTCCATTCCCCTGCTCGTCTGCTCCGCTCAATGCCTTCTTTGTTTGTTTTTCTGACTTGAACCGTTATGAAAAAAATGTGAGCCATATGGAAATGATTTATAGAAAATCCCTGGAAACTTGTTTGTTCCAACACAGTGACTGGTTAAACAGCCTGGGCTAAATATAGGCTCTGGGTGAATCTCCCAGGACTGAGGCTTCAGATCTGTTTTTGCCATTTCAAAAGCAAGATTAAGATAAATATGGACATTTTTCATAACGCTGAGTGAGATATGCCGAGCTAATGCTATAAACCAGAGATTAAAATATTCATCTTAAAGTAAACATTTCAAACATGTGATAGACCCCAGACCACATAAGGATTGATAGTGTAGAATAAAAGTAGTACCATTATTGACAAGAGCTCTAGTGTGTGTCGTCTGGTGCACACTGGAGTAGTCCTGCACAGTTTTTCCAATGTGGTTTTACTGCAAAAGGCAAATAAAAAATCTTGTATCTTGTATTATTTAAAGGGGTATTTTGCCTTATTCTTATGGTGCTCCGTTACTAGCGTCTTCAGTTTCAATTGATTCGTCTATTTTCGAATAATCTTTTATCTTGCATTTAAAGTTTCTGAACTGTTCATCGCCAGCATAAAAAAAACAGATTTCAGGTTACGCTTGTTAGATTGACATTGAGATTTTCTTTTACATCAAAAACATTCAAGTACAAGCTCGCTTATAGTAGCATTTCGTTGTTGCCAGGAGTCTTTGTTTTGATGAAGACTCAGATGTTATGATCAAAAACTATAATTGGTGTGTGTTTGGTTTACTTTGTTTCCCTAGAAAGGCATGTCTCATTTTCTCATTTTACGTGTCATTCTGTAGGGATCCTGGCGGGGGGATCGAGATGGCCAATTTTATAAGACAGGAAACTCCACCAGTGGACTGCAGCTCTAGAAACTCCTACATCGGGATGGACCCTAACCAGCAGGTAATCGAAGCAACAGTCTGAATTTTGTTCTGTTAGGTCTTGTGTAGGACTTTGCATGTACTTTCTGTGTCTGGTGGGTGTACTCGTGTTTTCACAATGAATAATGGCCTCCAGCTTCATACCCCTGAACAAAATCCTGAAATAGTTCTGGTCCATGGCTGAAGCATGAAAGCAACCCACAGGACAACTGAAAATAGTGGTGCTTACTTTAGTTCAGTTCAGACCTGCATTCTAATAGTATTTTGGTAAAAGATACTTTGTATTCTCTCCAAAACACAACTTGCTCAGCGGGAGGTTGCTCTCTGCAGTGTTGTAATTGGCAGATCCAAATGTTTTTCTTGTTTACAGATGATTGGTCAGCATCTTGGAAACCCCGGTGCAGTTAAAGTGAGTTATTTAAAGAGCGAGGGAGAACATGAGCCAATATAGTACCTTTTCCAGCATTAATCTTTTGGCCGTTGGAATCCTGCACGTTTTGTGTGACCACAATATGCGCCTTACTCTTATGTGAGCCCTTTATGCTTCGCTAAATTCCTACAAATAATAGAAACTTCTACAAACATCACATCACCCAAAGACTAACTGACCAAAAAAGTGTATTTTTCCAGTTTGATATTTGAATTTTTCACTTTGAGGTTGTGTTACTGTTTCTCCTGTTAATTATGGAAGAGGGTGTCTTCATTAGCACGAGGCTCACACTACAACCTGTCAGAAAATGCGTCTTTAATATTCAGATTTATGCAGCAGCCTAGAGATCTTTGTATGAAGTGTCCTTGTGCATCTAACTTCTGCTCAGCTCTTTGTTGAAAAAAAGAATGTTTTTTAACAATCACTGCACTTGAACTTGAAATGATTGTGCACCTTGACACGTTGTACTTTGCGTGAAGTGGCTTGCATGATTTGATGAAACGCATTAAGAGTTGTTTTCTGTCTTTCAGATTATATCCACTCATGGAAGAGCAACAATGAGCAAAGGTAGTTATTTGAACTTTTATCGAAAATGCATATATTCTTAGCATATTAGTTCGATAAACAACAGTAACAATGTTTGGTTACTAATTAGGTCAGAAAGGGGAAAAGTTCCAAAGCGGAACCAATACGTCTATATTAAAACTGTATCATAGCCAGATGAATAGTGACTCAGCCAAAACTCCGTGGAAGGATCTTTATGACAATGCTGAGCTGGAAAAAACACATTTAAGCCACATGTAATTTTTAGACCAGGAACAATTTCATTCAAAATGAGCTGGTGAGAGAGGTGGCTGTGGATGTGGATGATACTGTATATAGACTACATTCAGTGTTATCCCAATTAGCTGTCTACACTGACAGTAAACTGTAAGAACGCAGAGGCAAAGTGTTTTACTGTGGATTACGCCTTGTATTAGGGCTCCAAAACCAAGATCTTATTTAAGCTGTTCAATATGTTCCCTGAGTTCACTTGAAAATGATTTCCCTACATACATAAATTTACCTTATATATTTTATTTCTTATTTTGAATAACTAATTTACAACAAACATTCAACTGAAGCCTGTAAGTTCCTGCTTGAGCAAAGATTTACACTGTGGTAAAGGCCTAAATAATAGATCAACTCAGTCATGCCTTTTATTCCATTTTATTTTCACAGATGTGGGAAAGACGGATGACATCAGTTTGACTTTGGTGGAGAGCTGCAGTCATGATCATGGTAAATCATTGCATTTAATGAAAGTGTATATCCTTCTCAAACAACACTTGACTGTTTCTTCTCCTGTCCCTCAGATTTGCTGTCAGACACAAAGATGTATTGCCTTGTTCCAAACGACTCCTTTGCCTCACTGCAGCCTTCCACATCCCTGTGCCCCTCAGAAGTGTCACGAGATCCTGCTGACCCCTGCTCTGCTGCTGCTTACCACTTCAGCCTGTCCCACTCATCCTGTGACACAGAGGGTCTTCACATTTCGCAGACTTTCAGGAAAGAGCTAAGAACTAGAGGTTTACCGCGTACATCCAGCTCAGCAGGCTCCGCTTTTCCTGACCCATCTCTGCCAGACCTCAGTTTGTACCTAGCCCCGCGGAGAGGGCTGGATCCGGTTTGTGAGCTGGAGGCTGCGCGGCCTCACAGGACAGGCCTCTGTGATACGGACAGACTGTACCAGCAGGAGCCGGCTGTGGCCTCCACTTCTGGACTAGACTGTTCCAGGCACAAAGAGCAGCGCAGGGTGGCCCGCTCGGCTTCCAGGGAGGCAGGCGAGGGTAGCTCAGGGCTGTATCAGAGTGACATGGGGGGCAAACGATTGAGTGGGGGGAAGTCCCTTCGAGGAGAGCGCAGCACAGACAGCTTAAGGAGCCTGAGCACTCGCAGCAGTGGCTCCACAGAGAGCTACTGCAGTGGCACCGACAGAGACACCAACAGCACTGTCAGCAGCTTCCACTCCGAGCAGACCAGCTCCACTCATGTGGAGAGCTTGCTGTCCTTGTCAGGGGACGAGCATGCACGGGACAGGCCTGACACCTCTGCCCCTGCAGGAGCAAGGACTTCTAGTCTTGGTAATATTAGCTCACGAGGCCTCAGCAGAGAGGCCAATAAAAACCCCCACGCTAATGAACTACCAGAGGCTCAGGAGTGCATAGACTCTATCCCCTCTCAGGACGAGCCAGGGATCAGAACCAGTGCTGACGGCTCCACTGCAGGAGCTGAGCAGGAGAACAGCAAAGACAAAAGTCAGCCCAAGTCAAGCAATGTTCAGAGAACTTCCTCTCTCTCTGCAGGGCGCAGCGGCCATAGACGGACAGGTAAAAAGAGGGCGAGCAGTTTTGATGCTAGCTGCCACCGAGAGTATATGTCGGTGCGTGGCACAGCCAAGCCCTGCAGCGGCGTGTTCACTGGGGCTGGAGAGGAGTACTCCAGTGACCACAGCGAGTTGAGTTGTGCCTCTAGTCGGCGCTCGCACCACCTGAGCACAGACAGTTCCTCGAGCAACACGTCTCGCTCCTGTCACTCCCCTGAGGGTCGGTACAGGGCCCTCAAAGCCAAGCACAACGTGGCACGTGGCACAACCAAAGGAAAGGCTGCTGCTGGGTCTGAGGTCAGTGCCAAGCGACGAACCTCCCGCCGCACCCCCAGTACGGGCAGTGCTAAAACTCACGCCAGAGTGCTGAGTTTGGACAGTGGAACAGCCGCCTGCCTTAATGACCCCTGTCGCCTGACTCCAGCTGGGCCCCGCCCCCTCACCACCTCCAAATCGGACCTGGAAGCCAAAGAAGGTGAAGTGCTGGACGCGGCCTCTCTGTTGGGACGCGCTTCTCAGCTGGAGTCGGTGACACGCTCCAGGAACAGTCTCCCAAACCAGACCCTCACAGAGCCCCAGGACGCCGCCGCTCTACGAGGTACGTACCTCACTGTCCACACAGCGACGAGCTGCTGCTGTGCCACGTAGGATATGCTTTGCAGTTTACAGCTGTGTTGTTGTCCTTCCTGGTCAAAGCCATTTGTGTCAGTGATCCGTGTGCTGTAGTCTGTGTAACTTTGGAGCATTTCCATGGAGTGACCCAGTGCTCGGTGTGCGTGACTATCAGCATGAGAGTTTGTGCTTTGTGCTGAGGTCAGACAAACAGCTGCTCTAGTGCTGAAGTGCGTCCGAAACATACAATTATAGGTCAGGATTTTTACTGGATTTCTCACATTGAGCTACTTGTGTTCTTGTCATCGCAGTAATTTTATTTGATAATTTTGTATTTTAGGTTTTATTTGCATATTATCATAAGGTTTTAACATGAGCATGTACAAGCTAATTATTGTCAGAAATAAGGATATATATCACTCTAAATTAGGCTAATCTTTGTCTTTGACACTGTTTGGGATGGTGAAAGAAACATTCTTAACATTTTAAGTTTTTTTTGTAGAAATTCTGCATAATGAGACATTGTATTGTTGTTATAAATTCTTGATAATAAGTAACCCATGACTAATTTCAACAACAATCCCATATCTATTGGGAGTTCTGGGTGAATCTTCATCATAAATTGCGCTAGCGAACATTTCAATGCCCATTCTCCTCACCTTTTGATCCACATGAGCTGCACACTGACTTTGTCCGTGTGTCTGTCACCGTACCAGCCCCGGGGAGTGAGGAGACGGTGGTGTTCCGTCGTGAGCGTAGCACATTCCGTCGACAGGCTGTCCGGCGGCGGCACAATGCGGGCAGTAACCCCACGCCCCCCTCGTCTCTGATTGGATCTCCTCTCAGGTAAAGCCAGCATGGAGCCTGGGACCCCTGGTTTGAGCATGCAGCCAGATGGACAACCACCACCGTTTGATCTTCTTTTCAATCTCATCTTTTATACTTTCCGTTGATGTGGTGCAACTGCCACTTTGGTCATGCATGCTTTGTGGAGGTTCTGCTGCTTTTGGGCCGGATCTAGTTTCCCCAATATTTACCCTTTTTTACCCCTGAACTCTGATCAAGGTCATAACCAACAAATGTTGAGCCCAAGAAAAACAAGTGTGCAGCTTTCAGCCAGCACTCAATATTGTCCAACATTAGGGCTGTACAGAACAGCTTTCATCACTGATTTTAAAATGTTCTTGAATCAGTGTTCTTTCTCTACACTTTATCATGACATTTAGAACAAATCATTATCATTTTAATCAATTATAATAAACTTGTAGTATACAGGTGAGACTGATTACATACAAAGTGAGATATACCAAGCCTTTATTTGTTATAATGTTAATAATTGGCTCACAGAATGTAAAATCCCAAATAAAACATCTCGGTAAATCAGAATATTTTGAAAATGAACAGAGGCTTGACATGTACTGAGTATTCTCATTTTCTGAGTTGTATTTTTGTTTATATTGGATTTTCAGACACCCTTCAAAGCAGTTACCACTATACCTACCTCCGTTGCATCAGTTAGTGTGAGATGCATGAATTAGACGGCGTTAAGTTGACTGTCAGACAAACAAAACAAAAGATGCTCACTTTTATATATTTCTTTAATGTCTTCTATCCCTTTGCCATTGTCCTGTCACATGATCCATTCCACATGTACAGCCTGAATACCCCTCTACCCCCTATACCCTCCCTGATGGGTCCACTCTCATCTCACCTCCTCCCTGTGTCCTTCAGTCTCCAGGAGGCTCTGAGCTTTCAGGCCCAGCCCCCCTGCTCCTCCCTGTCCAAAAGCCAGCCCTCCAGGACCTCCTCCCAGGTGACTGTGCTGAGCGCAAGCACCTCCCTGCTGGCCAGGAACGGGAGCACCCAACTGGAAGGGTCCCAGGACAAGGCTTCCACCGTGGGCGCCACCAGCCTGCAGGATGACTTTGGTACTTTAGATTTCCCTGTTCCCATTGGTTCAAGATTTTATGGCCATAGTTGGATTTTGCTTGTCGTTATGACCTTGCACTGAGCTGCTATATTTAGTTTGTTTGACCCCTTTGAGAATTATTTTAAATGCATCCCTTAAAAAGACACACCATATCACGTTTAAAACTATGACACACAAGAATCATATCCATTTATAATCTCCACAATTCAAAACGTAACTGACCTTCACTTCAAAAGCTTTAAAAAAAATTTTGGTATAGTATGACATGCTTCTTTGAGTAATTGTTTTTGTGCTTTTTTTTTTTTGGTTTGTTTACTATGAGAAAATGAATGCTTTTTGTTTTTGTATTGTTTTCCCAGAACACACTTGGCTGAAGTTGGTGGCTTGAGTATTGCGGAGTACTGTGATATTATTCATGGTTGCTGATTTCTGTTCAGTCACTTTGTCATGCTCCATTTGTCTCTGTTTGCGATGTTGTGTCTGCGGACCCTGCTTGTCCTGACTGGCTGCAAGAGCCTCTGCGCTGATTATTGTCAGATACAATTTAATGTACGAGAGGTTTTCGATGATTGCGGTGTTTGTTGTTCCTTCATCTGGATTTGTGTACATGAAATGGTGCTTTGGAGAAGGTCTAAAATGTACTGCGACTCACAAAGAGGCTGTGTAGTTTTCAGTCATATGATGGTTTATGATGCTCCGAGTTCAGAGAAGATTTCACCTGATTTCAAGCTCGAAGAATGACTTTCTTTCTGGTTCTGCATACTTTCTTCATAAACTATTTCTTGAACTTCCATTTTTTGTCATAACATTTTTAAATATTCCTAAGTCCCACTTGCTTTTGTTTAAGTTGTTTTTTGCTTTTGCCTGTTTATCCAATATTTATCTATATCTGCACCGCTCTTATGTCATTTTTCCAACACACGTAATCATTTTCAGTGCCAAAAACAAGAAGACGTAAAACGTCTAGAGAGCAATCACAGCCTTGTTAGTTTAAAATGAGAATAGTGTTGCTGTGGTAACGTTTATTTCTTTTCCCGTTTCTCTCATCAGTTCCTGTGATTAGGTGCAAGACTTTTTCAGCCACAAGAGGCAACTCTTGAAAGCCACATTTCACTCCTTAATTGTTTTCTCTTCTTTGAAGTTTTTTTTCTCATCGACAACAAAACATGGTTGTCAAGATGCTGTCTGTGGACAATGCAGCCTTTGAATTTGGATACTCTATAGACTAAATAATTGGTCACGTTCAAGTACTTAGAATTATATTTCAGTTAGAGGGCAGCCTGAAAGTCCTTTGTTCGGGCTAACATCATTCACACTGTGTTTTTTTTAAACATACAGTCACCTCTTCTTGACACTTTTTAATGAGAATATGATTGGACCGTAGTCAACATGTACTAACAAAGATGATGTGGAACTTTGTGACTGTTTTTGTTTATTGTGGAATTTGGCCTTACTATTGACACTTGCTGCACCAAAGTTACCTGGAAATATTTTTCAGCTTCCCTCCACCACAATGATAAACTATAGGTTATTTGTAATGTTGTGATATCACATGAGCTCAACCTTTTTAAGCACTTGAACTATTCCAAGATTTTGCTAGCAGCATGTGTACTGCTTATCTGGTGGAAAACATGTAATTATGAATCTGCATTTGAATTCTTATTGTGGATGCTGGTTCGTAAATAATCTCTGGTTCGCTTTAAAACATATTTTTATACTTTTGTTTGCTTTTACTCTAAAGGAAAGATCACTCCATCTTTGTATGAAGCTGGTGGCTGTGACATGTCCTTGGTCAACTTTGAACCTGCAACACGAAGGGCATCAAACAATGTATGGTAAGGACTCTTTATTATTAGATTTGGATATTCCGAGTACAGTCATCAAACTTGTTTACGTATAGCACCTAACACCCAAGTTTTATTTTATTGTTTTGCAGGGACACAGACTCCCACCTCTCGAGTTCTACCTCAGTTCGCTTTTATCCTCATGACCTGGTGAGTGCCCTTTTATTGTTCATTTGCCACAGTTTTAATAGATATAGATTTATAATATTCAAAAATCTGATTATGTATTAGTTATGTCATAAAACTAAATCATCTGTGATTTTTGTTTATGCTTTAAAATCAACAAGGTCTTATTATCCTTCAATTGGATGTATTTATGTGTGTAAATTGCGGCCCCTCATTTCTAAAGTGACTGCAATATATCTATCTTAAAGATGCAGTCAGGGATTTTTTTTCTGGAAGCATTTCTTAAATATTGTGAGAAAACCTCCTTAAACCCTAAAAGTAGTCAAGTTATCATGTGTTTTCAAATAATATTGGAATTGACCAGATGCCTATAGTCTCCAAAAATTAATACAATATTTTGGAGCGGACCGATAAAAATAAACCAATGGGACGGGTTTACCCTCCTTCACCCTCTTCCTGTTTCTCGCGAGTGCGCACTCCTGATTTATCAGATTTTCTAAAACATAAAATGGCTGAAAAGAAAATGCCATTTTCACGTTTGCCACCTTCTCTCCCTGCTGTGACAAAGAAAAGAAAACGCTCAATGTTTGGTTTGGTGGAGCGACAGGGGGCATCTTTAATCAACTTCACAATAATCTTTTGACCTATGAATCTTTAACTACTTGATGCTAACATTCTCTTCTGTCATCTATTTCTTGCACATCTGCTCTGTGTGATCTTTTAATTGCTCCTTGGGCCAAAACCATTTTTTGATTTGAAGATCCGTCTGAACCGCCTGCTGACCATGGACCCGGAGCTTTTGGAGCAGCAGGACGGGGACCTGAGCCCAGAGTTGAAGGACGCTCCGCTGGGACAGGGCGATCGCTCCTCTGCGGGGAAGGCCAGGCAGTACTACCGACTCTGGCTGCTGCCGTATCTCTGGGTCGGACTGCACTTCGACCGCCTCACTCTGCTGGCTCTGTTTGATAGGTACTGCATCAGCTCACTCACAGTCTCACCTTCACCAGTGTTTCTCAGTATCAGTAACGCCAATATGAGATTTTAATTTTGCATTTTCAAAAAAATGTCAGTGTAACTCTTTAATGTTCACTCCTTGAAGAAATAAAATCCAAAAAAGAGAAAAAACTATGGCTAAAATGTAGGACACTAATAACATAAATATTGCTTTCTTTTTTTTCTTTAAACCATAGGCCTTTATCATATTGTTGAGATGCAGTTTGATGGGAAAATGGGTCTTAAACCAAGTGAGATGCCGTGAAGCGGTAGATTATCAGTTCCAAGCTTCAAGAAGATCTAGAGACTCAAAACATGAACCACTAAATGGTCGTGTGTTTTTGTGCTCCTTGTTCCTACAGTTCTGTTACTTGTGTGGCAACACTGTACTTTCCCCACTGTGGGACAAAAAGAGGATTTCCTCTCCTTTGCCTTGGCCTCCAAGTTGACTTTAGGCTTGTGATGTATTGCAGGAACAGGGAGGTGTTGGAAAACATCTTGGCCGTGGTGCTGGCCGTCCTTGTGGCCTTTCTGGGCTCCGTGCTGCTCGTCAACGGCTTCTTCACAGACATCTGGGTCTTTCAGTTCTGCCTTGTCATTGCAAGCTGCCAATATTCACTACTGAAGGTAAGATGAGAGCCAGCAGGATTTCCAAAGGCTGCAGGAGTCAGGGATTTGTGATTCTATAAAGGTGTTTATAAAGGAAATAACAATTATTTCAAACAATTACTTGCTTTATAATAAACTAAAAGATTATTATTTTGTACAAAATAAAGGTTTTCTTAATTCAATCGCGTTGTTCGCAGTGAAAGAATTAATGCATGTCAGGACGGTTGTGGCCAACACTTTTCTCAATTTCTCTAAACAGCACTTTCTATTATTTTGTACTGTATTATTGGCCCACTTAAATATTGTATAATATTCTTCTGGGTTCCTAAAGAAAACATTCTTTTTATTAAATACAACCAATAAAAACACTACATAAATAATTACATTAAATTATCTGATAAAAATAACTAATGAATCATTAAGAATGTAGTCGTAATCTGCAGCTCTAGTTTATTTGAAGGACATTAAACAGAATATGGTTGTAAATTATGTGTACCTTGATGAAACCATGTTCATGGTGCATTCACACAGAAGAGAAAAATCCCCTTATTTGTGCTTTCCTGTAAACTAAGTCTAAATGTAGAGGTCCTTCTCCTGACCCAGAGATCTGAAATGTAGTATTATACAAATGATAAATGTGCTACATCAAGATTACTACATCCGTTTTTCTTTGCAGAGTGTTCAACCAGACTCCTCTTCACCTCGTCATGTGAGTATTAATCTCTCTCTTTGATGCTTATGGAGGTATTGATAGCGACTAAACCTCCGCCTACGTCTCTTTGTCCAGTCCTTCTGTCCTTTTCAGATGATAAAATGTTTTCCTCCTCTCCGCTGTGTACTGTGTTGTCCGACCTCCATGGCATCAGTAGCTTGCTCTGAAACGGCGTCTTTTATTAATGCTGTTCCACTCTGCTGCAGGCGCAGGCTTTAAATAGTCCAAGCCAGAGTCAAGACCAGAGCATGCTCCCTTTGCTCTTTGTCACTACATGCATGTTGATCCATTCTTTCCTTGTCCTACATTCGCGTTCTGGTCCTCATTTTACCTTCAATAGAACCCGTGTCATAGTATCAGTGACACTAATGGTAAATTATAACTTTTTTTTTTACAAACAAGCTTCACAAATAAATGTACACTCGCAATGTTTTCATCTTGAAGGTTGATTTTATTGTTTTAATTACATTAGAAGCATCCTGACGTCCCACATGTCCTTACATTAGTTGTACATAAAAAAAAAAATATTTCTATATATGGATTTCTATCTCTTATAGAGTTTCCAGCTTTTATCTGTTTTACATATAATAAAATACTCTGTAGCGTCTAAAAGGTTAAGACAATGCAAACTCAAGCTTGCGGGCCAATTGCGGCCCTCTGTTCCATTTTATGTCTGCTGCTAACACAAAGTTGCCATTGAGGCACTTTAACAGTGTCATCCAACCAACTTCAGCTCCACCACTATGGTCATGTTGTACCTTGTATTAAATCTCAGACCCTCTGGGATCTACTCATTTACTGTTGTTATATACTGACATTTTTTAATGATTGTGTCACAACATTTTACATGAAATAATGAACTAAAGTGGCCATCTCACTAAAAGGTTTGGACACCCCTGTACCAATAAGCTATTTTTTTTATTTTTTATCATAGCTCTCAATGGCCACTGATAAATTCATGTCAAATCTTGTGACAATATAAGTGGACAAAAAATCTTCTAACCACATGGAAATTATTCCTAGTAGATATGTTTAACATCAAATTATACAAAGGAAAGGACAGTCCATCAAGATTTTTACCTAATGGACGTTATATGGAAAAATGGCAACAGAGTAATACGCTAACCACTCGTCACTTCTCTCCCTTTAGGGCCATAATCGCATCATTGCGTATAGTCGGCCAGTCTACTTCTGCCTGTGCTGTGGTCTCATTTGGCTGCTGGATTATGGCAGTGCCAGAACCACCTCTTCACGCTTCACTCTGTACGGTGTGGCCCTCACCAGCTCCCTCATCCTGGGATCGGCCCGAGACCTCGTCATTGGTGCGTAATGCATTAATTAGTATGAGCTGTCTGCATTGGGTCATGGTCAAGATTAGAATAGATTTTCATTTATTTCATTTATTTGTTCCTTCCGATCCCACAACAGTACACATTTGTACACACAACAAGTATCCAAATGCACAATGGTGCACCAGTGGACAGACCACACCAACAAATATATACAACCCACATCACTAATGCACCCGTGCACAGAAAAATAATAATAAAAATAAAACAAGCTTTGCGTATTCACAAAGGCCTTGTTGTTATTATACACAAATTGCTCCATGAGCTCAAAATGGAGTGGGAATAGATAAATAACCATAGTTATTCATGTATGCTGAACTGTCTACCACTGATGCTTCTATTTCTACAGAGCATTTTCATATAGTCCCTTGAAATATTCTAATATTCCTTAAATAAACAATTTCAAATTCACTGACCCACATTAGCCTACAGCAACGTTTTTGTAAACAACCATAGAGCTCTTCAAGCTTAGACAGTGCTGATCCAAAACGCATAACAACATAATTTATTTGACACGTGGCGCAATGTAGGAGTCCTTTTATGAAACAATTGACTAACTGTGAATTGGTGTTTGAATCTCCATTAATATTGCTGCATAAACACATTATTTAAGGTGTGTGTGTGTCTTTGTAAGGGAAAAAGACTTCATTAATACCCCATTATAAATTATCCAAAGTGAATTGTCATGGCACGAGAATTGATACTTACAATTGAATACAAATTTAATCCCTGTTTTTGCACTAAAATCATCCTTTCTTCTGTGTCCACAGTATTTACTCTGTGTTTTCCCATCATCTTCTTTGTCGGGCTGCTGCCACAGGTCAACACGTTCGTCATGTATTTGTTTGAGCAGCTTGATATCCACGTGTTTGGGGGCAACGGTGAGTCAGGATAACTAAATACCAAATAAACTGCATAAATATGTTTCATATAGTGCTCTCTACATGTCATTATGTTTTGACATTTTAGTGCAAATTAGATAAAATATCACTTTTGAGGTGTGTAAACTATTGCTTTAACCCAGCAATGACAACTGTCTGATTTATTTTTTGTGTGGGCTGTGATTGACAATCGAGCTGTCAATCACAGCCCAGACCATGCCCAACTCAAAGCCCCCCTTCTTGTACTCTGGTCCTTCGGGCAACGCCCTTTTTAGAGAGAAATTGGGGGGGAGTGAGGCTGATCTTTAACACTTTAACAGAGTGGTCTTGGCAGTACCATAGAAGGAGTAGACGTCACCCATAGGGTTTGCCAAATGTAGAAGAATCCTATGTTTACCAGCATCATTTAGTCAAGCTTGGAGCCAAAGTCATAATGTATCATAGAGAGTGCTATACCACCTATTGTTTAACCCAAAATGGTGACTGTGGTTTACTGGTTTGTATTGACCGGTGAACAATGTAACCGTGTAGCGATGACCTGATATGACCTGTTAAAGCTAACCACTCAGGGGCCTCCTGTCCCTGAAATCAACTTTGGCGAGAGAATAGTGTGAGCAGGAACAGAGTAGTCCAAATCTTGAATGGCTCTAATCTAACAAAAGTGGTGAAACCGTTATTAGAATGTTTGCCATTTTATGAATCGTGCTGCGTTGTGATTTGCAGCTTCTGTGTGCATTGATTCAAATCACGATATTTCTGAATCGATGGACTTCGTTGTAAACACTCTCTGCCATTATATATGTGCTTCCATACAACCCCAGAGTGCTGATTTGTGTTGTGTCAGTCCTGATGTGTGTACAGTGGATTGATGCCACTCTTTGTGTGTCTCTCCAGCATCCACCAGCCTCCTGTCTGCGCTCTACAGCATCCTCCGCAGCATCGTCACCGTCGCTCTGCTTTACGGCTTCTGCTACGGAGCGCTGAAGGTGAGAGCAAGGAGAAATGAGCCAGCAAGGAAGAGGATAAAGTTTATTTACAACATATTTACTTAGAGAGATCAAGAACATTAACTATACCATGAAGCCTTATATAAGAGAGAAGATTGAATTCAAGCCATATCCCAAATGTATGCTATTAAATCTAAACGCCAATTATATTAAGTATCTTTTCTCTTTTGAAGCACTTTGGTGATTGTCCTGACATTCTTATAATCACCTGATACTCATTTCAAACTGTAACGGCGCCACCCAAAATGCCTCTATCTATTAATACAATATTGCGTCAGGCTAATATTTTTAGGAAATTTGCAATATTTGTTTCCTTTTTTCCACCTTAAACTCTACTTATTGAAAATGTCCTGTTTTAAACCTCTTTCTTCATGTCACAGGAGACGTGGGAGCCTCACCACATCCCAGTTTTGTTTTCTGTTTTCTGTGGCCTCTTGGTGGCAGTGTCGTACCACTTGAGCCGGCAGAGCAGTGACCCTTCTGTCCTCATGTGAGTCTGCTGCACATTCTTGATGTGTCCAGTGTCTGACCCAGAGACTTATTTTTAGCTTTGTGTTTGCAATTGTACGATTTAAGATGTACACCCTTCTTAATCATATCTTGTATTTCTTTGTCACAAACCTGATGCTACTGTTCTGTTATTGTAGATCATTGATACAGTCAAAGATTTTGCCCAATTTAAAGGACAAAAACCCAGAAGATCCTCTGTCAGAAGTGCATGACCCTTTACCGGACAAACTCAGGGCATCAGTGGTGAGTAAATGTTATGTATAATATATATAACAAATACTTTTTTAGTCCTTTTCACCATTTTATGTAGTGAATGTATATTAGATGTAATAAATATAACAAGTCTAAAAACTATTATATCTGGAACTATAAATATACTATAACTATTAACACTTTCATTCCAATTCATGCATGTAATGGATTTGTATTTTTTGTCAAATCAACTTCTCTGCTTCAGAATGAGCGACTGCAGTCAGACCTGATTGTGTGTGTGGTGATTGCTGTTCTTTACTTCGCCATCCATGTTAGCACAGTCTTCATAGCATTACAGGTATGTTATAGAATAACTACTATACTCCTTTTTATTTCTTATAAGTATTATTTATATTAATGTAGGATTATTCGATACAATTCAAGCTCATACTTTATTCTGTTTCTCTTCAGCCTTTTCTGAGCTATGTCTTGTACGGGCTGTTGGGGGCAGTGGGGCTCCTCACCCATTATCTTCTGCCTCAAGTTCGAAAGCAGCTGCCCTGGTTCTGCTTCTCTCACCCTTTACTCAAGACCAAGGAGTACTACCAGTTTGAAGTCAGGGGTAAGTTCCAGACAAACATAAATTAAGTGCTTAGTACAGCAAAACAAAACAACAAATTCTCATGAATGTCAGCAGCAAGATTCCATGGAAATAGGAAGTGAACTTCTTATTTCCATGTAATCTTTCCAGTGACACCCCACCTCCAAAATGCTAGATGATGTCGCTTTAATAATAACTATGACTGACATAAATTAGGATGTTGACATTTTACTCAAAGAAAAACACCTTTTCAATAGCCATCATGTCAAAGCTCCTACTTGTGCTCCTGTATTCAAGTTGACAACTTTGCACTTAGGTCAATACACTATTCATAGTTACCACCAAACTATTAAATATTTACATGAGGGTGTTTTTTCCTCTGCCCAGATGCGGCACATGTCATGTGGTTTGAGAAGTTTCACGTGTGGCTGCTCTTTGTGGAGAAGAATGTACTTTATCCCCTGGTCATCCTCAACGAGCTCAGTGGAAGCGCCAGGGAGCTCGCTAGCCCAAAGAGACTGGACACAGAGTAAGACAATTAAATGTATTGACTTTATTATGGATTTGAATGTGTGTAAGCTAGGACTGAACCAGGATTTTGAAGGGTACACAACTTGTCTCTTTCTTCTATAATGTCTATCACACCCGTGGCTCATTGTTAAATGTGTAGTACGTTTGAACTCTCAATATTGAGCTTATGTACAACTGATGTAATATAAGAGATGTGTCTGCGCACTTCCTCATTCAGTCCTGCCGTATGGCTTTGTGCTCTGCCCCTTTACAGTCAGTGAAACATACAATACAATTTATTCTTGTATAGCCCTAAATCACAACAGAAGTAATCTCAGAGAACTTAACAAAACCATTGAAATCACCAACACAGATCAGAGAATCAACAGTTAAAACACATAAATAATAAACATAAACATGGCCGCTCCAAAGCCTCTGCTCTATTTGCATTGCATGGATATTTTCTTCCTTAAGAGCAAAAAGACAAAATAATGGTGTGCAATGCAGGCGAATAATCTGCACTTCATGGTATCCAATAAAACAATTGGGGATATAAAAAATTATAAACAGTTAGAGTGGCCCAAGCACTTAAGATCGTTTTTGTTTGTCAGAGTGTCCTAACCACAGGTCTGGTCTTAACTTGGTCTCAGCCTTAATCACAGACGTGTTGTTCCAGGGTTGGCGCTCTGATGATCACTGTGGCGGGTCTGAAGCTGCTGCGCTCGTGCTACAGCAGCCCCACGTACCAGTACATCACCATCCTCTTCACCGTCCTCTTCTTCACCTTCGACTACAAGCACCTGTCCGAAACCCTGCTGCTCGACCTCTTCCTCATGTCCATTGTTTTCAGTAAGGTGAGAAAGGGGGTCTCTTTGATTGCTGGCAAAATGAAAATCTGAATTTAGGATTATGATTTTTCTTTGTTCAATCTGGGTAACTAATCATAAATTGTTACATTGGTGCTTTGTGTCTGAAGTGCAGAAATAGAACTTAGCATGAATACTTGAAATGAATCCATTATTTTAGTATTTCATTAATCGATTATTACCTTTGATTGATCGAAAAACAGTTTTTACATATTTACTATATATTTTAAAAAAACAATGATTATTTTTCAAATTTATTTTAAAACGCAATTTCTTATATGCAAATTTAGGCTGTTGCTTAAGGTGTAAAACAGGTGCCAAAATGAGTTCAGTATGCTTCGTGTGCCACAGCTTGTCAGTACTTTTATGGTGGTTGATTTGATCTTATTGTGAGATATTGAATTGCCAATAGACCTTCCCTGTTTTCTTCTATTTAAAAAGAGACATCATTCTACTTGTACTAGCTCATTCAGAGACAATACATGTCTTCAGAAGTGTGAGAAAATACGTTTATGTGAATTGGTTTGTTTGTTGCAGATGTGGGAGCTGTTTTACAAGTTGCACTTTGTCTACACTTACATCGCTCCATGGCAGATCACTTGGGGCTCTGCCTTTCACGCCTTTGCCCAACCCTTTGCTGTGCCTCGTATCCTTTTAGTTTGATTCATTTTCTTTTCACATATGCACAGAAAGTGTGTTTGCTTAAAAATACCAACACAACATATACACAAAAATGTCATGTGTGAGAATAAATTAGTCGTTTTGCTAATACAGCTTAACAGTAAATTCACAGCTAAAATGTGATTTTGAGATTCTACTTTTACGTGTAGACAGAGATGTGCTGGATTGAAAGCTTTTATCACAGAATACATTTGATATGTACTTAGAATCATAGATACACGTGTAGACAGTTAATCATTTTATTACATTATTTGTTTCTATCTGCTGCTAATGCACAGATGTAAACATATAACTACACATTGCTTGCACTAGAATACACAGTACTTTATAGTTGCCTCTTATTTTGCCAAATGTAAAACTTTTACACTTCTTTTATTGTTATTTTCAAGATAGAGATTTTATACTTTTATTGATGCTAGAGTTAGAGATTTTGTTTTATTTGTATTAGTATAGCTATTGTTCACTTATCTTGTGCCGTGTGCTCCTCTTTCCTACTGTTCTATAACTTGTGATGCAACACTGAAATTTCTCCACTGTGGGACAAATAAAGGATCTCTTAATCTTAATTGTATATATAGAATAAGATCAATAATTTGAAGTTCCTTTACTGGTGTTACTCCAGACTCTGCCATGCTGTTTGTTCAGGCCGTTGTGTCAGCCATTTTCTCCACTCCCCTCAACCCGTTTCTGGGCAGTGCCATCTTCATCACCTCCTATGTGCGCCCAGTTAAGTTCTGGGAGAGGGACTATAAGTAAGTTTTATTGCTTACTAAATTACTTATTTGTATCCGTAGATTTGCCTAGTTGTTTAGGTTTTTTAATTACATTTTAGCATTGTACTTTAACTGCCTCATGTCTCTAAATGCAGCACCAAAAGGGTGGACCACTCCAACACTAGACTGGCACATCAGCTGGACAGAAATCCAGGTAAGAATATGAGAGCCATCTTTGTGTTCCTAGAGTTGAAGCTGTATGACTTAGATACTCAGTTTAAGTGCTTGAATGCCTAAGCACAACACATAAGTGCTAGTGTTTTTACTACGTTCTTATATTTATATTATTTCTGGTAAATTTAAAGTAATTCTTTGTATGATATTTGCAGGGTCTGATGACAACAACCTGAACTCTATTTTCTATGAGCACTTGACGCGCTCACTGCAGCACAGTCTGTGTGGAGACCTGCTGCTCGGACGCTGGGGAAACTTCAGCACCGGAGACTGCTTCATTTTGGCCTCGGACTATCTGAACGCCCTGGTGCACCTCATCGAAATCGGCAACGGCCTGGTTACGTTTCAACTCAGAGGCCTGGAATTCAGAGGTGAGATAACAATGGGCACTGCTACATGTATATACTTTTTTGTCTGTAACCAAAAGATTTCCTTGCTCTTTGAGAGAACGCTATGAGATTTCTCCAGGATGAGATGAAATTTGAATAACCCTAACCCGGGGAGTGGGAAGTCTGGGCATCTGTTCATAGATGCTGCCCCTGCAACCCAGCAAAATGGATAGTCAAAACACATTTAAAATTATACAATGATTCAAAAGCTAGTTTAATTTTTGGTTTATTGTGGCTCATAGCACAAGTTGTTTTCCTTGTGTATTTTACAATATTTACAATTACAAAGTAGGTATTGTTTCTGCATTTTAAAATTGTTTCTCACTGATGAGCCCAAAATGGCGTTGGAAGAAGACAATTTAACAAACATACATCCTGTCCATAGGCACATACTGTCAACAGAGGGAGGTGGAGGCCATCACTGAAGGCGTAGAGGAGGATGAGGGCTGCTGCTGCTGTGAGCCCGGACACATGCCTCACTTCCTGTCGTTCAACACGGCGTTCGGACAGCGCTGGTTGGCGTGGGAGGTCTTGGTCACCAAGTATGTCCTGGAGGGCTACAGCATCACAGACAACAGCGCCGCCTCAATGTTGCAAGTTTTTGATCTGAGGAGGATTCTCACCACCTACTACGTAAAGGTAGGAAATTCCCCGGGACATGACAGTCACTTTACTTGTTATGCATGTTTGTGTGTTTTAAAATGTTGGATTTGTCTGTTTGAGCCTGTTTGAGGGTTTGATTCCACCTCCAGGCCCTGTCTGTTTGTATGTTCTCTCTGTGTCTTTAATTGTTTTTCTCCGGGTGCTCCCCTACCACTATAAACATGTACTGTACTATAGTTCAGGGGGAATGAATGAGTTTGTAAGTGCGACTGTGGGGCAACGGATGGAAATTAGTCCAAGGCTACAATCCGTGTTCCTGAACATACTATCCCAACAAAATGAACAAAACAAAAAAAATTCTATGCAATCCAAATACAGTCAACATTTTCAAACAAGCACAATTTTTCTTTCCCATTCCAGGGCATTATCTACTACGTAGTCGAGTCCCCTAAGCTGGAGGAGTGGTTGGCCAATGAGACAATGAGGGATGGTCTGAGGGGCTGCACTGAGAGGAACTACGTGGATTTAGATCCAACATTTAACCCGAACATTGACGAGGACTATGACCACAGACTTGCCGGGATTTCACGTGACAGCTTCTGCAGCGTCTACCTGGGCTGGATCCAGTACTGCAACTCAAGAAGAACAAAGGTGCAGAAACATTTGCAACATCTCCTTTGTCCAGTGGCACTATTAAACAAAAATAACTAATAATGAATGCACTCTAAAACGTTATGAACTATTTTTATTTGTATTTTATAACTTATCTAGGACTTCTTTTGATGCTTTTGATTCATTCATGTAGATCTGTGTAGTACTTAATCCTACAGCATATTTCCCTTAGGACAATAAAGTTTATCTTATCTTAACACTTGATCAGCTCTGGATTAGTAATAAGAGTATGTAATTATGTATTGATAACAAAACTTGATTAATTTGCGGGGTAAATACAAATTAAATGTCTAATAAAATACCTCACAAAGCTCAGATGTTTGTTGAGAGGGCTCTCTTTTATTTATTTATTTTATTTGTTACTTCAGCCTCTGGAGAGTGAAAGGGACTCTGCTCTGGTTCTGCTGTGCTTCGGCCTGTGTGTCCTGGGACGGAGAGCTCTTGGAACTGCTGCTCATCACATGTCCAGGTTTGTATTTTTTTTGTAGAAACAACTCAATATAAGTAACAGATTTTGCCTTTATTGAATGTTTACTTTCTATTATTCTGCTGATTTGAATTTGATTAATATCAAATCTGTCACCTACAGTCTCTCTCCCTAAAACCTTCAAACAAGGTCAGAAATCTAGGGGTAATACTGGACTCAGACTTAAATTTTAATAGCCACATCAGATCAGTAACATCAGCAGCTTTTTACCATCTAAAAAACATTTCCAGGATCAAAAACATAGTGTCTAAAGCAGACTTGGAGATTCTTATCCATGCATTTGTCTCCAGTAGGTTAGACTACTGCAATGGCCTGCTCACAGGTCTGTCCAAACAGGCTGTAAAACAGCTGCAGTACATTCAAAATGCAGCAGCTCGAGTCCTGACTAGAACCAGGAAGTACGACCACATTAGTCCAGTTCTCAGGTCTCTGCACAAGCTTCCTGTGGCTCAGAGAATAGACTTTAAAACAGCTCTGCTTGTGTACAAGTCCCTCCATGGCCTCGCACCAAAATATATTAGTGACATGTTAGTACCATACGACCCAGCCCGGACTCTGAGGAGCACAGGGACTGGACTCCTGTTAGTGCCCAGAGTCAGAACTAAACATGGGGAGGCTGCTTTTCAGATTCATGCTGCTAAAATCTGGAACAGTCTTCCTGAAGATGTGAGACAGGCCTCCTCAATTACAATGTTTAAAACCAGGTTGAAGACAGTTCTGTTTAGCTGTGCATACAATTGAGGGATTTTATATTTTTATCTTTCTTTTTAATGTTCTGTGATTATTTATGATTTTAATGCTTTCTTATTTTGTTCAGCACTTTGAATTGCCTTGTGTATGAATTGTGCTATATAAATAAACTTGCCTTGCCTTGCCTTGGGTAACATGACTATAGGTCCACTGTAGATGCAAAAAGAATGATACATCAGTGTTATGCGTGAGAGATGTAATAATTTAGACTTTCTTCTTCTTCATTTCAGTAACCTGGAGTCCTTTCTGTTTGGACTTCATGCATTATTCAAGGGAGATTTCCGTATCTCTTCGATCAGAGACGAGTGGATCTTTGCCGACATGGAGCTGCTCCGGAAAGTGGTGGTTCCTGGAATCAGAATGTCCCTTAAACTACACCAGGTCAGACCAATATACAGTGTGTGGGGTGTAATGGCATCTGATTAAATATAATAATGAGAAAAATTGACTAATAAAGGTAAAGGTGTGCAATGCGTTTATAAATTGTAATGGCTGAACATTATCCTAATCTGTATTGCCCATCAGTATTATACTTTTTGTATTTGAGAAAAATTATAAGCTATTTTGTAAACAGGTTCTGCATGGATTATGTTCACACTTTGATTGAGCCAAGTTTACAAAGAGACTTGGTTTGATCCTTTTCTAGTCCTGCTCTACTTCAGATTTGTTTTCCCAATTTACCCTCAATTATAATGTGAAATTAAGGTGTGTGAATACAATAGTTTCTGTAACCATTCCCCTTTATTGTTCCTAGGACCATTTCACGTCTCCGGATGAGTACGAGGAACCCGCTGTCTTGTATGAGGCCATCTCGTCCCACCACCTGAACCTGGTGATTGCTCATGAAGGGGATCCCGCCTGGAGGAGCGCCGTCCTCTCCAACGCTCAGTCTCTGCTCGCTCTGCGCCACGTCCTGGATGAAGGAACCAACGAGTACAAGATCATCATGTTGAACAGACGCTACCTCAGCTTTAGGGTCATCAAGGTATGGACTAGCTTTCAACTCATAGAAATATATTTTAAAATACTACGAATGAAAGACAACAAAGTCGTGTTTGACTTTGTTGACTCAACTTTTCAAATACTACTGTCTTTGTGATAAATGTGTTTTAGGGAATAAGACAAAGTATAATAATAATTTGTACTTTTTATATTTTATAATAATTCTGAGTAAAGGTTTTATCTGTGAGTTATGAATAAGATTAAAAGGCTCATAACAAATGATAGTCTGAGGATGGAAACGTAAACTAGAGATTGAGTTTTTGTCCTGCCCTCAAGGGAGGCAAAAGCATTTGAACCTTTTTTGACTCCTCCCTGCACTGTTAACCACAATAGTGTGAATCTTCATGGATATGGCATTGCAATATTGTTGGTATTGCCATTGAAAAGATACTTGTATAGAGGGACTGTATATGGAACTGTAAATCATTTTTCGCAATTCAAATAATAATTCTAATTACTTTTTGTTAATGTAATGACCCTATTCCCTCTGATTGCGGCAGGTGAATAAGGAGTGTGTGCGTGGTCTCTGGGCGGGACAACAACAGGAACTGGTTTTCCTCCGAAACAGAAACCCTGAACGAGGAAGTATCCAAAATGCTAAGCAAGCTCTGAGGAACATGATCAACTCGTCCTGTGACCAGCCCATCGGTTACCCCATCTACGTCTCCCCTCTGACCACGTCTTACTGCAACTCCCATCCCCAACTCGGACACATCCTGGGGGGGCCCATCAGCATCGCCAACATACGGAACTTTGTGGTCAGCACTTGGCACAGGCGAGTTTGAATAATATATGCATAAAAGATGATAAAAAGGCTTTTGTATAATTTAAAGAAGGCATTATCAGACTGATTTGACTGACTAGCCCTTTCTTCTTTCCATAGACTGCGTAAGGGCTGTGGTGCGGGCTGCAACAGTGGTGGGAACATAGAAGACTCGGACGTGGGGGGTCTATCCAGTGGGAATGGAACAGCAGGGGACTCGCAGCAGAGCTCAGTGTCTCATAGTGGGATGTCTGGGCCATCACTGCCCCTTAGCTACCCTCCACATCCTCTGGGTAAGAAACAAGATACTTTCAATACCGCTATTTTTCATTTATGAATAATGAGCACTACTACAAAGAGTAGTGACTTCTGAAGACGAACCAATTGTACAAGTACTGCAGCTGTGTGTCCAGGAATGCATCATGGTCCTAAAATACTCTCTTGTTTCCAGGCACGAGTCAGAGCGCTCATTCTGTTCAGTCCAGTTTCCGTCACTCCCCAGCCCGAGCTTCCATGGCCTCACAGTCGTCGTCGTATCGCTACAGCAGCAGCAGACACTCCTCTCTGCGCACCTCCACCACCGGTCTGGAGCCATGCCGCCGCTCCTCCACCAGCCAGCTCTCCCTGCGCGCTCTGCCCACCACGCTGCACCTCCGCCTGGGCTCTAGCTCGGATCCCTCCGGCCCTTCCGCCTCCCTATCCAGCCACAGCATCCCCCCCTGTAAAAGGACCACTCTGGTGGGGCTTCTGGGGAACGACAGTCTGTGCAGCGCAGTGACAGATCCTCTGAGCCATCACCATTTCCATCATCATCATCCGCAGCAGCACAACCCGACTGTGGCTACTGTGCGCAGGGACGACATCTCATACAGAGTCCAGGTGGGACAGCAGAGTAGTCTGTGGTACAATAATTGTGCTGTGTATGTTGAACGAAAGGGACGAATTTCTGAAAAGAACATTTTCAATACAATACAATACAATTTATTCTTGTATAGCCCTGGGTCACAACAGATGTCATCTCAGAGGACTTAACAAAACCATTGAAATCACCAACACAGGTCAAAGAATCAACAGTTAAAACACTTGAAAAATATAAATCACACACAGAAGAAAATGTCCATACATGTTGTAGAATGCTAAAGTGTCCTGATCATCACTAGTCCTTTCTGTTGGACACTATCTGTCCAACAAGACCCTCCTGCATCGACAAGGAAAAACTCTTAAAAAACCCAGTGGGTTTTTTACCCGAATGTATTACTCGCCTCTTTTGAATGCAGATAACATGCTCTTGACGGGAGCTGATTTGCTGTAGACCAATTTCTTGATTGAATATATTTGGCTATGCATATTTTTAACTGAAATAAACAGTATCTCTGTATTGTGTTGCCCTCAGATTGTCGACTTGAGTCAGGTGCTGGAGCACATTCACTTGTCAAAGCGAAAGGAGCTGCAGTGGCCTGACGAAACAATGAGATTGAGAGCAGGACGAACCTGCTGGAGGGACTGGAGCCCCATAGAGGGCATGGAAGGACATGTATGTACTCCTATTTGTTTTTTTTTTCCATGTCCAATATTGAGAATTAGTGCTCAATGAGGCTGATAACTGATATAGATATGTATAGAATAATAGAACAATAACTTTTTACCATTGCATAATCATTAACAATTTAGTGAACAATGATTACAATGAAAGGAATGCTTGATGAGAAGTTTCAACTATTCAATATGTTTTATAAAAACATGTGCAGTTGCTTTAACAGAAAAGCTCTGTTAACCATGTTGGATTATAACGTTCTAGGTCTTAGTTACCATTTTGTACTGTTTGCTTTTACTAGTTATATAGTAATATTTTAGGTTTGTTAATGTTGATTTTGTTATTATAAAAAAATGTTACTTCAAAAGGTGTACAATTGTATGAACAACCTAGAACTGTAATCATTGTTGTTGTGATAAAAATGCCGCTGTCTCTTTCAGGTGATTCACCGGTGGGTGCCTTGTAGCCGAGACCCAACTAACCGCTCCCATATTGACAAGACCATCCTGCTGGTTCAGGTGGATGATAAGCTAGTGCCCATTATAGAAACTGGGGTTATTGAACTGGGGGCCGAGGTTTAAGGCGAACACATTTCTGCAGGTTTTTGGACCGGGACTTTCCCCCTTTCCCAGGTCCTGATTGCTGAGGGGGACAGGAGCCAGGGAACTGTGCAAAAACAAAGGCAGTACCATTCATTTACCCAGCATCCTTCAGTGCATCTGTCACACTATCTGCCTTGCTTTGCATCCAAATGCTGCATGACAGTAAACAGCTCTAGGTTTATTGATGCTACTGGTTTCTTTCTATGCATTTCTTCATTGATTGTGTTGTTTATTTGGTTGATAAATGTGTGAGTATGATGTCATTACATGATTGACATGGAAGGCGACAAGTCAAAGTAAATATTTACGTTATTTCAACAATTACTTGGCCTTATTAAGAGAACAGACACAAAGGTTTTTATCTGAGCACAAGTCTTTGGTGAGGAGACATTTCTCCTAAAAATACAGATCAGGTTACATGTTGTTGGTGTTTTTTTTTGGATTCCTGTTTTCTTCATTATAAATAATTGTGTATACGCTGCTGCTCTCCAATTATTGAAAAAAAGTTAAATTTTTAACGAAATCTTGTCCATTTGTCGATAATGATCAAAGAATGTGTGTTTTTCTTGTTTTGTTTGTCCTTAAAAACTGTTTGCCAAAAAGTCTGTTATTTTGTATTTTTGTATAGATTTTTTGTTTTCATTGTTGCCAAGACAGAGCAGTGAAAAGGCCCCGAGGGGTTCAAGACTTTACTGAACTGTGGCCAACCTTGTGTTTTATGTCATTCCCATTGGATTAATTGATTTATTTTGCGCAAAAAACCTTGCACTATGTATTTTTCATCATTTTTATTTTCATTTACAGTGATGCACTACAATCTTTAATAATATCAAGTTTATTATTTATTTCTTAGACTCTGAATGGCCATGGTTAACGATGCCTTGGGATTGAAAAATGCAATCATCTGTTTTCTTTTTTGTTATGTTTGATAAACTTGAAAATGACTTTTTACTGTATGTCTATATCTATATATATTCAATTATATATATATAATGTAAATGTATAAAAGATTTGTTTTGGATATTTATTACTGTGAACATAGTATTTACACTTTGTTACATCTTTTTCATTTTATGACAAAGGTTAATGTATTATGGACCATAGGCTGAAAACAACTTTTTGAAGGACTGTTTTGACTATTTAACTTAATTCTTTTCTATAAGAAATAAAAGTTGGATTTATTGCTTACAATTGTGGCTTTCTTTATTTTATTTTATTGTTTTTGGTTAACAGATGTTTGAACATGCCAATGGTATATTTGTGTGCTGAGTCTTGTCTGTTTTAGCTGGGTATAGCTGACTCACTGTTTCTGAAAATACATGGGATAATGTTTAAACAAGCTTGTGATTTGCAGGTGATTTTATTGATAAGAAAAACTAGGGCAAAATGCAGACTTATCACTGCTGATAAAACACTTTTTCCCTACTGTGAAAAGGCAACTAAATGTAACTAGTAATATCTGGAAAAAAATGAATTAAATCTTTTGAATTGAAAATGTAACATGCTTTCACATAGTTTAAAAAAGACTGAAAAATAACTTTTGATACATGTCTGATTGTTTTAAAAGCTTTAAAACCCCCAGGACCCAAGACTTCATCCACAATATCAAATACAAATTGATGTTGTGGATGAAATTGATATTAGAACACTTGTTTATTGTCGTCCTGTTATTATTTTGGATTTGGTTCAGATTGCATTTCTTCAAGTCTTATAGTGGACATTTTAGAGTCTTAGATAGTGAGTTGGCCGGGTAGTGTACTGGATGTTTATAAAGCTGCTTATTACTATTTATCGAAAAGTATGCAGAGCCACTAACAAATGGATGGTTTAAAACGTGACAAGAATATGTTATTGAATATTGCACAAAAACTATTCATTCTGCCAAAAACCATCTTCCAAGATTATGTCTACATTTATTCTCTCCTCCTAAGCTCTTCCGTACAGCAGTAAATAAATCACGTACGAGCACCAGTGAGGTCCCGCCCACCGCGCTCTCTGATTGGCGGACAGCGTAGGATTCCTGCCCGTTCTCCTGACTAATATAAATATCCAAATGAACTTGCATTTTTTAGTTTCCCTTAAAGGTCTGCTCCTTCAACTCGCCATACACAGGTAACATATGTTTACAGAGCTTTACAGACCACAGTTCAAACGGACAGAGTAACCGAGGATTTAGTTATAATCAATGTGTTGCTATTTATGAAAGCTAAGGTTAGCTTCATGGATAGCTTTGGAGAAATCACGTGACCACAGGAGTCAGCTGGTCACTGTGTAGATGGAGCACTCGCTGTTTTTATTCGTTTTTATTACTGTTTCCCACTGAATATACCTTGAAAGTTAATGCTCAGGACGCTTAAACAATACTAATTTGTTGTTTTATCCACTAAGGGGGATCAAACATGTTTACGCCGGTGTTATTCGCACTACTGGGCTTCAGTCTGGGGACAGTCAGCGCTTTCGATGCCCCAGAGGAAGACGGGGGCAAACACTGGGTGGTGATCGTGGCGGGCTCCAATGGCTGGTACAACTACAGACATCAGGTAAATGCACTTATAACATTAAAATAAATGTTTTTTTCAGATACAGCTAGTGTCTAGGTGCACTGGTTATGAATGAAGGAAACACTTAAGACCATTGCAAAGCTCCCTTAATTTGTTTCATAAAACCATGTGCATATATAATCTTGCAAACGAATCTACTGTGGGTATCAGCCATAATTTAGCCTATTTTAAGCCTGTGTTCTATTGCAGCAAATGCAACCTTGTTTTATGGTTTAAATATCTGTTTTTTATTGTTGGAATGTGTGCTGTCTCTGGTGTTTAGGTTGTATGATACTTAACAAATAAACAAGAACATATGGACATTGCTTATTACAATGACTTGAGTTGGAGTGTAGTTAACAAAATAATTTTTGCTTCCTTCTAGTCTGATGCCTGCCATGCCTACCAGATTGTCCACAAGAATGGTATCCCAGATGAAAACATTATTGTTATGATGTACGATGACTTGGCACAAAATGAAAAGTGAGTTTTTATTCTGCCTTATACCGACCGAATATATGGTATGGTTATAAATGTTTCATAATCATACAACTTGACTCCTTGTTATAGAAGATGATTAGGTGATAAAATGTTTGAACTACTACTACATTTTGTTCATACATTTACAATAAGTAAAAGTCAAATTTTGTGAACAAACTACACCACAACATCATGACACTGATGCTTTGAGCTGATTGGCTGGGTGCTCCTCTCCTTTTCACTTTTCTGATCTGAAAATGTGACACAGGCCAAATACATGGATGTGAAAACTAGTGAGTGAACGAATTGTTTTGGGAGCGAGGAACTAGTTATTATTATGGCATAGTTCCAGGGTGGTTTGAGATTTAAAGGTGTACTTGTGTTAATTTTTCCCAGGTTTGTTTACGATAATGGCACAGATTAAATACTTTATTATTGCCATGAGACAAAATGGGAAGCGTCTTCAAACTGCTCCACTTTTGTGCTTGTTAATGAACATGAATACAAATCCACAGCGCTATGTTTCCGTGGTATGTTGCTCTGTGAGGGGGAAGTGGGCCGCTGCTGAATTCAGAGTCAAGAGTCACAAGAAACTTGTTTAACTGCTCCACTTTGTGGTTGCGGGAAAGTCCAACACAGGCAGTATTATTCAAAGGAAAGGGATATATAAAGAGCAAAAAAGAGCACCTGATAACTCGTCCTTTTTAGATTTTAAACAGAAATATCCACACAATGACATGGCATACTCTTTCATAGGGTTCTATAATTTGTCATTTTGGCTGACTGGGTTACAGTTCTTAAATTATTTCTGAATTGGTCAAACATGCTACTTTTTCTTTGTTTTTGATTGATTTGTGTACATTTTGTTAACTCAGCTTTTCTCACTTCCTTTTTGTGCAGTAACCCCACCCCAGGAGAAATCATCAACAGACCAAATGGCACTGATGTTTACAAGGGAGTGCCCAAAGACTACATCGGAGAGGTTCATTCAAACATATGAGTAATTGTGATAAAGTAACATTATCTTTTTAACATTTAATGTTTAATGTCTACAGGACGTGACTCCAAAGAACTTCTTAGCCGTGTTAAAAGGCGACTCCGCAAATGCAAAAGGAGGATCTGGAAAAGTGCTGAAGAGGCAAGTCATTTAATTCTACATAAATATGGTTATCAAGGTAACCATCTCTTTAGTGGGATTCTTTTCTTCTTCTTTAAAAAAAATATATATATATACTGTTATGAATTGCTGAGAATTCCTTCCCACTTAGATTATCCTTAAAATCTCAATGCATTATAGGCTCTAACGAGCAGCTCATTACATTCGTGTTATTTACTCATTCATGTTTCTTGTTTTTGTTACAGTGGCCCTAAAGATAATGTGTTCATTTACTTTACCGATCATGGCGCTCCTGGCATCTTGGCCTTCCCAAACGACGATGTAAGCATTTTATCCACAATGCACCACAGACTTCTCCTGGCTTCAAAACGTAAAAAAAACCACTTGTAGGAACTGCTGTGACCTAAAGGGCTGTTGCTGATATTGCTGCTACTGGACACCTGAATTTCTCCTACAGGGGATCAATAAAGTATCTATCTATCTATGTTGTACAACTAGTGTAGTGTAGTGTTGTACTTTCCATGTGGAAAATTTTACATCTGAAATCCACCTGCTCTGGCCTACGCGTTAATACATTTATTCATGGGTTCATCTTCTTCATGCAGCATTTTGGGAAATTGTTAATCAGTAATGACTATTGCGACAGTCCTCGGCAGTCCTGGGCCTGGGCCAGTGGCGGAGCCAGAGGGGTAGCCAGGGTGGCCACTGCCACCTCTAAAAATATCCTTGCCACCCCCAGTGCCCCCCTCGGAAGACGGCAATGTAATAATGTTAATCTTGAGAATCTTCCGCACTTTTTCCGCTAAAAGCTAAAAATTCCCACGGTTTCCCCCGTCTGTGAACGCACCTTGACTCCGTGGAGCCGGTGCTGTATGCTAATGCTTTGTGTTGTTGGACTCGCATGTGCCCAAGTCGTGATGAAAACAAAGAGGTAAGTTAGCGATGCAGAGCCAACCGTTTACATTTGACACAAAGTATAGACACACGTACTGCAGCGCATTACTTGTTCAGTTTGTAGAACTTTTAGTGTGTGTATGCGTGCCTGTATGCGCGCCTGTGTGCGTGTGTCAGCGTGTCAGTGTGTCTGCATGTGTGTGCGTGCCTGTGTGTGCCATGGCACACACAGGCACGCACACAGTGTGGGTCTGCGTGCCTGTGTGCTTGTGTGTGCGTGCGGGGTGCATGCGTGTGTATTTTCCATTATTAATTGCCCATCGTATCATGCCCTCTTCCCTTTAGTGTAAACATGAAAAGAAAAGGAGGAAACATTGCCTACAGGCCTTTTTTTGTTTGGAAAAGGCCTGTAGATCAGGATGATGAAACCTGAAGGTCAGACTCGGAGGCAGTATGTTTTGAGATGCTGAGGAATTTGTTTTGTTGTATTAAAATATAGCTTATATAATTGAGTTTCAGAGAATGAGAGGGTGTCGCAGACAAGTGCAGGATTGTCTATTGGCAGAAGGCGTTTTTTCACACACAAAAAAAGAAAAAAAATAGCTAAAATGATGTGCAGTCGCTTAACCCCAAAATATTTTTGAAAGAAGAGCCCCTGTTTTCATTTGGCAGAACCTTTGAGTCAGATATAGAGGACGAGGTATGAGGTACGTCAAACTACAGTAGGCGGCTTCTTGGGAGGAAAAAATGGATTAGAGAGACCCTATTGGACTTCCTTGTCCTTTTGGAACGTTTGGAAAGTGTTTCATGAGCTTTTGAGGCTTGCAAAGATCTTTCTTATGCCTGTCAGTACTGCGTCTTGTGAAATAAGTTTCTCTGCCCTAAAAACTATCTCAGAACGACCATGGCAGATGATTGAGTCATCTTGGTATCCTCAGTGTAGAGTCAAGGAGGGCTAAATATGGATGAGTTTGTCAACATCTTTGCTGCTTTACACCAGAACCGCAGGAATTTGCTAAATTTGTTAAAGAAAAATGTAATGCAATGTTTGAATTATGTTATTTTGCACTTTTTTGTTCAGACTACTATTTAAATACACTTTTTTGCTTTGTAGTTTCCAAATGTGCTCTCAGTTCACTTTATATTAAAAATAATGACAAGATTAAGATTAAAATGTATCGTTTAGCCAGTTTTTGTGTGAAATAAAATTTCGGAATAGTATAAATGTGGACCCCTTAAAAAAACCCTTGCCACCCCCTGGCCACCCTCTGTTTAAAAGTCTGGCTCCGCCACTGGCCTGGGCCTTACGGTGTTGAGTTTGCAGATTTCTCTTTAAGGCTTAAATCCGGTTACAATGCAGCAAATGGAAACATTTATGTTCTATTTGTACATGGTTTTAAAATAAATACATTGACTTATTGTTTGCTGACTGCATTTGTAAATGTTGATTATTTGTTAGCTTGCAGTGGACGACCTCCAAGAAGCTATCAAGTACATGCATGACAACAAGATGTACAAAAAGGTATTGTTGAGTCACATGTGCCTCTTGTACAAGTTAGAACAAGTCTGTAGTTAGAACAAGTCTTTAATAAGTATCTTCTGTTTTTGTAGATGGTCTTTTACATTGAGGCCTGTGAGTCTGGATCAATGATGACAAATCTTCCTGAGGATATCAACGGTATGTGAACAGTGCAAATATGACTACTTCATTTTGCATTCACTTTCAGACATGCAGCAACCCTAACATCTAAACTAGGTGTGAATAGGTTGGAATTGGAAGATGTAAGGGCTGTTTCATGATGTAGCAGATTAAGGGTGGACTTTACCTCACTCTGTCGGATTTGACATTGACATTTGAGTTGTAGCGGAATCTTGTGTCCTCTAGTCATGTGCTGCTCCTCATGTGATGAACTGGACTTCTCTGTAGATGCATTGAGCTTTAAACTGCTATTAAATATGACATTAAAATATTACAGTAATGTTAAAAGGGTAACTTAAGGACCTACAAGAATTTATTCACATCAAATGATCAAATTATCTAATATTACCTATGGCCTCTAATCAATGTAATGTTCTACTGTTCATAATCCAATCCTGCAGCTTTGGCTAACCTCCTTTTTGTCGTTTCTTTTCTACCACAGTCTATGCCACAACTGCAGCCAATGACCACGAGTCATCTTATGCCTGTTACTATGACGAGAAAAGGGACACATATTTGGGAGACTGGTACAGCGTCAACTGGATGGAGGACTCTGATGCAGTGAGTCAACTTTTATATGTCTTTGTGTCGAGATTTCCTGGTCAAACATGCTCTGGAAAGTGATAATACATTTTGGATTTCTGAGAACATGTTTAACCAGGTAGGTACACAAATATAAACATAAGCATAAACTACACCTTCCTCTGTTTTAACTTCTAAACATAGAAAATAATGATACAGTAGAAAAAATATAAAATCCTGTTATTCGCAAAATATATTCAGGTTCTTTTTATATAAGAAAAAAGAGATATCTCCATGCAGACAAATTGGAAAAACTGGTTCAAATCCATAGCTTAGATTCATTTTTTCAAGCTTGTGTTTATTCTTGGGCCGCTATGTGAATCTCTTTGTGACTACTTTTGTCTGTGAAAGTTTACCTACTTACTTACAAACAAATAGGTTCCGTGGCATACAGTGAATACTATTACTGACATTTATATAAAATCTTTTGTTTTCATGTATTTTTCCTTCTGGTTCATTTGTAGGAAGACTTGAGCAAAGAGACATTGCAGAAACAGTTCAAAATTGTCAAAAGCCACACAAACACCAGCCATGTCCAACAGTTTGGCAACAAGGTAAACTATACAAAGATTATGTTAAGTGTACATCCAATACTTCAGTATACTGTGTTAAAACTGAGCACCTGAACTTCTGTCTCTGTTCAGACCATTTCCCACATGAAGGTGGTCGCGTTCCAGGGTGCTCCTAAAGCCATGTCACAGCCTTCCCCTCGCCCTCTCCCTCCCATCTCTCACCCAGACCTCACCCCCAGCCCTGATGTCCCACTGGCCATCCTCAAGAGGAAGATGATGGCGTCCAATGACATCAAGGAGGCACGGGGGCTGCTCATGGAGATAGATGTGCACCTCAAGGTAAGATGTCAGGTTGTAGGTTAGACCAATGCAGCCATTTCGTAACAGAGAATACAGTATAAACAAACGCTTTTGTTTATGCTCCCAGAAGCTGAACTTATCAATATAAATCATTATTCATGTTCACCAGTCTTTCTACATGTTTGTTAGTGAGTGAGCACTTCTCCTTTGTTGAGATGATTCATCCCTCCACGCTTGGCTTGACGGAACTACACTACAGGCCCTTCTAAAAAAATTTTGATTGTAAAAGTTTGGTCTGTGGGTGTATATTCAGTATATTATGTGTTTTATAATCTGCGACTGTTTTTTTAGACATTGTGGTCTTTATCAACTAGCACCATCATTGAGAAGCAGTGGATCAAATCAGTATGAAAATGCTTTATGCTTTGATTTTCAGATCAGGCAGATTTTGGCAGAGAACATGTTCCAGATTGTGCACGCTGTGACTGGAGACAAGCTCGGAGCTGAAAAGATTGTCAACAGCAGGACTCCGCTGACTCAGCATCATTGTTATAAGACTGCACTGTACCACTACAGGGACCACTGCTTCAACTGGCACAAGTCTGAGGTATAGACACAACACACAACGCCTTCTCATGCGAGGTCGCTGTTTTATTGTTAGAAACCGGTGTTCAGTGCTGTATGTAGCTGTGCTGGATGTCTAGACCTTCTCTGTTTCACTTCTTTTGTCAAAAGCAGAAATGAGAGCTGGTAGTTTCTTGTTGTAGTTAATTTTCAGGTAATTTAAGACCATTTTAATTTTTGATAATTCTGTGTTCCACATCTGGTGTTTAAGATCAGAATCAGAATCATTTTTATTAGTAACAGGAAGTCACAGACTTGGAAATTGCTTTGGCTCAGTGCAACAGTCAGAAAGAGATAATAAAAAATAAAGAATAAAAAACACTTCTAAGGAATAAAATTAAATTTAAAATAGAGTTATAGTTACTCTTTACAATATACAAGTGCACATGGTGCACACAATGTAAGGTGACAGCAGTACAGTGAAGTAAAGTGACGTATGCAAATGTGAATGCTGTCCTAAACACGTTTGGGTACATACATGTGTTGGCTAAAAACTGAAGGGGAAGTTTGACTGTGTCTTGTGACTTGTCTGTTAAATGTCACAATTGCTTCTGATTACAGTACGAATACGCCCTGCGACACCTGTATGCACTGGTGAACCTGTGTGAGGGCGGATACTCTGCTCTGAGGTACATGTCAATGTTTTAGTATTTTTCAATGGTTGTTAATAGCATCTAATTTATCCCGCTACATGTAGAAATGACTTCTTCTATTTTCTTCTCTGTAGCATTTTGGAGGCTATGGACTCTGTGTGCCTCCCCCGCTTCTGAAAAGATCAGCCCCACTGCTTCACCTGGGAAAGCTAGGACTGCTTTATGCACTGCTGGAACAACAATTTAACCAACAATAATTTTGTCTACATGAGCACACAATTTTGTCTCTAAAATTGATGTGTTAAATAATTTTACATTGTTTTTTAAAATACTGGTTTTAAGATGAGCAGCACTTTCACTGTGAACAATTTGAGTGATTTTTATATTTGATAATTGTGTTCTTGGATTATTGTTGTCAATTGTTTCTCAAAGCTTTAAGGTCAGGGAGGATTGTTGAAATCATGACTTAAAAAGAAAAATGACTATGAATGTTGCCTTGAGTTGAGCTGCCTGTCAAAGAGGGATATTCAATAAAATGTTTAATATCCATTGTTTTGTATATTTTCTTGAAACAAACGTAGTGTTTATAATTGCTGGAATTTGTAGGAGGTTTCACTGTCATCTGAACAAGGTATAAACATATTTTCATCCGTTTTGTGCATAATAGTGTGCAACTCTTTTAACCTTTTAGCCTTATTTGTAAGATTCAAGCTAATTAGTGTTGGGCAAGTTAGCTAACTCCCATAAAACATGCTAACAAGGCTAATATTCGTTTTTACATTATGCCAGTATCACTTTGGTTAACTCGGATTTATTTACCACAATGTACATTGTAATATCCATAAATGCTAATCAAAATAACTTGAATTAAATAAATATCTTACTTTTATGAACAAAAAGCTGAAGAAGTTGAAAACATAGACTACATGTGATGCAATCATTGATAAAAATGCTAATTAAACCGTTAATAGGTGTTAGCATTTTTGAATATTACAATGTACATTGTGGTAAATAAATCCGAGTTAACCAAAGTGAGACTGGCATAATGTAAAAACGAATATTAGCCTTGTTAGCATGTTTTATGATATCAAGTAGAGTTAGCTAACTTGCCCAACACTAATTAGCTTGAATCTCACTAATAAGGCTAAAAGGTTAAGAGTTGCACACTATTATGCACAAAACGGATGAAAATATGTTTATACCTTGTTCAGATGACAGTGAAACCTCCTACAGTTTCCAGCCATGAGTGCTGTCTGCTGCTATGAGAGGTCATTCTCCTACGTCATCGCCGCCATTTTGGCGCCCCCTAGCGTTTCTATGCGGAAGTGAAAAGGTGCCACTTCAAAGCCGTTTTTTTAACATAATTCATCTGAACATGTCAAAATGAACACCCGAAATATTATAAACACATATTGTAGTTATATATTCTGGATAGCAGCATATTAAATTCTAGTACTACTTTAAGTCATTTTAAATATTCAAGTAAGAATAATCATTAAGAATATAACTTATGACATGGATTAATTTGTACTTTTGTTTAAGCTATGGCTGTTCTATAGGAATTTAATCTTATCCTTGTAGTTTAACTACAGACTTTTATCCTGGGAATACCCATGCTGCTTTGTGAGCTCAAATCATTTCAAACTTCACCTTGTGCTCGCCGTACATCTCTGAGGGCAGTAGGTGGCAGCACACACTTCATATCCGAAACCGGAAGTGTCCGTAATTTAGCGTGTTAGGGACCTGCCCTCTGCTCTTTTTCCACTCCTACTTCACTCAACAAGAAGATATCTGGACGAAAATCCATGAGATTTACACTCACACAAACACTAGTCTTCTCAACATTGGATACGAACTTTAGAAAGAACAGCGAGCTTCCGCCGATCGCCACTGGCTTTAGCATCCTGGTAGCTGTCAGCTGCTTTAAGCTTGTTTGCTAGCATCCGAGAACACTTTGTGCTAACACCTGCCCATAAGAACAGAAGAGTGCTTTAAAATATAATCAGCTCTTTAAAAACACATTTCTCTTTTCACGATGGGGTCCCGTGCTTCTACGTTATTGAGAGAAGAAGAAATAGAAGAAATCAAAAAGGAAACTGGATGTAAGTCGTGTTGATTTTCTGTGTAGTATAAATGAACAGTTTTGGAATCAGCAATAACAGAGTGTAATGTTTGTTTTGTCTAGTCTCACACAGTCAGATCACCCGCTTGTACAGCCGCTTCACCAGCCTGGACAAAGGTGAAAACGGTACTCTGAGGTAGGTTTTGATAAGACATATTCCAGTGCGTTAACCTATCTGGATCAGTAGGCCTGTTTAATTACGCAAAACAAAACTAGGCACAAAATACGCTCCGAATGATTAATTCAGTTTCAACATGTAATTATGTCTTAAATCAAGTCAAGTTGTCCATTGTAAATTCTGTTTTGACAGCCATTGATCATTCCTACACCCGTATGTGTTTACAAATTACAACATTTCTGTTAGTGTGATAAAGAGGAAGAAGGGTTTCATTGTTGTTCTTTGTTCTGTTGAGGTCTTTTGGAATGTGACATTAATTGATAAAAGTCACTAGATCGGTAAACTGGGTAAACTTAATTCAGTTAAGTTTGAATCTAAAAATGAATCTAAAATTACTGCCAAGTAATCTAACTCTTGCTGCATTTGTAGTTGCTGTTTTTGTAGTTTGCTATTAACTGTGTATGCTTTATCCATGGTCCTCAAAACAACTCGTAGATGAAGACTTGTTTAATCATTAAAAAAATTTCACCAATATTTCAAAGGGTCAATACGTTAAAAAGAACTCCCCTTAGTTCCAGATTCACATTGTTTACACATAACACAGTCCAGTCCGTCTTGTTCCTACTGTGTTACTTGAGTGTTACAGTTTCTGCTCTGTTTGAACCAAGGTGACTTTTCATGAGTACATAAAGAAATGTCACAAAATATATTTTTTGTTTACAGCCTAACACAGAAACAGCTTACTTATACTTACATTTTATATTTACAGTTTATATTTAACTTTCATCCATTATCTTTCCCTTAATCCATTTCTGGATCGGGGGGTGGCAGTCAGCTCTGTGTACTGGGTGCAGAGTTTCACAGTGACATTTATTTACTGTTTTATTTGTTTTATTTTTGTCTTTTAATATTGTTTTATGTCTGTATTTGTCTGTGCACACTGGAGACTTTTGCTAATGTATTCCAATGTGTTTTTTTTACTGCAAATGGCAAATAAACTGAATCTGAGAGTTGCACCCAGTACACAGAGCACCAGGTCTCGTGGTGGGTTGAATGGGATGAATGGTATTAGATCCTACCAAGACCGGGGTACTTTTCTGAATATCGCTTTTGTAGTTGTTAATTCCGATGTTTATTTTTTCAGTCGAGAAGATTTCCAGAGGATTCCTGAATTGGCCATTAATCCATTGGGTGACAGAATTATTAACGCTTTCTTCCCTGAGAGGTGAGTTTCCTGGTTTTCCACAAAGAGTGGGGTTATTTGCAATATTCATCATTTTATTAATATTTGCAATATGCACCTGCTACTTCTTGTTTTTCTTTCTTTACCTTCTTGTTTTTTTAGATTTATCTTTTTTGTCAATCCCCATTAGTGTAGTCAAGCTGTCGCTATTTTTCCTGGGGTCCTATGTGATTGTGTGTTTTGTCTACATGTTGTGGCCATATGTTTGTGATGTGACAAACAACCACCGACACTTGATTTCTCAAATTTCAAATTTTTCTTTAATTTCATTTGGATTCTTGTTTTGCTTAAAGGACAACCAAACACCAGTGCCCAGCCTTACTCCGCCCGCATGAACACTTGAAAAATGTTCAATAAGGCGTTGCCCTTTGGACCAGGGGACAAGATGGGGGGCTCAAAAGTGTGATTTTAACTAATTTGCACTAAAATGTCAAAAACAATTTCCAGGACATGTAGTGAGCACTATAAGAAACATATTTGTGCAGTCTCTAAGTACAAAAAGTTTATTTGGTGTTTAGTTGTCCTTTAAGTTTTCAAAGAGATGGGGGAGGTGACACCCAGACTTGTACATATAATTATGTTATTATTATAATATCTTGTTTCTGAATCGAAACATTTTTCTTTCAGTGAGGACCAAGTCAATTTCCGAGGTTTTATGCGGACGTTGGCACATTTCCGACCAATTGAAGACAATGAGAAAAATAAAAATGCTGCACCGTCAGAGCCACTAAACAGCAGAACAAACAAACTCCTCTGTAAGTGCTCTTTCTTAATGGGATGGGTCCGGTTTATGGCCAGTGCCGGTAGATTTTTAAGCAATGGCCCTGATGTAGATTCTTGAGTTCCTTTTTGGCATTGCTAAAGTCCTTTTTTTGTTGTTGCCTGCCTATGCACAAAAACTGAGATTTATGAAACACTACTTGAAACATTGTGCACTCCCACAGCAGCTGCAGAGTGTGGAGGAGGCAGAAGCAGAGTTTTTGAGGAAGTTTCTATATTATTATTTTTTTAAGCGATTATTCTCGTGTGGACATGTAAACATAAGCCCACAGCTGTGTGAAGAAAACCTGTTTGAAGCACGTATCTGAATGTTATAATGAGTCATCTTGGCTCTACTGGACACAGGACAGGTCAGTCCTGTCTGACCATACCAACTTGAGCACACACTACAGTCTACAGTACCACACCCTCTTCTGCACACCCACACGGACCACTGCTGACACCTCAGATGCATAATGCATTCCGTGTTTGTTCCACACTTGCAAGATCACAAACAGCCTTTTTAAGGTGTGCAGTTTGTGAGATCTGCGATGTTACGCTGAAGCTCTGACATATTGAAGCATAACATTTGTGAGTACAGTTAGTGTCAGATCGATCAACAGGGCGCTTGTTTCGCCAACCTATAATTCCTATGATCAACTACAGGCCTAGTACAAATACATTTTTATCAGATTCATAAGAAAGTTATAGTGGGTGGTTTATCTCTTATATATTTGACTGATCAGAATCAGAAATGCGCTGTTATATTACTATTTTCTCTTTGACAGTTGCATTCCGGCTATACGACCTCGACAGAGATGACAAGATTTCGCGAGACGAGCTGCTACAGGTGAGGGTGGGGTGGGTCAGCTATGGTTCATGTAACTAGTCACGTTTCAGGTCATTATTCTGCAACAAAAGGACTAAATAAGCTCCTCCTGGGTCCTGACCATAACACAGCCACACCCATCCCACCAACACAATTTTGCTATGAGATTTGTTTTATTATGCCCCAAGATTTTTTGGCTTCACTTTCCCTTCTTAGTAGTATTTACAACCTATGAAATGTCCATTATGTAACATGAATTTCAAAGTACTCCAGATCCTGAGAATGATACCATATCTTCCTTGCTCGGTCAGACTGCTTTGGTGACATTGTGTGACCTGTAATTGCTGTAAACTCAGGTTTAATGGCTCAGACTAATCTCCTGTTTAGTGCAAAATATTTATATGTTGCCTCAGGCACTGCTTCAAAATATGTTTCTGAAAGTACACTGTGAAGTCACGTTTATATTTGTTGTTTATTTTATAAATGTAATGACGAGATGAGTTGAAGAAGCAGAACCTTTGCTTAACAAAGAACTGTATTTTGTCCATGGCAAAAGATGTATTACTGTGACTCTTAGATTTTTGTTTTTATGTTTAACTCGAATACTCAACTACAGTAGCTTGATGCTGGAGTAATGTTTTTTCTGTTTATCAATAACCACAGATGAAATCATGTTTACACTTGGATCATGTCACTCACTGTAATATTATCTATGTTTAAAGTACCCCACGTCAATTATCTGGTGCCATTGGCCTTATTTCCTGTGAAACATGGATCTTGTTATTTTGGTGAGATATATTGTAACAAAACTGTTGAATGTAACCTGTTAGATTACATCCAACAAAAAGCATTATACATTTTGTAGAAACATAAATGTTTCATACGCTTTATTTTTACCCAGATAATAATAAATTAGTAATTCTTCCTAAACCAGAATTTCTGATTCAGATGAGAAAAATTATCATTTTAAGTGTAAATATCTTTAAGTAAAGTTTAAGTTTTATTCATTTGTTTTAAGGTTTTGAGGATGATGGTGGGCGTGAACATTTCAGACGAACAGCTCGGCAGCATTGCAGACAGAACCATCCAGGAAGCAGACACCAACGGAGACAGCTCCATCTCCTTCAACGAATTTATGAAGGTAAACGCACAACACGCTGGACATAATATGGAGATATGACAGTTCTCGGACAGTTTTATAATTGCCCGGGATGAGTACAGAAAGAACTGGGCTCAGTTGAGAGGTGAATGGAATGGATTTGAGGAATCTCCTTATGAACTCAAAAGTGTGAATTTAATAGAAAAAGTTTTTGCTATAAAAAAAAGGCTTTATTATTTCTCTAAATTTAGAAAGACATTTAATATTTGAAATGAATAGACCCCCCTCAGTTCTCTTTAGACATTATACAAAATACTCAAATAAATAGTAAAATTCTTGGTTAAAGAAAAACAGCCGCTACCCTGTGTTCACTAATCCATAATGCTTTAACCATCTGCCACTAATGTAAATCTTTAACTATTTTTGTGCTTGTTTTGCAGGTGCTGGAGAAGGTCGATGTAGAGCAGAAAATGAGCATTCGGTTTCTCCATTAAGTTTAATTTCAATAGTTTTTGGACACAACCAGCGGCGTAGGGTAAGGCGGTGCAGCCGGTGGCCCTTTAGATAAGAGCTGTGTGCCGTGGAGATGCTCATTATGCAATGGGCAGATTTGCACCAGGGCCTTACACAACTACCCTACGCCGCTGGACACAACCCATTTCAACCCTTTCTCTTGTCACTGTGGCCCTCAGCAAGATCCAGACATTGTGTGTCGTAGTCACTCCTCCAGGAAAAGGGAATTTGTGTGCCTTGGGTAATTTTATGCAAAGTAAATAATCACCTCCTCTATTTATTAGATGGTTATTTTTTAACCACAGTACAACTAACATTGCTTCTGTATTGAATGCAAAAGTGATCACTGTTCCAATATCATGCCATGAAATTTGAATTTTTTTGTCAATGTTTTTCTTGTCTTCAGAATATAACTCTTAACTCATTGTGTTATGGAGAAAAGTTGAACAAAGCTGACTTTTTTTTTTTCAACAAATGCCATGGTTTAGGTTTTCGTACCGTAGATTGAATATTATTAGCAATGATATAAGTTTCTGCTGTTATTCAGCGCTAAATAGTCTTATTTCTTGATTACTTATTACAACCATTAAAACAAAAAAGCCAACATTTAGCCCAGAACAAATACTGTAACTTTAGTTTGTACTAATTTACATAAACATAACTTTAAACTCAATTATACTGTTATTCAACATTGACTTGGAAATATCTATTTTTGTATTTTGGTTATGCTTTTTTGTTTTTCCACAAAAATACATGGCCCTCGAGCGATTTCCCCTGTGTCATGTGCACATGTCACCACATTTTTTGTGTGATCTACATTGTCCATTTGCAGGCAAATCATTGCTAAGCCTTCTGTTTAGTGTCAATATTGTCTGTTTTGTCAGTTTGGCCAAGTGCAAGGAATCATAGCTATATAGGTTTTCTTATTAATATATTGTATGTATTGTACAGCTAGTCTTTATAAGCAAAATCTTTCATCTGAATTATGAGTTTGTTAAATGATAGCCTATCCAGAAAGTACTGCTAACAGCTTGGCCATGTTGTGGTCCTCAATCAGATACTGTTTAATGTGGTCCATCTGTCATCGGTCAATCCTGGATTTGATTTGAATAAAATAAGTGCCATATATTATTTTTGTTTTTAATCATTATGTTAATAGACAACCTCAACACTGGTGCAACTTTCAACAAAGTATTGATCCTCAATGTCGTTTCTACAGACCCTACTTTACTCTACCCCATCGCTGTTGAACTGGTACCAGGTAATTTTGTTGTACCTGCATGGCCATGATTCAGTTTCTGTTAAAGCACGCAGCCGAGCATGGCAGAGAAGAGTACGGGCACCCGCTGTTGTCACAACCTCATTTGACCCAGCGACCTTAACTACTTTGAAATATGACTTTGTGTATTATTATTGTTATCTATACAATACATTCATTGCACAATACTTTCAATGTGTGAGTGTATGATGGGGAGTTGGAATTAAATAAGCTAATGCTTGACCCAACCCCTTTTCAACCCAGGTACACAAACAAACACACATACACAGAGAAATATGATTTAAAGATTTTGGGATTTTCTTTGGTCATGGAATAAAGTTAATGAAGGTAAGAACATTGCTATATTAAAACGGTGTGGTATAGAAGAATCAAATCATCTCATTTATCCACAATGATCAGGTAGAAAGAGTCTCCTGCTCTTGACACTGTTTGGATGATTAATTGAACTTTTATGTTTTTGCACCAAAAATGAAAGACACACATTTTAAGATTATATCAGGCATTTATCCAGTAGGGGATTTCATACACCGGTGGTTTAACTTTGATGCTGAACCATGCTCTTTTTGTTCCAATGTATGTTTTCAAAGATTTTTTGGACTGACTGTCACAACTGGAAGCTCTAAAGATCTCTAATGTGTCTCAATTCACTCTGGAAGGTGTCATTTATTTCATGGACAACTTGAAGAGTAATGTATCTGATGTTGTTAATTTTATTATTGTAATGGGGAAATATTTCATACACACATGTAAATGGAAGACACCAAACCCACTTTTTCTGTTTTTCAAAAAAAAAAAATTGTTGAATATTTTAAGTCCTTGCATCCTTGCATATTATTATCAAATAATAGAAAAGCTTTACTAATGTATGAAAAAATGCAAAAAATCTCTACTTTTTTAAAATTCCTTGCCCGCTTGTGCTATTTCTGTTTGAAAACAAACTATTTTGTATACACTTCTCAATTTTTTTAAATGCTTTATGACAATAAAAAACAAAACAAAAAACCAGATTCTTCCTACGACTTCGGGTTAACAGGCCCAGTCCCAATACCCACACTGCACCCTACGCCCTCCTATGAAGTGTGCATTTGTTTGAAGTGCGCGCAAGGGTTTGAGTGCGCAGGTTGCAAGCGTGCACAACAGACAACATCTGGACCACAGGGATACTGGAGCTGTTCGGTCCCGTCAGAACTCCCTGATATAGGAATATGTGGCCAGATTTGCCGTTTGGTCGCACTAGTTTTTTCACCACTGAACCGGTTGCATCAAAAGTCCCTGTCTGGTGAGTTTGCTTAGACAATGTCTTGTAATTGTGCATCTTTGTGTGACTCCAATAGTGGCAGAAAAACTTATCAAGGCCAATGTCTTTGATGCTGCCACTGTGCGGAGCACTGTATTTTAACAGCTGCAGTGATATAATTGGATCTTTGTCCCCTAATTCCAAGTCCTTTTTCTCCTGTTTTGCTTTCCGCAGGGTAGCCAAATTTGGTAGATGGCTTGGCTCAGGATCTCCAAAGTCCATCAGTGTGGTTGCCTGTGACGCTCGCCACACATGCGGTTCCTTCCTGCCCTCACACAGTTCTGTTGCTACTTGCACACGCAAGTGTCCAAACATAAAGCGTTTGGAATGACCGGTGTGTTTTGTGTCCTCTATGTTTTTTAAATTGCACTTTAAGACCATCGGGCTGTTAAGTGCAGGCTTTTTCTGGCATTTTATTTCAAGCAGGCTAAGACACTCTTTGCAGTGGCCTCTTATCACTATGTAATTGGTTGTCTGTGAGGGATAAACCTTGGCTCTCTTAAATACAAATGTGCATGGGCTTTTCACCTCTTTCCAAATGTACTCATTTATAATATGAGTCCAGGTGCCAGGCTTCAAAATTGTATAATCCCTTTTTTAACACTTGTCGTTGTATTCCACCTCTTCAGGAATAAACTGTATCCATTTTTCAAATGGAACTAGCAGCTGAAATTCCTGATCATCTTTTACTCTGGGAGACTCAGTTATGTCTGTGTCACTTGTTTCTGGATCCTCGGTCTGAGCACTGAAACCTAAAGATGACCAGACATTGTATCTGTTTAATTTGACAACAGTATACAGGGCCTTCGCAGAGATTTTGTTTTCCAGCTGCTGACTCAGCTCTGTCCAGACTCTGGCTTTAGGAGTAGCTATCCTTCCCTTCTCCAGTAGTATGGCCTCCTTTGATGAGCAGAGAACTTCCAGAAGGGTATCTCTGTCTATTGCTGGCTGTTTGGGCATCTAGTTGAAGGAGAAGTGTCCAATTAGTATCAATCACTGTAATATTTGCACTAATTTGCAATCAATTTTGAGGGCTTCATTAAAACATTCTGTGTGTATGCATAAAGGAGGCCTGATGTTGCATGAAAGGCAAAATAAAATTGAATGGTGTTGCATTTGACATGATTCTGTAGTTTTAACTTTTTTTTTCCCCCAAATGTCTTCACATTGTGATATTTAACAATTTTCAGTCAATGAATATTTTTAATATACCAAATATATGCAAATTCATGTGTAAATCTAGCTGTTTTGTCTTTACATTCATTGGTTTTTGCATTGCAGCATAATCTAAATTAGAAGAGGAATGTTGCTCTTTAAAGTCTCTTGTATTACCTGAGAATATTTTGAAATTTTACTTACCTTTTTTAAATCAGATGTTGAGATTATGAGTAGGATATAGGCCTGCAGTAAAAACAACATTTTTACTGGTGGGAGGGGGGGGTCCAAGAAAACGGTGATGATCCGTAATAAATAGGAAGAGCCAACAACTACACAAAGTTTTATATATTGTAAACCAAGGCATCATCGCGTCATTATAAAGTTATTAGGCTATATCTTAAAAACCAAAACAGCACAAATGAAAATTTCTTCAGCACAAACCAGCACTAACGCAGCACAAACGAACGAGACCATTTTCGTCCAGTTTGGATGATGTGGGGGGCTGCGTGACGTCATCGCGTCATTATAAAGTTGTTATATCTTAAAAACCAAAACGGCACAAATGAAAATTTCTTCAGCACAAACCAGCACTAACGCAGCACAAACGAACGAGACCATTTTCGTCCAGTTTGGACCATGTGGGGGGGCTGCGTGAACTTAGATTGACCTTTAAAAGATTATTTAATATCTTAAAAACCAAAACAGCACAAACGATATTTTTTTCTGCACAAACCAGCACTAACGCAGCACAAACGATTGGGGCTATTTTCACTGACTTTTGCGTGGGGTGGGGGGCCAACTTCACGCAGGTGCGAGACCTGGGACGGGGCCACAGTCTATGGTCCGACCACGGTCCGACCCCCGTCCGACCCATGGTTTTCCGGGGAGGGACTTTTTGTTGTTGAATGACAGCTTGGACGTCCAATCAGCGTGTCTTCCCCCTCGCCAGAGCAGGAGAACAAAGATGGCGGAGTGAGGTTAGTGGTCGTGAAGGGGACGGGGACCTTCTCCGTCCGTTTCGGGGTCGTGGCAGATTAGTTTCCCCGGAGGGATGTGCAAAGAAGTGTTAATCTACAGAACACAACATGATCGTGTTTATGTGGAGCTAAAGACGCAACGGATCATTTTGTTCGAAAGACACATCCCCGCAGACCAGACCAAAAGCCTGGGCTTTTGTTTACCCTTGTGTGTGCAGCTGTAGAGAGGTCAGTGCCTTTCCATACTATTCACTGGCTTTTATGTTGATCGTTTTAATTCATTATCGGTTAATTTGGTGTTTTATTCGACGAAGTAATTCTACTGTAACCACATGTCATTCAGTCGTCGTGAGACCTAACGCTAGCTAATGTTAAGTTCTAGAATGTCTCCTGGAAATACGTGAAATTTCATCTGTCAACAAACGGTTGTCAGATGAGTTATAAAGTCCGTAAAATGGCTGTTAATGGTAACTTAGGGGCAACGCAAGTAATGGGCTGTAACTAACAATTATTTTGATAATCGATTAATCTTGCTATTTTATTAATTGTGTGAAACGTAACTCAGATGTTTGATCTCATTTTCACCCACAGAAGTGAAGCCACAGAAGCACATTCTAATGATTTTTTGACAGCCTGTAAGACATGTCTCCTAGCAAATCTAGAAGAAGTTTTTTCTTCTTCAGAGGATTGCCATTAAAGTAGAGTAGTTGTGATTAACCGATGTTTAATTGTTTGACCTAACAAAAAATTTGTATTGGACGCAACATTACATTTATCAGTTATCATCGTTCTATACTATATGTATATGTCTATGTTTTATACGTTAGGAGAGCTACAATCAATTTTTTGTACTGTAAAGTAACACAATTGTGTATGTTTTAGGCATCATGTACACAGAAGATGAGCCATTTAAGGCATATTCAGCACAAATCTCATCATTTCTGCTGAAAATGGGAGTTCAGTATGAAGATGACCTCCTTTGGGCTTCGGGACGCTACGGGCCTTCCTCCTGCAGTCATGTCTCTGAACTCTTTCCTCCAGCGCCCCCCCTGCCCCATTTCTGCAAAAGAATCCGAGAGGAACACCCTAATGCCCAACTCCCCTTGTAAGCCTTTATGTGATGGCCAACTACATGAGGAAACATCTTTCCTTTCCCTATCGACACCTTCTTCCCTTAAACAGCTTTTTGTGTGTGAGAGCAAACATACCATAATCTGTAAATCATAAAAACCCTTTGGAATGCTTAAAATTTAAGAATAGCTAATCTTTTCCTATTTTTTCTATGAAGACACATCTACTGTAGCAACGATCAAGGCCTGTGATTCAAATAGCCACAGTTTGTTTTGCACTACCTCATTGCCAAAAAATAGTAATTAGTAGCAGTTTTATACTTAATAAAACCTGTGGGTCATGGCTGAAAGTAGTCATCGGGGTTAAGTTGGTGGAGGGGAGAAAAAGGTAAACGTCAACAGTATTTTCTTCTATGCATAGGAGTGCGCAGAGCTATCCAAATTAATAGTTTTATTTAAAATATTCTCCCCAAATGAGTTTAAGAATTTACAACACTTAGTTCAGAGAAACACAATACAAACCATGGTTTCATTTTATACTGACCTAGTAGTTTCAGCTACCTATGGATGTATTTTCATAACCATCAGTGCCATCTATTCTATATTTAATTGTTCATATATAAATTACTCTCCAGAAACACCCTGGTCCCACTTGTCTGAAATAGAATTCCCATTTTTCTTCCTCTAATGTTTTGCTAGTCTTTTTCATGTTGAACCGGGATATGTGCAATATTTTATCTAAAAACTGTCATTTTGTTGACCAAACTGTATATTGTAAAAAAAACTAAAACAAGTGACAAGTTGTTTGAAAAGCAACAAAATCACCAATGTCTTCCATTAAGATATGTATAGAGTCACATGCATTAGCATTTAGTGTAGCCAACATTATTGTAGCCATGCATGAACAGTAGTAGCGCTTATTTTATGACAAATAAGAAAACCACTTTAGACCCAAGATGGATCTCAGATGAAGCCAGGCGACTGTTTGAAAATGAGCATTTCAAATACTACAGTATGTTTTAGATTCTTCTGCGTTGCTTGCTAAAGCTAATAAGTCAAGGAGTATTATTCCTTTTTTAATTATATCTAGTAATCTCACATTTCTGATAAAAAGATAATTAAAATAATGACTTGTGACTGTCAAAATTGCACACAAAAAATCTGAATAGTGCATAACATTGGAAAGGACAATATAGACTTCATCTTAAAATTTGAAGGATCAAACTATGCATTGAGAAGGTGTATCCTAACTACTCTCCATCAGCTGTTGGATGGGCTACACTTTCTGATGCAGTGAAAGAAGTGACATTTCTCAATTCAACAGTGTTGATTAAAAGAAAGCTATTACAGGTCTTGAATCGCACGTGAACCAAATATGTACTGTAGTTAAATGCAACATACTTCACATCCCTCTCAAAGCTTTAGTGGGCAGTAGAGTTAATTCCTGGAATTGAGACCTCTCTTCACATCAATTCATTACAATTAGTCCATATAATTGTATTGGGTTTGATATTTAGAAGCAATAAATGACATGCATGTGTTAATACCAGATGTTTTAGGTAGCATATAAAATATAGTGTAGCCAAAATTCACTTTGTTTCCCCCTTTTTTCTCAGTGGAAACATGCACACCCATGTTATTTGGAGTCTCGCTTCCTTGCACCAAAATACTTTGCTCTGTTATCTCTGTTGTACAGAACCCAATCATTGGCAACATGTTGAATATAGACTTTACAACTGGGGCTGCAAAAATAACATCCAATCATACTTGACACTTGTCTGGAAAAGCACTTTGTAATAAATTGCCTCATTTTAAGACTCATTTATCATCTTTCTATTTAAAAAAAATAAAAATACTTTCTCTGCAAATATTGTAACAGGAATTTATAATCCAAAACGTACATAGGTAAGATATTGATGTATGGGATTAAACTGTGCATGATTAGGTGAAGAATGATTTGTATTGCATGCAATAATCCAACTTTGTAACGTGAACGGGTGTAACTTTAGGGTGTTCAGATGTTTGTGATGATTTGGGGACAAAGTTTGGCACAGGAAAGGGTCATTTCCACTGGAACTGAGGAGGTAATACAGTGAGGGCCAACTTCACAGTTTGAAGATTTTCATGTTCTTGAGCAGTCTCTTGATTTTGGATTATTGTTCAAAAGTATCACCAAAGTAGGTTGATGCATCAGAGCCTGGGACATATGACCAACGTATTTGTCATACACAGGCTGTAAAGTTAAAGATAATATCTTTCAGTTGAGGCATGTAGGGGCAGATTTCTTTATACTTGTTCTGTGGATCCTTTTCTGTCAACCTTTGTTCCCAATTTTTAGTAAATGTTACCAAGTGATTGACTTTGGTGATCACGTTTCCACTGTGTGCAGTGGACTGTGTAGAAACTATGCACTCCAGTGAGAGGATGTGGGCATGCTTCTCTGTGTGAGCCTCTGCGTCTGGATTTGTATTAACTAAGGAAAAAAAAACAGCAATAAAAAGCAGCATGGTGCCAGAAGAATGTTGTCATGTTTTTAATTGGTTAGGTTTGAAAATAAACATTGGTTATGAAGGTCACAAACGAGCAGCGAGATCTTAGATGTTACTATCCAATAGATACAAAATGTCTAGTTTTAAAAAGCCTTGATACTTAAGATTAGTTTTACAAAATAATTAATATGTGAATGAAAATTAATTATACTGCTATTCTCAAAAGAAAATTCTACAAAGTTGTCAATTTGCCAACAACAGATCAGCTACTCAAACTGTTGAACCATAGACTGAACACAGGAAAGAAGGTCCTTTATTCGATGAATACAATGTTCTACCAACTGAACCACTGTCGCCCGGTAATAGCACATAGGAGCCATTGGTCCACAGGGAGCGGGATGTCCCCGAACCATCACTACCACTCAAGTCTGAGTAAGCTGGGCCGCATTAAGGGGTATGTTTATCACGTGTGTAGGAAATATATAAACATAGGAGTAAATGGATCCATGCAGAGGCAGATAGTTATACAGTTATGCTCCGCAATAAATATAATATACCATTACATTTCAAATGGTGCCATCGTCTCATTCTTTAACATCAACAGTAGAGAACGTAAATGTTCAGGGAACATAACAGGAAAACCAAGAAGGGTTGCACTGACATTAAAGTTTTATGTCCACTTGGAGGCCACAAAATACCTTTTAGCAGGCTGCATGTTTGAAGTCACTTCTCCAGACCCTTCTGCATCGGCAAGGCCAAGAGAGGGATCCACTCCCCCTCTTCCTCTTGTCTATACAGATACTGTACTCCTCTTCCTCTTGTCTATACAGATACTGTACTCTATAGGCTATAGAACCAGGACAGAGGCTGTGCTGCTGCAGGACGAAGAAGAGGCTTCCAGGTGACGAGGCTGGATGCGGTACTTTATTTCACATTTGAAAACATCACTGAATATTTGTATTATGATTAAGAGACAAAAATAATACACAAAGTCTTCTTTAACAACTTGAAAAAGTGCTGTTTGCCAATTCCTGCTTCACATAAGTTATTCGACTCTTTATCGTTTCAAACTTGAGCATCATCTGGAAAGGAACAAATATACCAATATAATATGTAGTGTTTTGAAATGTAAAGCAATGTTTATTATGCAGATTTTCTATTTGATGTTGGAAACTGAAAATATAAAAACAGTTGCTTTAAAAAAAGATTTCCTCATACATTTTTTTTTTTTTAATCAAAATGTTTTTGTGAAAGACCAACACAAAATCACATAACAAAATAAACACATTTGTGTTCATGTTGAAGCAAAATGTGGAAAAACGTATGTGGTATGAATACTTTAGCACGCCCCTGGAATGTTCATAAAGCACTTACCTCTTTCATACTCTCTACAAGAGGTTTTACGTCAAAAGACATGGACGTTGCTTTCACCAATGAAGTGCTGTCAAGGAGGTAGCTACAAACCAAACAAAAACATTGTCAACATGATTGTTGGTAATTACAAACCTTACTAATAAATGATATTTTGATGTCACAATGTGATTATATTATGCAATGAAACTTTTATCCTCTCAGTCTGCGTCTGTGTATCATATATGTCTGGGGTTTAGCTGTAGACAGTGTTTTATTTAGCCAGCAGGTAGCAGCAGAACTCTGGGTATCTTGGTCAAAGATCACTGCCTGAGCACTGTGAGCAGGAGAGACAGAGGTCTACATTTGGAGGCAGTTTGAGCAGTAAATGTGTCTCTAAGAGCTGACAGGGACCATGTGGAGGGTCAGGGCAGCAGAGCACCCCAAAAAAGCCACACAAAAGTGGACTATTGCTAAAACTACCACTAAGTCCACACCAGAAGCCAGCAGCAAAGTCAAGTTATCGCCACAGCGCTCGCTGGACTACACAGAACGACACACAAACGCACACAAATGCAAACATGTTAAATGCAGGATATATTATGTACAATAAAAAAGTGACAATTTAAAAGTGGCAATCAGAAATAGTGTCAATAGTAGTGCAGGTTTTTTCAGTCTTATACAGTAACTTAAAGTGACTTATTGTAGGCACCGAGGGTGCCTCAGTCTTCCACTGAAGGAGCTCCTCAGCTCCTCTATAGTCCTGTGCAGTGGGTGGGAGGTGTTGTTCATGATGGAGGCGGATTTGGCCCTTCTTGTACAGGGCGTTATTGTTATGGGACCAGTCCAGTTTATTGTTAATGTGAACACCCAGGTACTTGAAGCTGTCCACCAGCTCAATGTCCTCGCCCTGGATGTTCAGCAGCGTGTGGGAAAGTGGTTTTCTCCTGAAATCTCTTACTGGTGTTCAAGCACAAGTGGTTGCGGTCACACCAGTCGACAAAGTCTGTGATAACCGACCGATATTCCAGTTCGTTCCCCTCAGACACACAGCCCACGAGGGCGGAGTCGTCTGAGAACTTCTGCAGGTGACAGCTGTGTGTGTCATGTGTGAAGTCCGAAGTGTAGATGGTGAAGAGAAACGGTGAGAGGACAGTGCCCTGAGGGGCCCCAGTGCTGCAGACTACCACCTCAGACTCACAGCTGTGCAGCCGCACGTACTGTGGTCGGTCTGAGAGGTAGTTGATGGTCCATGCAGTGAGGCTACTGTCCACTCCCGCGTCCTCCATCTTGCCCTGCAGCAGTGCCGGCCTGATGGTGTTGAAAGTCAAAAAACATGACCCTCACAGCGCTCCCGGCAGGCTCCAGGTGGGAGAGCGTCCGCTGCAATAAGTAAATGACGGGGTCCTCTACTCCGATGTTGGGCCTGTAGGCGAACTGCAGCGGGTCCAGGGTGGGGCTGACCACAGAGCGGAGATAGGTGAGGATGAGCCGCTCCATGGTCTTCATCAGGTGGGAGGTCAGTGCGACTGGTCTGTAGTGAGCCGGTTCCTTGGTGTGCGTTGTTTTAGGAACCGGGATCACACAGGAGGTCTTCCACAGGACAGGGACCTTCTCCAGGCTGAGGCTCAGGTTGACATTTAGAGACATTTAATTTGTCCCACAGTGATTGCATAAGTTACAGAACAGTAGGAATGAGGAGCACACAATATATTGAATATAGCACTCTATACTTTAAGAATATACATAAAGGAGCATAAAAATCTCCTCTAGTGCAGAAAACACAAACACATGTATGTTTAAATCTGAAAGGATAAATCTGTGATACACTCTACAATGTCAATATAATGACATTGTAATGTCTGCAATATGAACATGTGGTTATATTGCTCATTTGAGACATGAACGTAATTACATCTTACCAGTTGATTTTTGATTTCTGGAGCAGAAACAAGGAGCGGTAGTTTGAGAATTGAGCCGAAGAAGAGACAATAATTCTCCCAACAACAGAACGGCAGCAACGGCAAGAAAGAACACTGTAAATACTGAAACAGAGGACAAGAATAAACTATTGGTTGTAATGTAATGATCAAATTATGAACACAGTACAATATTAAGCAGATAAAGTGTCTTTTGTTGAACTTACCAATGAGCAAGATCTCCTTTTTGTCCCGTCTCTTTTTTATCATTGATGACAATATCTTTGGTTACTTCTAAAATGAGAATCAGAAAACATTACATTTTTCTCTTCACTGCACAAGTGGAAATTTAACTTTAATGAAAGATGAATCTATTCTTATTTACTCTTTATTCTCTTGCAAGTTTAGGTGCCCAAAGCTGGGAAGCGTAAAAAGAGATTCTTTATTGGTCCCACAGCGGGGAAATTTCAGTGTTACATCACAAGTTACAGAACAGTAGGAATGAGGAGCACACAGCACAAGATAAGTGAACAATAAACAATAGCTTTACTAATCAAAATGAAAACAAAAATTCTAACTCTAGCAAAAAATACATCCAACTTCCTGGCTTATTTTATTTTTTATTAAGCCCAAAGCGTCATAAGTTATAGACAAATAACTACATGTAATATAAAAAGGTAAAGACAGCACGTCGTGGTCTGATTTGTTTGCATTTTACTTATACAGGTCTCTTCCTTTTTCTGTTTCCAGGTGACGCATACAATATAGCAGACATACAGTGGTTCATATTTCATATTATTGTGCACTTACTAAGAAGCACGATGCAGTTGATGCTCTTGACTTCTCCGCACACGCTCAGTCCATCTCCCAGAACTGTGTTGCACTTTTCACAGTGGAATGTCATCCACTGTCTGTCCATTTCGCAGAGTGACTTCGAGCAGTAATCCGAACAGTGGACGATTGAATTATCGCTAATCTCCATTATGTTAGTATGTATGTTTACAGTAGATATATTCTTAGTATAACAGAATCACGATCAATCCAGGGGAAGTTGATTTGAATTTCGCTAATGGTTATGCGGATGCAGTGGTTATCTAAAGAAGAGCGTCTCCTGGTGGTTTGGAAGAACAAATGAATTGAAACACATTTATCTGTTACTTATTATCTAAGAAGTGTACTTTAAAAAGTCACATAATAAGATACATTATACATTACATACATTATTATCAACAAAATATATTATAATTAATACATATGATTATATATCTTTTTAACAGATATATTTTTGAACTAGAGTCTGAAAGCTCGCTGATTGGCTGAAAGTGATTTCCGGTTCTGTGGCCAATCAGGAGCTGTGTTTTGGTTTGTTTGAATCGGAGCGGTTTAAACCGTCAGGTCAGTCGCCGCCTCCCACTCAACACCGAAACAACACCGCATGCGCTGCTTCACTGAGAGTTTTTATATACATTAAAAGATCGATCAAAAAATGGATTTGGACTCTATGAAGTATGCGGAGTTACAGAAGCTTGCCAAGGAACTGGGCCTTAAAGCTAATATGAAGGTAACGTATGCTATCTCAGCTAGCACTAAAATCGATTGTTAACGCTACACAAAAGCACGCTACATCATGGAAACAACATCACTCATAAACAAACCGAAATCCCCCGAATTAACTAATGTACTGTATTTATATGTATCCGTTTATAGGCAGACAGACTTCTGAGAGGGATCAAACAGCACTACGAGAAGGAACAAGATCAACATCGAGACAACGTAAGAACTGTTCTATGGTAACGCTTGTTGAGTTTGATTTGTGCTTGATGTATTTGAATGATAAAGTCTCATTTCGCCCAGAACGTGGTGGAAGAGAATGTTCCCCCAGATGCCCCAAAGGCAGTCGAGGATTGTGATGTGTCAGTGCCTTCCCCTGCCAGTGCTTTTGTCAACACACGGAGAGGGAAAGGAGCGGCAAACAAGAGAGGGTTGTCTGCTGCCACAGGTCCTGCTCCAGAGGTAACTATGGAAGTCTCGAACCTACACGAACACGAGGGCTTGTTTTTGGCTCAAATCTAAACTTAACACAAGATACTTTTCATTTACCAGAAGTCCATTGAACCAGCTGATTCTCAATCTGCAAAAAAGAGACGATTGGCTCTGGAAGTTGAGGTTCCAACTACAGTAAAGGAGTCAAAGGCTGAAGGAAAAGGTGAGGTGTGGCCTTACTTGAGTGCTTCTTTGTGGCTTTAATGTCAATATTTATACATGAATAAAAACAATTTTTCATCCATGCAGTGGCCAAAGCTGGTAAAATCCCCCGTCTGCAGAAGATTCCCTTGAAACCCGTAACTCCAAGTAAGTTCACCATAACTTATTTCACAATGTGCACTTCTGTCAGTGCATTTTAAACCAATTCATGATGCAGTTGTGTCTATTTGTCAGTAAAGCATAGACAATGAACAAGTATTGTTTATGTTTGATCAGATGTGCCTTATGTTATTGACGAGGGAAACGCTTTTTGACTCCCCGTTCTTCCCTTTACTTTACTGTTATGCAGACTTTAAGAAACTCCATGAAGCAGAGTTCAATAAAATGGAGTCCATTTATTCGTATTTCCAAAGGAAAACCAAACAGATGGAGACATATAAAAACTCAGTGACAGAACTAAAGGTACAAGGTTGATTCAAAGCAAATCTAATGCAAATGTATTTGTTAGTAATGAATAATGAATATTTCTCTCCAGAAACCAGTGCAGTCTCGCACATCTCTCTTCAGTCCTGCTTCTTCTAGCAAAACTCAGGTGGAAGAAAGGCGCAGGCACACATTATTGTCAGCCTCAAAAACTAAAATTGGAGCCAAAAAATCAGTTGGAAAAGAGGATGTCTCCTTCAAGCCGAGTATCCTGTCCACAAGAAGAATCAATGTGCGGTATGTAATTTTTGTTTTTTAGGGCTTTTCCATTTAAACATAAATTGCAAGTTAAACAATTAATTTTGGCGTGGTTCATTGGGAACTATGTAAAGACAAAACTGCATTGAGTCTTTTTTTCAACTCTCTGTAATTGTAAAAAGAAGAGTACAGTTCTGTAACTAGTGTCAAATTTGAAGGTGCTGGGCGGTCAGTCTTAGATTCAGGCTCTTGATGTTAAATTATATAATGTATGGAACGCAAAATGCAGATTGCAATTCTGTCAGGTCACTATTATTTAATGTATATTTGTGCAGGTTTTCAGAGGCAACTAAAGACAATGAATACAAAAAATCTCTGATTAAGACTCCAGCGCGCATGTCTCCTTGTGTGGCCTCCAGCACTCCTCAGGAAAAGTCTGGAGCCAAGACAAATGCTGTTAAAACTAAAACTTTGTCTGCCTCTAAAACACCAGGTATATATCCCCTATACTGCCAAACTGACCAGAAGACCAAAATCAAAACTAACATTCAAACATTTCTTTTTTTAAGGACCATTTGTTTTTACTGGAAACACAAGCACCATCACCACTCCTGGGACTCAGAAGAAAAACGCGTTTGATCTGAAAGCAAGTCTGTCCCGTCCACTCAACTATAAACCTCACACGGGTAACTATCCAGCCATTAAATGTCATGCGTCGGTGCAATATCCTTAACTTATATCAGAATGTGCAATAACCGCATGTCACTGTCACTTTACTGAGTCCCTGTGTCTCAGAGCCTCATGCTCCTAATGCACAGATGTAAACATACTGCTGCTAATGCACAGATGTAAACATACTTCTGCTAATATACTGCTGCTAATATACAGATGTAAACATACTGCTGCTAATGCACAGATGTAAACATACTGCTGCTAATGCACAGATGTAAACATACTGCTGCTAATGCACAGATGTAAACATACTGCTGCTAATATACAGATGTAAACATACTGCTGCTAATATACAGATGTAAACATACTGCTGCTAATGCACGGATGTAAACATACTTCTGCTAATATACTGCTAATATACAGATGTAAACATACTTCTGCTAATATACTGCTGCTAATATACAGATGTAAACATACTGCTGCTAATATACTGCTGCTAATATACAGATGTAAACATACTGCTGCTAATCCACGGATGTAAACATACTGCTGCTAATCCACAGATGTAAACATACTTCTGCTAATATACAGATGTAAACATACTGCTGCTAACATACACTTAGAATAGACAGTACTTTATACTTGCCTCTATTTTGCCAAATACTTCTTTATTATGTTAAAGATAGATTTTATACTTGTTCTTTGATGCTAGAGTTGAATTTAGTTTTATTTTAATTAGTACAGCTATTGTTCACTTATCTTGTGCTGTGTGCTCCTCATTCCTACTGTTCTGTAACTTGTGATGCAACACTGAAATTTCCAATCTATTAATCTTAAATTATTACTTAACACATGCTTGAATGTTTTAAAAGTAGTTTAATCTGTATACTGTTCTCTTATTAGGGAAACTGAAGCCATTTGCGGATACAAAAGAAATCGATGCATCCAACAAGTCCGTCAGTGTGAGCTCTCATCAGAAGAACTACAAGCAGCACAAGGTTCAGACCAGGTAAGTTCTTTTATGGGTCGCTTGAATTGGTTCTCTCCTTCTTAGACTCTGATGTAAATGGTCTTTAATATACTAGATATTTGCATGAACTTCCCTCTTTGTCTTTGTTCATCTTGTTTAGGGATGACCGAAGGGAAAAACACAATGAAAACCGAAAACAGAAGAAAAGTAATCTCCTAGGAGCTCGACGAGGTCTTGTCATGATGTGAACAGGATTCGCAATTGTACAGTTTCTTTGTAGATATCTTGTTCGAGGTAGCTGCATTTACATTTCAGATTTGATGTGATTTCACTCTTCTGTATTTCTTGTGTGTTTTAGCTCTGTCTGAATGATTCCTTTTTTATGTATTGCGTGCATACTGTTTTTAACTTTTTGTAAAAAAATATATTCAAGAATTTTGACAATGTAGTCTTGCAGCTTTATTTACAAAATAAATGATCAAAGTTGTTCTGTTCATAAATTAAGGTTAAGTTTGTAGATGTCCTCATACATTAGGGTTTCTCTTGTAACTTTCGTAGGCGAACTCCTCAGTATGAGCGTAGTCTTTGCAGACACCAATAAAGTCAACCTCTAACTGGAAACATCCGTCTGCTTTATCTCCCAGAGTGAAGCCTATCGTAGAAACCTGTAGAAAAGAAAAGATTTCCATCAACATAAAGACAAACGATTAATGAAGTATAAATGAGCGTTAACCTTATCGAGCCACAGACAGTGCTGCTCGTCCTGTACCCTCCCTCGATGTGTAAGGAAGAACTTGGAGAAAGGAATCTGAGATTGATTAAAACAGGTTGTTAAATGTATCTTGGGGAAGAGCTTATTTTTAAATGCCAATCTGCAGATTTGTTAATGGGTTGATGTAATTAGGTTGGATAATTAGTTGAATAACAGGGAGAAGAGGCAAACACATTTGGGCTTGTTCACACCATGAACTAAATATTCACACTTAAGGGTACAAAAGTGACAAAAGGTCAAACGTGATTTTAATATAAGATGTACTATGTTTTTTATGTATCCAATTGACAGAAATCCTTGGTGTCTGTTACACATATTTCGAGGATCATAAAAATTAACGATTCCGATATCAATCAAGTGATTTACTGAGTTCATCTGCTGGTTTTTATTTTCACAGTAGAATCAAATCAAAAATGAATCTTTTTATTTTATCCACACTGTCTCTTTGATATCTTTTTTCTAATGTGATGATGGTCATTTTTCACACTGGCTTAAACAGCTTTGTGTCTGTCGCTGTGAACAAGAGATCAATGGCTGTTTTTATCTAATAAGATTCATATTTTGACTACTGAGCTGAGTGAAGCTGGTACTCTGATCTAAAAGATGTGACATAGGCTAAAAGATATACAGCTACACAGTCATCGCTTAGTTCATTTTTTACAACACAATAGGGACTCTTAACAATTGGGATTTTAAATCTCCACAAAGAAGCATGCCATAAAAATGCATTGCAAGTAAAATAGACACCAGAGGTTTTATATGTATCTTTCTCACCAATTTTAGGTCAATTATCTTTGACCAATATTTTATATTGGCCCAATACTCCAATATTGAGGGGTTTTACGGGTTTTTTACCTTGACGTCTTGCCAGTAGGGCCCTCCTCGTGTGTACAGGAAGTAGCTGTAGATATCATCTTTCTGATGGGCGAAGTAAGACTCAGAGCTAATGTTGATCATCCACGGACGGCCGTCACCTCGAACCCTCAAATGGAGAGTGTTGAAAGATGACCAATCAAAGTTTTTCTTTCTCTGAAATGATGACTGACAAAAAAGCAAGTCAATTAACAAACGCATATTCTGCATTGGTCAAAGAATGTATAAGGTTAATGTCGACAACCTATATCTGGAATCATAATTTACTTTTAGGCAAGCTCAAGTTTGATGAAAGTGAAATTAAAAATCCTTGCATGTTGATTGAACTTTCTAAAACCTGCCACAGAAAGGGTTTATAAATGACATACCATTTGCGGTCTGGACCGAAGTGTACAGTAGCCGCTGTATCTCGTCTCTCCATCTCTTGGTGGAGTTGAACTCAATGTCCCATAGACTAGACATGTATTATTATCCCTACCAAGTTTCAAGTAGGCCTCACTTTGTCCTCCAATCTCACGATCAGACGATACTGTCCAATCCTCAAGGCTCTCTGGCCCCCTGAACTCCCAGACAACTCTGTTTTGCTCCAATATATGTTCAATGAGGGGTTTTCCTTCGGGACCAACCCAACGTTCAGAAAACTCCTTATTCAACAATGCAAAGGTCTTCCGGATGCCCTCAAGCCCTTTGGATAGATCAAAGTTGACTTTCTCCCAAGGAAACTTGTTCTCTTTGGGCTGTCCAGGGCGTCTGTAAGGCTCTTGGATGATGGTTCGTCTGGAGGTGATGAGAGGAGATGCAGAGCACGAGAGAAGATAGTGGTTTTGGGAGTGAAGAAGCCGTGTCACAGACAGTCGAGACATTCGTGAGATGGACATTTCTGCAAAAGTGTGAATGGAAGAGAGTATAAGTACAATAAATCATTTAGAATAACAATTAATCAAATAAACGGTGAGTATGCAGTGTGGCATATCTTGGAAAAGGGAAATGAAGCACTTGGATTTCCCCAACTTAAAAAAATAAATACTGCTCTATGAGAATACACAATTCAAAAGTTATATTTAAAATAAACTTGTTTTTTTCAGTCTGTTTTTTTCTGAATACACTATCATTAATCAACATGGTTCTTAATTTTCAACACACAATAAAAGTTTGCATTTGTCCTTGATGTAAATCTAGTAGAATGATTACTTACCTTATTGACGTGAATAGACAGCTTCAAATCATAGTATAAAGTATAAACGACACATTCACTGGAGACAGGTATTAGTGGAAAAACTAGTTCCATTGAATTAATCACATTATAGTTCCATGGATATATGATCTTCACTCGCAGTGATGCTAGAGCTAAACCGGAAAAGCACTGTCGTCACAGCGCCACCTACCGACACTATGCAAACACGCCACTTCTGTTACTGATTTTCAAGACATTCCATAAAAGGACAATATTCACCTGTGTGAAATCTGAAACGTAGTGTTCCATGCTAAAGTAGTTCTTAGTGCGTCATGGTCACAAATCTTTTGAGCTGGAACTGAAATGTCAGTCTATGGTATTCATTTGCCTGCAGGGATTTGTTTTGTGACCAGAAGTGAGTTGGAATCGTGTGCATTTTTGCCATAAAAGTAATGTTTACATTTTCAAATAGATGAATAATTCCCCCTTATTAACGAAACCTCTATATAAGCGATTAGTTTGATTCTTACGATTAATCCAATGTTTACAAAGTTGGTGAATGAAATGTGCCTCAAATGCAACTTAAAAAATGTTTTCTTTATTCTTCACTACAGGGACTATATTCCTGTATGAGTCATAAGATCATGTTTCAGCATATGCTGTTCAATAACAATTAAATAGTGGGAAACCATTTAAATAATTATTAAATGGAATTTCTAACAGTTTACTTTGAAATTCAACATTTGATCATTATTTACAACCGTATTATGCTTCCTTCATCACAAAAAAGGACAAGCGAGCAATGTTTGGCCACTTTTTATTGCACGATTATCGGTGTGACATCCTGCAAAGTGTTTGAGCGCTGTACCAAAAGGGAAAAACAACTTTAATATTTACAATAAAAGGTTGAACTATTGGCACTTTTACATTATGTACAGTTAGTTATTAGTCTGGGTTTTACTAACAGTAGTTACAAGTCACAAGTCACTTTTCTATAGGCAAAAACAGTGCTTAAACTCACTACCAACACACACAAATGGGGTTAGACTCACAAAAGCTATGCAAATAACGTCTGTCCGGAACTGTACAGAGTAGACAGCTCTCCATTCAGTCTTTTCTATGGAGTAAACAATGAACACGTGTCTTAACATAGTTCGCAAAGAACATGCGAAGATCAGGACAAAAAAACCTCTAAAAATAGCGAGGCTTGATCAGCGCTACACAATTCCTCAACGTTTTCAAAAAATATGTTTGCAAAGCACCCAGGTTTTGAAAGCACCATTATTGAGTGAGGAGCTGAAACAAACTTGAAAAATATCGATATGCATTTTAGAGGGCTTTTATCAATAAATAATCACTTTGTTTACTTTAACGGAAAATAAAACTTCTCTCTTTTTAAATAAAAAAGAATGCAGTTTTAAGACTTGCAGATATAAAAAGGTCTTTGTTTCGAGGTGTATTTTATTAAAATAAAAACATTGGGGAATAAATTAGCCTTTTGGGGATTTAAAAAAATCAAATGATATAAAATAAACATCAGAATCCAACAGATGTCCTGGAAAAACAAAAGTTAAATGGTTTAAAACTTTATCTGTCAATGTCCAAGCACTAAAAGCGTTAATAAACTCCACACATTGGCTTTAACCAAGCATTGTGTAGTTACATTTTGTACCTTTTGATGAAAAAACGATTAAGTCAGAAAAATAAAAACTCCTTCATTTTAGCTGACGGGAGATCTCCCAGTAGTGTGTAAGCCTCAACTATCATTTCAAAACTCAAGGTTATTTGTTTCCATTTTCAGCATTAAGATATTTACAAATAACTAATAATATAATTGTAACTAAAATAAATGCTGTAAAAATCTACATCGAGTGTCTCCATAGTTGCTCTGCCTGCTCTTCCTTTACAATATACATACAAGTTAAAAAGACATGGACAGTGTCTGATGCTGGTCTTCCTCATCATTTACTTTGTTTAAAAACAGAATTAAGGCAATTGAATTTCAAGTGATGAAAACATCCGTTTGAAAACAATTTCCTGCATTGTTGAATGTTTTGAAAAAGTGGAGGGGCTGCTTTTTTTTCTTGGGTCAATCTAAATGCTAAATGTGGTTTTGCCTGGAATGTTCCACAGCTTGGCATTAAACTTCTCATTGAAGAAAAGTCAGTGACTTCACTCGGCCAAATTGAAGTCCACCGAGAAGAGGGCTGAGCAAATGTAAGGACTATTTTGTTGTTTGTTTTTTTAACAGTAAAAAAATGCAATGAAATAAATGTGCACGTTGAATGGCCAAGTACATTCCAGGCAAAGACAAACATCTTCATTGCTACAAGCTGGAAGTGGACCCAAATCAGAAGTTATGTGAGGCCACTTTAATTTACCAATGTAGGATTATCTTCGCTTTTTGTACTTTCAAAAAACGGATTTCCCAATGTAGGCTTGGCCCTGTTTGAAAATTGTTTATTCAAATATTCTGGCCAATTTCTTCAAGACTGTGAGCATGAAAATGAGTATCATGTTATAGTTCTAATATGACATGAAAGGTCATTGGTCAAATTTTCCCACAAAAGTAAAGTCCAATGGAGTTAAAATGCAGAAAAAAGGCATGATCTACAGGAATCTATAGCTCTGATAGGTTATCCTCTGAAGAGTTGGTTTTCAATTTACCATGGTTCAAAAAAAAAGAAAAGGTATGACCAGAGAGGGAGATGGTGAAGTCAAGCCTCTGCAGCCTTTTTCTTCTTAGTGCATTTTCGTGGAACCTTTTGGGGTGGTTTGGCACCATTTTTGTTTTTGCGCTTGGTCTCTTTAATGGGGACGATGGATTCTGGTCTTTGTCTGATCTCTGACTCCTCGTGGTCCGAGCAGCACAACAGTCCTGTCGGGGGCAGGGGTCTCAGGGCCCCCTCCTCGTGAGCTTTGCAGAAGGAGTTTGGACAGATCTGACAGAAGGCACCAGAGTTTTTACCACAGACGTCACAGTGATGCCACGGACAGTCCCAACGACCTGAGGAAAGGTTTAGACATTGTGATTATAGCATCACAAGATAAAAACATGCAAATGTACACTATTATTGTAGCATTTTGATCAAAAAGATTTGCAGACTCAGCATGAAATGGTATGCACAATAATATCAACCACCGATAATAATCACCCAATAACGGCCAACTGTTTATTATTCTGACAGAAGTTATCAGATGCATTGAACTGAGAAAAATTATAACCCCCTGCTATGGTCACACAAGACAATTCATGGGAAGTGTGGTCCTTCAAGGCTTGACTGTTTAGAACCAGCTCCACAGAGAAATTAACAGCAAAATAGACCATAAATTCAACATCTATCACTGAAATAAATGTCCATTGTTTGACTCCTTTGATTTATGAAAATAGTGTAAGAAGTTTACAAAATTAAATTATGCAAACTATAACTAAATTAAATTACAGCATTTCTTTAAATATAAGCTTAATATAAAATATATATAACACAAACATTTAATCAAAATTTGTACAATTTATCATTTGATATCTATTGTCTACTCCAAGGTACTGGAGAGGAGGCTACGTCCGATGGTCGAATCTCAGATTCAGGAGGAGCAGTGTGGTTTTCGTCCCGGTCGCGGAACACTGGACCAGCTCTATACTCTCCATCGGATACTCAAGGGTTCATGGGAGTTCGCCCAACCTGTCCACATGTGCTTTGTGGATTTGGAGAAGGCGTTCGACCGTGTTCCCCGGGGTGTCCTTTGGGGGGTCCTCCGGGAGTACGGGGTCCTCTGCTGAGGGCTGTTCGGTCCCTGTATGACCGGAGCCAGAGCTGTGTCCGCATTGCCGGCAGTAAGTCAGACCTGTTCCCGGTGCATGTTGGCCTCCGCCAAGGCTGCCCTTTGTCACCGGTTCTGTTCACTGTATTTATGGACAGAATCTCTAGGCGCAGCCAGGGGCCGGAGGGGGTCCGGTTCGGGAACCACAGGATTTCATCTCTACTTTTTGCGGATGAGGTCGTCCTGCTGGCTCCAACGAACCAGGACCTGCAACATGCACTGGGACGGTTTGCAGCCGAGTGTGAAGCGGCTGGGATGAGAATCAGCACCTCCAAATCCGAGGCCATGGTGCTCGACCGGAAAAAGGTGCCTTGCCCTCTCCAGGTGGGTGGAGAGGTCCTTCCTCAAGTGGAGGAGTTCAAGTATCTCGGGGTCTTGTTCACGAGTGAGGGGAGGATGGAGCGTGAGATTGACAGGCGGATCGGTGCAGCGTGCGCAGTGATGCGGTCTCTGTATCGGACCGTTGTGGTAAAGAGGGAGCTGAGCCGAAAGGCAAAGCTCTCAATTTACCGGTCAATCTTTGTTCCCTCCCTCACCTATGGTCATGAGCTGTGGGTAATGACCAAAAGAACGAGATCGCGGATACAAGCGGTCGAAATGAGCTTCCTCCGCAGAGTGTCTGGGCGCTCCCTTGGAGATAGGGTGAGGAGCTCGGTCACACGGGAGGAGCTCGGAGTAGAGCCGCTGCTTCTCCACGTCGAGAGGAACCAGTTGAGGTGGCTCGGGCATCTGTTCAGGATGCCTCCTGGACGCCTTCCTGGGGAGGTGTTCCGGGCACGTCCCACCGGGAGGAGGCCCCGGGGAAGACCCAGGACACGCTGGAGGGACTATGTCTCTCAGCTGGCCTGGGAACGCCTTGGGGTCCCCCCGGACGAGCTGGAGGAGGTGTGTGTGGATAGGGAAGTCTGGGCGTCTCTGCTTAGACTGCTGCCCCCGCGACCCGGCAACGGATAAAGCGGAAGAAAATGGATGGATGGATGGATGGATGTCTATGACAAACATGGTTACCAGTTGAAAATTCTCCAATCACCATTTAAAATACATTGTAAAAAAGGGGATTAAGAAAAGACAACAAAAAAGCCACTATTAGTCTACTCTTATAGTGATTGGACGGATGCATGTGGTCGAGGAGAGTTGCAGCTCACCGAAAGGCCTCTTGGTGAGGTTGAGGCAGCTCAGGTGATAGGCTTTGGTGCAGTTCTTCTTGTTGCACAGCACCAGCTGCCCTCCGTCTCCACAGCGGAAACACTCGTCCTCGGACTTCTTCCCCTCACTTTTCTTCTTCTTGTATTTCCTCTTGACACGCTTCCCTTTAGGTTCTGTCGGATGGCCATTTGAGTTCTCACAAGGAATAAAACAAATGTCAATTATAGAAATGGGCACCACACATTTATATAAATATACAGGATATAAATAAAGTAACACTACTGATAACCACCATTTTATTGCATGCATCACCTTTATGTTCGTTATGAATTAAGTCTTATCATGATTAAGGGTGACATTTCTCTTTGAAGATATAATTGTAAACATTAATGAGCTGAATCCCGTCTTCTACCTTGGGCCTGTCCCCTAGAAATCCACTGCAGTTGGGGGCTCCACAACGGCACACCATTTTGTCGTTCCCAAGGCAGTCCAGGTTGTAGTTGAAAGTGAGCTCTGTTCCTAAAACACAAATACATGTTAAAGAAAAAATACATAGAACAATTTTAGAGGAATAATCAGAAAACAGACCTTCTGGTATGTCCCGGACAGCAAACAAGCCAACCCTGGTGTCTCCGTTCACGGTCCACTTCTGCGTCTCACAGTTGGGCTGACAGCTGTGGTTCATGAAGCGAGAGTAGTTTCCCTTTGGCCCTGCATCAATGATCCGATCCTGAAGAAAGAAACATTAAACTATTATTAGCCACCATCAAGAACACGGGCATGAAAACAGCTTCAACATTCAAAACTTTCTAAGCAGGCGTTTTGTTGTATTCACAACTGTAATGTCACAGATTCTCGTGTGTGACATTCCCAATGCAATACATTTATTTAGCTCTTTGTGGAAACAGTGCTGCTGCAGTGAAACAGCACGTTTTAACCCAAACAAGAGCCAAAATGAAAGACAAACCATATGTCCTGATAAGATATTAGACACTGACCTTGTCAATAGTGAGCATGTAGAAATTTGTGATGTTGTTTTCTTGAGCGTATTTGATCCTTGAGTGACACTCCTCCTCATCAATCAACTCTCCAATGTACTCATTCACAAATTCACCCTGAGGGAAAAAATGATATAAATACCAAAATCAAAACTTGAGCTAATTGGAAGTTTTTTGTTTTTACACCAATACATAACAGTATTTGTATGCAATTAGAAATGTGTGTAACCCCTCCCTGTATTATCAACATAATCTTTTCTGTCAGAACACAACTCCAATGTCGACTGTCTCTAGACTCTAGACAGATGACTACATCTACATGCATCTCTTCAAATACACACATGTCGCATGACCAATTGAAATGGTGTTTTCCTAAACTTTACCACACTGCCATATTAAAAATCTGCTGTTTTGAAAAAGACATTTGACGTCCATTTCACAAGTAGAAACTTTCTGCAAGCAGACATTGGACTGGAGTGGCTTAGCCGTAAGAGCTTAGGAAGGATCATCTTGTATTCTTAGTTATTACTTGGTTATCTACTAAGATTAGCCTAAACTTTTAGTGGGAAAAAAAAAGCACACAAAAAAAAAAAAAACGCACCTTCTTGATGTCCCGCAGTGAAATGAGCCCCCAGCCTTTGCCCGGAGTCTTTATGATCTTGGTGTCAGGATACAGGCGTTTTGTAAAGTCCTGGTTGCAGCAGCGGTCTCCGCTGGGACAGACCTGAGGATGGCACTCGTAGAGCAGCATTCGGTTCAAACACTCAGACTCAAAGCTGCAGGGTCGCTCATCTGAGGGCTTGCAGTTACACTTGGGGATCTCAGAAATGTCTGCAGTGTACACCTGCACCCGCCCCACCGGTTTGTTGACCTAAGGAGGACATTGTGTAATAGAATGTTACATTATACCGTTTCTTGGTGAATGCTGTTGTCAATATTAAGGGTAGGCCTAAAACATGCTAGCTTTATCTGTCAGACTGGTTATCCAGATATTCAGAAACAGAAGACAGTGAAGTCCTACCTTGATGAATTTATAAGGTGGCGGTTTTCTGCTGTTTTCCTGTGCTTCCTTTGCCTCTCGTTTCATCTTAATTTCTGTAAATCGATCTTCTGCTTCCAACAGAGCTATAGATAAGGAAAGGAAATGTCAGGGTTTCAAATAAGGCTGCAAATAACCTGATCTCCTGGGCACCACCATCACCCAGGACCTCAAGTGGGAGCCGACCATCAGCTCCCTCATCAAAAAGGCCCAGCAGAGGATGTACTTCCTGCGGCAGCTCAGGAAAGCCAAGCTGCCTGCACAGATGTTGGTGCAGTTCTACACGGCCATCATCGAGTCCATCCTCACTTCCTCCATCACCGTGTGGTTCGCTGGAGCCACAGTCAGGGACAAACAGAGGCTACAGCGCATTGTGCGCTCTGCAGAGGAAGTGATCGGCCGCAGCCTTCCATCGCTGCAGGACCTGTACGTCGCCCGAGCTCGAGGCCGGGCTGGTCGTATCACAGCCGACCCCTCTCACCCTGCACATGGACTATTCCAACCACTCCCCTCAGGCAGGAGGCTGCGGTCCATCAGGACTAGAACCTCCTGCCACAAGAACAGTTTCTTCCCCTCTGCTGTTGGACTATTGAACACTTCTTAACCTGTCCCCGCCCTTTATAAAGTCACTTTACTGCCATCATACGTCACTTTACTTCACTGTACTGCTGTCACCTTACATTGTGTGCACCATGTGCACTTGTATATTGTAAATAGTAACTGTAACTCTATTTTAAATTTACATGTATTCTTTAGAAGTGTTTTGTATTCTTTATTTTTATTATCTCTTTCTGACGGTTGCACTGAGCCAAAGCAATTTCCAAGTCTGTGACCTCCTGTGACTTACGTGGCAATAAAAATGATTCTGATTCTGATTCTGATCTAGCGAGCTGGGTAAAAATAAACATGTGAATAAAAGACACATAGCTATATAGCTGTGCGGATTGTTCACTTTTCTCCAAGGAAAGGAAATATAAAATTACATTTTTATATAAATATATAAATTAGGGCTGTCAATTTAAAAAATTAAAAAGTTAATTACAGTTTAAAAATTCATTATCCTAATTAATTGCATTTTAAACTATTGGCAAAATTATGCCATATTCTTCTGTAAATGGTTGTTTGAATGGAACGATAAATGACAACATGGTATACATATGTACTGTATTTGTTTATTACAGTGTAGTAGACAATTTTTTCTAAGTTACATCAAAAGTTGTATTAAAACCCGCAATTTAATTGAAAAATTTAGCTAATTGATTCAGCTTGTGTATGAATTCAGGCCATAAAAAGTGCCGAGTGGAAACTAGCAGGAGGCCACACCTTCTCTAGCAGTTCAGATGAACACAGCAGTATGGCAGATGAAAACTGCTATACCTGCTCTGGCTGAAACTGCATACACAGCAACACAGCCCAAAAGACGCAAAAGTGAGGAGAAGAGAGACCTAAAGCGTCATTCGGCACATGCGTCGAGTTAGTCCATTTATTTTTACAGGAGTAATGAAAAAATGTTATTAACGTGCGTTAACGCGATACTTTTGACAGCCCTAATATAAATAGGATTGTTTAAAAATGTAGCCATGTACACAGTTTTATTTTTAGCAGAAAGCTAATTGGGAAGCTGGAAACGTATCAACTAAATGGTCTGAGTTTGTTGGATGCGTGCAATTTTCTACAGTTGTGATAAAACTAAAACACTTGGTCCCTAAGCTGCTTACCGTTCTTGAAGACCTTCCCAATGGTGCTTCGCTGATGTTTACTGCCTCGATCTCCTTCCATATAAGGAAAGACTCTGCCTTGGTGAGTCCAGAAATAATCTTTGGACCCAAAGAAATAAACCGGAAACTCTCCCATCTCATGTCGAAGGTGCTGGATGTTTGTTGGGACGTTTCTGGGATGGTGGATCTCAGCTGGCCACCATCTTTGAAAAGTGAAAACTGGTAAAAATCCATTCACGTCTAGAATTTAAAATAGGGCATTTTACCTGTATGTCCCCAGTTTAACCCATACAATGTCTCTGTATTTGGGCTTCTTTCCAGCACGACAATCGTTGCAGAACCAGCTTCCCTCTGGCATTGCGATGTTCAAACAATCGGGGTGAAAAGCAGCGGGACAAGACTCGCAACACAACAACTGCCCTCCTATGACCATAAGGATTGTGTTAAAAGATAATTGTGAATCATGCTGTAGTATAGCAAACAGTGAAATCTGGCAAACATACAACTTAAAACATTATCATAAATGATAATATATTCACATTCATATTGCCTGAAACACAACATTTGCTGTTAGATTCAGCAAATGTTGAGCATCAATCAGAGCTGGATGTAAGAGACAGACCAACCTTTGGAGCAGACAAAGCACCAGCTGACATTGACGTGGCTGTGACGACTGTGGCCCTTCTTTGAGTGATAGTGGTTTGTGCAAATCAAGGCAGAGTTGGTGATTGTCTCACTTCCTGCAGCAACACAAACGTCTCCACTGTGGTAGGCCACAGGACAGCGGAGACAACGCACCAAACGACCTGTGAAGATCAGTAAATGAGGTTGAGGAAAAGTCTTCAAACATGTTTTAATATGACAGATCAGTGCAGCGTCTCACCCTTGTTGGCTCGTTGCTTGGACTGGCCGCTCAAGTGGCAGCTGATGCAGGTGTGCATGGGACAGCGGAAACCCTTGTTGTCGAATAGAGTGAGTGGACTGAGGCGGACACAGGCCTCATGGTAAAATTTACCACACTGAGGGACATGACAGCGCCGCACCTCACCCTCCGAACTTTTACAGCTGAAACATGTGTGCACTCCTAGAGACAGCAAACAACATGGTTTTAAATGTTTGGAAACATTACATAACCTGACGCCTGCGTTCATAACCCAGTCGCAGTTTTTCAAACATGTTTGACTTTCATGCCTGATTTAGGACATTCAGTGGCTTTTTTCTGTCCCTCTTTGCACACATCAGAGCATTTTTTTCTATAGTAAGTCCTGTAATTTCTCAGTGTTCAGTTGTGTTGCAGCATGTTCTCTCCAAAAAATTCTAAATCTGACCATTGTGTAAAGGTTGTGCAGCATGTACCCAGGTTGAACCACGCTATATTTGACCGTTTTCCTGACCTGAGCTGCAATCGGGACACAGCAGCTTGTCGTCTGCTTTGAGGGTCAGATCCAGACATTGGAGGTGGAACATCCCACAGCACTGCCCCTCACACTGGACCAAGTCTCCCCCTGCCCCCTCACACACCTGTGACACGACAAGAGGTCAAAAACAGTATTTAAACTAAACCATACTTCGGTCTTGTTGAATCATGCAATGAAGTCAAAACCTTACCTGGCAGACAAACTCCTTTTTTTGTTCTCTTTTTTTAATACCATCCAAACTATCACTTGGAGAATCAGGACGTCCTTCACTTCCAGAGCCCTGTCAATAATCAAAAGGTACATTTTTGATAGTTCATGCCTAACAGCTTCAAAAGCTTTTGGTGAGAAAATGCACTTTGAAACAGCGCAATACTAAAAGTATTTTGGAATATGTCCACTATATGGCCGAGCAAAATCCAGAGCACAAGAAATGCGTCATCACATGTGGTGCGTGCCACTAGTTTATGGTCTTACCTCAGTCTCAAGACAAACTGACAGACGCTTTTTGGGTTTGGTGGGAATGGACGCCTGGCTCTCTTCAACCCGTTTTCTTTTCCTGTTGTACTTTAGTTTTTCTGATTCAAGATCAACAAATGGGTTAAATATTTACTAGTGTCCAGGAAGGACATTTAAAAACAAAAACAGATTTTACCTGTGAGAGTGGTGGGCTTCTTTATTCTTCTTTTGGTATTCTTCAGTTCATCAGTTTTCTTTAGTTTTAGCCGCTTCTTTGTTGGAGACTTCAAAAATAATCAGAAACAGAATGGAATAACTTAAAAAATAGTTTTGAGGAAAATCAAGTCTCAGGAGATTTCAATCACCTTGTCATCTCCGTCTTTACTCATTTTACGCTTCTTGTTTGGTTTTTGGTCATCTGTGGTAGCGCCAGACAATGGCCGTTTTATATTTTTCCCCTCCTTTTTAACTAGATATAATTGAAAAGGATTACATTACATGTTTATCCTAACACAGAACACTTCTCTGAATGTACTTACCCAGAGAATCAGACTTTTGGTCTTCTGGACTTTTCTTGCCAATTTTCTTAACTATTTTAAATACAATACAAAATGTAACGTTACTATGTGTAAAGAAAATAATTAAAAACCATACACTAACCACGTATAGTGATTTGCCACAAACCTGCACTTGTAACTGTGGGTGTAGACAAGTTGGAAACATCCGATGAAACTTTCTTGGTCTTTACTTTATTCTTGGGCTCAGATGAATTGTTCAGAGAGATATTTTTCCTTGGTTTCACAGTCTTGGGTTGAGACTTTTTGAGTTTCTTTTTGTTGGCTGTTTGTGCAGATGGATCTGCTGTGGACGGATTGGAGCCCTGTGGAAATCAAATTGACCATTAAGCTACATTCATTAATAGAGTTAGTAACTCGAGCAATTCACTGCTTTCATTCTGCACATGTCCACACTCTTTCTATTGCCTAAACTCATGGAGACAAACCTGCATTAAAAGTAAAAAATCTGCAACAAACCTGTGTATCTCTTGTGGGAATCTGTTCAGAAGCAATGCCAGCTTTCACAATCTTTCTACTTTTCTTGATATTTTCGAGTTTTCCTTTGGGCTTTTGAGCCTTTTTGACATCAGCCTTTGTCCTCTTTGCTGTGTCCTGTGGTCGTTTCCCATTATCTCCTGCTGAATTTGGATCAGGTGTTGGAGTAAGTCTTGATTGAGTTTCCTCGTCCAGAACTTTGTTGAGTTCTGAATCCAACTTCTCCATAACGAGAGGATTTAGCTGTGGTCCGTTTTCATCATAGATGAAGGAGAAGGCCGTGAGGCGTTGATCTGGAGTCATGTCCAGAGATTCTTTGGCCTGAGCGATGCCCACCTTCCATTGAGCCTGGAACTTACGGGGCACCGAGAGAGTCTGTGTCAAAGTAAAACAAGAGAGAAAACCCACTACATAAGTATTACAATAGAAAAAGATATAAAGGCCGAAAACAGTTTTAAAAGTAGTCTTGAAGTTTTTTATGCACTTTCAACCTTATCTGAAAGTTGGGCTGCAACTAACAATTAGGGCTGCACGATACATATAAAAAAAATATTTTTATTGCGATATTGGTCGTGCAATATCCATATCGAAAATATCCACAATCTAAAAATAAATAAAAAAAAAAACATTTCTTCCTTTATTTAAGACAACAAAACAGACAGACACATCACCATTCAACAAGAACAACAAATAGAGTACAGAGCAAAGGTTTGGACACACCTCAATCAGTTTTTTATTTTCATGATTATGAAAATTGTAGATTATCACAATACTAAACACTCATATCCAATATAGAGCACATTTTTTTGGCCCATTAGTTAGAACGGTGGAGATAGGCGTGACTCTGTCCGTTAATATATACAGTCTATGGTGTGGGTGGTATCGGCGCGACACAACGAATCGATAATGAAATTCGTTGCCAACACTTTTAATAATCGATTTTATCATTGTTGTTGCAGCCCTATCTGACAGTTCAGATTCCTTTTAAAATCCCATTTTTAAGGATGTAAAATTAAGAGTTTTTTTAATTCCTGTGCCCTGTCTGAAAACACTAGACTAGGACCATATTGAAAGATTCAATTACTAAAAGGTGTACCTTTTTGTGAATGGGGTGGTTTCCTCCGTTGAGCTCCTGGTACTGCTCCTCTCCAGTGAAAGCCACCAGATTCTTCTCAAAAATGTAGCCTCTCTCTGGGGCATCTCCAAAGTACTGCACATGATACAACAGGCCTGTTTTGGGGTTATTCACTAAAACAAAGAACGTAGGCCTTTTAGAACATAATATTTAGTTTTATATTTATAACATAAAATTTCAGGCATAATTAAAACCTTTTTCTTTTTCTCTGAGGTGGCTATTGTGCTCTGGGTCTGTGGTGATAATGCAGGGCCACCAGGGATACCCCGAAACCTTGGTCCAAACCAAGTCTCCGGGACAGAAGCGCACTGTGGGTGTAGTAGCCTCTGGGGAAGGATGTAACGGCAGAGCTGATGATAGATTGAGCTGTAGAAAGGAAACAACATTTATACAACAACTTAAGTGACAAGTGACTAAACACAACAGCGAACTATTCCTAAACCTTCAACACACCTTTGCTTTGTTTATATTTGGTTAAAGACAGCTAGGGATTTTGGTGAATAAAGCAGGATGAAAACAATAGTTTATTTATGGTCAAAGTAATGTTCAATCATCTGCCACAATGACTAACTATTCTGTAACCACATTTATTAACCCATAGCCTAATAAAGAATAATATTAACCTGATGTGTTTCTGGAGTTTCTCCTTCATAATCAGAGTGCCCATTCACCTCTGGTGTGATAGCAAATGTCAGACTCTGCTCTGGTTTTGGTTTGAGGGGCCATGGTTTCCTCCTCTTCACATCCTCCCGCTGCTGGTGACTTGTCCCATTGGCAGTGCATGGTTCCACCTGCGGCTGGGGCACCATTTGTGGCACAGAAACTTTTAACTCTGGCTCAGAGTGAGGGGAGCAGTTATGCTGATGAATGCCGTTAGTTGTAGGGGCCTCTGCAGGTTTAAAAAGAGGGGCTTCAGGGGTACACAGTATTGGGAGAACGTCGTGGTGGTCACCATTCAGCACTATAGAAGTCAGATCCTTAAGGTGCTCGTGGTTGTGGCTGGACATCTTCTGGAGCATGTTATCTTGTAGCGTAGCAGCTAACTGTGCAGCTGCCTTGTCCATGAGCAAAGCAGAGTCAGAGGTCATATCCACACAACCCTTATGGACGCTCAGGGCCTCTGGAAGCTGCTTCATGCTGATCGGGTTGGCTGGTTTTGGCATCAAAGGCAATGAGCTCCCTATGCTGTCCATCCCATCCAACAAGCTTTAAGGGGAGAGCTGAAGACAAACAGCAAAAAAAATAAAAAATTTACAACTTACAGCTAAATGCAGACAAAACCGAAATCATTGTCTTTGGTCCCCAGAAACAAAGAGAGGGCGTCATCTGTCAACTTCAGTCTCTCTCCCTACTTCCTTCAGACAAGGTCAGAAATTTGGGGGTAATACTGGACTCAGACCTAAATTTCAATAGCCACATAAAATCAATAACATCAACAGCTTTTTACCATCTGAAGAACATTGCCAAAGTCAGAAATATAGTGTCCAGGGCAGACTTGGAGATTCTTGTCCACGCATTTGTCTCCAGCAGGCTAGACTACTGCAATGGCCTGCTTACAGGTCTGTCCAAACAGACCTGTAAGCAGCTGCAGTACATCCAAAATGCAGCAGCTAGAGTCCTGACAGGAACCAGGAAGTATGACCATATTAGTCCGGTCCTCAGGTCTCTGCACTGGCTTCCTGTGGCTCAAAGAATAGATTTTAAAACAGCTCTGCTTGTGTACAAGTCTCTCCATGGCCTTGCACCAGAATACATTAGTGACATGTTGGTGTCATATGAACCAGCCCGGACTCTGAGGAGCACAGGGACTGGCCTCCTGCTGGTGCCCAGAGTGAGAACCAAACATGGGGAGGCTGCGTTTCAGATCTATGCAGCTAAGATCTGGAACAATCTCCCTGAAAATGTGAGGGAGGCGTCTACTCTGTCAATGTTCAAATCCAGGTTAAAGACTGTTCTGTTTGCCTGTGCATACAACTGAAGGATTTTATCTCCATTTGTAATGCACTGCTGTCATTTATTTATTTATTTTTTTAAATTTCTTGTGTAACTTTGAAAGTGTTAATGGTTTTATTCTTTTGTGTGATTTTATTGTTTTTATTGTGTTTTAATCTTTTGTGTGATTTTAATGTTTTAATTGTGATTCTGGTGTTTGTTTTATGTGATGATTTGTGATGTGGACTGTGAAGCGCTTTGTGTTGCCCTGTGCATGAAAGGCGCTCTACAAATAAACTTTGATTGATTGATTGATTGAACTTACAACTAAATAAAGTTAGATTGATAATGTGGGTGATGCACTGAGTGCATCGTGATTCAGAGATATGCATGTGAAACATCGGAGGTCATATTCTCAATGACAAGTCATATTAATGAAAAGTCCTTCAGCATGTTTTCCAAAAACACAGGATTTTCTATTCACAAAATGGCTCTTAGCAGCTCTGCATTGTACACAACACCCAGTGGAGGCTACAGGGAAGACTGCACCTGTTACTGAATGTGAAAGCTCCATGCCCAACAATCTAACGATCACATTGACCTCAGAATAATGTGCCATACAAGGTATAATGGACTTCTGGGTAGGCCATAATATAATGCTCACGCTGCATACTTTCACTATCTTCGTCTATCCCACAATGTTTGCGCCTGTCCCGACACAGGAGCTAGCTGTTAGCTGCAGTGTGATCCATGGGAAGCAGGAGCTCAGAGAAGAGAGCCCGAGATCAGCCGCTGCGGAGCCGCATCTGCAGAAACACTTCACCCGAAGAGTGCAAAGACGAGACAGTCTTCTCGCACAACCTGGCTCTACATGCTAATAAAATATACGTAACATGTACGCAGTCTTCAAGACAACAGCGTTTCATTAACAAACTAAACATAATGAAAACATGACACAAACAGCGAAATATATTTACTGTAAAGCATACACGAATAGTTTACCATTCTACGACAGAATGTATCACAGCTAAAATACTTCCCAGATACATAATGATAATGACAATCAAAACATCACTGTAAAGAGGAGTTTAAGTGGCTCATCCGTACAGTATCGCGTGTTACGTTTAGAACACCACGCTATAATAATTTTAACAAAAGTGGCAGACGCACTGTGTGGAAATAAAGGGATCGAAACACGCTTAACAATACAAGTATGTGCAGTAGTACAGTCATGGGGCACATCTGAAGCAGCCTCTCTCCAGTAAATACAGCATCTCTGCCGAAACCCAGTCAGCCATTAGCTGTACATAAACCACCAATGTACACGAACAACTGAAAACAAACACACTACCAACAATTAAACACAATTACAAGCACTGACAAGCCAAAATAACACATGTCATCAATGTGTTAAGCACCTAATTTCAATGGATTACAATTGTAGGCGCCATGACATCTTCTATCTGGAATGCTAACTAAACGTGCTAGCCCAATGCTAAGCTGCGTCCCATTGAAACCAAGCCAAACTGCACATTTCGTGTTAGCATCTGTTAGCTTCTTTGCTGCTAAGATGGAAGATCGCTCCGACACGACTATCTCTGCAACAAACTCAACCAGTGAAACCTCTGCGTCGAAGATCATAGAGTTACCCTTTACCTTCTTAATCACCCCGCGGTTGTTATGCGATTAAATATGCGATATCCATCCATCAAAAAATGAGTTTCATTCAAGGAAAAGTGTAAAAGCTCGGAGGAAACTCAAACAGCGCGTCCGATCAGCGCGAAAAATCCTCACTTGTGATTGGTCCAGTGCAGCGCCAAGAGCCAATGCCGGCGCTTTCAAAAAACACCACAGGAAGTACATTTCCCACCGCGATTTTATTTCATTTTTTTCCATTTCCTTCCCTTGCATGTCCTCGTTTCAGATGTTTAGAAGAACACGTGCTCTTTTCAGTGTTACTGTAAGTTAAATGCACAAGACTTAATGTAAATCAGCGAATTGTCACGTTCCACACAATAGATAGGACTAAATATGTCATTCTGTTTGGATGATTTATTACATTTTGCTTCATCGTTGTCCAATCTGGCAGCGTGTGTCTACCATACTGCCTCGAAACACAATGCTGATTGTTTACCTTCTCAAATACAATGGTGTGGATAATTGGCTCACAGCTTGTAAAAACATATACAGTCTATGGTAAAAACCAAAACTCACAAAATTTGAATGCATGTAAATTAGTCTATATTATATATTGGTTTCACGTTTAAGTTGAACTACAGACATAATTTAACATTTGCAAAACGGCATATGATTGGAAATATTTTGACTATTATTTTGTTGATAAAAATAAATCAAAAAATGTGTTGATGAGATGACTTGCCATGAAGTTAATATTTTACTCTCATCTCTTTTGTTGAAATTAAAGAAACAAAATCCATCAAAACAAGCCTAGTCTCTAGGCTGATTCTCAGTGGGGAAAAATATTAAATATTTATCTTGCCTTTAAATCCTGGATATAGTTATAGTATAGATTACAGTACGCCTATTGAGAAGTATTTCACAACTTTTCATTGGATGTTGTATGTTGATGTTAAGTATTTTATTTTCGTATTCTAAGTGAGTCCTTTGTTGCTTGTTTGAACTTTATTTTCTCTTGATTGTATCATAAATAAGTATAATCTACAATGATAACATGCAATTTTACTTGTCTGCTGATAATCTATGTCCAAAAGAGGCCCCTTTTCAATGTCTTGTCAATAGCAGCAAATGAATAAGGGGCAACTTTCTGAATTGATCAATGGTAAACATGTTTTTCCGGTTTGGTGTCACCATATCAGAACTAAAATATATCATGTAACTTAATCTACTTTTATTCCAATTAAAAAGACATTTTCAAAAAATCTGTGAATTATAGGATGTTTATGAAACCCAATAACAACCTCGATAAAGCTCTTCTTATATTATTTCAGATCCATGAGCCCTCCAGTCTGGTGCCTTTATTTATTTTCAATTATTTTAATCTTACTGTGTGCAGTCTCAAATCCTCGGACATCAACCTTCTTGCTGGTCCCCATGTGAGGCTGTACGTGGGAGAAGAGGCACCATTATGCTCCTTGTAAATGGAATGCCCTGACCAATTATGTTCAATTTGCTCTTTTTCATTGAAATTGATAAGAAAATGTAATAGTAACAATGCAAAGTAATTCTTATAAAAATGTGTTATATAGAAAATCAAACATGCACAAAAAGTGTTTCTAATTATCACCCATTATTTTTGCCCAATTTGATGGTATTGGATCATTTCCAGAGGCAACACCAAACCTCATTTTAAGGCAAAATAACTGCTACGCCCCACTGGTTGAGAAACACAGCTCTACTCTGTGAAGATGTTGCATTTATGTGAGAGTTGATGCATGTAGTGTCATCAACAAAGTGATGACAAAATAGTGCTATATGTGTTTTATGAGGTTTTCAAAAATCTAACTATTTCCAAATTTCAAACCTGAAATTTGGAAATAGTTAGCCTATTTGTGCATGTAAGTTCTTTCTACAAACTTCACTCATTGCATCACATTAATGCATTTTATTCACATACACATGACTACAGTATATGCTAAAAATAACGAGTAGAGGGTGAACTTATGCACAACTAGATGTAAAGCTCATCGCGTGACCTAGTTTATGTAGCACGTGTCCTGATTCTGACCTGCTCTTTATGATGTGCTGTAGGTTCATGGTGTGGCTGCAGTACCCATACACAAAGCTAAGGGGCATGAAATTACCGAAACACACAGCTCTCTTCCAGATCACCTTCACAATAAATGTTGTGGGCCAATGTAAAATAATAAAAAGCATCTTCAAACCTGATTCAATTTAAACACTATATAAAAAGTAAACACTGAGGAAGAGAGAGAGTGAAGTACAGGGTCACAGGTACGATAGGTGCCATACGTGTATAGGTACCAAGAACCTTTTATCAAACACATTCTTTTTAGTCTAGTTGGCTACCTTTGGACCAATGACCCCTATGTACAGTGCCTTGCGAAAGTATTCGGCCCCCTTGAACCTTTCACCACATTTCAGACTTCAAACATAAAGATATACAATTTAAATTTTTTGTCAAGAATCAACAACAAGTGGGACACAACCATGAAGTGGAACGAAATTTATTGGATAATTTAATCTTTTTTAACAAATAAAAAACTGAAAAGTGGGGCGTGCAATATTATTCGGCCCCTTTACTTTCAGTGCAGCAAACTCACTCCAGCAGTTCAGTGAGGATCTTTGAATGATCCAATGTTGTCCTAAATGACTGATGATGATAAATAGAATGCACCTGTGTGTAATCAAGTCTCCGTATAAATGCACCTGCTCTTTGATAGTCTCAGGGTTCTGTTTGAAGCGCAGAGAGAACCATGAAGACAAAGGAACACACCAGGCAGGTCCGAGATACTGTTGTGGAGAAGTTTAAAGCCAGATTTGGATACAAAAAGATTTCCCAAGCTTTAAACATCTCAAGGAGCACTGTGCAAGCAATTATATTGAAATGGAAGGAGTCTCAGACCACTCTTCCATTTATGGAAGAAAGCCATTTCTCAAAGATATCCATAAAAAGTCTCGTTTAAAGTTTGCCACAAGCCACCTGGGAGACACACCAAACATGTGGAAGAAGGTGCTCTGGTCAGATGAAACCAAAATCGAACTTTTTGGCCACAATGCAAAACGATTAACCTGGCAAGAGCCAGATTGATGATTGTGTAGAACTCTAACGCGTGTTTGTGAACTCACAAATACCGCGAGAATTCAGCTTGCAGGCAAGGTTACAAAACGATATGTTTGGCGTAAAAGCAACATAGCTCATCACCCTGAACACACCATCCCCACTGTCAAACATGGTGGTGGCAGCATCATGGTTTGGGCCTGCTTTTCTTCAGCAGGGACAGGGAAGATGGCTAAAATTGATGGGAAGCTGGATGGAGCCAAATACAGGACCATTCTGGAAGAAAACCTGTTGGAGTCTGCAAAAGACCTGAGACTGGGACGGAGATTTATCTTCCAACAGGACAATGATCCAAAACATAAAGCCAAATCTACAATGGAATGGTTCACAAATAGACGTATCCAGGTGTTAGAATGGCCAAGTCAAAGTCCAGACCTGAATCCAATCGAGAATCTGTGGAAAGAGCTGAAGACTGCTGTTCACAAACGCTCTCCATCCAACCTCACTGAGCTCCAGCTGTTTTGCAAGGAAGAATGGGCAAAACTTCCAGTCTCTCGATGTGCAAAACTGATAGAGACATACCCCAAGCGACTTGCAGCTGTAATTGCAGCAAAAGGTGGCGCTACAAAGTATTTGCGCAAGGGGGCCGAATAATATTGCACGCCCCACTTTTCAGTTTTTTATTTGTTAAAAAAGTTTAAATTATCCAATACATTTTGTTCCACTTCACGATTGTGTCCCACTTGTTGTTGATTCTTGAGAAAAAATTACATTTTTATATCTTTATGTTTGAAGCCTGAAATGTGGCGAAATATTGAAAGGTTCAAGGGGGCCGAATACTTTCGCAAGGCACTGTATATGTGTATGTAACCATAGCAACCACAATAGAATACAAAGCATTCTGTTACCATGGGAACACTTTGAAAACGTAATTTAGAACACGATGATGTCATAAAGACAGGCATTGACCAGACATGGTGTAGGGGGTCAATGCTGACTTTTCTGAGCACAGAACGAACGTCGCACAGAACTCAGACGCAGCAGAACTTTCAAGCAGAAAAGTTACTTGAGACACTCCTACTTCATCAGAAAGTAGACTCAACTCAGATCATGGTTGTTCACGTAGAGCTCGCTCGCCTCCTCGAGGTTGAAAAAGCTCTCGAAGAACAGCTCCAGGTCAACGCTGTACAGAAGCAGAGACTGACGGAGCTGGAACTGACACTTCAAGTGCGAGACCAAAAAATTATTGAGCAAAACGACTTCCTAGAACAAAGAGACACCCTGATAGAATTTGGGACCAAATTCATTAAGAATAGGGAGAAGATGATGAAGAACGAAGCTCTAAAGATCCGAAACGGGGTCAATCTCTATGTGGGAAACCTCCAGGAGAAACATATAAATCTCCAGAATCACTGTGTGGACCTGGAGGAAACCGTAGCCTCTCTGCAACAACAACTGAAGCAAAAAGACCAATCGCTTATGGATGTTGATTTTGAAAGCATGATGCTCAGGACAGAACTTGCAAAATTGAAATATGAACTGAAGCAGCAGAGAATGACAGCTGATCAAATAGTTCAAGAACGAGATGATCTCCAGCTCAAAGTTAATGAGCTTAAGGAGTTCTTAGAGCAAAGAGACACCCTGATCGACTACGGAAAGGAATTCATTAAGAAAAGGGAGAAAGAGATAAAGCTTGTGGCTCGAGAATTCCAAAACCAGATCGATGATTATGAGGAAAAAGTCCTTGAGAAACAATTTCATCTGGAGAATTATTGTATGGACCTGTAGAAAGACACATTATCTCTGCAGGAACAACTGGATACGGCGGAACAACTACATTTACAAGACGAGGAAAGGAATATAAAGCTGGAAACTGAAATCTCAAAGATGAAAAAGCTCCAACAGCTGCAAGAGAAGACGATCCAGGAGCTGCAGACCACGACACAGGAGCTGCAGGAGGAGCTGGATGAAGCAGAGAAATATCACATCGTAGATGCAGTTGAAAACATAAAGAATGTAGGGGAACTTGCAGAGACCAAAATCCAACTGAAGAAGTCTGAAGCCGAGAATAAGGCTCTAAAGACTAGTCTGCAGCAGGCTGACAGGGACGCAGAAACCAAGGACCAAACTGTGGCCTAGAAGAGGAGGAGGTGGTGGAAGTGTTGCAGGGAGTAATCACCTCAACATCACTGTAGTGGGAGCATTTTGACTCGTTTCAACAAATGAGTCAAGATGCAACACACTCAGGGGCGGGGAAGAGAGGAGGGGAGGGAGTTATTTAACGAAATTTAAGGTATTTTAACGGATTGAGACAAACCATGGATTGCGACACACCATACCACGGTCAGCTTTAGAAGTCTCACTGACCAGTCGAAAATGGCTAAATATTACTTTCAAGAGACATCGATTGAACATCAGCCCTTGCTCAGGTTAACAAACCACACTTCCACAGGTGTGGTCAGGAGCTGTAGGAGTGAAATCCTGTAGTTTTTCTCTCACAGCGCTGTGCCTGAGTGGCTCATGTTAAATATGTTTCACTGTGAACGCTGAGACAGTTCTCAAACACCCAGTATTTATATGCAGGTAACAGAGTCGGTCTGTGGCTCGCTATATCGCTATAGTTTGTCAGAGTAACAGAGTTGACTGAAACATTGCAACCAAAATATATGGAGTGATGGAAAACGTTTTTCCTCTTTCAGGCGTGAAGGGTTAGCCTATCTTAGGATTTACAAGATGCCTGCGCGAATGAAAGGGATAACATTTCCAATCAAGCCATTATATTTTGGAATGATGATGTCTATATCAACAACAACAATGTTTTTGCCGTGTCTATAAAAGACAGTGGGATGAAAGTTGAGTAATAAGTATGACGAAAACTGGAAGTACTACAAAAGCTGGTAGTACCAAAAGCAATGCGATGAGTGACATTGTTATGAAGATCAGAAAAGTGAAACAATTGCAGAAAACAAACAATTAAAAAAGTTACATACACCAAAAGTAAAATCCCCATGAGACGAGAAAACCGAAGAATTGAAACTCGCGGAAAGATGATAGAAGAAGGCGATAGAAGATACAAGAATCCAGACAAATAAACTACAAATAGTGACTGCATAAGTAAATGCAGTCATTCAACTATTGATTCTTTTCCTCCCATGTTTTTACGTCTACCTGATTTCAAGTCAAGGATGTAAATGCTGGGGTAACTATCGCTAATTTCAAAAACTTACTTTGATTTGTAGTTTTTGGAGACCGCTTTCTTGTGGCCCAGTTAGTCCTGATCTGTCTTCCTCTCAGCCATCGTCCTCCCATCTGCTGAATGGCATTTTCAGCATCCTATAGGATATGAAAACATGATGATACAATAGAATGAATAAAAACAATGCATTATATCAACAAGGTTTTTTTCAATTATTATTCAACAGCACAAACCAGGACAATCTTGAAAAAGAGATTATTAATCTCAATGAGGTTCTCTTGGTTAAATAAAGGTTAAATAAAAAACCTTTGGATTTTCCTGTAGCAATATCTTTGACCACCCAATAATTCGTGGTAAGTAAGTAAGGTTTATTTACAGTATATAGCGCATTTTTACAGACAAAGCGCTTTACAATTGTTCAGAGTTCAGATAGTTGTTCCATTCTCTCCACACACAGTGATGACGGAAACGAGTCGCACATGAAAACCCCACTCAACTCACTCGGTAGGGGAAACCGGAGCACCTGGAGGAAACCGGAGCAGACACGGGGAGAACATGCAAGCTCCACTCAGAAAGGCCCTGTTTCGACCAGGATTCAAACCCAGGACCTTCTTGCTGAGAAGTGAGTGCAATACACTCGGCCACCGTGCCGCCCACAATGTCTGAACAAAACCCACAACTCAAAATAAAACGTAACTTCAAAACGTCACTTTAATACGTTATTTTCCCAAATGGAGTAAAGGAGGATTTGATGTCCTCTGTCGTTATCGGTGATTTTCGCGATGTCCACAATATGCACATGTCCATTCTCCAGGAGGTTAGGACACTGGTGCACTTTTGTTTATAAAAAGGCGATTCCTGGTCTGCTGCCCTCTTAGATCTGTCATTTAATCTCATGGAGAAATGTTGGTTCTTACTGACTGCGTTCAACCATTTAAGAATTCCTTTTGTTGCTCTCTGTTCCCTTTGTCCACACAGAACTGGGAAAAAAGCGTTTGTATACTCTGCTCCTTTTACATGGAACGTGTTACAAAAAGACTGGAGATTAACTATATTTATTTCATTGAATGCTTTTAAATCCAGATTGAGAGCACCTGAAACGTCCTTTTTGACAGTTAACTGTTTTTATAATCTGTAATCTTATTTAACTGTGTGTAACTTTAGCTGCCTCTCGTCCAGGACTCTCTTGAAAAAGAGGTTGTTAATCTCATTGGGACTTTCCTGGTTAAATAAATACATTTGTCAGGAAGGTCCTGGACAAAGTAACATCTTTTTAATGAGTTTTTCTTATGAGTTTTTCCTTGCCGATGCAGGAGGGTCTGTTGGGCAGTTAGTGTCCAACTAGAAGGACTGTTGTGATGATCCAGGACATTTTAACATTCTACAACATGTATGACATCAACATGTGTTGATTCTCTGATCTGTGTTTGTGATTTCAATGGTTTTGTTAAGTCCTCTGAGATGACTTCTGCTGTGATTTAGGGCTATACAAGAATAAATTGCAATTGTATTGTTTTGTATCTATGCTGGACCATGACTGTCACCCCCTGCAGGACACTCTGTCTGCTCTGCTCTGCTCTGTCTGGAGAGCAGCTTCAGTGACATACTTATTCATCCTCGATGTGTGAAGGAGAGGTTCCGCAGGTCTTTCCTTCCTGCTGCTGTCAGACTGTTCAACAAACAATGAGGACTAATGAACACTGCCTATTTGATCCCATGCTCGGAATGGGGACTTCCCATCCCATCTCTTATTGCACAACTTATATCAGAATGTGCAATAACCGCATGTCACTGTCACTTTACTGAGTCCCTGTGTCTCAGAGCCTCATGCTGCAAATGTACAGATGTAAACATACTGCTGCCAATGTACAGATGCATACTGCTGCTAATGCACAGATGTAAACATACTGCTGCCAATGTACAGATGCTAACGTATAACTACATATTGCTTGCACTAGAACACACAGTACTTTATAGTTGCCTCTTATTTTGCCAAATGCAAAACTTTTACACTTATTTTTTATTATTATTATTTTCAAGATTGAGTGAGAGATTTTGTTTTATTTTATTTGGGCCTGTGTCATATGTATGTGTGTGTTTTGTGTTGTGCTGAATGAGTGAAAGGGATCTGCTTTGCCCCAACCCCCTTTTTAAAAAAAACGGTGCATATATGTTTATAATTTAATCCTGTTTATTTTCATAGAATGTGTATAAAAATGAAAAAGAAAATGTTTATGAATATTATGTGTATGCGTTTAAAAAATATTTACAGTCTATTATTTTACATGCGTATACATTAACATAATACAGATTAATAAAAAATAATGTAACAAACATTATCCATAGCCTTCAATATAGTAAAAGATAAGGTTTTATAGATAGCAGTATATTATTCTTGCTGGTAAAAATAATTAACAGAGAATATAAATGTATAGAAATTGACTATAGCTTAATGTTGAATATATAATTGGGTCTCCATCTGATTATGTCTTAACATACTTGTTGGTGTTCGTTATTTGTAAAGATGTGTAGCTTGTGTGATGTGGACTGTGTAGTGCTTTCTGTTGCCCTGTGTGGGAATGGCGTTCTACAACTAAAGATTGATTCATATATTCATTCATTTGCAGTACATATGGAGAAAACCCACCAAGACAGGTGGGTGTATGCCATAATAGATCCATGGTGTATCCAAAGTCAATTTAGAAAGGGCTGTGCCGAAATCTTATCTCATCTATTAGTGGGAGCTGTAATCTTAACAAACTACCCTTACTTTGAAAATCCACCGTTTGTTGTCACGCGGCCGTTTCCGTTGGCTTAACATGTTGATGACGTCAGCGCAGCTCGTTGTCATAGTCGCGGGGAAGAGGGAAGGGCGTCTTGATCCTGACATGGAGCAAAAATTTCCACTGAAGAGGCTCTCATACGTCTGAAGACCGGCTCAAAACACACACGTTTTTCCCCCTCACAACCTACTTTGATGATCTTGTGATGGACCATTCGCAGATCTGACCGCTTCGCTTGTTGAGAGATCACAGGAGCGAGCTTAACAACCACCACCGCCGCAGTAGCTAGCTTAACTCAACTGTTATTATAACGCGAAGCTAAACAAACAACATCATGGCATTGATCTTGTTTACGAGGTCCAGGGCTCCTTTGATGAAGACGTCCAGATCACTGAAAAATGAATTTAGAAAGGGAAAAGGTGAGTTTTCCGACTGCGTTTATGTGCTGCTGCTTACGTTTCATTGCCCCCAACGCTACACGTGATTGTGTTTGGGGTTTTTCCATGGGCTACTCTGCTGTGTGGTGTTTGGGAGTGAAACTTAACTTGTCATGCACTTAAGGGGGGTCACAGCACCTTCATACATGTACTAAACCGTAGCTGCTGACATACCCTGTAAAACAATTGGAGACTGAAGGAGTGCATTTCATCAGTTGATATGAAGCCGTAAAATATCGCGAGAATACACGGCTGTTTATATTTTTTAGAATACATTTTATAAGATTATTGTCATTTTCATCTGGGCGCAATGCAACTCAGAAGCTATATGTGAAAAATATTTGTATTTTTTATGTAAAAAAATTGTTATAAGTGAGACCTAAGTTTATTTTTGATCAAATAAAAGACCTCCATGATTCATATCAAACGATAGTTCCGCTTGTTTTCGAAAGCTTGGGTGGTCTCTAAGCTTGTTGCTAGACAGTAATTATAGCCTGGTCGTCACTGTGATATGACTTGCTTTCCATTTCTATCTTTCTGTATTGACCTTCTCCAAATCAAGAAAAGTTGGTCTTGAGAAGAAGACTTTATTGGTATTATTTAGCTGCTATCAATGATAAATTCTGTTATTGGTGAACTTCTTCAATCATTAAGCCACCCCTTTGACTGAAACTAATTGCCTTTTTATTAGATGCAAATTAAATCTTGTATTTACTGGAAATATTTCCATGATATTAAGTTGGTATAAAAGGAAAGTCATTTAGTATTTAGTCATAATTACTGATCTTTTGATCATTGTAATCTGATGTATTTTAATATTGTGACTTTTGCAGGTGAACAATATGCTTTTTGGCTTTAGATCCAGATTCTCAGACAAATTGCAAGCGCAGTCATGGAAAGGTCAGACTCTTAATAACGTCAACCCAGACAAGCGCTTCAAATACATACTAAGAATAGACTAAGGGTTTAGTGAACACTTCAATCAATATGTATTCTCATCATCGGTGTGGTTTACAAAAACCCCTGGACCACCTCCAACATGTAATGATGTTTTCTGTAGCTCTTAAGTACTACTCTATTATTACATGCTTAGTTTTTAGTTATTACATGTATTTTTTTACAAATCTTATTTTTCTTCCTCTTGTTATTTCAAAGTGTTTTGGGACGCTAATATAACCATAGAGGGTCTGCCATAGGTCGATTTGTTTACCAAAACTGTAAATGCAGAACTAAATGACCTGCATAACTCATTGAGGGTTTAAGTCAAATAGTGGGAAAGTGGAGCAGAGCAGGAAGCGGTCCGTGGTCTTGAGCTTTCCTTATGAGGTGGTCAGAGCATTGAGACCACAATAATGACAGACATAGTGACAAATATTTCCTATAATAATAATAATATATGTCAGCCCAATTACTGACTGTCTGTGTCCACTTTACATTAAGGAAATCTCACGGTCAACTTTGTATCAATCCAGTTGCACTGTCCAAGGTGTTTTTTCATGTTTTTGAAATACAATGTTATGATTTATGTGAACTGGGACATGCACCTTAATGCATATTTTTGTAAATGTGCTGTTTACCTACAAAGCATGTTTGAATGTTTTCCCTGGTGCAAGTTGTGGAAATGCCAACAAGAGACATTAGTAAAAAATTAGTACATAAACAAATCTACATCACATTTACAAAGTGACAAGATACATCAAACAAGTGTGACATACTCTGAAGTCAGTTTTGTCAGGTGTTTTAAGTAACTGCAGATGCATGCTGAGATAATATTTCCTATTATGAAATGTAAATGGTCTTGCTGAGGGATGTAGAGTGTAGATCCTATATTAATAGTTGTTTTCTGCAACTGCTAGTTATTTAGACAATGCATGTTTTTGTTGACTTAAACAATATGCAATATGATATTTTCTTTTAAATGTAACTTCCCAAATGAGCAGCATAAAGTAAATTATATTATAAATTACATTATAAACCAGTAACTAAACCACTTTTCCACTATGCTAATTCTTGTGCAACATAAGAGCCAGGCCTTCTGCTCGCAATGAATCTATGAAAATATGTAGCAGCATGTTCAAAAGTGCAATATTCCTGATCTGTCATGTGCTCCAATGGTGCACTTGCCACAAAGCTCGGTCAGTTCCAGTAACCTCTGCTGAACCTCTCTGGGCCCACTCCAGGCTTACACGTGAGGCCTGTGACGCCATTGGTTGAAAGTGTTCTAGATCCCGCCCCTTTCATACAACATTAACCCGGTGTTGTAACATGTATCCTTCTCGTGGGCCTCTCTCTGAATACGTTGGACCTGAAGACTCTATCTACCATGGATAGGCCGTGGATATATAATAACAACATCATGCACAATATTCCTTTTGAAGATGCACAACATTTTTTTCCCGTCAGTTTTCAATCTCAATCCATTACTGTAGCAGAATAATACCAATAGGCTGCCCTTGCATTCTAGCCACAACTAAACTATTATTGCAGGTGCTGCTGAGAAAACTTGCATAATGAGATTATCTTTAATAAAAATGAGAATGAATCTTGAATTTGCACGTTTTCAATCAGAATCCTGAATGCTCATATTTCTTTTTCTCCTTATTTTTCAGAGAAGCTACAAGATGGCACCTGTATGAACTGCACAGCGACCAGACTTTCCAGCCAAAAGTAATTTATCCTCCTTTGCACTACATAATGACTAATATTTCTGGTTTCAGTTGACCATATGAATAAAAAATAATATATTTAGTATTTTACCCCATATTTGTTGTTCAATGTTTTAGTTCTTCTTAAATTAATTATTTATTGTTTGATGCACACAGATTCACCATCTCATCACCACTATCGGCACTGGGCCCGTCTCGCCTTTCCTCAGACAGCTCCTTACAGCCCCCCTGTCCCAGCTTGGACTCTCAGCTCTACTGTGCTCCTTTATACCCCCAACTTGCTGCCACCTCTCCCCCATGGACTATTGCTCGGACACAGGACATCTGCGGAGTGCGATGGGTCCACACTTCCTGCAGGAGGTGGGACGACTCGAAAGTGGAAAAGTCTCTCCGATCTCTAAAAGAGAAGAAAAAGTTAGAAGAAGGAGGCCCCGTGTACAGTCCCACTTTGGACTCAGAACCAGTCAGACGGACGCTAAGACAGAGGGTGATCGATGAGGTGAAACATTATTATCATGGATTCAGGCTGCTGTGGGTGGACACCACTATCGCAGGACGCATGCTGTGGACTGTGCTGAACGGACACCCACTGTCCCGCAGAGAGAGGAGACAGGTGAGGTTTTTCTGTTTTATTGTCATGGTGTAACCATGTATTCAGTGTTGTAGTATTATGTTAATTAATTGTGTTATGCAACTTTGAACAGAATAACAACCACTTTTCACGTTTTTCAAGCAATGGCAACTAACAGAGTAGTAGTACATCAACAAAGCATAAGAATACGAAGTATGCAACAACAAAAATCGACTCAAATTCGGCGACGCTCCCAAACTAGTCTGGCCACCTTTGTCCCAGTCTACATGCAGGACACTATCCGATTATTCAGATCAAACCTTATGAAGCTTTCAAAGGCACCAAACTTTGGAACAGTAATTATAAATACAACTGCTTTACTGTACTTGTCTAATATAAGCATTGTCTTCCCTCAATCTCTTAAATGCGTCAGCTGGCCTTGTGTAAGTAGTGTCTGCTTTATGTGGCGCCACCTGCATTTGAAAGCCAGATCCTGTCAGACCTCTGAAGTTAAGCAGGGTAGACTCTGCTTAGTGCTGTGATGGGAGACTTCTCGGAACACCAGGTGCTACAGTAGGGTGGCTGTGACTATAGTGTCAAACTTTCACTATTGTGTCCTGGGGCAAGACTCTTCAACAATGGTTGGGAGTGGTCGAAAGGGCCAATGGCACATACTGGTGGCCTCACTTCTGTCACTCTGCATCAGCTATTTCCCGTCTGCCTCAGCATATTGGATCAGAGTCTGATGGGGCAGACATCTTATGCTTGAGCACTTAATCCTCGGCCTGTCAGAGCTAATGGGATTTATTATAGAAACTAGATGCAAACTGACTGTTTACTCTGGGAGCTGCCACTAAACCTCTTTACCCTGGACCTTAACATGTTGACTTGATGAGCAGGTCATAGTTTTGCGAAAGAAATAAACATAAAAAAAACCATTTGCCATATTGATGTGAGCCATTTTAATTAGAACTGGGAATGTCCCATCTCCTCTGTTATCTAGTGTGTGTGGTTATTATCATTTAGGCCAGTTTGAGAGAACAGCAAAGTCAACGTTTTGGTTTGGTTATACTTTTTTACATTTGTGGTTATTTTTGTTATTTACTTTTTACATGGAGATATTTTTAACAAATGATGAATTAATTGTCTTTGGATGGGACTATTTACTGTGTACTGTTGGATGGGACTATTTTACATCATGTCACCTGGCAAATGTAAGTTATACTCTTCAATGAATTACCAATTTTGGTTGGTAAATAATTGAAATGCCACGCGTAATTAATTGTGTAAGGATTCAACTGTAATCAATTTAATCAATTCAATTGGGCGATATGGCAAAAAGTAAAATCTCGATTTTTATTTCCTGCTTTGAACGATTTCGATTTTCATTAAACTCACCGAAGACAGACTTTGCCCGTAATTTTTTTAACTTTCTGTTCAATATTCAAATTTCAAAACGTATTATAAAAGTCTTATACAGACTCTGCTGATAGGCTGTACAAGTATAATTCATGTGCTGCTGGAACTCTCACAATATCCTTCATTCGATTTCACGATTTTCAGATTCGATTTCAATTTTTCAGAAATTAGATTTTTTCAAAAGCCGATAAATTGCCTAAATTCGATTTATTGCCCAGCCCTAATACAGCATATGTTATCTTATTTTAACATGTGGCTTGCATACTCACCCTGGAGCTGACACCTCTTTATCTCATTGTGCTCAGTGTGGCTAGAGTTGATTCCGTTCATTTGGACCAGAGCCCGGTGCCCGATGCTGTAATCTGAGACCAGGTGCCATGCTGGGACAGAAGCTCCAGGGTCAGCCCCGGTCAAAATCCAACCAAAGATCCCGATTTGGGATAAGACCAGTGCTGCTCTCATTGCGGTGAAGGACTTCCAACTTAATTGACAGGCAGCTAAACATAAAAGATTGCACTATCAATAGAGTATGACTATCAACCTCCTCTTCACTGGCATATCTTATTTTGGTGTTTTGCTGGTTATTTATTCTTGTATTTTAGCTCTGCGTTGTGCTTAAATGGTACAGAGAAAGAAAACAGAAATACAGAAGGAAAAAAAAACAGTCCAGATAGTGATTCAAAGAACTAATTAACTATCAAACCCAGATGCAAACTTAACCCAGAAAGAAGAGCCTGCTCACTGTAGAATGTGAGAAGGTCATTCAAGCAACTTTGTGGTAACACATGACACATGTTCCACACTTTGATGTTGTGATGTAACACATATTACAGAAACTGTACAGGACGTTTCAAGTTACATAAAGGTGCATAGGCACTGCTGCTAGAATCATAATGACAGTGTCAGTATGACATTTCAGCTGTGTTTTGAATATGAATGATACAAATGTTAGTTTAAGTTAAAGATTTTTTCAACCTTTTTTAGATTTATTGCAACACTTTTATTCCTGGAAATATTAATTTCTCACAATAAAAGTGTTGCACACAAACATTATCAATTGGTCTCAATGTCTGATTTAATACAAGGGAATTTTGCATTAAAAGTAATTTTATTGAATATAATATAAGGCAGCGCATTGTGGGCAGCATGGTGGCTGAGTGGTTAGCACTCTCGCCTTTCAGCAATAAGGTTTGAATCCCGGTCGGAACAAGGTCTTTCTGGGTGGAGTTAGCATGTTCTCCGTGTGTCCAGGTGCTCCGATTTCCCCTACCAATAAAAACATGCACAATAGGTAAAAACCCCCAACTCTGATCCTGCTCCTACTACGAGGACAGGGACTGGCCTCCTGCTGGGACTGTGGTAAATAATCTATGTGGCTTAAATCTGGAGATGGGTCGCTGGGCGCTGTACTAAGGCGACCACTGCTCCTGATGGAAGCCGTAATGGCATCAGGATGGGTCAAATGCAGAGGATGAATTTCCCTACGCCGGGTATAAATAAAGTTATTTTACATTCCAATATTGCAAATATCCTGACCATCCCTCGAGGCCTAATAATAAATGGAAATATTTCTTCTTCTTAACTGTATAGTTGATACAAAAAATAAAAAGCTGTTATAATGATGTGAAAGCCAAAAAATAAATACATGTAAAATAGAACCAAACTGAGAACGAAAAGCTATTCAGATAGATTTGATTGTATAGTTTTTTTTTTGTGAGACTTGGGTATAGCAGATTTTAAGCCCCATAGTGAAATGATAATCACTTCTGGCAACTGCTGCCCCGGCATAGGAGGTCACTTCTCTTCACCTTTTGACATGCGGCTGACTCCCTCTGAGCTTTGTCCTGATCCCATCCACTGTTCATTCACCTTCCCCTCCTCCCTCCTCCCTCACATTACAATACTTTTAAGGCTCCACCTCCCCCCAAACTTTGATTTGCACCAGGGGTAACAACATGCATGTCAATAGACCAGTGGACAATGTGCCTTTCTCTGGCGCCGGTCTGTAGCCATCACCCATCTGCTCCTGGGGCATGTTCTGTGCAGAGGTGTAGTTTGGGGCGATTCGGAAGCTGAATAAAAGCCGGTGAATTTGGAGCTTTCTGTAGCAGTTTACGCTCTATACGACAGGAGCTGAGTCAAAGCGCTGACTCTGGAAACTGTTATTAGAGCGATTGTATGCAGTGATTGTACAGGAACAAAGGAAGATGGGGTCCCAGCAGGTTTTACTCACTACAGCCCTCTAGGTGTTAATGAATGGGCTGCAGGTGAGAGATAAGATTATTTATTATTTATTTAAAAGTTATTTAGGGGTTGACCCATATGGGATTTTTCAGGGCCCATACTGATGTAAGACAATGCAGTGCTGGCATTAATTTTGCTGTAAAAGTGAAAATATTTGAATAGTACTTCAACACAATTTGTATCAATATTATATTATATTATATATTATATTATAAATATATATATATATATATATATATATATAAAATTGTCCACTCACCTTTGGCCCTCCGCGGGCGGTTATCTCTCTCTAAGCTCGGGTCCTCTACCAGAGGCCTGGGAGCTTGAGGGTTCTGCGCAGTATCTTTGCTGTTCCTAGCACTGCACATTTCTGGACCGAGATGTCCGAGGTTGTTCCGGGGCTGTAACCACTCTTCTAGCTTCGGGGTCACTGCCCCGAGTGCACCGATCACCACGGGCACTACTGTCACCTTTACCCTCCAGGCCCTCTCCAGCTCCTCTCTGAGACCTTGGTATTTCTCAAGCTTTTCATGTTCTTTTTTCCGGATGTTACCATCACTTGGAATTGCCACGTCCACCACCACGGCTGTCCTCTGCCCTTTGTCTACCACCACAATGTCAGGTTGGTTCGCCATTACCATTCGGTCGGTCTGTATCTGGAAGGCCCACAGGATCTTCGCACGCTCATTCTCCACCACCTTTGGAGGAGTTTCCCACTTAGACCTTGGGGTTTCCAGCCTATACTCTGCACAGATGTTTCTGTACACTATGCCAGCCACTTGGTTATGGCGTTCCATGTAGGCCTTCCCTGCCAGCATCTTGCACCCTGCAGTTATGTGTTGGATCGTCTCAGGTGCCTCTTTGCACAACCGACACCTTGGGTCTTGTCCATCCATCCATCCATTTTCTACCCTTTAATCCATTTCTGGGTCAGGGGGGTGGCAATCAGAGATGGCACCCAAGTCTCATAGCACCAGCCCCTCACTGACCCTCTGCAGGTGGTGAGTCCACAGGAGGACGGCTGCTCTCTGAGTGTGAGCATAGCCTTGATCTTTCAGTGGGGGCTTTTGGGCAAAGTGGGGCTAAGTGTCTTGCCCAAGGACACAACGACAGCAGTCATCAGTGGGAGTCGGTGGAGAAGGTGTCAAGGTGGGAATTGAACCCACGACCTTCAGGCCTGAAGGCCAATGCTCTACCAACTGAGCTACTGTCGCCCTTGTCGTCTTGTCTGGTGTGGTATATCTGAGCCTCTATCGCTCTGGTGCTCAGGGCCTGCTCCTGTGCAGCCATGATGAGTGCCTATGTGCTGTCCTGTAGGCCAGCCCTTTCTAGCCATTGGTAGGACTTCTTGAGATCAGCCACTTCTGTTATGCTCCGGTGGTACATGCCGTGTAGGGGCTTGTTCTCCCATGATGGGCTCTCCTCCAGCACCTCCTCATCTCGCCACTGCCTGAGACATTCACTGAGTACGTCATCCGTTTTGGCCTTCTCCATGATGTAGTTTTGGAGTTTGGATGTTTCGTCCTGGACAGTGGCTCTCACACTCACTAGTCCTCGGCCTCCTTCTTTACGGCTTACGTACAGTCTCAGGGTGCTGGATTTGGGATGGAACCCGCCATGCATGGTAAGGAGCTTTCGAGTTTTAACATCCGTGGTCTGAATCTCTTCCTTTGGCCACCTGATTATTCCTGCAGGGTATCTGATCACTGGCAGGGCGTAGCTGTTAATTGCCCGGGCCTTGTTCTTGCCATTGAGCCGGCTTCTTAGGACCTGCCTTACTCGCTGGAGGTATTTGGCAGTTGCCGCTTTCCTCGTCACCTGTTCGAGGTTGCCATTTGCCTGTGGTATACCGAGATACTTGTAACTGTCCTCAACGTCTGCTATTGTTCCCTCCGGGAGTGAGATCCCTTCTGTGTGGACTACCTTGCCTCTCCGAGTCACCATCCTGCTACATTTCTCGAGCCCGAATGACATCCCGATGTCATGGCTGTAGATCCTGGTTGTTTGGATCAGAGAGTCGATGTCTCTCTCGCTCTTGGCGTACAGCTTGATGTCATCCATGTAGAGGAGGTGACTGATCTTTGCTCCGTTCCTGAGGCGGTATCCATAGCCAGTCTGGTCAATTACTGTGCTTAGAGGGTTGAGGCCTATGCAGAACAGTAGTGGGGACAGAGCATCTCCTTGGTAGATACCACATTTGATGGTCACTTGTGCGAGCGGCTTGCCATTTGCCTCAAGGGTGGTCTTCCACATTCCCATCGAGTTTGCAACGAAGTCCCTTAGAGCCCTGTTGATATTGTACAATTTCAAGCATTCCATGATCCATGTGTGTGGCATTGAGTCGTAGGCTTTCTGGTAATCAATCCAGGCTGTGCACAGGTTGGTGTGTCGTGACCGGCAGTCTTGGGCGACTGTTCTGTCAACCAGGAGCTGGCGTTTGGCTCCTCTGGTGTCCCTACCAATGCCCTTCTGTGCTGTGCTCATGAATTGTTCCATATGCCCACTTATCTTAGCCGCAATGATGCCTGACATGAGCTTCCATGTTGTGGAGAGACAGGTTATTGGCCGGTAGTTGGAGGGGACTGCACCCTTGACAGGGTCCTTCATGATCAGGACCGTTCGCCCTGATCATGAAGGACATGATATATATCATATATATATATATATATATATATATATATATATATATATATATATATATTATAAATTGTCCACTCACCTTTGGCCCTCCGCGGGCGGTTATCCCTCTCTAAGCTCGGGTCCTCTACCAGAGGCCAGGGAGCTTGAGGGTTCTGCGCAGTATCTTTGCTGTTCCTAGCACTGCACATTTCTGGACCGAGATGTCCGAGGTTGTTCCGGGGATCCGCTGTAACCACTCATCTAGCTTCGGGGTCACTGCCCCGAGTGCACCGATCACCACGGGCACTACTGTCACCTTTACCCTCCAGGCCCTCTCCAGCTCCTCTCTGAGACCTTGGAGGAGGTGCTGGAGGAGAGCCCATCATGGGAGAACAAGCCCCTACACGGCATGTACCACCGGAGCATATATATATATATATATATATATATATATATATATATATATATATATATATATATATATATGATATATATATCATATATATATATATATTATATATATATATATATATATATATATATATATATATATATATATATATATATATATATATATATTATATATATATCATATATATATATATTATATATATATATATATATATATATATATTATATATATATCATGAAGGATATATATATCATATATATCCCTGATCATGAAGGATATGATATATATATATATATATATATATATATATTTGTACTGTTTTGTCTTGTCTTTTGTCTTGTTGCATTTGTCCACCTGTGTAGGCCATGGGTCCCTATTTACCACAATTGCTATAATAGGAAGTAGTAGTGCAAGTACTCCAGTAACTTGCACTTTTATTTTAATATTTTTTAGTAACTTGCACTCTTAGTCTTTTTGAACTGTATGCTAATATGTAACTTGGTAACCTGCACTTTTAATTTGAACTGTATATTATTATGCAAGTTATATGATTTAATGGTCAAGGACTACAGGTGGAAAGTAGCATGGTGCAAAATCTGTTGCAGCCATCTTTTTAACGCAACTACACATTGTCCTTAATAAATCAAACTTCAATATTGAGGTTGCAAGGATTTGTGAGAGAGCTTGACACAGTGGCTTGAAAGAACAAAACACAGCATGAACAAAAGATGGAAAAAAGTTGCAATTACAGCTTATTGATACATAACTGGTGACAGAAAAAATTGCTTTATATATTAATAGTATCAGTCTCTGACACCACAACCACATGCTTTTCTAATATTTTGCCACCCTAATATCTTGATACCAAGGGGTGTATGAATCTACAAATAAAGTACGGGTCTAAGATTATTTTTTAGGAAGACATTCTATCTATAATGTCGTCAGGGTATTTTAAGTATTGCAAATGCAGTGTACCTCCAGTTTGTTAACACCATTTCCTACTCTCTCTAGTTTCTCAGAACATGTGCGGACGTCTTCAGGCTGCTCCCCTTCCTGGTTTTCATCATCGTTCCTTTTATGGAGTTCCTGCTTCCTGTAGCTCTCAAACTCTTCCCTAACATGCTGCCGTCCACCTTCGAGACACAGTCCAAGAAGGTACTAAAACACGCCCACAAACCACATTTAGTTCAAATGAGATGGTGAGAAACAAGCAAATCAAACTTGTTTTATGTGTTAGTTTAGTTTAGTTTAGGTATTTAAGGAGACAGAGACCGTGTACAATGAACATTAACCTCAAAGGGAGAGATGTAGTTAAAGGCACATGCAAAGTCTAAATGCATCTGTCAATAACTTACTTTAATATTAGTCTTGTTATTTGAGCAGTTAGAGCACAATTTACTAATAAACTTTTATTATCCTACTATTTACTATATTTAGTCAGGTTTAGTGGTGCCTCTATTTGATCTAGGTTCTGATAGTCTTTAGTTATATAACCCTTGACATGACCAGACAGCCTGATTATAGCAAAGGTTAATCTCATTACACTGTAGTCCTTTTTAATAAGGGATCTATAAGCTGTTGATGTTTCCCTTTAAACTCCATTATACAATTACAGGATGTGCCACAGATATGAATCCCCTTTTACAACCCGGTACAACCCGGTATGTATTGTTTTCAGAGATGCTGAAAAGCAATTCTACCTTTTCTATCTTTTCTCATTTCAGGAGGAGAGGTTGAAGAAGGAGCTCAGAGTGAAACTGGAGATGGCCAAGTTCTTACAGGATACCATTGAGGAAATCGCTCTGAGGAATAAGGTGTCCCAAGGTGACGTGACTGAGGAGTTCTCCACGTTTTTCCAGAAGGTCAGTGCATTGACAGATGGTGCACCAGGACCCTCTGGTGGTGAAGATTATGAACTGCAGTTTAATGTCGCTGTAAAACGAGATTAGAGGTTATATAGAAGTTGAATGATACAAAACCTGACAATTGAAGCTCAGGATGGTTCGAATTGACATGTATCTTGGGTTAGGGTCTACCAACTTTCACCATCTCATGGATATAGTATCTGTCTTGTCATCTTTGGCATACACTTTTATTTATTCAATGTCATTTAGAATAGAAAATACAGTTCTGGTCTGTTTCTATTTATTACTAAGTTTAATGCCTTTTTAACCTGTTAGATAAGGTAAGGATTAAGTAACTCATAATCCTCATTCCAGGCAAAACAATTACAAACACTGAGGTGCAGCCCCATGACGTAATATGAGATAGAAGACTATTAAAATTTATAAACAGAAAAAAATGTAGGAAAATGTTTGTGGGAAGCCAGGTTGCTGTAAAGAAAGTGTTCTGGATTCATGAGAAAATGTAGCAATTCTGCTAATTTGTTGCCTAAGGGATTAACGAGAGTCACAAACTTAAGTTGACATCATGCTGAACAACAAAAAATATACTTTATTTGTAATATTTAACTTAATGCACGTCTACTATAACTATATTGTTTTAACTATATTATTACGATATCGTTTTTAGAAAAGAAAGGCACAGTGTATCCTTTAGTAGTCCTGAATTATGTGTTGGGTGTAGTTAAAGTGTTTGTTTCATTTCTTTGAACAGATCCGTGACTCTGGTGAGCGTCCCAGTAATGAGCAGATCATCCGTTTCTCCAAACTCTTTGAGGACGAGCTTACGCTGGACAATCTGACCCGGCCTCAGCTCGTGGCCCTCTGCCGTCTGCTGGAGCTGCAGTCTATGGGCACAAACAACTTCCTCCGTTTTCAACTCATTATGAAACTCAGGTCGATACGTGCTGATGATAAGGTACAATATTATCTGTTATGTTTTCTGAGTCTTTGTTCTGTTACTATATCTGTGTTAAATGTGGCGTCTCTTTTCAGATGATTGCAGAGGAGGGAGTGGCGAGTCTGAACGTGAATGAAGTCCAAGCGGCGTGTCGTGTCCGAGGCATGAGGTCTTTAGGGGTCACAGAGGACAGACTGAGGGAGCAGCTTGTCCAGGTACAACAATAACTAATATCTAATAACCAATTGTTGAAATAGTTGTCGTCAATTAATTTAATGATCGAGTTTTTTGATCCTTACCTAAACTTAAACATGCCGAGAGAAGTCTTTTCTCTTTAGGAGTCAGATAATTCTATAATGGCTGCAGAATTAATTGGAAATATCTCAACAAAGTATTCTTACAAACTCATTTCTGTGAAAATGTTCTCCAGAGGCATCACTTGAGTTTTTTTTTTTAAATCCCATATTCACTGACCTTTCGGGATCTAAACAACAATTAGCAAACGAATCGATTATCAAAATAATCATGACCTTCCTAAAGTATGTCTCGTCATACATAATACGTCACTTTTGTTTAGGTATTGTGATTATCAAGAGCTTTTTGATATGCATGAAATATTTGAGGTTGGTAACTTTGCTGTTATTATGTCGCAGTGGCTGGAGTTGCACTTGAACCAGCAGATTCCTACATCTTTGTTGCTGTTGTCACGGGCCATGTACCTCCCCGACACACTGTCACCAGCAGATCAGCTGAAGACAACTCTACAGACTCTTCCAGAGACTGTGGTAAGTTCAGTGCAGCTATTCCGCAGCAGGTAACAGCTCTTTACTTTCAGAAACACTACAATATTGCAAATAGTTTATATTATTTAAGCCCGTAACTTAGGCCTAAAAGCATGGGGTCACATAGAGAAAGTTTATAAGAAAAGTCTAGCATATAGTAAAAAAGCAAAAAAACAACACTATTAATATTCTTGAGTTAAAAGAAATCAAATCTACCCATAATCTTGTCGAATTGGGCAAATAAAGTAAAATGTCTGAAGAAGCTGGCTCTTAGGCTTTGCTTTGACTGTTATTTCTATTAGTTTGAACACACAATGACGGTTCTAATCTGTTCTTCTTTTGTACCGTAATACAACTTTGGGCCTGTGTTTGCAGAAAAAGGAGGCACAGTTAATGGCGGCAGAGATGGAGCTTTCTAAAGTGGACAATAAAACCAAAGTGGAGACCACGCTGAAAGAGCAGGCGGCCATTCGTCAAGACAACAAAGAGCGGCAGATGGAAAGAATCGCAGATGCAGCAGAGAAGGCTGACCTTTCTGCTCGTTCAGAGATCCTACGCGACACTGCTCCTGTTGTCGAAGGACTGAAGGTAATAGAAATATAAGAGATGCACCAATCCGACTTTTTAAACTCTGATAGCAATCCTGTGGCTGCTGATACCCGGAATAAACGGATTCCCATAAACGGCTTAAAAAACCCTGTAGTTGCAGCTAAATTGTTACAGAAAGTAATCAATGTTGTTTATCCTGCAGTAACAAAATAAACTTTATTTTAGTAAAATTCTACACGCTGACTGAAAGGCAAAAAAGGCAAATCAGAATATCGGCATAGTTAGCATAACGCATATCATTACAATATCAATAATTCCTAATAAATGCAGCACTATGCTTGGAACAACCAACCCATTCAAAGTGGTTTTTATATAAACAGTTTTCACCTTTTCTTTTCATAATGTTCATTTTCTTCCCAATGGCACTACAGTACGAACAATGGCATACTTTTCATCTTCACTTTCAGGTCAGAAATAAATCTGCCCCCCTCCTCCAGCCCACAATGTTTTTTCCTTGTATCTCGATCCACAAGTGCTTCTAATAGCCTCTGCATATAATCCAGACATTTGTTTAGACGGTCTTTCCAGCACCAAGAGAGACCTCCGTCTCTAAATGAAAAGGACAAATAGTTTAATTGATGTAATGAAGTGACGCTTGATGTAAACCAGTTACTTCAAAACAAAGTAGATAAAGAAAGACTTTAAATTCTTGATTGTGTGTTCTCTTATTGTATGAACGACAGACATGGACCAGAGGAATAAACTAGGATTAATTCATGAATTCTGGACTGACTTTACAAATCGGTCTGCTTTGCACATTAAAACAGTTCTTGTTAATCTGGTGATAACAAACGCTGGATTGTTTGCACTTACTGAGACCTGCATTATATTGACATATCCTTACCTCATTGTTCCTTTATGTTAGGTTTTCCCTCTTAAAGTGCTATGTTTTAAATATTCACAGATTGTGCTCTCCGTGTGTCATGTGTATCCCTGTGTTCTAGTGGAGTATATCAATACTGGTATTTACTAAATCCATGGATCAAGTTCCTTTAGCTCCAACACTGTTTGGTTTTATGCTAGTTTTCACATTGGCCTCTGTTACATCTTAAGATCAGCTTTATCATTGAAAAAGAAAGGACCAACCTCACTTAGCCAGTCAACTCTCCAAATGTAAAGATGTGTTTTTAATTATGTTAAAAGCACTTCGAGGAATGGACATTGCAAATTTGCCGTTGCTCTAAATGTTTGACAAAACATTTTCTGTAAACAAGAATCTCTTGGGACAGACATGTGTTTAGGAAACAAAAGCGGTACTTCCATAACAAAACAAGGGAATATTCAGTTGAGTTTTATTTATCACATGGTTTCTTGGTAACATCTCTAGCATGATGTCCTCATTCACAACCAGGAAGTAAAATTATGAATCTTGGAATGGGGTTAAAATGTTGACAAATCCAACTATTTAAATGTTGAATTTTACCATTATTACAGGACGAAGAAATCACTAAAGAGGAGATTGACCTCCTGAGTGACGCCTGCTCGAAGTTGAAGGAGCAGAAGCGGTTGTTGACTCTGGAAAAAGAAGAGCTGGAGGATCTAAAAGATGATGTTCAAGAATACAATGAGGTAAATATATATTTGATAAAATATTTTATGATGCACACACTATAACTATCAAACTTCTTAACGTAATGTCTCAGGATCTGGAGGAGATAAAGAAGGAGCTCTCTAAGACTGGACAGGAGAAAGCGGTGGAGGAGTCCAAGGCCAGTCAGCGTCTGTCCAAGAGAGTGAACCGAATGATCGGCAGAATTGGCAAAATCATCGGAGAACTGGAGAAGGACAAGGTCATCCTGGACGAACAGATGGACACAGGCTCCGTTCCTCCAATCGGGTAAGACCACTGCATGAATGCTCTGATCAGGCGTCCTATTATAGCCTCTGAAACATGTGGAGTTGACCGTGTTGTGTATTTTAGTTGATGTCAGAAGCAAGACATTATGAAAAAGGGATTTGTTACAGTTTTAAAAGGATTATAATGTAGTTCCTGATCCTAATTGTCCACATATATTTTTCATTATTTTCTGTATTATATTTTCAACTTCAACCAAAAAGGCCTTTAGCCATTATGACATTTTATATTTATGTTGTCCATTTTGCATGACTCCCCCATTGTCACTTCAAGCATCAATAATTTATTTATGTAAAATGGTGGTGGAGATACAGAAACTAAAAGGTTTCCCAGATAAATTATAAAAATTGTAATATTAATCAAGCCCTTATTAAAATTTTCCAGATTGTTCCTCACTAAATATAGTGATGCTACCAGGTAAGAAATGTACTTACTGCCATTTGCTCGATCAATACTAATTCTGCATCCTCTCTTCACATTAGACTATAGCCTAATAAAAACGTACGCGTTATTGTGACTGGTTATACTTTTAAATATATTAAAATTTACTGGAGAAACTTAGAATATTGTTAGAATATCATTCAAAAGTCACTTCTGTAATTCTGTAAGTCAACTTCTGATATTATCATCATTAAACGCAAAGTGTTTATTCATTATGATGTTGATAATTGGCTCACCGCTTGTAAAAACCTCTAATAATATTTAGAGGCACTTGAAAACAAAATAGATTTTGTCCACATTAGCTGCCCTCGAATATAAGCCGCAGGATATAATGTTTTAACTGGTTACAACAGGAACAGTTAAAACGACATGTTTCCAGACATGGAAGCTAACAGTTAAACTGTTTATCATTCACCAGTCTATTGTGACACTAAACAAGTGTGGTTTACCTGGTGGAGTTATAAACTCTGCTCCGACAACTGCTGAACTTTTCACAGTGAAAATACACACGTCGGCTGTGTCACTACATAAGCCGCAGAGTTCAAAGAACACGTTTGAATTACAGAAATGAATAAACCTGTGAACAATAATGTAGTCTTCTGAGTTTCACTCGTACAACCTTCACCCTTTTTAATTATAATGTATTTTAACTCTCCTTGTAGCAGTAGTGAGTTATTAACTCTCATTTACAATCTCTTCCTCAATACATTTGATTTGCTTTTGCATGTTTGAATCATGCAAAATCCGCCCAAAAACATTTAATCATTAACCATTGAGCAAGTTTTAAAAATGGTCCTCAGGCTCTCAACAAAGTTATTTTTCTAAATTGAAGTTTCCTGATGCATGGTCCAGATGACTGCAGTGCTTTTGAAACTTGCTGATTTCTCCTGCACGAATGAGGAAATACACCACTTTAATTTATCATTCAAACATTCAAAAATTACATTTCCATGGACATAGGTACAGTAAAAACATTAAGGTTTTAAATGAAACAATTCTATGTACCATTACTCACTGCTGTGGATGGAGCTGGTCAGTTTCATAATGACTAAAGTCAACAGAAGTTTATGATTTAATTTGATAATCTGATAGTAAACTCCTTCATCCAGCCTCAATCATTTTAGTTCAGCATTTTTCATCTAAATTTAGTGATAATATTAAGACGGTTACTATTTATAAGCACATACAGACTTGACTTCTCTACTATGAAAATGAATGGTGATTATTTCGATGAACATTCGTAAACATGTAAATACATGCACATCTAATGAACCATACTGCCACATTGTTTGCTCTGATGATCCTTGCATAGACATTTCAATTTCATTTTTCTATAATTGATCTTTGCTAATGACAGTAGATCCGCAGCTGATTTGGTGTGATCTGGGAAACCGCCTGTGATGTCTAATGATGCTGTCATTTCTCCACCACCTGCTTACCCTGTGTCCGTGCTGTCACCGTCTGTATGCAGTCTGTTCTACACCTTCAGGGAGAACCTGGTGAGCATCGACGAGCTGATCGGAGTCATGAGGCAGATCCAGAACATCCCCGAGCACAAGCTGCAGAGCATCGCAGACGCTCTGGATGACAACAAGGACGGGAAGATCGACATCGACGACGTCATCAAGGTTCGACTCAACGACTGTGAAATGACTGTGCCAGAGCAACATAAACCACAACCTAAATTTTGTTATCAAGCAGTTTCAAAACAAGTCCACCAAAGTGTTGACTACATTGTAAATAAAAAAATATTAATATCCAGCTTTCACTTTTTCTATAATATTAAGCTAAATTATAAACCTGTGATCCACTTCAAAATCATTATGATATAAATATAGTAAGTAAGTAATCTTGATCTATATACAGCACATTGCTCTATGATATGGATGGATGGATCTATAATAATAACTGGATAGGGTATTACTAGCTTATAGCTGTCCCACCCATGGGCACAGGGGGCCCATAGCACTCAATGTAAATTAAAACAGCTCGACCTCAGCTGACAGAGAACCTACAACTTTCAGAAAGATCGGATTTTGTGGGAATTTTAGTGTTCCTTGTCATCCTGAACTTTTTTTCTTCTTAAATCCTTCGGTTTTGTTTGAATCCACACTTTACTGCCACAAACTCTGCTCATTTCCTTCCCGCTCTGACTCCGCTCTGACTCTGCTCTGATCAGCAGCTCTGATTGGTCCGAACGCGGCCGACCCCCTCTGTGCACGTGCATGAAAGCCACACACGCGTATTTGGCGCAACGCATCATGGGAGCTCATCCACTGCACAGAACCGGGAAGACTTGACGATGCCCAGATATAGGCGAGTTCTGCTAATCTTTCGGTCCTCCTGTAAGTCCCATGCGCTACTGAGCACAAGCTATTCATTTGAATACGGCGCCATCTTGGATCACCGGGGCTTGGACACCGGCACCAACAGAAAGAGTCTTGAACAAGTATAAAGATGTGAACAAATCAGACCATACCATGCTGGCTTCATCTTATTAGAAATGTATCTTTTACATGGGCTACCCTGTGAGTCACTGTTTGACTCTTTGGGCTGACAACGAATTGGCTGAAATGAGGGTTTCAGTGTGAAAACTAGTGACAAATCCAATCAGCTTTGAGGGCAAGGAACTAGATGGATTTAATTACATTATTTGTGTCTCTCTGTAGTTTGTTCAGAATCAGTCTTAAATTATGATCCAATTCCAGTATCTAGCTCTTGTAACAGACCACTGGATAAATCCTCTGTAAATGTTCTGTGCAGGTGGTGGAGCTGATCGACAAAGAGGACATCGACATCTCCACGTCGCAGGTGGCTGACATCATGGTGATGCTGCAGAAGGAGGAGAAGCTCTTGGAAAAGGAGAAGGCCAAAGACAAGATGGAGAAGGAGAAAGCCGTGAACTGCAACGCCTGATCTATATCCTCCACACCTACTTGACCCTCTGTCACTTTAACGCAAAACGCACACAAAATGACATAACGCCATGTACGCGATAGCTACTTTAGATTGAAACTAAGTTGATAGTTTGTAGAATTGTTATTATTTATGAAGGGCAGGGAGACTTGAGACTGGATTCATTGAGAACTTATAGAAGTGTATTTGCTTGTAGTGATACCCTTCATTCATAATCTCAAAGAAGTGAGAAAACCATTTCTGGATTTTGCACAAACCGTCAAACCATTATCATCTCCTCCGTGTGTCATTCCATTACATCTGTTTAGTTTGGTTTTAAAATTTGTTGATGAGAAGAGTTAGAAAAGGTCAAACACTGGACCTGGCGTAAAAATGTGCAGTGATGAGTGCACTTAAACAATTCTAAAACAAATGGCTTCTAAACATGTAACAAAAACAGAGTATTGTCTAACTATGCTTCTTGATGTGTATATTCCATAGACTTTATATAGATGGGCATTGCTAACACGCTAGCTCGATGAAGTTCAATGGGGAACTGCTCATGAATGAGGTTTGGCTCAAATTCGCTCTGGCTCTTAATGACTAAAATAAAAAATTAAGCTCCTCTAGCTCGGTAACCGTTTGCATCACACTCATCATTTTGGGCGCCGTACAATCTGCCGTTTAGTGCTCCCTATGATCTTGGGGTTTTTATCTAGATTTTCATTTAGATAAGAATTGAGCCATCAGAGGCCTTCATTCGTAGGGGAAACTCAAGCTTGCCTTAGCAACCATCATAGCAACCCGTTTTCCCCTGTTATGGCACAAAGCTATCCCAGCAGGAACAAATGCCCATATAAGGAAATTGGCTCCAGCTTGTTTATGTTCAAAATCAGCTTCTTCTGTATCCGGTGACATCAGTACTCGGACAGTGCACTCCTATTATACAGTCTGTGGTATTATCTGGGAAGCAAAAGTGAGAATAATCTTGATAAATTGATGTAATTTATCTATAAAATACCAAAGTTGCACTGATGAATATTTAAGGATAAAACCTTTCACATTCATCAAAGGCCCGTGTCACAGCTGCTCTGTGTGAGTCTATTCTGTTTAGCGCTGAAAGTGGTTTTGAAATCAGAACAGTGGCCTTTTGTGGAGATTCATTATACAGTCATGTATAATGTATATATTTTTGATAGACTGATGAGGTTTGCTTGAGTTTAGTTTTGGACTAAGAAAAGGTGTATTTAATTTTGCACAGTAGAGATGTACTCCTCAGGTTGAATCTTCATCTATATTTTTTACTTTGTTGTAGCCTGAAAATATCGACTTCTGAATGTGTGTGTGGGTGTGTTGAATTAGCGAACATAGTAGCTAGAAGTAAATAAAAAATCAAAGATCTTGAATCAAAATGAAAACATGATTTATCAGTAAATAGATGTATTACTAATACAGAAGGGGAACAGTTTGTTGCTGTCAGTGTCATAACAATTGAAGGCAGCATTAAATTTATTGTTGCTAAATATCATTTCAAATTCCATAAATAATTCAATGTTGATAAAATCTCCTAAAATTCTATCAAAAAAATGCCATGCATTGGATTTTATATACAAATGGGTTTAAAACCTTGGTGTGAAAGAACTTCCTCACATAAAACAAACTTTATGTTCAGGCAGATTTCATTCAAAATTAAAGTGTGAAAGTGAAACCGTCCTAAAAATATGGTGTAATCCCATAAATTGTTATGAGTGAGAAGTTATGAATATATTAAGCAGGTTACTTGAATGACTGAGGGTGGCACGAGTAGTTAAATATTTGTTGTATAGAAATGTTAGATTTGTAATCCCTCAGTGACATGCAGTAGTTCCATGTAAAGAATCGGCAGCTGAAGATTTGGGAGAGGAAACTATTTGCAGCTATTATTGAAGCGGAGAGACCTGCATGATTGAAACAGGGTTTTCAGTACATCTCAACAATAATAATAAACAGACTGCTGCTATTTATAACAAAATACTTGCAGACTGTTCACTGTCACACTATTGTTTTTTTATTTATTTAATCCAAAGTATTGATTTTGCTTTCATTTTGGCTCATTCATTCACAAATTCATGTATAAATGGCTGTTTGAATAAATGGTTTCATTTTCATTTCGTTATTATGGTCCTTGTGTTTTCATTTATTTCCAATTGCTTTATAATCAGTTATGTTTTTTATTAAACTATTTTTCCCCACAGCCAATACATTCTTGTAATATATCATAAATACATATTTTACACTACAACAGACAAAGTAATGAACCGAAGAGATCTGTACAATTTGCATTTCATGCTTTTGAGTCAAAATGGGACTTTTGTCATTGTAAAATAATGCACTCTTTATCTAAAGGGACAGTGTGTACATACTCGTATCCCCAGACAATGGGTCTACATGTACACATACCATTTGGCCTTCTCTACTTTAAACTTTTATTCAGAAAAGTTAGTGACATGACGTCTATAATATTTATGATTAAACACTTTCCAATATCATCCAAGTCGTTTTTGTTAAAGTAGTAGTTTTAGTTATTTCTTTTATGCAATGCTACCACAGGCAAGGCACATTTATTTGTATAGCACCATCAATGCACAAACAAAACACAAAATTACCAAAGGCCTTGGATTTTGGATTTGAAAAAGGTCAAGTTTCTGTACATTTGCTTTAGAAGCTTTAATATCGTAATATTCTTAGACAATAGTCTTGGTTCTGCCTGTAAATGACTTCCACCAATGCACTTTCGCTTAGTTATAGAATCTAGATCATATTGTGACCGTCTTTAACAGTGAAAACAGTCACAAGTTTACATTGTTTTTCAGACCAAATGTTTGTCACTGGTGCTTCATACAAGGACTGCTTCACATTTTTTAAAGTTAAATATTATTTTTCTGCAGATACAACATAATTAATACAATGGTTTACTTTGATTGCATCTTTGGTTTCACTCGAACATATTTAGCTAATTCAAATTGACATTAATCATAGCAGAGCATGGACAGTAGTCGTTACTGTTGAATAGATTCGTTCAGGCAAATAGAACAGTTCAGACGTTTGCTTTGATTGGATTTGCTCATGACAATATCATGTTTTTCTTTTCCTTTCATTGGGGGAAAACAACTTTATTTGTATAATTGTATCAAACTGTGCTTCATATCCATTATTTTAACATTTCTGTAACAAAACGAAAAATACATGCAATAAATCTAATAACTGCAGTTTGTGAGTTGTTTTTGTAAATAACTTGTTTAAAAAGAACAGCTTCGTGTGAATGATTACGAAGCTGACAAAAGCTTCATACTGCATTTGTCCACTAGATGGTGTATTAACGAGTTTATGTTAAATGCTTGCTTTGCCACTGTAAATGTTTGTAATTGAGAACACATAAATGAATAAATATCAGAGCACGTAGGGTGCATATGCAGTGCACCTTTAATGAAGCTGAGGTACCAAACTTTTTACATAAATTGTGGATTTTCTTCAAAGAAAGAGTCATGTAAAAGTAATGGTTTGAGAACAAATCAGAGCCAAGTGAGTCACTATTGGACACTTTGGGCTGAGAGCTGATTGGTTGAGTGAGGCTGGTCCTCTCCTCACTTTTCAGTCTGAAAAGGCTGATCTAAAGATGTGACAGTGGTAAAAAAAAATACTATTGAAAACTAGTGAAAGAACTAGTGAATAGAACACGGTGGAGCGGCTGTGCCGCTGGGCGTGGGAACCGCTCATTACAAATGAAAAGATAAAGATAAGATAGATCTTGAAAAGATAAAACCAGGTTCCTTCATTTTCTATCAATACATTTATTGGCATAATGTGTAGGAATTAATCCAAAAGGCACAAAAGTTCTCAGCAACCATAATTTCAGTTAATTAAGTACATAATTAAATATTGATTCACTTTAAAACCATAGAGTGTAAATATTAATATTCAAAACATGTCTCAGATCAGCTGGTTTCATGACTATTTCAATACATATTCAATAAATACAATACTTGGTAGAAACTTTGTGGGCAACAGTGGCACATTTGGTATGGCTCAGCTCTTGTGCCTGAAGGTTGTGGGTTCGAGCCCACCACAAGACCTGTCGTTATGTCCTTGGGCAAGACACTTAACCCCACTTTGACCTGAAGCTCTCACAGACAGAGAAGGTGCTCTGTGAATTAGAGAGCAGGTGCCCGGAACCCCCCCCCACCCCTCCAGCCCCTCCCAAAGGGAAAGAAGATGGATGGAAAGAACTCGGACAATGTAACATCTGAAATATCTTTTGCCAAATGGAAAAACGCAAGTTACTTTTGCTTTTGTGAGTGGAACGATGAAGTTGGAAGGCACTTTGCAGAAGGTTGATTCACAAAAAAATTGAAATAGAAAAGTAAATCAATAGTCTCATTATCAGTAAACATAATAAGCAAGAGCCCATTCGCCGCAGGGTTCAAAGAAGAAGCTAAAAGTAGTGTCTGATAGTCTGGAGATGATGGTTCAAAATTAACTAAAACTTCATGATTGCAGCCATGTTGCTTTTCCCTCAGTTTTCTCCATTCATATAATCCGGATCGTCATCTTCATCGTATTTGCCATCACCACCATCGTCTTCCTCGTCTTCCTCGTCTCCAGTCTCGCTCTCACCTTCATAATCATCATCTCCAGTCTCGTTCTCACCCTTGTCTTCTTCGTCTCCAGTCTCGTTCTCACCCTCGTCTTCGTCCTCGCCCTCTGTATCCTCGTATTCTTCGTCCTCCTCGTCATGCTCCTCTTCCTCATTGAACTCATAATCTTTATCGTTGATGTTGTCGTCCTCCTCGCTGTCGTCTTCATCTTCCTCAGTCATTGAACTCTGACAGACTTCGGTGTTTTGGGATAATTCTTCAGATTCTTGTAAATCCTAAAGAAACAGAGATGAACATAAAGTTACATTTTTTGCAACGAAAACAAACGTTTCAAACAAAGGTGTTTCCTATGATCTCGTTTTGTTATTTTCTCAAGTGAAATAACTTTACAATCCCATGTCTGAGTTTGCAGCTGGTAATGTTCAAATTTAGGAAAAAAATATTTTCAACCTCCCTTTGGTGGATTTAAACATAGAGTAGAAGCCTGTCTCACATTTTTGGGAAGACAGAACAAGATTTTTGCTGCATAAATCTGAAAAGCTGCCTCCTCATGTTTAGCCCTAACACTCGGCAAGAGCAGGAGGCCAGTCCCTGTGCTCCTCAGAGTCCAGTAGTGTCTGCTGTTTCATATGTAAATGTGCACTTTATTGTCCCCGTGGGGAAATTGATCTTCTGCATTTGACCCATCCTGATGCCATTATGGCTTCCATCAGGAGCAGTGGTCGCCAAAGTACAGCGCCCAGGGACCCATCTCCAGATTAAAGCCAGATTTTTACCAGTCCCAGCAGGGGGACAGTCCCTATGCTCCACAGAGTTGGTTCATATGGCACTAACATGTCACTTATGTACTTTGGTGTGAGGCCATGGAGAGACTTGTAACATCGCCATTCAAACTATCGGCAAAATGATGCCATATTTTCTGTAAATGGCTGTTTGAATGGAAAGAAAAATGACAACATAGTGTACATAGTGTACGGTATTTGTTTATTAAAACAACAATAAATCCACATAAAATGGCACTAACATTATTAATATTCTGTCTTTCTGTAACAGACTCAGACCAAAACTATCGTTTGTTACAGCAATGAGGGACATTTGAAAAAAATCTGAAATGCAGAATGTCATTAAATCTGTTTGATTTGCTCACAACATTTTACTTTTGGGCACAACCAACATGAACAGGTAGTGGAAGGGAAAATTAGGTACCCCAGCTTTAATTTAGCGAGTTTAGTTGCGCGGAGGAGACGCGGACACTTGAGTCCAGCTGCAGCGATGCATTTATTGCATGCACAAGTTACGCAAAGACACGCACACAACAAGCAGAGAATAGTTCAGTGCGTGTATGGTCTTGGATGTCACGTAACAGCGGCGCCGTTCGCTGTGTTTTTGTCAAAGCTGCTCACAGCCGCTGAAGGTGGGACCCGCCGTCCAGAGCGGCTCCTGTTCCAGTTCATAGCAAACAACAGCAAGTGCCCCGCGGTCACACGCATATTCTTACACTTGAATTCCCTCTTAGCCCCTTTTAGCGTCTTTTATGATGGGAATAACACCAGGTTTCCAGATCAGATAGGTCCTGTTTTAAGATAATCGTAGTTTCTTACTGTCTGTCTATGGTGAAATGACACGGTCACTTGCAAAAACACATCTGAGAGTTTCATCGCAGATTTCAGACTCGAGGCAGATCTCAGTGAACAAAGTTGATCCCCATTCGCCTCATTCTCCGTTTTTGGGCCAAGTACTATTGTCACATATTTACACCAACAACACATTTTCTCCAAGTCACATGAAGCTAACACAAAAGAGCACAGACTCTTATTTACAGTCTATGGACCACACTCTGGACTCTGAGAGAGGCTGCAAGCACTGACCATAAACAGAGCTGATTCGCTGGTTCAGTTTCTCCCCACTGTCAATCACCTCTTGGAGGCAGGTTTTGACGTCACGGATTGTGCCACGTCACGATTTGAAACGACTCGATTCTGTGCCTCTCGAGAATGAAAGAGAAAGATCGCTCTCTAACTAAAGCTTGAGGAAATCTTAAAAAAAATCTACTCGGGGCATGTGTACGAAGGCCAAATAGCGTTGTAATCATGTTTCAACCATAGATTGTAAATATTAACGGACGTAGTCATGCTTATCTCCGCCGTTGAAACTAATGAGCCATCACTTTTGCCTTCTGTGAGGCAGCCCCTCCCGCAGCAAAATGTGAAAAAACGCATTTCCGCATGTGTTAGCCAGCACCAGCCCCATTCATTTGATGAGTGCCTTCTGAAGCCCACAGCGGCTAAACAAGAGTGGTCCAAAGAATAGCATTGACACATCTGGAAAGTAGCTTTGGGCCATGAGCCGACTTTTGGGCCATCCTGTAAAGCCGTTTTCGAGAGGAAAGAAGACTCCATACAAAAGCTGGGTGCACCCCCACTGGCCCGGGGTGGTATTGTAAGGATGTCAGCACACGTGTAATATTCCCAGAGCTCGTTGTATAACTTGTATCAAAGTCAAAACGTTTGCGTACCTCTTCTGTGAAGCTGGTTTCGATCGCATCTTTAAGGAAATCCCCATCACACAGACCGACCTTCTTCAACACTTCTATTTTCTTCTGGATGAGATCCCTGTGTCGACAAAAATAACATTTACTATCAAGATCCCAAGTCAAAATTGGTCAACACAGCTGGACACAAACAGACATTTGTATATATCACAAACTTCTGTTTGTGACATGAGCACTTCACGCACTGCAGATCTGCACTCACCACATGTGGTCATCTGCCGTGTCCTGTGCCACCAGGTAGTGGATGTTCACATCGTTGGTCTGTCCGATACGGTGAACCCGGTCCTCCGCCTGAATGAGAGTCTGCAGAAATAGGACTGGGGTCACATCCTACTGAGATTTTAACTGCGGCCTGAGAACAGAGAGAGAGGCCAGAGAGAGAGACCAGAGAGACAAAGACCAGAGAGAGAGGCCAGAGAGAGAGACCAGGTAGAGAAAGCAGAGAGAGAAAGGAAGAGCAGAGGGAGAGAGCCGAGAGAGAGAGACAGACGAGATAGGCCAGAGAGAGAGATAACAGAGAGAGAGACCAGAGAGGGAGATGAGAGACCAGACTGAGACCAGAGAGAGAGAGAGTAGTCCGTACTCCAGGGCTCCAGGACAGCTCTGCAAAGATGACCAGGTCGGCGGCGGTCAGGGTCAGGCCGGTGTTGGCGGTTGTGATTGACAGGACGGCGACACAGGGCTCAATGCTCTGCTGGAACTGCTCACACAGATTCAGACGCTCTGCAGAGGGAGTTGAACCATCGATACGAATGAAACTCTTCTTCTGTTGAGATAAAATAAGATAAATTAAGAAAAAAATTAGATGAGAGGAGGGAAGAAGAGAGAAAAAACCAGAGACCAGGAGAGAGAGATGAGATAAACTTCCAAAGGGAAATTGACAGTGGGATAGAGTGCTACATAGTTCTGCATGAAAGAATATGTGAGATTTCATAACACTTTTAAGCAACTTTTGTTAAAGTTAAACTCATCATTCTATCAATGTGCAGAAGCCAGTACTTTTCCCTTGTTTTGTCTATGAAGGCCAAGCTACATGGCACCGTGGCAGCTGCTGATTGGAGGTCTCCATGCCTCCGCTCTGTATAATACACTTGCATTCTCTTGTATCTGTGTTCGTGTTGTTCGTGCTGTCTCTACCATCGACAATAAAACATGTCTTCTGTCTGAATGAAAGACGCGATCCCAGACTTTGTCATCTTCTTCAAATAAAAAAAGAATAAAAAACAAAAGGGACACTATAAAGACAGAGATAGAGCAGTAGTGCTTTGAAGTCTCTGTTTCTTTAATATAATTAATAGGTCCTGAATAAAAACTTAAATAGCTCAACAAATACTGTACATGGTTACTACTTTTACAACATGTCTGCATCTCACTCACTTTTCTGGTAAGTTCCGCGGTGATACGATCCATGACAAACCTGTGATGGGCAAAGACCAGGAACTTGTCCTTCCCACACTGCATGATGTCTTTGATGTACTCTCTGCAAAATGAACAGAAGCATGTGGAGATACAAGAGACCAGGAAGGACTTCTGAAGCTAAACCAGTGATAGTTATGGACAAAAGCAGGTTCCAGAGAGAGGCCAGAGAGAGAGAGAGCAGAGAGAGAGAGACCAACGAGACAGGCCAGAGAGAATGACCAGAGAGAGAGGGAGAGGGACCAGAGAGAGAGACCAGAGAGAGAGGGAGAGGGACCAGAGAGAGAGGGAGAGGGACCAGAGAGAGAGACCAGAGAGAGATACCAAAGAGACGTGCCAGAGAGAAAGACCAGAGAGAGGCCAGAGAGAGACCAGAGAGAGAGGGAGAGGGACCAGAGAGAGAGACTAGAGAGAGAGACCAGAGAGAGATACCAAAGAGACGTGCCAGAGAGAATGACCAGAGAGAGGCCAGAGAGAGATAGCCAGAGGGAGAGACCAGAGAGAAAGAGAGGCCAGAGAGAGAGAGAGAGAGAGGCCAGAGACAGAGAGACCAGAGAGAGAACTACACACATGATGGACTGTAGTTTGGCATCCGCTGTGTAGCTGTAGTAGGCGAACATTGTCTCCCTCGTCTCTTTTTTCTGTGAATTCATAAATTCAAATAATTTTTAATTGAGTCAAAGCCCTTACTCAGTCGTCTCGGAGGATTTACACATTTTCAAATTTGTCAAGAACTTCAGAATCAAACACAGATTCAAAAACAGGTAATACAAAAACAACAATTACAATAATTATTATTGTTTAAGAGACCGGGTATAGAGAACCGTGAGTGACCAGTGAGAGAGACCAGAGAGAGACCAGAGAGAGACCAGAGAGAGACCAGAGAGAGAGACCAGAGAGAGAGGGAGAGGGACCAGAGAGAGAGACCAGAGAGAGACCAGAGAGAGACCAGAGAGAGACCAGAGAGAGAGACCAGAGAGAGAGGGAGAGGGACCAGAGAGAGAGACCAGAGAGAGACCAGAGAGAGACCAGAGAGAGAGACCAGACAGAGACCAGAGAGAGACCAGAGAGAGACCAGAGACAGAGACCAGAGAGAGACCAGTGAGAGACCAGTGAGAGATCAGAGCGAGAGACCAGAGAGAGACTAGTGAGAGACCAGTGAGAGACCAGAGAGAGAGACCAGAGAGAGACCAGTGAGAGACCAGAGACAGAGACCAGAGAGAGACCAGAGAAAGACCAGTGAGAGACCAGAGAGAGACTAGTGAGAGACCAGAGAGAGAGACCAGTGAGTGACCAGTGAGAGACCAGCGAGAGAGACCAGATACAGAGACCAGAGAAAGACCAGAGAGAGACCAGAGAGAGACCAAAGAGAGACCAGTGAGAGACCAGCGAGAGAGACCAGAGACAGAGACCAGTGAGAGACCAGAGAGAGAGACTAGTGAGAGACAAGAGAGACCAGTGAGAGACCAACGAGAGTCCAGGAAGATAGACCAGCGAGAGAGACCAGAGACAGAGAATAGTGAGAAACAAGAGAGTCCAGTGAGAGAGACCAGTGAGAGAGAGAAGAGTGACAAATAAGACAGACCAGTGAGAGACCAATGAGACCAGAGAGACCAGTGAGAGAGAGATCAAAGAGAGACCAGTGAAAGTCCACAGAGAGGGACCAGCAGTGAGAGACCAGATATAAAGCCTGGATTTTATTGCAAATGGCAAATAAGTAGCTCACACTCAGGTTTCCCGCTCTAATCTTCTTGTCAGCCACAGACATGGCATTTTTAAGTTGATCGTTGATGCCCTGCACGTTGACCGTCACCACGTGCCTCTGTTTGGGAGGAAGCTGAGACAGAACCTGTGACAGCAAAAGAATCATTTGAGTTCATTTGTTTGCCATTATAACATTGTTGAATGTTATCACTTCAATCACTGCAATTATAGCTCCAGAGTTTTTTATAATCCTATTCTATTATTATTATTATATTATCCTAAATAATAGATCATGTTCTGATGTGTGCCACCTGAGTGCTCTTATTTCCTCCAGAAGAGAGGCGTATTTTGCATTTTACTGTGCCTTTCTGATTCCCGTTCTTCTTCATTTTTGTTATAAATCGCACAAAGTTCAACTTGTTTATCTCAGATTCCATGTATAGGACTTTAAGTCTCCGTCACAAACCTCCGACTTTAGCCTCCGCAGCATCAGACACTGCTCCAACAGAAGCTTCAGCTCCTCCAGGTGACAGGAGCCCGAAGCGTCATAAGTGAACTCTGTCTGCACAAGAAGAAGAAACTGTTTAGTCTGTGGTCTCAAACACAGGGAGAGATGTGGCCCCCTAGTGGACATCAAACCTGAAAGATCAACTAAACACCTGTGCCCAGCCTTACTCCGCCCACATGAACTTCTGAAAATGTTCTCTAAAAAGGGGCGTTTTGGCAGGAGGACCAGGAGACAATAAGGGGGACATAGAGCTCGCTTGTCACACAAAAAAACTGACAGTGGCAATAGTTTAGACACCAGAAAGTCTCATTCCACCCTTGTTTACACTCTAAGATAATTGTAGAGCTACACACCTTAATCTAATTTGAACTAAAATGTCAAAAAAAATGACCAGGGCATGTAGATAGCACTATAAAAAAACATGTTTAAGCAGTTTATGAAAAAAAAAATGAAAAAAAATTGGGGGTTAGTTGTCCTTTAAAGTCAGTGCGGCCCCCACTGAGAGTCTGGGCAAATGTGTTAAACATCATTTTAAAGATAATATCATCATCAAACCATTTATTTGACCATAAACATTTAATCTTGAACGCAATAAGCAATAGCAAATTTTATGAAACCCAGGCTACAAAACAAAGCCTTGTTACTTTTTTGTCCAGTTTTGTTTCAATCCAAGCAGCTTGACTCAGTTTAGTCATAGAAATATATACAAAAAAATTCAGTTCCAAAGAGGAGTAGCTAACACTCATCCTACCGCATCTTTTGCACCCTTTTGTCTAATTTTTATTTTATTCTTTTATGCATGCCGTACCATGTTGCCTTTTACTCTTACAGCTTGTTTGCACCTTGAGCCAAAGCAAATTCTTAGTTTGTGGCTTCTTGTAACTAACAATGGCAATAACAATAATTTGATTCTCTTGTACCTTGTGACCCTGACAGTATCTCTCTGCGTAGTCTTTAAACTTGGGGAAGAGTTTGGGTCTGACGGCCTGGATCTGTGTGTACAGCTCCGAGGGTCTGGCCAAGGCTGGAGTCCCAGACAGAAGGATCACTCGCTTTGCGGCCTAGAGAGAAAGAGAGAGAGAGAGAGAGAGAGAGAGAGAGAGAGACAAAGACAGAGGGGACAGAGAAAAGAGACAGAGAGATACAGAGAGAGAGAGAGATAGAGACAAAGAGAGAGAGAGAGACAGGGGGAGAAACAGAGCGAGACAAAAAACGAAATTAGAATTCTTAAGACTACAGGGACAAGCCTCCTGCTGCTCCCAGAGTCAGGACTAAACATTTGCTGGAACAGTCTTCCTGAAATGTGAGACAGGCCTCTTCTCTGACAATGTTCAAATTCAGGTTAAAAACAGTTCTGTTTCGCTGTTCCAACTGAGGGATTGTATCCAGTGTTTTAATGTACTGTGATTATTTATGAGTGTGATTGTTTCTATCTTGTTTTGTTAAGTACTTCAAGTTGCCTTGGTTATGAACTGCGCTATACAAATAAACTTGCCTTAAATATAAAGTTGTGTGTTGAACCGAAACAGGGAGAGTACCTGGAGCAGTGGGAGAGCAGCTTTGTACCGAGCCGTCTTATTGTTCTTCAGAAAATGGGATTCATCCTGAGAAGAACAGAACAAGAATTTTAGGTATAGGAAACGAGAGACTTTGTATTTTTTTGTCTCTTTTGAGACATAAAGAAAAAACCTAGTTGGAAAAACATGTGAGAAAAACGTGAGGCTGTAGATCCAGGACTGAGGCTGTAGACCCAGGACTGAGGCTGTAGATCCAGGACTGAGGCTGTAGATCCAGGACCGAGGCTGTAGATCCAGGACTGCAGCTGTAGATCCAGGACTGAGGCTGTAGACCCAGGAATGCAGCTGTAGATCCAGGACTGAGGCTGTAGACCCAGGAATGAGGCTGTAGACCCAGGACTGAGGCTGTAGATCGAGGACTGAGGCTGTAGATCCAGGACTGAGGCTGTAGATCTCACCACGATGATGACTTTAATCCCTGGTTCTGGTTCCGCTCGCCGCAGGAGGCTGTAGCTGACGATGTTCACTAAACCAGAGCTGATGTTGTCTGTGGATTTGACCATGACGTTGATATTCTCCGACTGCAGAGACGGCATCCAGCGTTTGAAGGCCTGTGCAACACCAACAACACACACATAAAACATAATCAGCACAATTATCAAAAGTTAATAATGCGTAGGCTTTATATAGTGCTTTTTGGACACTCAAAGACGATTCACATGTCATTATTCTTCTGTAGGCTATAGCCACAGTTGCCCTTGAGCAAATTGACAGAAACAAGGCAACCAATCTGTGCCATCGGCCCCTCCCACCACCACCACCAACCATTCACACACACACCAGACTCATATTAATGTGGGAGAAGTGTCTTGGCACTACAACAGTTTGGCACTTTACAGCCGCAGCTGCCCCACTGTGGCAACTGGTGTTCCCAGAGGTCTCCCATCACAGTACTAACCAGGCCCTGTCCTGCTTAGCTTCAAAGGTCTGACAGGTGGCTTTCACCTGCAGGTGGTACCACACGCTTAAGATGTGGGAGGAAGTCATGGAGGTGGAGGGACTTTAGTTGGCCCAGTCCCTGGTTAGTGATGTGATGGGAGACCTCTGGGAACTAGATAACAGTGACAGCTTCTGTCAGTATGCCCCAAGGCAGCTGTGGCTACTGTAGTACCTACCTACCGTTTCATGCTGCTCACACTTTCATGCACGCCATGATCTTCTCGCATATAAGTTACTGCATCTGCTCATGGTCACAGGCCACTGCCACTACAGTCATGCCACTACAAATGATTTATAACAGAGCGGTTAAAATCCTAGACAGGAAGCCCATTAGGTCACATCATTGTATCAGTCTGAGGAATTTAAACATTTTATCTTTTGAAAACTTTATTAAATTTTCCCAGCTGAAGCTGATGCACAAATGTTTGAACCAGCAAGCCCCACAGGTCTTGAGTGAGTGTATAGTTCCTCTCAGGGCTGTGGGCTCAAGGACTAGAGGAGCTCAGAACGGGAACTGTCAGATCCCGAAACGAAATACTTCATTTGGACAATCAGCTTTTTCCGTACAAGGCACTAAAGCCTGGAACTGTTTACCCACTGACCTGAAGGGAGAGTCAAACTGGGTCCCTTTCAAACACGAACTTAAAGACTCTTTAATCAGAGGTCAGAAATGTGACCACTGACCGTCTGCTCTGTTGTGTTTGTGTTGTACTGTATTATGATATGTGTTTTAATTATGTTTTAACCATGTATTGTTTAATTTTTATGTAAAGGCCCAACTAGGGACGGACATTGAGAATTAGCTTTGGCTAAAATGTTGTAGTATGTAACATGAGCTTATGTGACATACTTGTCCCTATTCAAATAAACTTAAATAAAATAGTAGATAATCACCACATGTAAAGCTTCTAGAAAAGCACTGGAGAGAGACCAGAGGATGGCACAGAATGGTTGTCTTGCTTCTATCAGCGTGCCCCAGGGCAGCTGTTGCTACAGTAGTAGTTTCTCAATGCTGTGTTTGGCGTGAATGAATAATGACATGTGAAGCAAGTACCTGTAAGTTTGTGGGTAGATTAGTTCTGGTGTTTGTACCTGGGCCCATGTGAAGCGGATGGAAGAGGGAGTGACCACCAGCAGCGGCCACTCGCTCCTGTAGAAGGCGGCGATGGCGATGGCCTGGATGGTCTTCCCCAAACCCATGTCATCGGCCAGGAGCAGCCGACCCCCCTGGTGTACCCCAAAACTGAACACAAAGATACCCTTACGTTAAAGTCAGAGAGAGACCACAGAGAGACCACAGTGACCAGAGAGAGACCACAGAGAGACCACAGAGACCAGAGAGAGACCAAAGAGAGACCCGAGAGAGACCCGAGAGAGAAAAAGAGACCAGTGAGAGAGAGGGACCAGAGAGAGAGACCAGAGAAAGACCACAGAGACCAGCGAGACACCAGAGAGGGGCCATAGAGAGACCAGACAGACCCCAGAGTGGGACCAAAGAGAGACCTGAGGGAGAAAAATAAACCAGCGAGAGAGAGGGACCAGAGAGAGAGAGACCAGAGTGAGACCAGAGAGAGAGACCAGGGAGAGTCCAGAGAGAGAGACCAGGGAGAGTCCAGAGAGAGAGTCCAGAGAGAGACCCGTGAGAGAGACCAGAGAGTGTCCAGATTGTGACTCCTACTTGACCCCGATCCTCTGAAAGGGCAGCAGGCTAGTGCTCAGGACGGGGTCAATGGCGGACAGGTCGGCCTCAGGGACAGTGGCGGTCTCAGCGTGCGGGTCTTCGAATCGACGACAGAAGGCCTCCACAACCTGCCGGGGGAGAGGCTCCACCCTCGCACTGGTCATCTGGGTCAGCAGGTCCACTGAGAGAGAACCACAGAGACAGAACTCCTCACTCAGAACACTTGGTGGATTATTTTGCCACCAATTTAATTCAATGTATTCTTGTACAGCCCTAAATCACAGGACTTTACAAAACCGTTGATTTTGCCAATACAGATCAGAGAATCAAACAGTTAAAACACATAGAGCCTTTGGTCCATAAGGGGCAGAGACCACTGTCAATACATGTTGGTGAATGTTATACATTAGGAGGATTTTACACCTGTATGGTTGGTCCACTAAATATCAAATGTCGAGAAATTATGTGTAAAAGAAGAATACTTACTGAGCGGTTTGTAATCCTTAAGAGAGAAGCTCCACTTTCCTTCTGCTTCTGATAACAAAATATAACAGATCATGTTAATTCTTGTTCATTGTTGTAAAAAATAAAGCAGAGGTATTTTTACTGAACAATTAAAACTATTTGTTTGCCACAGAAATACCGACAAACACAATAGCTATTGTGAAGCATGGAGGTGGAAACATCCATGACTGGTCTCTCTCTGGTCTCTCACCGTTCTCTCTCTCAGGTCTCTCTATGGTCTCTCTCTCTGAGCTCTCCCTGGTGCCTCTCTGGTTTCTCTCTCTATTGCTTCTCTCTGGTCTCTCTCTCTGATATCTCTTTTCTTTCTTTTTCTAGTATCTCTCTGTTCTCTCTTTCTGGTCTCTCTCCGGTGTTTCTCTACTTTTTCTCTCTCTGTTCTCCCTCTCTAGTCTCTCTCTGGTCTTTCTCAGGTCTCTCTCTCTGGCCTCTTTTTTGGTCTCTCTCCCTGTTGTTTCTCTCTCTGGACTCTCGTAATTTCCGCCCCTAGCATGCAAGTATACTTATACGCTCTGCAGAGAAGGTGATCGGCCGCAGCCTCCCATTGCTGCAGGACCTGTACGTCGCCCGAGCTCGAGGCCGGGCAAGTACTGTATACTTGCATGCTAGGGGTGCCAGTACAATCATACTTGCAATATGATACTCATAAAGACCCTCCTTGTTGTTCTTACCGGCACGGTGCGACGGCATGAGCTTGAACACATCGGTCACTTTTGTGGAGAAAACAGAAACAATTTCAGGCAGAATGTGGAACCTGGACAGAGACACCAGAACGCACTCTGCTGTCTTGCGGAAAAGTTTGTTCCTCTTCCAGAGGCTGCTCAGCTTCAGCAGAGGAGCTATAGACCCTGCGTATTCACTGGTGGAAGCTTCCGGCTCCAGGATTCCCTCCAGGGGCTCCAGACACACTGAGTTAATGGAGGCCACTTGACGCACTAAAGCAGAGAAGGAGACACAAGTGTAATGAAGGAGCACGGCTGGAATGAGATACTGTGTAAGAATGAGTCGACCCGGGATGGTGGTGGGAATGGTTGGCGTGTTGAGCCCATGTTGGCATTTTGGAACAGGAAAGACGAGAATGTGCAAAAGTGTGACGGTGGAAATGAACCGCAAACATAAAAGTATGTTTTCTAACGTAACCGCACAGTGAAGAGAGATACCAGAGAGATACCAGAGAGAGACCAGAGAGAAAGTCCAGAGAGAGAACCCAGAGAGAGGCCAGAGAGAGAGACCGGGAGAGACCAGAGAGAGACCAGAGAGAGAGACCAGAGAGAGACCAGAGAGAGACCAGAGAGAGAGACCAGAGAGAGACCAGAGAGAGAGACCAGAGAGAGACCAGAGAGAGAGACCAGAGAGAGACCAGAGAGAGACCAGAGAGAGACCAGAGAGAGACCAGAGAGAGACCAGAGAGAGAGACCAGAGAGAGACCAGAGAGAGACCAGAGAGAGACCAGAGAGAGACCAGAGAGAGAGATCACAGATTTACTTTTAAATTCTGCCATTGTGAAAAGGATACACTAGACACTACATACAATCTGTAAGTAATAAAGTGCTAAAAAATGTTGAAAATGCTATAACTTTCTGAAAAATGACCATTTCTCAAATAATAATAATTTGTCATGTACTTACTGAGGCGGTGATAATGCTTGAGACTGAAGTCCCACCGTTTTGTAGCTTTGTCTATAACATAAAAAACATGTCATGGCTATAGAAAAAATAATCCCAGTTTATTATTATACAAGACAACATCAAGAAATACGATAAGAAGAAACAGTTTGGTGGTGGGAATGACTCAGTCCTGGGTCTACAGCCTCAGTCCTGGATCTACAGCTTCAGTCCTGGGTCTACAGCCTCAGTCCTGGATCTACAGCTTCAGTCCTGGATCTACAGTCTCAGCCCTGGATCTACAGTCTCAGCCCTGGGTCTACAGTCTCAGCCCTGGATCTATCAAGGTTCATAAATTATATTTGTAAAACTTCAAAGTTGTTTAATTATATAATGTTTGCAGATGACACAACTGTAGTCTGCTCGGGGAAAGAACTGAACAAACTTGAGCATAGAAAAGGAACTAAGTTTGTTTAAAATCTGGTTTGATGTAATAAGTTGTCACTCAATGTTTCAAAAACCAAATGTTTGTTATTTGGAAATAAAAAAGAGATATATAAAGATATAAAACTTAGAATTGAAAATAATGAGATTGAAAGAGTGTTTCACACCAAATTTCTTGGAGTGGTTATTGACTCCAGATTAATGTGGAAACAACACATTGAACATGTGAAAACAAAAAATATCAAAAACTATTGGAATTGTGTCTAAAACTAAAGACTCTCCGATGATGCACTACATATAATCTACTGGACCTTGATTCTTCCTTATATGAGTTATTGTGTGGAGCTACTTTTAATACTGCATCAGATCTGTAGTATTATTTATTACAAAAATGTGCCATGGGCCTGATAAATAAAGTAGGATATTATGATCATAGAAATCCATTATTTCTAAAAACAAATATTATGAAATTTAAAGACACTATTAACTAAAGAATACTTCAAATCATGTTTGAGGCTAAATCAAATGTGCTTTCAGAAGGTGTTGAAAAGTATTTTTAACCTAAAAAAACTAGATATAGTTTAAGAGATAGCAAAACAAAAATACCCTTTACTGTGGGAAAAGTAAAGACACTCTGATAAAAAGTCCTTTAATGAGGAAAGGGACCACGCAGGGCCTTCTTCAGGGCAGTGTTGATGACAGTAAATTTATTTTACCAAAAGTTAAGAAAAGTTTTATGGGGCTCAGTTGTGGAACAATCTCAGCAGAGAGATGAAAATATGTAATTCTCTTTTTGTATTTAAGAAAAAACTGTCACAGTTGATCCTGGACGGATACCGAACTGAATGATCTTGTTGAACTTGTAATTAAAAAATGTTAATTTATTTAAATATGTTGTGGTAACTTGTATTGTATCATGAACATGCAATGGGCGCACACGTTTTTTTACTTCTGCCATATAAATAAACTGAAAAAAATAAATAAAAATAATAACAGCTTCAGTCCTGGGTCTACAGTCTCAGTCCTCAGTCAAAACAGCCGCACTTTTAACCTGAATCTGGCTGAGTGGATAGTACTCTCGCTTTTCAGCAAGAAGGTCTTGGGTTCGAATCTCGGTCGAAACAGGGCCTTTCTGAGTGGTGTTTGCATGTTCTCCCTGTGTCTGCGTAGGTTTCCCCTACCACTAAAAACATGTACAATAGGTCTGGCATGCGCCTCCTGTATGGCGACCCCGCTCCCATCTCTGTGTGGAGTGAGAGGACAAATGCCCACAATTGCAGACAGCTTTGTGACTCTGGTCTGTGAAAACCACTTTATAATAAAGATGACTTACTTACTAATCTGTTTTCTTTTTCCACAACTGTTACTTTGATCACTTGATTGCAGTCATTTAATCATACAAGTGTAGAAGCTGAGAGACGTCTGGAGTGAAGTCCTCAAATGGTATGACAATGGAGAGCAAAGAGAGAGCAAAGAGAGAACATATAGAGACTAGGGAGAGAGCAGAGAGAGATACCAGAGAGAGTGGGAAGAGAGCAGAGAGAGAGAGAACAGAGAGAGAGACTGGAAAGAGAGCAGAGAGAGACAAGAAGCAGACCAAAGAGAGAGAGAGCACATGTGACAGAGCTGTTTAAATGATCTCACCATAGTGCCTGGTGGGGATGGACCTGAACACCTGTATGAGCTCCACATGGTACCCCACCTCCACTCTGAAGCGGCCCGTCACAGAGTGCCCCACACACTTCCCACTTGTAGTGATGTTCCGTCTCTTTGCAGGGGACGGGGTCACAGCAGCAGAGACTTAAGGAGAAAACAACATCTTAAATGTTTTACACTTTATTGTATGGATCTTCTCATCATAGCTGGATCTAAAATACAATAATAATAATGATCTCTGGATTAAACAGCAACAGTATTTTCAAAACACTGCAGCCTGAGCCCCGACTAGAACCAGGAAGTACGACCATATTAGTCCTGGTCTCAGGTCTCTGCTTCCTGTGGCTCAGAGAATAGACTTTAAAGCAGCTCTGCTTGTTACAAGTCTCTCCATGGCCTCGGACCAAAGTACATCTGTGACATGGTGGTGCATATGAGCCATTTCTGAAGAGCACAGGGACTCTGAAGAGCACAGGGTCTGGCCTCCTACCAGTGCTACAAAACAGTAAACACTAAAAGGATCAAAAACATTCCTATCTATTACACCTGTATTACACTATTACACTCCTATTACGCCACATTCAAACCTGAACATGAAAAAGTCAAAGCAATCAAAATGTATAAGATTTATAATAAATCCCATTATAAATGATAGGAAAAATACAACTTGAAGTACACATATTTAAAAAACATATATTCCCGCAAGATTCAAGACAAACGTTATATTGTCCCTGACATGGAAAAACTGTCTTGTGCTATTTAAGAAGCATATAATTACAATAACACGGCCTGTAATTTACCCGCAGCTGCTTGTGTCCCAGGGTCAGCGGTGGTGGTCTGCGCTCTCTCCCCCAGTCCCTGCGCTCTCTCCGCCTGCAGCTGCGCTCTCCTCTCCAGAGCTTTGCGCCGGTTCTCCTCCATCCTCCGCGTCTGCTCCGGGGTGAGGTGGATCGACATGGCAGGACTGTGGATCTCTGTGCGGGACCTGCTGGACTGATCTCGCAGGGTGTGGAGCTCTGGGTCCCTTATCTCCATGTCCCTTATTCTCTAGGTTTCGATTCTTCCGCGCGAGAAGTGACGTCATCAGAGTTTCTCATCATGAGTGGCTATTTCGTTGGTCAGGGGCAGAGGCTGTACACGGATGGTCATTTGTCAATGCTGAAGAGCAACAGGAGAAATGACGAAGTTTTTCTCCAACTACCTGGCTCACTCACCATTTAGGGCTTAAGAAGTAATTAATGATAATAATGATAATAATATCGTGTATTCACTGGACACATTTGCAAGAATGTTTCCAGAGAGGACACAGAGTGGACACATTTTGAAATTTCCCCACTGTGGGACGATCGAAGGATCTCTTATCTTATCTTAACAAAGTTAAAATACCAGTGGGAGAGACAGAGTTGTGAGGGTAAGGGGGAAGGGGATTCCAGGCATTCAGCCGCTGCTCCCCATGGTGACGAGGGAGGAGGAGAGACCGAGGTGAAGTTAGCCGAACGTTTGATATTCGCCTGATATTCGAACAAAATCCCCCTGGATTCAAAGTCTGTCCGTATTTTCAGTTTAGTGAAGAGTGTAGTATTAAATACTGTTCACAATGTTGCCACCTATATAAAACGACTTTTTCCCCAGATTTGATGGGTGTAGTAGCTCCATTTGAACAATAGCTAGTTACTACAGGCAACATTTTGGGAAAAATATGGTTTTCCCCTTCACAGTAACGAAAATGAAATTGGAAAAATTCACTAAAAATCAACAAAGACGTTTTCCCCAGTTTTGATGGGTGTAGTAGCTCCATTTGAACAATAGCTAGCTACTACAGGCAAGAATTTGGGAAAAATATTGTTTTCCCCTTCACAGTAACGAAATTGAAATTGGAAAAATTCACTATTCACAATTTTTCCAATTTCAATTTCGTTACTGTAAAGGGGAAAACAATATTTTTCCCAAATTCTTGCCTGTAGTAACTAGCTATTGTTCAAATGGAGCTACTACACCCATCAAAACTGGGGAAAACGTCTTTGTTGATTTTTAGTGAATTTTTCCAATTTCATTCTTGTTACTGTGAAGGGGAAAACCATATTTTTCCCAAAAGTTTGGCTGTAGTAGCTAGCTATTGTTCAAATGGAGCTACTACACCCATCAAAACTGGGGAAAACGTCTTTGTTGATTTTTAGTGAATTTTTCCAATTTCAATTTCGTTACTGTGAAGGGGAAAACAATATTTTTCCCAAATTCTTGCCTGTAGTAACTAGCTATTGTTCAAATGGAGCTACTACACCCATCAAATCTGGGAAAAAAGTCTTTGTTGATTTTTAGTGAATTTTTCCAATTTCAATTTTGTTACTGTGAAGGGGAAAACCATATTTTTCCCAAAATTTTGGCTGTAGTAGCTAGCTAGTGTTCAAATGGAGCTACTACACCCATCAAAACTGGGGAAAATATATTTGTTGATTTTTAGTAAATTTTTCCAATTTCATTTTTGTTGCTGTGAAGGGGAAAACAATATTTTTCCCAAAAGTTTTTCTGTAGTAGCTAGCTATCATTAAATGGAAGCTACTACACCCATCAATTCTTGGAAAAATATCTTTGTTGATTTTTAGTCTTTATTAATCGTTTTGACCTCTTGCAATTTGCAGACGGTCCCTTGCGAATATCAGGCGAATATCAAACGTTCGGCCAACTTCACCTCGGTGGAGGACCGGAGGAGGAAGAGTCTGAAATCTGCTGCCGGAGCCTTTCTGCTTCAGGCATTACAGCCGCAACACCGTCTCCCATCACAGTACAGTACTTTGCAGAGGTGGAGTCTGCCCCCTGGTGGCTCTCAGCAGCACTGCAGGAGCGTGTGTCTCCGCAGATTGAAGGATTGCATCTTCACTCTTTTTACTGGTCTGTGTTTATTTATGTTATTTATTCCCGTGTGTGATTTATTGTTTCTTTTCTTGTTTTGTTCAGCAATTTGAGTTGCCTTCTGGTTAAACTGTGATATACAAATAAACTTGGTAGGAGTAAAAACTGATAAGATTCCCAATTTTTGTGAACTCGGAACTAGGATTCATAATTAGAAACAACATAGTTTTCTAACCTTTTAACAAAAAGTTGTTATCATATTTTAGAAAATTGTGATAACAAAGAAATGGGTCAATAATTTATCGCCGACTTTATGCAAAGGGAGAACATTTTCTATTCTCATCTGATCCGGAAAAATGCCTGTTTTAAAGGATTGATTACAGATGTAGGTAAATGGATAAACAATATTTTCCATAACATGTTTTACTGTAGACATATCAAACCCAGGGGCGACAGTAGCTCAGTTGGTAGAGCATTGGCCTTAAGCCCAGAAGGTCGTGGGTTCAATTCCCACCTCTGCACCTTCTCCACCGACTCCCACTGATGACTGCTGTCGTTGTGTCCTTGGGCAAGACACTTAACCCCACTTTGCCCAAAAGCCCCCACTGAAAGATCAAGGCTATGCTCACACTCAGAGAGCAGCCGTCCTCCTGTGGACTCACCACCTGCAGAGGGTCAGTGAGGGGCTGGTGCTATGAGACTTGGGTGGCATCTCTGACTGCCACCCCCCTGACCCAGAAATGGATTAAAGGGTAGAAAATGGATGGATGGATGGATATCAAACCCATTACTATCAATTGATTTTTTTATTTTTACAATCTTTCACAATTTTCAATATTTCCTCTTCACTCTTTTGAGTTGTAACGATTTGGTTTGCTAAATTGTGGCCTATATTTACAAAATGCTCATTAAACTCATTAACAATTTCCTTAATATGTGTTATTTTCTGATTGTCTTAAAATAACTAATGTCTTTAATTTAATACATCATTCAGCATACCCTGTATGTTTTATGTTTTTCGAGCAATTTTGTATTATTCTTTTAATAAAATAATTTTGTGTAATAATCTTTCCCACTTAATCAATGCATCCTTATATTATTCTATTTGTTTTCTGTGTCTTTTGCTTTGGTTTTTAGAAATTTCCTGTTTACAACATTTTTAATCTTACAGGATTTTATAATTCCATAAGTGAAGCATGGTTTCTGTACATTACATGTATAAGTTATTGTTTCGAGTTGGCAACATGTATTGTAAATATTTTCATTTCATTTTTTCATTTCTGGATGCCTTGATGTGTATATGTGTGGATTCATCAAACTGAAATTCCCCCGCTGTGGGACCAATAAATGATCTTCTTGTTCTTGTTCTTTTTCTGTTTAGACTGGCATCCACAAGAAAACATTGGAACAAATTAATATATTTCTGCACAATATGGTGTGTGTGCCTCAGTCCAGCGCTGGCATCTCTCTCTGTTGGTCTGTGTTTACGTCTGTCGTTATGGTAACAACCAGCTGGAGCCACAGAGAGTTCAAAGGTCATTCCCCGTCCTTGACTCTCGGACAGAAGAGTCGACTTTTAACTTGTTCCAACGATTCCAAAGTACATCCAGAGTTTATCGAGTTTATAAGTGATGATTCAAGTCACATTGTAGCTATAGCTTTAGTTCTACCACTTTTGTCAGTGTGTGTGGGTATTTTCTTTAAAACACTTTTTGGATTAAAACAGTTATTTACATTAAACCACCTTTATACCTGAAATAATCTAAACTAATGTTTTGAATTGAACATATTCTTAATGTCCTTTTTTGTTTATCTGTGTCAATTAGACATACTGAAAAACAATTATATTTCTGTTTACTATGATGTATTTTCTATTAAATAATGTTTCCTTCTGGTTAAATCACATTTTCTGTGATATGTTTTAGGACAGTACATGGTTGCTTAGTAACAAGGATTCCATAGGGTCTGACTTTATTATGAGAGAGTGAAATTATTCAACTGTAAATTGACCAATACATGAAAACAAATCTTAGTAATGTGTCAAACCTTTCAGACTTGGACCACATTGTTTTTCATCATGTGACCACACACACGTACGCACACACACATACACAAATAGACACACATTGTTTTTTTCATGTGACCACAAACACGCACACAAATAGACACACCCATGCAAATGCACATAAGCACACACATGCTGTACAGCCACACACACACACACACACACATACATGCACGCACAGGCACACCTACACACATGCACAAACACATCTACACCCAAAACCACACACATCTACACGCACATACACACATACATGCACACACACACACACACACACACACACACACAAATAAACACCAAAATCAATGTAAGAATTTAATAAAGGAAACAACAGTTTGTGTAAGCTCTCAGTCGTACAGGGATTAATCAAAACAAAGGAAGGTTTCTCACCCATCATCTGTACTTCTTAGCAAGTTTTCCCAACGTTTCGTCCTCAAACTAGCGGACTTCTTCAGGGAATTCCCTGAAGAAGTCCGCTAGTTTGAGGACTTGCTAAGAAGTACAGATGATGGGTGAGAAAGGAAACAACAGTTAACATAATTAAAAACAGGTTTATTGTCAAAAAACGGCTGTAAATGGTTAAGTTCCGATTGACTTCCTGGTTCCTGAGGCAGGTCTTCCTTTCTGGAGAAGGACATAAACAAAGTGTCAAATTTGTTTCAGACACAACGTGACGCATGAAAAACACAAATGATAATGTAGGGAAATAAGGACCTGCTTCAGTTGAAAGTGTGGCTCTCGGTTCCTCCATGACCGAAACCTTCAAAAACAATTACAGTTAAAATCAGTTAAAAACAGAAATTATATTTTTATTTTTTATATTTTGATACTTTGATATTTACAAACAATAACCGATCCAATAAAGATTTGATCACAACACTTTACTTTTTCATCTTTCTGTGGGAACAAACAAAACCCAGTTCGAAGCCCGGTCAGAACAGGGCCTTTCTTAGTGTATAGGTTTCTTCTTTCCATCCATCCATCCATTTTCTTCCCCTTAGGCTTAATCCATATCTGGGGCGGGGGGGGTAAGTAAGTAAGTAAGTAAGTTTTTATTTATATACCGCCTTTTCACTGCAGATCTGAGTCTCAAAGCGGTTTACAATTGTTAATTTTGGGCATTTGTCTCTCACTCCACACAGAGATGGGAGCGGGGTCGCCAGTACAGGAGGCGCATGCTAGAACTATTGGACATATTTTTAGTGGTAGGGGAAACCGGAGTACCCGGAGGAAACCTACGCAGACACGGGGAGAACATGCAAACTCCACTCAGAAAGGCCCTGGTCCGGCCGGGATTCGAACCCAGGACCTTCTTGCTGAGAGGCGAGAGTGCTATCCACTCAGCCACCGTGCCGCCCACGGTGGCCAGAGATGCCACCCAGTACACAAAGCACCAGCCCCTCACTGATCCTCCTGCAGGTGGTGAGTCCACAGGAGGATGGCCTTGATCTTTCAGCAGGGGCTTCAGGCAAAGTGGGGTTAAGTGTCTTGCCCAAGGACACAACGACAGCAGGCATCAGCTTTCCGGTTTCCCCTATCACTAAAAACATGCGCCATGGATTTGAATGGAAGGTGTTGGTCATGGGCTTTAAGTGTGTGTAAATGGAAAATGTGCTATATAAATAAACATGACTTACATTACTTAAAAGTTAGGTATTGAGCTTTAATGGCTCTATTCTTGTTCGTGTTTAAGTTTTTACTCTTTTGTATTGTCCGTGATGTAAATCAATTCAAGTCAATGATTTCCATAGTATTGCTGTAGAATGATTTGTTAAAACTTCTATGATCAACAGAAATAATCTTAAATGTAACAAATGTGACCTGCACTTTAGTCGGAGGTGGATCGTGATATGTGTAAAATGATTGTTTTACAGTTTCATAAACTGAAGGTGAAATCAGAACAAGAACGTCACATGTGCTGCTTTGGCATTACATGTTTTAGAATGTGAAATATTTTGTTTTTCACTGTAAAGCTGGGGTACCTAACTTTAGAGGCGTAAACAGGGTCTAAGGACAGTGATGATGATCGAGGACACTTGACATCAATGGACACTGGTCTTTGCCCCTCATGAGTCACGACAGACGCACACAGACACACAGAAACCCACACACAGACACAGACATGCACACACACACACACACACACACACCTTATGGACCAATGGTCTCAAACACACCTAAACTATTGCACATGTCTTTAGTGGTTGAGCTATTTTTATAGTTTAAATCTTTTTTATTCACATTTTCTCTCTGTCAAAAAAGACCAAAAATCAATATTATGTTAAAATACCTTTTGGTCCAAACAGGGCAGCGTAGCAGGGCTTATTACAGTAAGGCTTCCCGTCGTGCTGGAATAGACACAAGGTTTTCAAATGTGATTAGAAGATCATCAGGTCTTTTTTTAGTCATGCAGATACTGTAGATACATAGATTTTATAGACAGATAGATAGGTATATAGATTCAATAAACAGATAGACATATAGAAAGATTGATTTGACAGATAGATAGATAGATATAGAGATTTAGACGGACAGATACATAGAACGATAGATAGATATATTTATTGATACCTCAGCGTGCCCGCCGGAAGTCAGAGTCTTGCTGCACTTCTCACACTTCAGACATGGTCGGTGCCAGTCCTTTCCCAGAGACGTCACCTTCTCCGCTGGAAAACACATACTCAAGGGGTTAGCTTCAGGCTGTAACAGGGGCAGATACTAATATAGTGTGTTGCTAACATGGTTGCTAAGGATGACAGAGAGCACTAAACTACTGATTGCAAAAGCCCAAAGCGTGAGTGTGGCACAAGCTGGAGGTGTTTACACTGTAAGTCAATGGGAGCCAGAAAGAGCTGGAGCAAAACCATCCATGAGCACTTCCTTATGGGGCTTCATTGTGCATGTGTGTGTACGTAACACACGCACACACACACACACACAAACACTCTCTGACCCTACACCTCTCCCCATTACTCTCTGTCCTCCATGTACATATTTTGTACTGTTAAATTAAAATATTTATGATAATGATTAGATTGTCAACAACAGCAGTGTCCTTCTAACATGAGGTCAGACTTGCTGAGGTGCTCTGTCGTAATTCTATTTACGAGGGGCGTTTCTCCCACATTTCTGCAGATAAAGAGAGATCAGTTTTTATGAGGTTTCAGCGTGAAATCTCTGGGACAAGCTGTTTTCTCCAATTATCTAATCCAGCCATTCCCAAACTCAGTAACACCGAGGCCCCCTTAAAAATCTGACGGGTCTGCGTGGCCCCCCAAAATAATAACCAAGAAGACAACATTAAGAATAGGCTCTTCTGGTTATTTTATTTTGGGGAAATAGCCTCTGCTACAAACATTGTAATACAAAAATGATTACAGTGGATTATTCAAGTCAAATAATGAACACAAATATTTTAATATTACAAACAAAACATTATAAATTTAACATTAAATAATTATATATTTTTTTTATTTTTTTATGACCTCCCGCGGCCCCCCTGCAGTACCCTCGCGGCCCACCAGGGGGCCGCGGACCCCACTTTGGGAGACACTGATCTAATCACATTATGGACCTGGTGACCTGTGTGTGTGTGTCTGTATCTGTATCTGTGTGTGCTTGCGTGCGTAAATACGTGGCATTTATGCGACATCATATATGTCTGGGTGTGTGCATGTGTGTGCATTGTTTTGTTTCACACCATTAGTGGTATTGTGAATTGCATTGCAATATATTACTGGCCTGGTTGTACCACAACATAGTAAAAATTGCAAGTGATGACTGACCGGAATGTACGGATGGCTAAGGCCAGGCTAATATTATACATGTGTCTGCCTATAATGTGTTTTTGTTGTGCAGGTTTTCATAGAAATAATCCAATTTAATCTACTTATCTACTGATACTAGGGTTATGTTAACAATGTTTTTTGAGATTATTGGTTCAAACATAGTTTAATTGCGGGGACAAAGGTTTCAGGTTTTACTATTTTTATTCTCTATGCTTTTCGCAAATCAGGTCACAAAATGCTGTCTTCCTCTTAGAAAACACGTTATCTTATGTGTATTTGTAAGAAAAAGCCCAGTGAGTCACAATCTGACACTTTGGGCTGAGAGCTGATTGGCTGAGAGAGAATGGTCTTTTTCAATTTTCTGTCTGAAGCTGGTATAGGGATGTGACAAAGATCCAAAACTAGTGACAGAACCGTTTGAGAGCAAAATTGATAGTATTTCTGTACCTAACGTTTTGGTTTGAAAATTAGCTAACCCAGTCATGACACATACATTTTGAAGACTGAATCTCGCAACATGAGGCCTGAGCCATAGTTTGAACATAGCTTCTGAATATGTAAATCATTTTTGCATTAGATTCTTACACTTTTGAGGTAATTCGAAGTCACTGTCTCTACATCTACATCAGAAGTTACATCGACTATGTAAATATCTGGTTCCAACAAAAACTTTGCATTAGTCATGAATATTTCTTCAACCTGTTTTTTTTTCTGTAGAAGAATGAAGTAAGTGTAGCAGCATTTGAATAACGATATGGTTTATTCAAATGAACCTAAAGCTGAGGATGAGAAACTCTACATAAACTCTCACTGCTGTCTATATTTTTTCTGCTGCAGCGCCGCATCAGCAATCAGTCACATTTGTCATTGAGCTCTCATATCGTGTGGCAACCCTCCTCCTCCCCATCACTGCCTCATCAACTCTACAACCTTCTTATTGAGCTCCCACCACCAGGGTTTAGGCCACAGGGGATTTCATTTCTATTTTCTTTTTTATGCTTTGATGTCATTCATTTCATGGTCAATTTTAAACTGTTTTGTCTTTTAATGGTTTTCCTTTTTAGGCGGCACAGTGGCACAGCGGTTAGAGCTTGTGTTTCACAGCAAGAAGGTCCTAGGTTCGGTTCCACCTCCAAACTGTTCTATGTGGAGTTTGTATGTTCTCACCGTAGATTTCCTCCGGGTGCTCTGGTTTCCCCTATCGCTAATAACATGTACAACAGGCCTGAATGTACTGAATGAGTGAATGGATGATGTTTGGTCGGAGGTTTTAATGCTCCAGAGTGTTTGGCGTCTCGCTTCATAACTGTGTGGAGAGAATGGAAATATCTGAACATTGTGAAGCGCTTTTTGTGACCTTGGTCTGTTTAATGCGCTAAGTGAGTACTTACTCACTTTAGCTGCATTTATATGGCGCCCAGAAGGATGCCATATATATAAAATATATCATTATTATGTCTGAAATAATGTCTGCAGAGTCTGATGTGATCATTTATGTAGCAACAGATTACTTGCCAATCAATAAATATTTTTTTTGTTTTGAATTCCTCCACATTGAAATGCGGTTAAAGCTAATATCAAGTGAATAGAGCAGAGCTAGGCCTGGGAATACTCAAGAGCTGGTACCATAATTACCTAATTGCTATAATAAAGTAAACATAAAAAATGCTCTAACTGCAGAAATCAAAGTACTTACAATGGCAGAGAAACAACTGAAATAGGTTTGATTGGTTTGATTGTAATGATAATAAAATAAGTGTGGTTTTGGTTTTGGAAATGGAAGAGAAACTTTTCCCAGAGTCCCTAGGTAGAGTGTAACATAAGTTTATCGTCTATTCTGTAATTCATTCATATTTATTTGACTCTTTCCAACACTTCAGATTAACTGTCTGTTTTAAACTCTTACACTTTGTTTTGTCTTTCTTGATGTCTGTCTGCTTTAATCTCCTGTATAATGCTTTTGATTGTTTTCATTGCTTTATGCTGACCGCGCAAGCGCTTTGTCAACAAAAAGTTACATTTATTATTATTTTTATCATCCCTTTACAGCCTTTTTCTATGTAATAAAACCATTAGACACATCTGCTTCACCAGTGAAGTCCATATGGCAACAATAATGTCCACAACTCTATCTCATGTTACTGTGGGTTTGAGACTGCAGACCCAGCGGCATTCTTCCTACAGTCTTGGATTTTCTTTGGACCAGAACCAAGACCCGTTGTGTTACAGCAGACAGTGGTTTTTAGGCCAAAATGTGAGGAAGACACACAACTTAGGATGCGTGGTTGTTAGGAAATACCATAATTCTGTCTGTGTGTGAGAATCTATCGGCTTTTTATCTGCAATCTAGTCCTTTCGGTCATCACTCAAAGCTCATGACCTGTGGTGAGGGAGGGAACAAATATCGACCGGTAAATCGAGAGCTCTGGCCGCAGACGCTGCTCCCTCTTCATGACAACACAAGGACAACTTTGTATAGGACAAAGCACCTGCTACAGCCCAAATTTGGATGTTAAGAACCTCCCTGAGAATTGACTATTTTAGATTCTTGTAGTCAAAATGTTGATGATTCAAACCCCCAAAAACAACATAAATTCAACATTTTTTTTTGCTATTGTTGATTGTTGAACTCAAATTATGAATGTTATCCAGCAAACTTTATCTCTGCACCAATCATATACAGTACATTAGGGAAGCGCCGATATCGATACTGGTGTCGGGTCGATACCGTAGGCTTTCGTGCTCATACCATAGGACCCGTAAACCCGTAAACTCGAATCAGTTTTGAAAAAAAAAACTATGCCTCCCCAATATACATACATTCAAATCTGCTTTGCTTGAAACTTCATAGATAGCCATGGAAGAAATAGCATCTAAGGCAATATAAAGCTTAGTGTAGACCTATGTCATGTACTGTATATTGCACATTGTACTTGGGAAACTGAAGCACAGAAGCCAACATACAGATATGCATTCACAGAACCTTGAACGTCAACAATTATATTCAGAGAAAAAAAGTGCAATTATCAATGAAAACTTTACTTCCCCCTTGTGGCTGAACTGTGATCTATGGTTAAAAACTAAACCCCAACAGTACACTTTCTGATGATAAAAACAGCACCACTCCACACCACCAATCAAACCACAACTATCGGGTCAAGCAGTTTTACAGACTCAAAATGGTCTGGCTTCATCAAACACCAATGGATTTTCCTTATATTGATGAAAGACTTTATTTTTGAATTCACAAATGGTTTTAGCTTCAATATGATTTACTCTTATCTCTTTTCTCTCTACTTTACTCTACTTTATGATTGGTGCTCTGTGTACTGGGGGGCATCTCTGGCCACCCCCCCGACCCAGAAATGGATTAAGGTGAAGAAAATGAATGGATGGATGGATGATTTACTCCTGTTTCAGATCAGAATCAGAGTAAAATAGACTTATTCTTTTGTGAGAAAAAAATCCTAAAGGGAATTGTATCTTCCAGCTACATCCTAAACTTCAAACATTTCAATACAGCTTTGCTCTGCTTCATTTAGATGTTTTGCTGTTGTAAACCCACACTGAGAATCACTTTTTGTGTATTCAAAATCATTACACACACACACATGCGTTTTCCCTTTTACATTCTACTTGTTATGTTGAGAACTTGACCAATGGAATTCTCAAGGCAAAGACTCAAAAATAAAGTATAAACATATGGAAAAAAAGAACAAAATCTAAATCTATTATGACGCAACATTCAACATATAGAGGCATGTTGGGAAAATATACAAACCTGGATGTACGTATATTGTAAAAATATCAAAAAAGCATTTTAGAAACTTGTCTAATTATCATTACAACAGAAATATACTGGAAAATACGAAGGCATATGAAGGCAGCCGCAGAAATTATCACTGCAGCTACACACTTTCTTCTATGAAGGAATGCTTATCTTTAGCCTAATTCAAGGAAATGTATATTTGCGATAATGAACCTTTTCTTTGCATTAGCATTGACTGCAAATGCACAAGTTACATGAAATCAATAAAAGCCACTAACGTCTAACCTGAGGATTTTTACCTCTAAACTAGCTCTCTTTATGTAAATGCATGTGAGGCTGTGATCTCATATATTCTGCCATTTCCTGTTTGCTTTTGGCAGGAAATGTCACGATAGTTCAGGGCGAGTTGAGACACGTACCAAAGTAGACCTCCTTGTTGCATTTCGGGCATTTGGGCATTTTGGCAGATAAAAAAAATCGAGTCCACAAAGACGAGGAGAAAGTGTGGAGAGAGAGAGTATCCAAGTGATCCACCTGTGGCAGTTGAGCAAGACTGGACTGGGGATGAGACCGAGGGATGGGCCTTTATTAGAGAGGAGGGAGGGAGGAGGGAGAGAGCAGGAGGAGTCAGGGTAGATTGTGTATGGTAGATCGAGGGATGGGCCTTTATGAGAGAGGAGGGAGGGAGGGAGGGTGGGAGAGGCAGGGGAGGCCGAGGGATGGGCCTTTACGAGAGGGAGAGCAGGGGAGAGAGAAGGGAGGGAGAAAGGGCAGGGCATGAGGGGAAAGTGAAGCTGCGGTGACAGAAAGCTGAAAAACATTGCCTGCTTGTCTTGGTTAGAAATCTTCTACTAAACATTTTGCAAGGTTCTCCTCAAGCGTTGTCTTTTCACCACTGGTCTCTGTGGGCCATGGGTCTCCAACCTATAGGAGGATCTATGTTCACATCTGCGTGCACATGTGGTAAATACAGAAGCATGGATGCAACGAGTACTTAAATAAGCACTTTAACGCAAGAAGGACGGAGGAGGTAAAAAGATAAGCTAAACATAAGACCGAACTGAACAATTTCAAAGTCCATGAGACCTGAGAAGTCTCTTGGTTTCCGTTTCGAGGAACTGAATTCTCACTGCCTGCTCACAACTAGTGGCCTTTTCATTTGCAGAAGAAGGGTCAAGAATCAGCTAAGTTTTTGCTCTAATAAAATAAAAAGGATTGTGTTATGGGTATAGCATTACACAGAAAATAATGCCCCATTTGGAGACCCTTTCTCCATGGCCCCACTGTTACACCCCGGCCCATAACACCCACACTAAAATCTATATCTAATGGAAGAACAGAGATTTTTGGGCCAAACACCCAGAGTTGTCTCTTCCTTCCACACTGAGCAACACAGACAGGTGTGTTGAAAAGGCATCTCTTCAGTGTGAATATACTCAATTACTCAATTCAACTTTATTACAGACTCCAATTTAAAACATACAGACAGACAAGACATAAGAAAATAACAAACAGTTATGACTTTAAAAGACAGCTATACCAGTGTCTCCATATCTTGGACTGCACTCGAGTGGCACTGAACCTGATGTTTGTCAGCGCCAAAATTACTACATTTTCTGCATTATTCAATTGACAAATGAAAAGTCACTGTCTCTACATCTGCGTCAGAAGTTACATCGACTATGTAAATATCTGGTTCCAACGAAAACTACATGATTTGCATTAGTAATGAATATTTCTTCAACCTGTTTTTCTGTAGAAGAATGAAGTAAGTGTAGCAGCATTTGAATAACGACATGGTTTATTCAAATGAACCTAAAGCTGAGGATGAGAAACTCTACATAAACTCTCACTGCTGTCTATATTTTTTCTGCTGCAGCGCCGCATCAGCAATCAGTCACATTTGTCATTGAGTTCTCATATCGTGTGGCAACCCTCCTCCTCCCCATCACTGCCTCATCAACTCTACAATCTTCTTTTTGAGCTCCCACCACCAGGGTTTAGGCCACAGGGGATTTCATTTCTATTTTCATTTTCTTCTTTTTTATGCTTTGATGTCATTCATTTCATAGTCAATTTTAAACTGTTTTGTCTTTTAATGGTTTTCCTTTTGTGGCGGTGTAGTGGTTAGGGTACAACAATATAATTAATCTTTTGGATAATAGCCCAATGTACAGCAACGCCACCTGGGGAGATGGCCCCAGGACCAATAATAGCCACTTGTTACGAGCAGTAACACAAAATAAACACCCCCCCCCCCCCCCTCCCCCGCAGTAAGGGCACAAAGGTTCGTTGGACTGAAGAGTACGAGAGGATTATAAAAAATATATATTTATTTTCACAATTTTCTTAAATTAGTCATGGACACATGTTCACTTTCACAGATCTTAAAATACTTTATAAACCTTAACAAAACAAAATAACAGTGACTTCAGGGGGAAACAGCAGCAGCAGTTATTACATCTTCACCTATAGACTAAACTCCCTACCAACGTTACCAGTCTGCCTGGGAGAGCGCCAGTCCGAGTGCTAAAATCAGTGGTCTGGTTAGCCGTAGGTCCAAGGGCCAGGTAGACAGCCCACAACGCAGGGTGAGTGTTGCCCAGGGATGGTCACATAAGTGGAGGCCCCGAAGGAGAAGCTCTGAAAGGGGCCGCTCACGGGAGAAGGGGAGGCTCGTCGGATCTACACTGAGAATTAAGTTTATTAAAGCTAAATAAGAGGAAGCGAGAGCAGAGAGAGCGAGAGAGCGAGAGAGCGAGAGAGCGAGAGCGAGAGAAGAAAACGAGCGCCAGAGCAGAGAGAACCAGAGAGTGAGAGAGGGAGCGAGAGCAAAGCGCGCAAGAGCGAGAGCAGAGAGAGAGAGAGCGCAGAAAACGAGCGCCAGAGCAGAGAGAACCAGAGAGTGAAAGAGGGAGCAAGAGCAAAGCGCGCAAGAGCGAGAGCAGAGAGAGACTGATAGAGAGATATACACCTAGGCTATGGACTGTAGAACCATACATACCAAGATCTTGCCGTTTTAGAGTGTAGCGTGAAGGTGCCCGTTAACCCAGGCGGGGCGCACACCACAAGATGGAAATATTCACATTCACATTTGTACCAACTGCAGGGAATTAATGCAGCCCACAAGCCTGCACAGCTGCCGAGGAGGCGCTCTAAATCCGACAACAGGTCTGAGTCAGCGCAAAAACCCGCAAGTGCAATGTACTCAATGCCAAACAAATAAGGATGGCCCGCACGCCAGCACACGAAGCCAAGTAGATCGCCATGCAGACGCCAGAGGTGAGGAGAGAGCCGCGACAGGTGAAACTAGTTCCCGTAATCAAGGCCCTGCCGCAGCGTGATTGGCCACCAGTGGGTATGCGCGTACCACTACACTTTGTAGGCGGCACAGTGGCACATCGGTTAGAGCTTGTGTTTCACAGCAAGAAGGTCCTTGAGTCTTATTTAGACAGCAATAAAGACAGCAATGTTTTCTAAACTGTTACATGTGGCTCGAGCCTGGCCATAGCCATCCGTACACTCCGCTCAATCATCATTTCCTGCATGTAACGTCTGGGTCTGGTCCCTGTGTTTGCGATTACAATCGGTTGAATTCCATCCGACCAATCAGCGCGTGCGGGAGGCGGGTGTTGTAGTTAGTTGTGGGTGACGTCAAGAGTTTGCGTCGAACGGGCAGGTTATAGTTTGGCAATAGCGAAGAATGCGATAGTAAAGTAATCCGGTCTGGTTCTACCAAGAAATTGGAGCCAGAGCAAGAAGAATGTTTAGCAAATGTAATCGCTGGCAAAGATTGTGCTGGTATTCCCCACGGGCTCTGTTAGCGGCAAAGGAGATGGCTAGGCTAAATGCTAACGACTCACTCGGGCGCATTACATACGTCACGGTAAACTCAGATCCAATCGTTTCAATCTGCAAAAGGAGTTAACCCCTCCCACCTGTAAACAGAGCTCAATGGAGCAACTTAGTACGAAATGTAATTTGTACTTTGGTGTGGTACGACCAGGCTAATGTGGCTCAGGTCAAGGTTATATAACTAGACAACAGTTAAGCAAGGTTCAATGAATTGATAATGTATGATGAATAAATGCCTTTATTAGTCCCAGTGGAGAAATTACAGATAGTTTGCATAATGAACAAGCTGAGCAAGTCAATTTCATTTGTATTGTCTTTTTTAACGCACAATACTATACAGTCTGTTATGTGTGTTTGTGTGTGTGTGTATTTTATTTTTTGTATTTTTAGAGTTGTTCCTTGCTGATACAGAAGGGTCTAAGGACGTTTATGAATATCTACAGGCCGTGCTCATCCCGCTCACTGTTGACCAATGGCTGCTAAATTTCATTTAATCTAATTTTTATCCCTCCAGAATATGTAAAGTATTATAAAAAATACTAATTCAATGTTTAGCAGTGGATGGAAAATAAAAAAATGATAACAAAGTGAATGTATTAATAAATAAACGAATTGTAAAAAAATGAATAGATAGCAAATAAATAGTTAAATAGATAATAAACAAACAAACAAACAATAAATTGAATTCAATAATTATGGCAGCAACAACAAAACGACAAGCCGTGACAGGTCCAAACAACACGCCAACCTTTCCCGCTATTGTCCGTTGAGGTCAACACACATTTTCAACACGTCCGCACTTCAACAACATCACGTACATAAAACATTAACAGCATTAAAGGTGGTTTGGGTTTCCTCTTTCAGCAAGGCTCAGTGTGACTCTAGTAATGGCCCGATGTGTCTGAATCATTTACACCAAAGCTCCTATTGTTTTGGGATTCTAAATTTAGCCTGATGATGCCACACCTCCCATACAGCTGCCACCTGCTAACACATTAGCTTATTACAGCAGTTACTTTGGGTCAGACAGAGGGCGATTTGAACCCACTGTTCCGGGTTCAAACAGCAACATTAAAGAGGACGTGTTTTTGTTTTTGTCTATTGAATATTATATTGAGACATCTGGTGTACGCATATACCATGAATCTATAATGTATCTATAATATAACACACCTACATACAAGCATACTGTAATTTCTATTCAATTTAACTTTGCCATTGGGTCAACATACTCTGATTCTCTGATCTGTTGTTGGTGAATCACAACTTATTAAAGTCCTCAAAAACAACTGCTGTTGTGATTTACGGCAAGACACAAATTTTGTAGAAATTCCACACTATTTAAAGAAGGAATCAGATGGACTTGTTGTTTACCTCATTCTGAAACAGAATGTCGACTGTGGAATGTTGATTGGTTTGACAAGATCTTCTAGAAACATGTTTAGGTGATTACAATGTGGGTACGTTAATTTCAATGTTAAAGCCACCAACTAATAACAAATGTGTGACCTTTTTAAGAATATGTACCTCCATCATGTTTTTGAATTGTATTCATAGGCTTAGAATTTCACTTATGTCCATGAGAGAGGAGTGCTCTCCGTGTA